GCGAACATTTTTCCTGACTGACTCTCTACTTTTCCCAATATATAAGATGATTGAAGAACAGAAAGATGAAGTCAGGGATGTTCATCTGAATAATGCTGCAGTGTTGTTGCAATCTTTAATCATGTGTGAAGGCTATCGACAAAGAGCGCTGCTGCGACGACCGCGCACAGTGCAAAACAAACAGCGGATATAACGCTTGTGGTAGTGGTACCACTTCTTACAGAGTTCGGTCTGACAGACTGTATGCACTTTTTAAGGGCAGGGCAAAGGTGTTCCTGTTGCCGTTTGTTTTGCCTCTCCTAAGGGAGCAGAAAGGCAGAACAAACGGGAAACATGAACACCAAAATCCTACCTCTAATCTTTGTGCCGGTAAGACATGCACAATCGGAAACGACCGCGGCCTGTGCTGTCAACACAAGTGCACAAATGCCATGTGCAGCCACGTCAACTGGGTTCCGAAGAGCGACATTGTCACACGATATTGTGCCACTTCTTAAGGCCTCCCCTAATTCACTGTGCATGTTTCAAGTAGAAAAATAGATGGATTTTGAAGCTGTTTTCAGGATGTTGGATTAGTCCATCGCAGTAATCTGTGCTCATCTGTTTTCAAGGAGAAAAATAGAAGCGCAAGAAACGGATAAGGGACGAAATTGAAAAGATATGAGCAGGGAACATCAAACTCAAAGTATGGAAGATTCCGATTGGAGTGAGTAGTTCTAAACTTCGACTTGTACTGAGACAAACGATAGGGCGACCTGCTGCGACCTGCGAGCAAAATGCAACTCGAACTCTGGAAAGAATGCATGCGGCCAGACTGCAGCTTACATTAAGGATTGCAATATTTTTTCGTTTTTAATTTTACATGCTTTTCAGTTCTCTCCGTCTCCCTTAAGATTGCAACTTAGAAGTGAAGTGCAGCTTGTGCTTGAGCCTTTAATTATAGGGTGCGTGCTGACCGAGTGAACGCGAACTGTGTGGGCAAGACGTGCACGATCGCAAACGACCGCGGCTTGTGCTGTCAACAGAAGTGCACAAATGCCATGTGCAGCCACGTCGACTGGGTTCCGAAGAGCGACATTAATACACGATATTGCGCCACTTTTTAAGGCCTCACTTAATCCACTGTGCATGTTTCAAGCAAAAAATTAGATGGATTTTTAAGCTGTTTTCAGGATTTTGGATTACTCCATCGTAGTAATCTGTTCTCAGCTGTTTTCAAGTAGAAAAATTGAAACGCGAGAATGAGAAACGGGTGAGGGATGAAAAGATATGAGCAGGGAGCATCAAACTCAGAAGATGGACGATTCCGATTGGAGTGAGTAGTTCTAAACTTCGACTTGTACTGAGGCAAACGATAGAGCGACCTGCTGCGACCTGCGAGCAAAATGCAACTCCAACTCTGGAAAGAATGCATGCGGCAGTGATACTGCAGCTTTCATTAAGGCTTGAAATACTTAATCTTTAATTTGACATGCTTTTCAGTTTTCTCCCTTAAGATTGCACGCAGTTTAAAAGCGAAGTGCTTCAGCCTTTAATTACAGGGTGCGTGCTGACCGAGTGAACACGAACTGTGTGGGCAAGACGTGCACGATCGCAAACGACCGCGCCACTTGCTGCCAGCAGAAATGCTACACTTCAGTCTGCAGCCGCTTTGAGGTTGTTCCAGAAAGTAACATGAACTCGCTTTGGTGTGCAACTGCCACATGTAGTCACACGGCCAACGGTGGCGATGAAAATACCTGTTGCGTTGATCGTGCCCCGTGCAACTCCGTTCCAAATATGTGCGAGCAGGATTCTTTGTCGAATGCGGCTGAACTGCCGTGGGAGTTTGATCCTGCGGCCGTTAACACCTTGTGTGCCGGGGAGTTTTGCGCCTATGGGACTGACCGAAATAGATGCTGCCGAGAGCCGGCCTGTACCTGCCCAAATGGCGTCCTAGGTGGTTTGGCTAACTGCTTCTTCACAGGAATGACCAACTGTGAAACGGCACAGGCGTGCGATGCCGGGTATCGACATGTGACGCATAGTGTTGTCCATATTAAGGCAAGGCCTCCCCCAATCTCACATGTCTGCCTTAGGGTTTACCCCAATCTATCTCTAGTATAGACATCCCGCAACAGTATGCTCACATGTCTTCCATCTCTATAGTATAGACTCATCCCGCAACAGTATGCTGTATGCACCTTCGGTGATACAGGGGAGATACAGGGGAGATCCTTGCGGGATCCCTGCAGGGATCACGAACTAAGGCAAACTCTAACCATACGTGGCCAGCTGCCGGAGAGACACGGACGCACTCGCCCTCTGTGTGTACCGCGAACGTCTGCTACTGCCCGTTAAGGCTACCGCTAATCCATCTCTACAGGCATCCCTCAACCGTATCATGCGTCCCAATATTACTAGGGAAATACTCACGCATGCGCCTGAGGGATTTCCACAAGGATGAATTAGGAAGAGGTCTAAGCCCGGCACACGGCTCGGTGGATCCTGAACAGGCGACGTGCACGCATCATGGAATGCCCAATTGTGGTCCAGCTACGTACGCTAAGGCTACTAGCATTTTATCACTATCGTCCTCCCATGTTTGTTGTGGACTACGCTGACTGAGTGGGCTCTTCCCTTGAGAAGTTCAAGTTGTCAAGGGGAAACTATTTGACCTCAGCGTTTAGGTTTAGCTTTAGGGGGAAACTGGTAACAGTCTCACTCAGCCACGGATAGTGACTGGCTAGCGTTAAGGAAGCCTCAGACGGTTCGGCTGATCATTGTGATGCCGGTTACTACGTATTTGACAACGTCACCGAAGAGTATAATAGTGCTTTCAGTAGTAGCGCGATAGAAGAACTAGCAAGAACCACAGACCACGTCGTTCTGCTTGATTACACTGTCGAAGAACAGGGAGAGAAGGAGCAGATGCAACAGGTGTTGAACACTGGCTTCGGCGACGTCGAACAGGATGACGCCCAGTACCAAGTAGAACAACACCTGAACAAAACCAAAGAGAAAGTTCGAAAGGTCACTAGAATTAACAACACGAGGGCACAGGAGCTTCTTCAAGAAACGGAGCTTTCTTCTAGAAACTCGTGGCTTCGACAGTTTCCACCAGCATGGACCGCGGGGACCGGTCGCTTTTGTGTGCCTTTTTTAAGGGTTATCGGAATTGTTCATCCTAAACAGCATCTTTGACCCCTTGTTTACTAAGGGGGAAATACGTCAGAGGCGCTTTCAAGACGAAAATAAGTAAGCTCTAACTTTTCGCTGTCTGTGCGCGGATGGTCAGCTGCGTGCTCAGAGCGAGTGTAAAAACCATGACATGATCTCGTGCGCGTCGTGCGACGTAAACTTTACCCTTGTTGACATTAAGGCTACAGGAAGTGCATCTTCGCAGGCATCTCGGCCCCGTTTTTCAAAGGAAAAGAGGGCTGAAGATGGACTTCGCTTAGTTCTAATGACAATGCGGAAAGTTTGCAGGGCGTGAGGCCTTACGTGGAGCAGGTCGGCAATGGAAGGGGAATAACTAAGAGTGTAACTAGGGATGTTCATGTGAACGCACCATTTTGCTCAGAACGTTGCCTGCGGGCGCTGGGACGGAGCGAGTGCCCCGATGGGTACACCGGAAAATTAAGGCTACCGCTGAAACATTCACAGCACCATGCATCGTCCTTGGCCACTTACACTTGTTTTTCAGGGGAAAATATGAAGGGCTCATCAGAGATGGGCTCAGGGATGTAGCTCTACTAAGAAAGCTGAACATGGACGACGCAGCCTATCTGGCCTCGCGCGGTGGTCCGACACCCGAACAATTTCACTGCAGTGCAAACCGATGTCTTCTGCAAACCTCGATCTTGAACCGTGACACCTGTTGTCTCGACAAATGCACTGTGTTTTTAGATACTAACGATACCGTTAAGGCTACTTCTAAACCTAATTAATTGCGTCGATCCATCCTCGTCCTCAGAGAAGTAGTCATCCCGGAGGAGATCTCTGCTTTCAAGGGAGAAAAAGGGGGATCTCGCGATGTACTAAGCATCTGAAGATGTAGAGGAAAGCTCCTGCTCTAATAGGGTAGTGGTCGGAGCACCCGCAGTAGTGCCAAATTACATTCCTGGCGCTGCGGCTCTTTTCGCGGATGTAGTTTCGAATTACCTACCCAGCGTGACACACCGCCACTGTGCCGGCTATGGTTACGGCGACCCACTTTCAGCTGCGGAGCGCATGGAGGGTGCAGGGAATTTTAGTGTGACGCCGCTCAGCGGAACTGGAAATCAGTCTGGGGGCACCTCGCGACAGCTGCGGGAACGTGATTTAGCGGCAGGGCGCACCGTTGGTCAGTATCTAGCTGCTCCCGATTGTTGTGCCCAAGGGAACAAGTGCGGTGGTGAGTTTTTGTATCAATCGCGTGTCAATGCAGCGGCGTCTTCGCGTTACAAGACAACGGATGTCTTACCATTTGGCGGGACTTCAAATAGCACGCTAGTTAAGGACAGAAGAGTAGTTCTAGATCAGCATCAGTTCTTGTTTGGCAATGTGGACTTGGACTAGACAGCTGATCCTGACGAGTCGACTTCATCCCAGCACATAAGTTCGTATCATTTCTTCATCCCACGTACATATAGATGATGCATACATAGTTTAGTTAGTTTGGAAAGAGGAAGATAGGGATAAAACGAGGAGTCTACTTCTTCTAATTTACGTGTGCCCTTCCAAGAGCTTCCGGGAGAGTATTGTCGTGAGCGTGGCTTCGGACCCCCTGTAGTGAATATCACAGGAAGACGCGTCGTTCCCGAATTCGAAGACCTATTTCAGGAAGGCCCAGCGATGTGCTGTTCTCTACCGAGTTGCAGCTTTGGTTTTTTTGCGGCTCCAAAGGCAAGAAAGTGCCCGAAGCCAGTACTATATGTGGAGGAAAAGCCCCCGGAAGCACCAGAGGAAATAAACTCCTCAAGAACGGAGAACGTTACGAACGAGTCGAACTCGACCAGCTACTCCTCAACGGAGAACGTTACGAACGAGTCGAACTCGACCAGCTACAACTCATCTTCAGCGCTAGAAATGAGGGCGGAAGTGAATACGGGCCACACTGCCACCAGCAATAAGCAACAGGAGACGGAGGCTACCACCTCGAACGGCACATCCACGCCAACGACGAGTTTTTCGATTCAACAGGTGGGGCCTACCACTGGGGGCGACTACACCGAAGTCTACTGTCCCGCGAACACGAGGATCATTGGGGGTGGCTGTGAATCGACGGGGACTCCAATGATGCCGCTCTCGCAGAACAGGCCGTTCGGCGATGCTGACACGGGACTAAATGGTGGCTGGAACTGTGGCGGGCTGGGCGCGGCAAATAAGACCGTGTGGGCCTTCTGTTCGGCGGACATTCCACCCGTGCAGGTGAGAGAAGTCGACGGCGGCAACTGGACCCAAGCGTACTGCAGCGATCCTGGTGCTCCGAAAATGCTGGGCGGTGTTAAGGCTTCCCCTAAGTAATCCATCTTGAGGGACAGCATTCTGAAAGTGGTTCGCACCAAGTCGAAACGACACTCAGGATCATGCATTTTGCGATGGATTAGGGCGAGCTCTAACAGCAGTTGCGAACCATCAGAAACGCCTTGGGAGATGTCGGTGTCGCAGAAGGTCGTCCACGCGAACGGCACAGAGGGATGGGAGTGTGGTGGCATGGGAGCCAGAAAAAAGGCTTTCGCCTTGTGCACTGAAAGTCGCGTGATGGTGCAAGTGAAAGAGTACCTGAACGGACCGGATTGGAGCGACGGGCATTGTGCTGCTGGCGGATGGCGCGCCGTCGGGGGTGGCTGCAACGCCCACGAGTCGCCCAGCACCTACAGTGCGCTCAAGCCTGACGAGACCGACAGCACCAAGTTCACATGCGGCGGCGGAGGTGGCGGGAAGCACTTGCAAGTGTTCTGCCTCCAGATTTCGGATAGAAGTAGCGGAGAAGTATCACAGCAGAAAAAGATAAACAAGACCGTAGCTCGGCTTACCGGCTTTACTGGCATCGCAGCGAAGAACAAGCCAGGAACCGACCCTCCATGTTAAGCACAGGCTGCCGATGAAAATAATTCGGTTGTCTTCTAGTACTAGTACTGTACATCATGTGAAATTCTTGTTAGAGCATAGTTCTCCCAATAGACCAATTTTTCCGAAACGATGAGAAGTATGACCATACTAAGTAGATGAAAGCCGAAAAGCAGGAAATATCTTCTAATTTTCAGTGAGTGCGAAAGTGGCTAGAATTCTGACATCAAGATCAAGATGAGCCTAATCATTCACAATTACTTTTACTATGTACTAGAAGTTGTTTGTAGTTGGTGAGTCTTGAGTTCTCTACAACCCTGAGGCCAATGAAGGACCACCTGAAAAAGAATCTTTTCTAATGTGGGTGCTCAACTCGTGCTTGCGATATTGCGCACGATGCAAATACGTGCTGTGAAGTGCGTGAGTATTGCCCACAATCCCCAACGCAGGCCGCGTCCTCGTCAGATGCCTTACCACTTTCCGAGCCATTGCTTTTCCACCAGTATATTTTTGTGGAAGCGATAGTCAGGGCTCAGTTTCCTGACATTTGTGCCACCGCTTGCGTATTTCCTGATCTCGTTGTGCCTGAGGCTCCTGGTTCTTCGCTCCTTTCTTTTGCATCGTCCATGAACGCAGAAGCAGATGGCAAGGAGGCTTCGTCTTCTTCAGTATATTCTGTCGCTGCCCGACTGGGGCACTTGCTGAATTACTTGCCTTCGCTCAGTCAAAACAACTCGACGGCCTCGAACGACAGCAACTCTTCGAGAAGGACAGCTAGTGCTGCTCCCCTGTTCACAGTACCTGTGCGATACAATGGGACGCTCGTTGATCCGTATGCGCCTCGTTACCCGTTGGCTTCTGCAAAGTCCAGGACTGCCCTTGACTGCAACATGCTGACTCGTACACGCACACGCGAACAGCTTGGCCTGGATGGCAATGAGTACACGAGTCAGCTGCTTGGCCGACTCGGCATCGAGCTTGAGGACTTCGACTCCGGTGCCATCCCCTCTGAAGAGCACTTGTTGGCGACAGTTAGTTCCACCTCTGAGAAATTCTCTTCCCGGCTCTCTTGGGAGCACATCCCCCAGCACATGTGTGTGGGTCCGGAATGTACGACAGAGCCGGCAGACGTGCTAAGTTGTTGCGCAACCTATGTGCCGACAGAGGATCACTTCTGTACTGGAACGAGTCCAGCATTTGATCGGCTCAACGGCATATTGACATTTCCTCCTGAGGGCGATAATTTACGGCTATAATGTTGTCGACCCACCTTGTTTTACGCCGTCGTAATGTACTTAGCCAGTTCCAGCTACTTGGAAAAGGCTAATTAAAAAAGGATGCCTGATGATGAAAAGATGGGTTTTATTTGGTCCCTCTAAATATTGCTACCTTCGCAACGATTGAAGATCTAGGAGGGCGTGTGGTCGGAGTGCCCAAAATAGAAACCGACTTTCCATCGGAGGACGCAGCGAGATATGTTAAGGCTACCTGTAATCCATCTCGATCTCGGGATAATTGATCCCGCAACGTCGAACCAAGCATATAATCTGTTCCAATTATCCAAGGGAGGTTCATCTCACACTCACTGAGGCACATGCTTCCCTTGACCTTGAGGGACTCCCGCGAAAGCTATGGACCAAGGGCAGCTCTAAATGTGCCTGCGACGTCCTTTCTGCTGACGGTGTGCTAGATCCGACGATAGTTTGCGACGGTTACCAACTCGTACAAGAGAAAAGTTTGTTTGAGGCTGGCTCACACGAGGGGCAGCATTGGACTTTGCTATTTGGTCAGCAGGTCAATAGCGCCAAGGAATGGAATGACATCGGAACGGAACTGTTGTTATGTGAGTTAATCCTCGAAGTCTCATAGCATCATCTCGTAGGAGCATCTCGATGCCCTCTGTTTCCCCATTGAAATAGATATAGAAAACATCTTCAGGTAAAATATAGGTGCCGGCGAGAAGATGTTGACAGAGCAGCCAGAAAAAGTGGGGTCGGGCCGCTCATTCTAATGCTAGGTGCTGCCACGACTGCGTCGCCTCTTGCTAACCGTATACTTCGCCCAGAAGACTATCGACTTGGAGACTACACTGCTCCTTCAGATCGCGTTGTGTTGTGTCTGAACGTGACAGCTTTGCTCACTGGCGAAATGCATGTGGACCAAGACACAATATTTTCAGCCTCCAATTCTAGTAGTTTCAATGATTCAAATAGCACTACCACCAGTGCCATCAACACTGTGTCAACAAGTAGCGCACCAGCGACATCGAACGCAACATCTTCGGGGTCATCTTCAAATGATGCGGCGAGCAGTAAGTCGTCAACATCACCGCCGACGAGTAATAACAGTGCGGCAGGAACTCAGGAGGGCGGCTACACCAATTCGACAAACTTCTCTGTTTCGAGTTTTTTTCAAGAAGGGTCTGCGGAACGCGGCAACTCACTGGCGACGTCGCGCGTGAAAGATGCGAGTCTCGAAAACGTAACGTCTACTCCTGTTAACGGTACAGGAAGCAGCGATGCGAGTCTACAAAACGTAACCTCTACTCCAACTCCTGTTAACGGTACAGCTACTACAAGCAACAGCACGAGTAACGCGTCGTCGTCAAATAACATGAATGCGACAAATGCAACGAACAGCACACCTTCTTCAAACGCTACAAATTCAACGAATAGCTCAACGAGTAGCAGCTCAAGCGAACAAGACGCAACGACTCCACCACCTGATGAAGTCGACGAGATGTTGCACCTTTTATTGTGGAAGCCGAGCGACGTTGAGCGAGCACACCTGGCAGCACATAAACGCGTGATCTTCCTCAAACACAATCGCAAAGTGATTATTACGGGAACGGCTATTTAACGTAGAATAAACATAAAGTTCATTAGCATTTTTACTTTGAACTTGAAGCGCATTTCCAAGATGAACCTCACTCGTGGCATACTTGACTTCTTATGCTTATCCTTTCACCGTATAACTGAGGGAGAAAGCAGGTCGTGATGCCAACAGATGCTAGGTGAATGAAGACATGAGAAGCGCTACTGTAGTCCTAACTACTGTGTTCTGATCTTAGTGGCTGATGTGGTAGTTGATGTTCTGTTCTGACTCTTACTGTCGCTGTCCTGACTCTGACTGTAGTGGATGTGGTAGTTGATGTTCTGTTCTTACTCTTACTGTGCTGACTGCGCTGGAGGCAGTGGCAGTTGTTCTCTAATCCTAATGGCGGCCGCCTGGGAACCACCACGTCTACATCAACTACAACGACGATAAGCACGACGACGACCACAGTCTCAACGACAACCGTGACCCCAGAGTGGGGCGACTTAGCTGGACACAAAAGTGACGAGGCGGTGCCGATTACTATCTCGGTAAGGCTCCCGGAATGGGAAACGGCGCCGCTTGTTGAACGCCCAGTGCCACTCGCGGAAGCCCTCATCTCTGCCATGAACGTTTATGCTGAGGCAGTGAGGAAAGTTCAAGAGCATACGAAAGAAGAGCAGGCGCCGAGCTCCTTTGCTTCGATCATGCATGACGTCGATGGGCCAACGTGGTCCTCCTCTTTGACTGCAACTACTAGTTTTCATGACGACCGCAGCAGCAAGCGTGCCACCAGAGGAAGTCGAAGAAGAGGCAGAGGAAGGAGGTTGATGCAGGAAGAAGAGGAAGAAGAGTCCTCCAGTTCTGATGATAGAAGTGCAGGAAGTAGAAGAGAAGCTGACAAACTGATGCGCCGCGCAGACGCAGAAAAACAGCACAGGTGGCAGAGAGACGAGGTGGGCCCAGAAGAGTGGCAGAGTGCGCTTGAAAGAAGAACAAGACGGAGACGGAGCCTCGCCAGAAGGCGCAATACTACTTCCTCGTCGCAAACCATTATCGTTCCAGCTGCTGGAAAAGTTGTGGCAATGACGGAGGAGTCCGCAGCGGCCTCGTCAAATGTAACTGATGAAAACGTCGATGCCGACAGTGAACAAGCGACGACGGAAGGGCCCTCAAGCTCAACAACGGTTAGTATGTCCAAGCTAAACCCGGTTCAACTTCCAAAGCATTACAATAAGTACATGCGGCTCAGTTTTAGGATCAAGTCGGGCGCGACTGCAAGTGCGCTCGTTTCTGCAGACGGGACACAGCTCACGAGTGCTGCGCGGGATCTTCTACAGTCGGAAAAAGTGCGGGAGTTTTTAGAGAAAAGAGTGAGCGCAGCCGAATTTCTTTCCAGTAGAAACTCGACATTCGGCACAAGTCTGAAAAGCGCGGAGGAACTGATTACTTCCCTAGCCGCAGACATCAACGTAGAACCTGGCTCCTCATCTTTTGTGCCAACGATGGAGGAAGCTAGTGGTGAGCTTGGCGCCATAGCAGCTATAGACTCAGATGCAAGCTCAGCGAGTGCGAGCTCACTTTTACAAGTTGATCTACTTCAACAAGAACACGCAGGAGGAGCAACAGAAAAGAGTAGAAGAAGAAAGCGAGAGCAGGCGTCATCTTCTACAACTAGAGAAGCTCTGCTAGTAGAACAAACATCAAGCAACATGGCTTCCTCAGCGTCTAGAAGTTAAGGGTTCTCCGAATTACATCTCTCACTACCATACTTGGCTCCTTTACCTTTCCAAGGGGAAAATAGGCCAAGGATGTTCTGAAGAATGCAACTCGGCAACCTCTAAGGAAGAGCTGAAAGCGCTTCGTCCTCCAGAGCTGAAGCGGGTTCGAGAACAAGAAGTCGCAATATTAATGGAGAAGAGAAGGTTTTCTCCACTGACTATTTTCCCTTCGTGTCTGGTCTCTACTGGCTTTTTGTTCTGGGGTTTCAGTCGATTACAGTCGGGGGCGAGATGGGAGGCAGCTTCGTCCTACAGTTACGAATGATTTTTTTTACGCCTTCTATACTCGGGACGGGTTCTTGTGATGTCGTCGTAGTTGTTTACCCTTAGTGCTCTCTAGTTATTTTTTCCAAAAACTTTAATGATCAGTTTCAAGAGAAAGTAAATCTGTCAGACAGAGCAGGAGCAAACTCGTCGCCCAAATCCAAAAGGCATGTCCAAATCCTTCAGTATCTGTATCTACAACTCTGTTTTTTTTTGGAATTTTCTAAACAATGAGGTACCGACTACGTGCCCTGACAAGCTGGTGAACTTGGAAGCGATCGCTCACAATCGCAGGTGTCTTCTTGATTGCGTCTTTCTTTTCCTCTTCTGTGGGCAGATGGCTCTTGCAAGTTAAGAAAGAGCTCGGTCATGATCACATTCAGACTCTGTCTCAACGCAAAAAAAAAAAAAATACGGGTGCTACGGACACCAGCACTATCAGGGGCATACACATGACATGGGTTTTCGATTTACTTCCATGCGTTTTTGCATTTCTTCACCTTCAAGGACATGGTGATGGTTCTTGTCCGTTATTTTTCAGCATTTAGGTATGAGTATGTGAATGCTGCTGTTACTACTACTGTTCGTGTCAGAAGAGATGTCTCTTGAGCTTCATCATATTCTTGCATCGCTCAAAGAGCCAAGTTTTTTGCGTTATTCCCTAGCAGAGCCAGAGTCTGCTACTAACTAGGAGAAAGAAGAGCAGCTCCTTCTAACGTTCCCATATCTTCCGGTATGCAGCGAAATACTACTGGTACAAGAAGCCTGATTGGCGGCCGTATTTGTGTTATATTTTATGTTCATGTGCATGTTGATGTGCTTTTTTCCATTTATCAGAGGACGCAGACCATTTCGAGGCTACGCTTTATTTAATCTATAAAGGAATACGCTCAAAAATAATTACGCTCAACAAGTAGGGGAAGAACAAAGAAAGTCTAGCCGTGAACGTGATGGTCTGTCAACTAGTTGTCCCTGGAGGATGAAAAAGTAGCATCCTCTTCCATATCCTTTTCCGTACGCGACAGCGACTCTGCGTGCTGAAGATGAGGAGTTTGAGCAGCGTGTGAATGAGGAGATGCATATCTTCGAGTTGTCGCTGGACCATAAGTACAGCCACTTACAAACGCAGGCTAGTGCAGAAACACTGGATGAGGAGGAATGGGCTGAAGAGGAGTGGACGATGTACGAAGAAGACGAAGTGCCAGATGGTGTCAGCCTTATGGCTCCTGTTGTATTGTGGATATTTTGACTTTGCTGAGCTATGACGTGGTCTCCTTCGCCTTCTGGCGATGGACAGATCATAAGGAAAAGCTGCTCCACCTCCAGTATTCTTGTATCTCTTGCACCACAACTTGCACCACCTCTTGCTAGGCACATTCATTCATTCACTCGCTCACTCATTCATATCTCAAAAGTAAGAGGACTCAAAAGAATTTATTATAAATGTATCAAGAAACTCGCTCGTCCTCCTCCTCCTGCGCGTCTAAGCCTAAGGCAATAGAAAAGCGAGCGAAGAAAGGAAAAAATAAGTCTACGTCGAAGTTCAATGCCGCGTCCACGACAGCTTCCACGAAAAACGGGACTGCATCAAGTGGAAACCTGCCGAGTGCAGGTTTCAACGGAGGGTCAGCCTTATTTTCTGGCTCAAAAACAACTACGGGGGCAGAAGGTAGCACCACAGCTGCGGGAGGAGGATCAGCAGTACCGGGAGGACTAGGCGGGAATAGCTTTTTCTCTTCAAAGATTGCAAAATCAGCAAGCGCAAACCAGGATGAGAAGGAAGAACGAATGAGTAGCGCAGTCGTGGGCGGCGCTAACGCCAACCCGTCAGGCTTTTTTAATTCAGGCTTCAACAATTCAGCCCTGAATAGGTCTGGAGCTCCGTGACGAAGCGCGTGTTTGACTCCTTTTAATCTGTAAAAATGCTAACGCTAAGGAATGGGTTCTCCTGCAGACGAATTCAAGTTGGGTATGGGCTATATTTAGCGTTGGCTTACTACTACTAGGAGGGTTCGTTTTTTTTTTTGGGTTTGTTAAGCCCAAGTCTGTGTGACTGAGTGCTCGTTTTTTTTTCTGTGGCTGGGTCGGGTCTACTTGGCCATCTGCTCCTGTAGTTTAATTTAGAACCTCTAACTACCGTGTAGCTAAAAATATTCCATTGTATGGCACCCCGGTGGCTGCTCATTAACGCTTTTAGATCAAAAGCAAAACGTATACTAGAATGAAATTTCGTGTCACCATTCGTTGCTAGGACAAGATGACTACCAGAGACGACTAACTGACTGATTTTCATACTCGTAAGTTTGTTCTTCTTTATTAAGTTTCTCGGATACGCTTGTTCATTTTCAACTTCTTATTTACTTCATCAATGCCGTTTTTATTCAAACGACAGACGGAGACGCTGACCCACTTCCTTGAAACACGCAGCACTGAAACTGATCTCTTCAAAATTAACTTTTTTTCCTATATACGACTAAAACTAATAGCGAAATAGAAAACATCATTGGCTCAATGTGAGTTAGAATCTAGATAAGCAACAGCAAAGACACCTGATACCTACGGTAGGTAGTTTTTCTTTTTCATGTTTTTGACTTCCTTAGTCCACACTACTGGGGTCGCTACCGAACCAGGCAGCCTTGAGTTGCTACGTGGTTCGAGTGAATGAATATGTGAATAATTATACATAGATGCGGCCACTCATTTCTACTGGTATGGAATTTCATCTTTGCTTCAAATATTATACTTACTTTTTTCATGTAAAAAGAAGTTCTTCCTCGATTGAAGAGGCGCACACTGCTCTGACGAGTATTTGATCTTCTCTTTCGATTATTGGCTTTCGTGTTAAAGATCCGAACGTTTATGTGATTTTCTAAATCTTTCTCTGTTCAGCTTCAAGTTCAAGATATGTATCTCGAATCCTGAAGAAATAAAGGTGCTGGAAAAAGCATCATGAATTTTCAAAAACCCTCATGTGTAAATGCAAAGAAATTCATGATGTGATTTTCCTGTATACCATAGTACTAGATGGTGCTAAAAGCGTTGACGAGTAAGTCAAAGTGCTGTACCTCTCGCAGCCGTGGACGACATGGCTGACTCGAGCAGCGGCCGCGCAAAAGCTCTTACGCAGAGGAGTAGAGAGCGGTAGATTGTTCTCTCGGTGTAAATGTTTAGTACACCTTCTGTCTGAATTTTTAAGTACGGGGAATGTACAGAATGAACAATTGATAGACGTAGTTTACTATCAAGAAGTTGTCTTGTGGTTCTGGTTTCTTGTTGAACGACTTTCCAGTTCCACCTCTGTCGTTTTTCTTCTGTCACTGCAGTTAGAGCGATGAATCTGTTTCCTTTTTTTCTGATTGAGCGCTAAGCATTCCACTCATGAGCGCGCGTCCATGAATTTTTGCCAGCATACGAACATGAACAAGTCTAGCTAAGTAGAACAACAACAAGAACAACTTGAACTTGTTCTTCAAGTAATTGCTTATATAGCGCTCGTGCTTGTCGTCGTCCGGCGACAGCTGGTCCCACTACTGCTTGGACTACTACCAACCTCTTTATCAACCTCTTGAAGTAAGAGTAACCACGTCCTTGAGCAAACTGAAATTGTTTTTGTTGATGTTGAATTTTAACCAGTATAATATATAATGCATGGGTCTACTTCATCAAGATCATATAGAAGTCCTTATCTCGAAGATCTCGTCCCCTTTAAGAAACATCAATATGAAGGACGAAAAATGGTGTCACAAGCGGAGGTGGTGGAAAATAGCGGAAGCGTGCGTCTGAAGTGAAGAAGAACCATAACCAACAGGACTCCAAACTAACAACTTCCCGGTCTTGAAGCACATCAAACAGCTAAGTACATGAAGAGCAACAAGGAGAAGAAGGATACAACCCGGAGAACGAAAAAAAGAAAAGTCTTCAGAACCATAAGTTGCAGTCTGCATAGGCATAAAGAACAATCAAAAAATCATGTCGCAGCGTCAGATACCAATTCCGAATGCGACTGCGTCGCACCCGGTCAACATGGGTCATCGGAAGAGCATGGTCGCTACTCCCTTGATGCAGTTATGGTCGAGTTAATCATAGAATTTTATTCAATTCTTGTCTTTGTCTCACATTCAGCATCTTGTTTTCAGTTTCAGTATCCACAGAGGCAAAATAGAAGGCAGGAAGTAGACATTGTATAACAACCAAGACCAACACGAAGATGCAGTGGGTGGCTAGTAGTACCAGTACTAGATGAATTCAAGTTGGTCATCAAGCACACTGACAACTCTTCTAAGGCAATTCACCGGGTCAATGGGCAGCCCAGGTCAGCGTCGGAACTCGAAAGATTTCGGGCATACCATGAGTATGCCACCGGCAATCACCCTCGACAAAGACGAATCAGGAAGTAAAGATGGGGAAGAACGTATTTCTATTTCGTGTTATATCTAAAGCGTCGAGCAGCAGCAGCTAAGAAAATACTGTTCTAGTTCTGTCAACACTCCAAAAACGTAAACCCATTTTTATCCACCTCTTTAAATACCCAGCTTTTATCGGGAGTCCTGGTACACTGCCGCAGAAGAGAAATAGCAAAGAGCAATTTCGTAGGCGTGCAAGCACTATTGAAAGTGCCACTGGAGAGCAATTGATACTGGCTCCCGAAGAAGAAACGTATGAAATGCGCGGACTCCTTATCAACGTCTTCATCTCCGTGTTGCTCGGTATTGCTATTATGTCTAGTGTTAGAAATAGAACTAGAAGTGATAACTGATAAGCAAGTGATATTAGAAAAAATATGCGACGTACTTGTGCATGTGCTCTGCATGTAAAAAATAGTAATTCGCAGAAGATGTCAATAAGGATGAGGAAAACTTGCTTTAAAATGAAAAGAATGAGTCCAGCGCGTGCGCGAACCTTTTCAACACACCACCAGAACCACCACAGGTATCCTCATCGGTCTTTGTGGTGCCTTATTTCACAATGCCGTACACATGGTTAAAGTCTTTTTTCGTGTCGTCCTCGGCGGCCTTTTCGTAGACGCTTTCGAGTGGGATGGCTACATCTTCATACACATTTATGTCATATTGACTTTGCTGTTTTGGGTACTCTCTGGAAGCGTATGATGCTCTAGGTCCTCTTCCTCCTCTCAGGTTTCCCTGGAAGATGGCCTATTCCAAAGGTTTCTCACCTTCTGAATCAGATGAGCTTCAAACTCCGGAGAAACGTGAGACACTTTCCCATCTTCTTCCAGAGAAACAGAGTGCTCATTCCAAAAATACCTGTTTCTCTTCTCCATCCTCTAAACTCAGTGGCTAGGCGCCACGGCCACTAGCCTCGTCGTGTCCTTTATCACACGGCATATGTGCCCAGAATGCATTGGTGGTGGCATGGTTGCGACGAAAATCTGCATTTGCCTTTCGTCGCCGATTCAATTGCAGATTATCGCGTATAGGTTCATGGTATTTTTTTTTATAACTTGCAACATTCTTTCTGTTTCTGTCGTTCATTTTGTGAGTTCTTTGAGGCTTGCTAAATTCTCTCCTGTCTGATGGACATGCATTTCCTTCGCCTCGCTTCTTTATCGAGAAGTTATAAAGCTCAGTTCGCTCTTTTTGTTCTCGGAGCCTGTTAGAGCAGATAGAAGAGTATTCTAGCTATCAATCGTATAGCTTCACTCACGGTTACTGTCAGAATCTGTTTTCTCCGACCACGACAACCACAACTACCTTGACCGCAGCTCTCCGCAATTTACATCGGTGGCGGTTTACCTCTCGGAATCGAAGCGCCGACTTTTCATCTCTGCGCTGCTCTGGCCAGTAATGTGAACCAGTTTATCGAGCGGTTGGACAACACCATCCTCAACTCGGACACAATGCCGCAGATAGTGCTCATTGGGTGTGTTGCGGGTCTGTCACAAGCCTTCAATACGCCGATCGGGAGTCTGCTGTTCGTGTTGGAGGAGTTTGACTTCGTTCGCAGGTCACACATCACGTTTGTAATGATAGTGGCATGCAGTGTACCAGCAACGGCGGTCAGTCTTTACCTGAAAAAGGCCTTCAATCTCCACGCTTCATTTTTAGCTCTGCCAACACCCGAAAACTTGGCGTCGAGTGGTAAAAATAGTTTTTTATTTTTGCTCGGTTCTGAAGTATTCACTTGTTTTTGGTTCTGCTTCTGGATTGAGGAACGTCGATGCCTGTTGTCATTGTTAACCAATTCTAATATCCACAATCAACCACTTTCGTCCGTTTCCTAATAAGCGGACAGCGAAGAATCCTCGTTTTATCGATGTCACCCCACATAAGCATAAGCATATAACGAGGAACTCGAACACATCAGATGTCTCCCTCCTTCTTTTGTACGTCTATGCCGGTCTCATCGGTGCGGTTACAGCGGCCGTCGCGGAATTGTTCTCGATTATGGTCCTCCGAATGCGAAGCCGGTTTGCTACCTTTATTGCGTCTTTCGACGAAGAAGCCGATGATGAGGAAGACTCAGAAGAAACAGATGAGGAGGATCTCTTCGCAGGAAATTCATCGGCCGTCCCAACTCCTAAAGGAGCCCAGATTTCGGTTGGGGGCGGTAGTGGAAACTTTTGCGGCTCGTCGAGTAGTGGAGGACTTTTGCAACTGAATGGAGTGGGACCGAATTCCGCAAACGGAAGCGTCATGCCTTCGTCTGCAGGTGGAACGCATGGGCATGCGCAGCAAGGCATTAACAATCCGAGACGGCTCTCCTTCGATGACGCTACAGGGACAGACACAGCCACTGATGTCCAAGGTGGTACGCATCAACATCAGTTGTTGTCATCTGGTGAGTCTGTTTATGCACGGCAACACCCGACACTGCTGGGAGCAGAGGGTGGAGCAGCGTGTCCTGCAAAATTTGGACGAGATACTACCGGTAGCATAGATAAGGATCTTCATGAAGACGTAATAGTTCCAGTGATCGGTGGCAATTCTAGTTCTCCGAATGTCTTTAAGGCAGGTCGTGCTGGTAAACAGATGAACAGAGGAGACCACGAACAAGGTGGGGGTTCTTCTTCGAGCACTTCGAAAAAATTGAACGATATCAATACGACGGCGTCGTCTCCTGCACATGCACATGCACAGCATCATCCAACACCTTACTTATCAGCTGTAAATACGAACTCGGGAGCAGTACTGGGATCTACTACAGCTGCTGGTCATCCAAACTACGCAGGAACAAGTGGAGGTGGAGATGGAACCTTAATAGCAAGAAATAATCGCACCACTCCTTCATGGATTTCCTCTGCTTCTTCGGCGCAACAATCAGCGGAAACGACTACTAGCAATGGGAATTCACTCACCCGAGTTTATGGCTTTCGTTTTCGTCTCCTAAAAATGATTGTAGGGTAGTTTCATCTTCAAGATGACGATGAGCAGGTGCTACTTCGTCTACTAGTACTTTCTGGAAATTAATATACTTGATTTTTGCAATCATGAGGATGGTCCTCATTCTGCAGATCATAGTAGAAGGGTTAAGGCTATTATCATGTATCGTCAGCTTCCTGCTCTTCTAATGAGGAGTTCCATCTCCATTGCCAAATGCCAATAGTAATAGTAGTTCGGTGAGAGCGTCGACGATTTCTGCTGCTTCGAGCAGGAGCCATCTCCATGGGAAATACCTGTTGGAACGCATCCGTAGAAACGCCCTTGCACGACCATTGTCGAAATTGATACAACTCAAGCGAACAGAACGAGGCTATTTCTTCCTGAACCTCGGAGCTGGAACTGTTAAGGCTTCCGCCTTATTCGATCTTCAAAAGCATTCTCCTGTCCGTCTGAAGTACTTAGAGGCTATTCGATCTTCAAAAGCATTCCCCTATCTGAAGTACTTAGAGGCGTTTGATCAAGTAGGGGAAAAGTGGAACTACAGGATGCTTCATCTCCAGAAGATGCCTTAAGGTGCGTGAGCTCTAAAATTGTGGTCGGCGTAAGCGGATTACTAGTGTACAGCATTAGCTGGCATTGGGGAAAGATAGGCTGTTCCCAAACGAAAGCAGCCTGCCCAGATATGTGGGGAGCTGGGGAGCCGTTGTTAGAGTATCTGCATATCAAAGCACATCAGTCAGCGAACCGAGAAGACTACACAGGACGTCGGAAGCTAAAGGGGACGAGGAAAAGACGTGGGAGAACAAGAAAACGCCGTGGGCTGGAGGCAGCATCGAAAGCAGCCAGAAAAAGTAGTAGTCCGGGAACAGATCACGAGAGTAAAGGAGCAGACGATCAACAACATGCTGGAGGTGATTCAACTACCCTGAATCCACGTCCTGCACAAGCACATCGCCTTCGATACAGCGGAGAAGGATCTAGTCCAAGTAGAAGTAACGGCGGTCGACGAAATAGTGATGATCAAAGTGCTCATATTGTTAGGAGTGTCGATGAAGACGTCGAGGCCTCAGATCATGGTACTAGAGCTGCAACTGTGCCATTTTATGACACTGAATCTCTAGCCGCAAGAGGAAGCACGGCAACAGCACCAGCAGGCACCTCTTCTAGAGATAGGTCCCACAGACTGCTCAGCAGGCATCCGCGCGAGCAGGTTGGCGGGTCTTCTAGTAGTAGCAGCAATCGCAGGCTGCTCCACGACACAGCACCCGTAGACCCAGGCCCCTCACGTGGGGAAGCAGCAAGTTGGTCTTCCTATGTTGAGGAGGCTCGTAATGACCAGATTGGAGCTCCGATGTCGTCGTCCTCAAATCCTCCTCCCTCTTCATCAGCTAGTAGATCCAACAGTGCCAGAAGCCAACCAAAAACTACGCAGCATTGGAGATATAGAGACCTGCTGCGCGATTCCTATCGACCAGGTGGAAGCCCGCGCCAGCATAGGAACAGTGAACATGTAGCCCTCGGTCAAGAGCATCCGGCTGATGCTAGAAGTACAACTACGCTTGACAAACATAGAACAAGAAACATATTAGCATCAGACGATCAACTACATCATGATCATGGCAGTGGTAGACACGAGGATATTTTCCACGAAGAAGGAGACGACGACTACACTGAAGAAGTAGATCCTGCAGCTGGCCACGAGGAGGATGAAGCTTATTATCTGGACGAAGACATAGAGATAGAACATGATGATACACACAGTGAAGATCCGGAGACGAGACATCTAGCCCGGTCCACCTTCGTGGATTATGGAGATATTTCGATCCAAGGTATGGCTTTTACCTACTTTGCAGTCGGAATTCTGAAGATGATAGCTGTAGCCTTCTGCACCGCTGCCGGCGGAAGTGGCGGTTTTTTTGCGCCATCCATGATCATAGGGGGTTATTTCGGAGGAGCACTAGGAAGCGTCTTGAAGTGGATCTCAGGACCACACGAAGTGAATGGAACGTACTACAAGAACAAGAACAAGCACCCCCGTTCAGAACGGGGGTGCTTGTTCTCGTTCTTCACCTTCTGCTGTATTTTGTTGAAAGCGTCCGTAGTGCTCGCGTTGGAGTTTTTTTTGCAAGATAGAGTCTTGCATGGTTTTTTGCAACTATGCAGGCACCTCTGCGTGTCTTGGTCTTCTGATGATCCCCGGCAACTGCCCTTTCTCAGGTACCTCCAGCTCTGCGTTCTTTTCGGGATGGTGGGATTTTTCGCATCGAGTTTCCGATTGCCTCTCACCGGCGCTTTGTGCATTTACGAGCTGATCGTTGCGAGCACTGACGATGAATCGAACATTGCGGGATCCCACATCGTCAGCCGCCTCTTCTTCCCGATGCTAGTGTGCTCCATCGTGTCCTTCTGTCTGAGCATCTACATGCATCCACAAGCGTTGCTAGAAAGGACGATGGAACAAGACGGACTCCATAATCTTTGCTTTGGGAATGGTACTCCAAGTTGTCATTGCGGTATGCCTTCAACAAGAAATGAGTCGAATTCTATTACGTTCACGACAACTTCACGAGCATAGATACTACTTGGATGTTTCTTCATCGCATCAGGTCATGATTGATCATGATACCCTATATCAATCTTCAGGTAGCATCGACGGCGAAAGTAGCAGTGAAGACGAGACGAGTACAGAGGATAGCAGCACCAGTGACACCAAAGACGAGAGCGCCGAGAAGGAGGTGGAAGGAACAACCGATGGCCTCACCGTCTCGTCCCTCAAGAGTGCTGACAACAAGCCGCCGGAGTCTATTCTCGGTCTCGTCTCCAAAACCCTGCTTCCCCCAGAACTCAAGCAATCGGGCAGTAGCCGCCGTCAGTCCGTGGACTTGGGCCAGGTGTTCCGGAAACCACTGTATGAGACTGGTAGTTTCGCAGGAGGCTCCGCACAGCAGAGCAGCCGGAGTAAAAATAGACGGTCAATAAAAGGAGACGGAACCTCACCTGAGGAATCTCCAGATCAAGACACTAGTAACACCACTGGAAGTCGCAGTAGTCGAAATGCTTCAGACATACCAGAATATCTCAAAGTAAAATATACTCATTCTGTTTTATTGTTGGGTTCGAAATTAATCGATTCGTTTTCCTCGATTGGGATTGTTGAATACTAGACTAAAATATAGTATAATTATGTTTTACCCATCAATGACAATTTTCATTTTCTCTTTGTCACCATGCTCTACTACAGCCTTCTATTCCTAACCAGGACACCGGAGCAGGGCCCCTCACCAGAATACGGCGCGCGTCTCACCCGCCAGCTTCCCGTATTTCGAAAAACACTAGCGAAAGGATCGTCGATTTTTACAGGCGCAACAGTGTGGATATCCGGAAGGAGTTTGAGGCGCTTAAAGCGAACAGCGCAAACCTCACATCCACGCACAGCACGAGCAGCAAACGCAGCTGTACTCTTTCTTGTTATCCTTATCTATCATATTTATCAATATCTTTCTCGGCAGCATTCATTGATGGCATGATTGGAGAAAATGAAATGTTAACGTCAACGAAAACCACGTGTCTGAACGCCGAGCTTGATAAACGATGATAATCATTATATCACTTATCAAAACCCCACGAGTCTCATTTTTGACACCTTTGTACTGGTGGCATGTTGCAGATGAGGCCAGACTTGTTGATGTTGAAGAAAAACGCAACAGATAACCACGTCGAGATACCTCTGCCAGATCGTGGCGCGTTTCCTCTGGGGACTGGTTTTTCAAGCGACAGCGCTGTTGGAACGGTCAAGACGATTAGCCCATCGGGGAGCATTAGTTGTAAAAATACGAGTTCTTAGTTAGACTTAGATCATCATGGAAATTTAAGCAATGTTGATACATCAATTCTTTGAGGTAGTACTTGTTGTTTCAAACTTCTCAGTTCTTCTTCTTGTTCACAAGAACACAATCAAGACCAGCGCGTCATAGATATCATGCACATTTTGTCATTATAGTCCTCCCCATTCGCGACACCAAAACAGGTCGCGAAGCTCCCGGCTACCTTCAGAGCGGGCGAGCGGGTTTTGGTGGCGGTACAGGGGACGCGGGTGGTGACAATAGTCCGCCATCAGTACCGCGTGAGTTGAATTTAGGAGGGCTACCAGGTGAGGACTTGTGCTCACTGCAACATGCTGCAGTCAGTGCACGTCATGTGGGTGGATCTTCATCAAGCAAACAAGCGTCTCCTATGGGTTTGCCCCCCGATGACGCTATCTCAGTGGCTCTGAGCATTGGGCAAGTGAGTAGTGGAGGTGCAGGTAGCACAGTGGGGAGAGGAGGTAAGATAAAAATTTAAAATTAAAAACTGTTAAAAAAATTAACTGTTATTTTTATTAAAAATATTCAGCATGATCTGTGACTAGTCCTAGTGTTTTTGTACGTAGGGAATTTTCCGAAACAACTGTCTAGAAACATCCCTCCGTCAGGTCCAGCAGGTGGCCCATCCGGCGCACCAGGAGGCGGTTCTAATCGCCCGGAGCACAAGCGTGGGGGTAAACGTAACACCAAGGTGAACAATTCGACCTCAACGATGAGGATCCTTGAAAATGCGATGAAGCGACGCGGAGAGCAGAAAGGCAGTGACGCGATCTCTAGCACGATAAGCAGTGCTGCAGGGTTTACGACAGCAATATGGAGATTCTCTAAAGAAGGTTCACTAGTTTCGAGCACGAGCTTCTCTGCGGACGATGTGGAAAGAAAGTAGAAAATCGGCATTTTTGAATTGGACGACAGGGAGGATGAGGAAATGTCAACGTGCATTTGGGAGCAGATTCGCACCTCACTACTTAGGTCTTTTTCCATCCTGCTTCTTCTCTTCCTGTAGTTTCTCTCCTCTCCTTTCATACTTTCCGACGGCATTGGCGTTTTGGGCGGTGGAGGATCGTTCCCTGGCGGACAACCTTTAGCACCAGCTGGTGGCGTAGGTGGCGGCTTCGCCCGACCAAGTGGCATCTTTCATCGTGGACGATCTGGTAGTATCTCCACGACCCCAGGACAAATGTGGCGTGATATGAAGGAATTTAGAGAGAGCAAGGCGGAAAACAAGGTACTCTCCTGAAGATAAGTAAAGTTGTAAATTATACTTAGAACAAGTAGTGCTTCTTGAAGATGAAGTCGTTCTCGTTCACCACTGCTAAGTAGTGTCTCAGGACTAAATGCACCTGAAAGTAGTAGCCAAAACGTCGATATGCAACCAAGAAACTGAAGGAACTTTATTCTTTGAAGACAGTCACAGTTTTCGATTCCATCTCCAAGGCACACATGTCAACAACAAACAGTGGAACGTCCTCGCATCCATGTCCGAGGAGGACATGCCTCCTGACATTTCGCATTCGCAACGCAGCTTGAATCCTAAACCAAGCCTCTCAATGTCCTCATCCAGTCAGTTTGCCTTGCCGTCAGAGATTGTTTATCCGCAGTCAGTACCGGAAGAGGAGGAGAACTAGTGCTAGTGAGTACTAGTACTATCGATCTAGTGGGAGTTTCACTTTTACACTTCTTCTTCTAGATACTTAGTAAAGTCAGGATTTTAATAACAAAGCAGCATCTGGATCGTCCCATAAAGCAGATGTCGCACTACTTTATCCACTCCAACCTGTAGGTATCTAAGTACCTCCTTTTGCTTGTTTTCCTTTCGTAAAGAATAAATATGTGGATTTTTGAAATATTCAAGATATCTTCAAGAGGGGGGATCCGACCACTGGTGCTCTTGGTCATGAGCAGAAGAGATGAAATGCTAGTAGTATTTCATCCTTCTGGAGTACTTTTATAAAAGTGCGTGGTATAATCTCCTCCGCTGTGATTCATATGCACAGTTTGATGCGCAGAGGCAGATGAAGACGGTAAGTATAGTGCAGAAGAACAAGAGAGATTCGTTTTTGCAAACTCTTTTGTCCTTCAGTAGTTTGCTGTGTGGCGATGGCTTTAGGAGCAACAGTACAAGTATAAGTATTTTTGAATTAGTTGTCGCGATAAGTAACTGTAAGTCGACTGTCGAAGTAGATGTACATTTTGAACGCGATGCAGTGTCAGCAAGTAGTACCTTTTGCACGCAGTTTTCTGAACTGGAAACTTCAAAAAATATTGGTAAAAGCTCTCACAAACACAAGTAGAAGGAGCCCTCACAAAGTTATAAAGTAAAAGTTTTGATTTTGTTCTTTGATGTATGTCGGTGTCCCTTTGCATATGATGATATTTTTTTCAACCTTTTATTTTGTTTGTGAAAAGTGTCATTCTCATTGGGAGGCCTAATACAAATAGAAGAGCGAAGATAGAACGCAAGAGCGCAGTGAAGAAAGGAACTTCACTGGGCTAGCGGAATAGTGATATTATCGATCCTTGATCCGAGGAAAGTGTAGGCAGATTGTCCCTGTACCGGAGTCGCAGCAACGTCACCGTCTTACTTCCCAGTTGCATGATCGACGACAGTAGTTGGAGTGAATGGCTTTATCGTACAGATTGATGGAAGATTCATTAGCGATGGTAAAACAAACCCTGTGTGAGGGATGTGCGTTTGGCTGAGTGCAGGGCTTGGCGCCTGATGGGCGCCCCGCGCCCGCGGGGTTCTTGGCGGTCGGCGTAGAGCATCGAGCCCGAAGTGGCAACCTAGTGAGGGGAGCAACGCATCGGAACGCAGGGCGCCCGAAGGGCGCCCTGCTCTCCAAGGTCTATTTGGTCCACGAATGGGACGAGTGGCGAGGTCGATCGCGGTCACGGATTGCGCGCCTCCCATCCGTGCCATTCGATCCATGCCGTCCCAGATCTGGCACCCTTATAAACTGCTCTTGCGATAATATCGCACAGATTGATGGAAGATCAGCGATGGCACTTTTAAAGAAAATACTGAGGAAGGTCGTTTTCACGTAGCAGTCACTAGCTTGCATAGATTGGACTATGTTCTTCAAGTTACTTATTCGTTGTCCCCGTTTCGCTATTTGGGCGGAAATGATAGAGAATGAGAATGCACAGATGAGAAAGCAGATTGATGGATCCTCACAACAACTTCAACAAGAACATGGCTAAGGGTAATAGAATTATGCTACAAAGAAGTAGAACTAGAATGAAAACGATAAAGAACTAGCGAGCTTGTAAATAAAGGAAAAGGATCACGCTGGAGTTTTTACCTCGCTGCTACATGTTGAGTCGCACCAGTCATTTTGACAACCTTATGCAACAATGTTCTGGGTGAGCGCCAGCCATTTTGACAAGGCAAGAAAAAACGTTGATCATCGTTATTGCAGAAAACTTGTGGATGAAAGTTGCATTTTCAATCCGTTCTATTCAATTACGAGGACTCCTCGTCGTCCTCAAGCCGTCGCCGGACGAAGAGAATCTGTGGATTCGCTAAAATAAGTCTCAGTTCTTCTTCGTGCGAGTGTATCCTTTGTCATTATACTTATACCACCTCCACCTCCTTCAACTTTACGACCCAGTACATGATGTACAGTAAGTATCGATAAAGCTGCTAATAAATGAGACCATTGCCTCTGCCCTCGTGCAATGGTGTGCGGAGTCTCAGTCTCCGGCGCCGGATGTTAAAGTCACAGACAGGTGTTCATTGAGTTTGAGTTCCATAAACGAAGTTATTCTTCAATTGTGAGCGAAGCAATTCCTTCTTCCCAAGAGGAAGCGAGAAGAAATATCAACTGAAATCCAAGAACTCCTTGTCTGCCACACCAGCTCCTCTTCCTACTCATCGTCTTCAAGAAGTTCGATCAGATCTGCAGAATGCCAGAAAAAGAAAAACTAAAACCGCACCGACACCTTTTTTTCACGCATAGCGTGCGCCCCCAAATACGCATCATCTATGTATTTGTTTTTTTGTTCCTGTTGAAACAATTTGTTTTTGTGCTCTCTCTATTTTTTTCAGGCGACGGTGTAAGATTTGGTTATCATAATTGTTGTAGTAGGTGTGACATTCTTTTTTTGGAGTCTCTCGTTTGCATCTACGGGCACCGTATCGACTCGATCAGGTGAGCATGAACGACGCTTGTCTTCTTGTAGACAACCTGTCGTTACAAACAAGACATCTTTTTTGGTTGATGTAGATTCACCTATCGAAGACTACCAAAATGGGAGGAAAAAAGCAACCTGCAGCTCCTGGAGGTGCTGCTCCACAAGCAGATAAGAAGACACAACAAGATAAGAACAAGCCTGATCCAAAGAAGCAAGGTGCTGGGAAGAGCGATGACAAAAATAAAGGAGGAGCAACACAAGGCAAAGCTGCTGGAGGGGCAAAAGCGAATAAAGCTGGAGGCTCTACTTCTGACGCTGCCTTATCGAAAAAGCAGGCGGCGGAAAAGAAGAGGCTGGCTGCACAGAAAGCAAACCAAGATAAGGAGTCCGAATATCAGCGTATGCTGAATCCTGACTTTGATGATGACGAAGAATTTGAATCATCCGAAGAAGAAGAAGCGGCGGGCGAGAAAACGACCCAGACCACTCCAGAGACACAGACTGACGAAGCACCTTCTGCTTCTAGCACCACAAGCAAAGAGCGAGTGAATTTTGCCCCTGAAAAACGCAATCTTCAGGTGAACCACAAAGCAGACCATCAAAAGTTTACCAAGGAGAGCTTAGGGTCGGTTGCTCCGCCAGCAGCTGCCACGCGCGCGAGGAAAAGAGTGGTTGAGAAGAACGAGCAGATCGATTTGAGGAAACAATTTGGAGAAGCTAGAGCCGAATTGAAAAAGCTAGAAACTAAAGCTGCAGGAGTACCCAAAGGTTTGTCGAATAAGGACAAGCGAACCTTCGAAAAACTATCTCAGAAAGTCTTGGATTTAGAAGACGAAGTCCAGCGTCTTGACGAAGAGGAAGGCGTCAAGACAGTCGTTGGCGAGAATGGTGCGATTTCGATAGAAGGTGGAGAAGAAGTAGGTGGTGAAGCGGAAGCAGGCAGTAGCACGAATGCTGGCCCTGGTAAGCCCAAAAAGCCCCTTGCACCGAGGCAACTGCTGGAGCAGAAATATCTGGAAAAACTACGCCCTTTTCATCTCCAAATTGAAGATCTGCACGACGGTGGTAACGATAAAAGAAGTCGAGGTAAGAACAGCAAACAGGACACGGCAACCGAGGCAGCAGACACAACATCTCCAGCAACCACAGATGCCGCTGACCTCATCATTGAGCGCTTTAGTATCTCTGTCAAGGGTCAAAAGCTGTTTGACGACGCGAAGTTGCAGATCGCGCATGGTCGACGATACGGTTTTCTTGGTCCGAATGGTCGTGGAAAATCGACCCTGCTCTTACACATTGCAGCTCGTAAATTTCCCCTGCCTAGTACTTGGGATGTGGTGTTAGTGGAGCAAGAGGTCGACTCCTCAGATACGAGGACAGTAGTCGAAGAGGTGCTTTTCGCAGATCAAGATTTAGAACGATGGCGAAGAGAAGAAACTGAAGTGTTTGCGAAATTAGAACAACTTTGTGGACGAGAAGAAGATGGAAGTGAGAAACAGACATCACCCACTCCTGAACAAGCACAATCCGCAGCACAAGAAACAATTGATCTGGAATCCCTAGTGGCACGAGCGCAGCAGCTAGGGGACTTATTGGCTGAGAAGGATGGGGCAGAAGGTGAAGTTCGGAAGATCTTAGCAGGTTTAGGCTTCACAGATGCTCAAATGGACTGGCCAACAGATCGCTTTTCAGGCGGATGGAGAATGCGTATGGCGATTGCGAAAGGTCTAATACTATTGAAGTTTTCTAGTGTATGAACAAGAGTAGGACTCTCACTCTCACATTGTTTTCCATTCGTCAGATGGGTTTCACCAAAATGGTGCGCACTTTTATGTTCTAGTTCATCTTACACTTACTCTCGAATCTAGTACACAACCAACTCGAACCCGCACTCAGGTCTCTTCGTCCGCCCCAAGCTTCTTCTTCTTGACGAGCCTACAAACCATTTGGACCTCGAAGCCGCTTTCTGGCTTGAGGACTACCTGTCCAAGTATCCACACACCGTTATCACGGTTTCCCACGACGCCGAATTCCTAGACTCGGTTTGTACGGACATCATGGCCCTCACTGAAAACAGCAAGTTGCTCTACGCCAAGGGCGGATACAATGCGTACAAGCAAAAGCGGGATCAAGAACGCGCTTCGGCGTTGAAGGAGCTGAAGAAAGCGAATCCAAAGGCGACAGCGGCAAGTTTGAAACTAGGTGCGCATAAAGAGTATGTGGTAAATTTTGCTTTTGCGGGTGGAGCGGAAGAGCGAGGAAAAAACTCCGTGGCATTGGGGATCGGCGTGAATGACGTCAGTTTTGGCTACAACAAACGGAAAGGGTACGATGAATCAACATCAACAACCTCCACCAACAAAACAAAAACCTCCGCCTCTACCGAAAGTGCCGATCGCTTTTCTTCTTTGCTCTTTGACCGCCTTTGCCTGCGTGTAGATGAAGATTCGCGGATTGCTTTAGTTGGGCCTAACGGCTGCGGAAAGAGTACGCTTTTGCGATTGTTGATGAAGATGATCGATCCCACAGAGGAAGCTGACCATTTTAGAGGCGAAGGCAGCGTGGATCATAGTCGAGGTCTGAGAATAGGCTACTATTCGCAGCATTTTGACGAACTTCTACCGTTAAGCGATGCCACCGCAACCTCAAGCAGTAAAGCTCCAGCACAAGCGCCAAAAGGAAAAGCTCGAGGCCCACCCGTGCCCTGTAGTTCTACCGCTTGTTCCTTCCTCCAGAAAGAGTTCAATCTCACCGAACAACAAGCAAGAGCTAAACTCGGCAGCTTTGGCCTACCATCGAAACAACACTTGATTCCTTTGACCGAATTGTCAGGTGGTCAAAAAGCTCGTGTCTGCTTTGCCAAGATTTGCCTGTCCAAACCCCACTTGTTGATCTTCGACGAGCCGACGAATCATTTGGATATCGAGTCCGTCGAAGCCTTGATCGAAGCCCTAGACGAGTACAAAGGCGGCGTTATTCTAGTCAGTCACGATGCAAGACTGGTCCAAGCTTTGACATCTTCGTCAAGTAATAAAAATGATGCGGCTCCCGCGGATGCAGTCGTGTACAGAGTGGGGAAGACGAGTGCGGGTGCAGCAACTGGGTTGGAGGAGATCAATTTTCGATCGTATGTGCGACATGTCCTAAACGAAATTGAGTTGCGAGCATTGGCGATGCAGCAGAAGCTGGCGGAGAAGCAGCAGAGAGCGAAGCAGAATCGCAAAGAGTTGCTGGCAAAGACGAAGCACTTGAAGAAGAAATAATCGCTGACTTGGATTTATTCCATTCTTCACTACTTTTTCAAGTACGATGTTGCCATGAGCAAATAAACATCTCACAACCACCACCCCGTAATTACGAGAGTATAGCGCAACTTTCTTCATCTCGAAGTCGAGAAAAGACTTGATCGACGTCATCGTTTTTTTCGAAAATTCGTGTCCGTTTTTGCAGTTTTTTTTTGGTGCACGTTTCTTTCGAAAAGTTTAGTATCGGGTAGAACACGAACAGAGACGAGGATCACTCAGAATCCACTCACTCTATTGTCAATGGCAAGAACGTCGGTCCTCACTTATCGTTTTTTGTGAGTTCGGTCGTAATAGAAAATTCGTTGTGCTGGGCATAGATGACAGACGCCGCTCAAATCTATAGTTCATGCATCTGTTTTTCGATCGAAAGTCACGAGTGACAAACACTTCGTTGAACCGAGGACGGGCATCAGATTCGGGCCTCAGGAGAGCTTCCTTTGCAGGAAAAATATCAACGGATTGTACAGTAGGGATAACCACGTAAAAGCGATAACAGTGTTTGTCTAGTAAGTATCTCTTTCGACAATTCGCGATCATTCTAAACTTCAAAAAACAAGACTGAATGAAAAATATGCCGCAGGTTTTTTCCCTCGTCTTTGCAATACTCCTGCATCTGTGCAGTCATGAAAGTGCTGCCGTGCACGCCAGAAGGCAACAGATGCTTCGACGCGAAGGAGCAGTTGAGGCGCAGCGCTCACCGCGAGAAGTAGATGATGAACGGGCGAAGAAAGATGTTGAGCCCGGTATCGACATTTTCGTGGACGACCAGCAGGAAGTAGACCCATCTTCTACTTCATCCGCCCTGCAGCTACAGGAACGTGCGCGTCCAGCTCTCAGCCTGGATCTCGCAGCGTTGCGTCCACGAGCCGATGACGCACAAGATCAACAGCAACCTGCAGCTCAACAAGAACAACACGATGATGTTGAAGATGACAGCAACAGCTCAGATAGCGATAGCGCAGAGGATCATGAATATGAACAATCTGGGCATCCTCATGACGATACTGAAGTAATACTAGCACACGCTCAACAGCTACATGATATTGATGACAGAGAATTAGAAGCAGCCGAAACAGGCTCAGGCCATTTTCATCAACTCCAACAAGAAGTAGCTCATCAAAACCCGAACGATCAAGCAGACAATCCTATCATAGAGGAAGTGGGGAGACCGCTAAATACAGAAGATGTTGAAGTAGAACATCGCACAGAGGAGGTGGATAATCAAAAAGCAGAAGTTGTTGCAGTAGACGAGCACAAGCTCAAAGAGCATCATGATCAACAAGATCAGGATGAGAATGTTGATGAAGTTGTAGTAGAACAAGATGAAGATTCATCCTCACAAGAACCGCAACATCAGACAAACGATGACGAGTTCTGGTATGAGGATCAGACTTGTGCTGCGGCAGATCAGCTTCGATTGCAGGAGAGCGAGTTGAGGGCTAGAGTAGATCCGTTGACGTTCCAGCTTCGTGAATTGTCGCACATTCTCGATCGTGCAGAGCGAGTTGCGAAGCAGAATGTTGCAGAGACGAAGGCCTGGAAGGAACATGATCCTGACTTTCAGTTATGTTGGTCATTTTTAGTCAATCTCTCGCTCTCCTCCACACAAAAGCAAAAGAAGTTTTTTTAAGTCATTTTCGAATGGAGACTCAACGTGCAGCACGCGCACTTGCACATCATCAACATCATCATTTCCCTTCCTCCCTTTTTCATTGCCCCAAGCGCACCGCGACGCCGTGAACGCTCGCGACTGTCTTCTTTGGCTTATCGATCGAGCTGAGTCATCCATAGTTGCTGCGAGCAGGAGCAATGCAGATAGGGCTCATACTCTGAAGGGAAAAGCGATGGAGAAACGCGATGAAATATGGGGATTGCAGAAGCGATATCGTGCAGTGTTTCACGCTTTGGCGACTCCGCACTTTCATCGCGACATGCCACGAACTCAGAAAACGGCGGAATCTCTAGAGACAAAGCTTGATCGTGGAGCTTTTAAGTCGGGCATGGAGGAATATCAAGCGTTGCACAACCTGCAAGAAGAGGAAATGTATTTTCAAGTTTTGTGAAGCTCATATGCAATTCGCACCTCGAAATCGAATATTCATCTAAGTAATAAATATCCAACTCCAACCACTGCCACCCTTTGTTCACAGAATCGGACACAACAACAAATTCGGCGACGACTCAACCGACAAGAACCGGCTGTCCTCCAGCACCACGCCAAATGAGAAATCGATGTTAGACTTGGTCGATGAGACGGAGTCGTGGCTGGATAAGCAAGAGCACGTAGCAAGTCAAATCCATGAGGAATATCGTGGCATGCGTGACGACTGGGAAGCAGCGTATAAACAATTGCCGTTATGGACTGAAGTTCTTGCACCCAGAGCTAGATAGCTGCGACGTAAGCAAAAGCAGTGTTGATGCCGTAGTGAAATTTCCTCTCTTCTCTTTTCGTTTTCCGTCGCATTCAGCCAACAATGTGCTCAAACAACCATGATAGTCGCCCCCTCTAATTCCTCAAGAGGTTGAAGCTTCGGCGACGAGTAAGGACTACGCGAAGGAGACGCTCGAGGGTGCTTCTGCACTGGAAAAATTGCGACGTGTAGTGCCAGGAATCATCCACAACACAAAGAAAAAGTTGATGCAGATATTCGAATCAACATGATTCGACATGAACATGGAGTTCATATTACCGGGATTTTTAGTAGAAGTGAGGTATGCTGCACAGTGACAGTGGTCATCGAGGACAAGAAGCGAGTAGAGCAACATTTGATAGACACTAGTAGTGTGATGCAACACCAGTCGGAAATTAACAGCAACATGAGATTTTTTGTGACAGTGACACACATGTGAAGATTCCCCTCATCACAATAAGCAAGAAATGCAACAGTTTCCAAGAAAAAATTTAGAAGATTGCCGTTGAAATCGAAAGTACTAGAGATAACCAGTTCATCATCTCGAATGAGAGGAGGAGATGCTTTGCGCTTGCGGACTGATTCCTAGCGCATCATGTTGATGCTTGGTATCAAAAAGATACAAGGATACTAGAGATGCTCACGAAAAGCCAGAACATCAATTTTTGCATGACAGCTACAGAACCGCAACTGAATATTTTGGTGCAACTGAAACAACAAATACCTTTGCTCCACGCTTTCTATCAGCGAAGTTTGCCTTACTGATTCGCATGCTTCTACCGCAAGTATTGCTGCAGCGCGGCGCCCAGTCCTCCACACATAGTGTCGCTGACTGTCTTATGTCTCTATACTATTTCCACCGAGTTACTATCCTGCTCCTTTCTTCAAAGTTGAGTCACTCCGTGAAAGAGGTACTTCCGAATACGACCATCCTGTCTACACGCACGTGTGCATCTGTGCAATAGGGCTAGCCACTACCGCATACAGACACGACTGAGCCCTTGTCCGTGTTGCTCTACCACCCGCAGATCTGCTTGCTAGCACCACGTCACGGACGCGACGGTCCACCATCACTCCATGCGCTATGATCAAGCACGACTATATGACGCAGTGTCCTGCTGTGATGCTTCTTTAACTCACCTCTCTTCCCATTTAGTCAGAAGAGAGCACTCTCGAGGATGGTTTTCGAAATCGCGTCATCAACATTCACAAATTTCATATTTGAAAAATTTAGATTTATTTGAAGTTCAAAAAGTTGATAAAATCATGTCGTGATCCCTGACACGGCGAGATGCTCCACCTGTGGGAGTGCCCTCGGCCTCCCATGAGGAGGTTCATGTCGGCTTGTAGTTTCGTCTTCTTCCTACATGGAGGTTTATCCCAGAACTGCAATGCTGTGGCCGCACTCAGCCTGCATCGGTTGGATCCAGCCTCGGCCGCAGAGGCTGTGGAGGCTATGAAGAAGGAGATCGAAACTGAGACGGCCAAAGCAAAGGCAGCAGCTAAGCATGCCTTAGAATCGCGTGATCTAGTCAAGGCGACGGCCAAAGCGGAGAAGGCCTTTCAGGCTGCGCACACAGCAGAACTAGAGGTTGAGCGAGCACAGCCAGCGAAAATTTTAGCCCAAGAGCAGTTGTCCAAAGTAGAGCAAGCGTTGCATGAAGCGAAGGAGGCGAAAGCAAAGATTTTGGGAGGAGGAGGTGGTATCACTGATGGCATCATACCTAGCATATCTTAGAAATAGTAGGTTGCCTGCAGTTCAAACGTAGAAACTGGTGCAGATTTGATCCATTTTTCTTCTCCGAATCCAGTTAATCAACCACCTTCGTTCCAGGTGATTCCAAAACCCCTGGGCTTGTCCGAATCCACTTAATCAACCACCTTCGTTCCAGGTGATTCCAAAACCCCTGGGCTTGTCCGAATCCACTTAATCAACCACCTTCGTTCCAGGTGATTCCAAAACCCCTGGGCTTCTCCAGAGCGCTTCAGGCATCGTTTCTTCGGCTGTCAAGTCCGCTCTCGACGCCGCTATGGCTGAGGCACAGAAGGATGCTGATAGCCTAGCGGCGCAAACTCTCGATGTGCCGCCGCCGTCTGAGGAAGAAGTGACAAAAAAGCGGAACAAAGCCGTTGCGGCGTCTATTCAGCCGTATCATCTGGCGATCATGCAGCACCAGCGGTTGGAACAGAACAAGCTAGCGCAAGCGAAGATTATGGCTTCTGTCAACAATTCCTTTTGAAATACTAGATGTCAACAATTATTCCTTTTGAAATACTAATACTAGACTGTGACAGACTGACAGAGGTCAACACAGGCAGGCTAACATCCTGATTTTGCAAAAGTCTTACGTGCGGATTATCCATATTCAAATCCCTGATTTCATCTTCTCTCTCCTCTTCTAAAGCCCAAGCCCTTGACGATATGACCGCCCTTAAACAACAAGCAGAGCAGACCGCCACCTGGGCCACGCAATTGCAGCAACGTGGATTAGTCCGTAAGGCGTTTGAGGAGATGGCTTACGCCCGATCTATGATGTGGCAAGCAGCGAACTTGCAGGAAAGGAGTAAGCAACTAGAAAACGAGGCTACTGCGACTGGGGCAGCAATCCCAGATATCCAGATGAACGAGGCTGCAATGGCAGCATATACAGATACGATGGAGAAAGCAAGGTGAATGCTATGCATAGGAGAAGGGGATTTACTTATAATATTTTCATTAAGTCTTGTTCGTGTTTGATTGGGTTGTTGTTTTTTCCAGACTTTGAATCCATCGAAGTTTACCTTGATATCTCATTCAACGAATTGGGTATGCACAGGTGCTGGAATATGAAAGCAGAGCACTGCACAGTGGATTTTCTACCCTTGACGTAGCTCTGGGGATTAGTTGCTCTCGTCACAAGCAACACATAAGAAGGAAGGTATACGAATGAGAGGGCACCACTAAAGTGAGGACGGCCGTATTGATTCTAAGCACCACAAGATCAAGAGTAAGAGACACAGTCCTAGTTACAACTAGTCGAAACCAGCATGGCTAAAAGCAATCTTTTTTCAGTGCTTATTCGAGCGACACAAGAAATACAACAAACTCGAATCGATGAAAAAATGCCCAAAAAGAGGCGCCTCCAAAAGCAAAAGAACCGAAGAATAGCAGTTAGAGACAATACAAGGTAAGATATGGACGCTGTCGAATTGCTGACATCGAAAAATTGAAGCAGCAAAATGAAAGCGTCGCTATGCTTGGGCGTCTTCGATGTACTCAGTACAACGCTCAATTACATGTGACACTCAGTTGTAATCCTTCATGCAAAATAAAGAAAATCTTCATCTTCTAATTCTGAATATTAACACCCAAGGCCAAGTAGACCATGTTTCCTCCTCGCGGCACGGACCCTTTCGAGACCTCGCTTCAGGGTCTTTCCGTCCTCGTTCAGGGCGGACGGGATGACAGCAGCCAGTCCTCGGGTCCTAGGAGTCGTGAGGCTGCGGGGAACAGTCGAGACGGCATCTCGTCTGGAGGGTCGTCCCAGATCACACCGGATGATCGACTCGAACGGTCGTTGAGAGGTGAGTCGCAGTTTATCGCAATTCACTCCGCTGAGGTGAGCAAACAACTCCGAAGCGCGGAACAGCCCAGACCGATGAAGAGTCCGCTTCCGAAGTCTTCAATCGTGAGCGGGGAGAAGACCTACAATTCTTCTGCATCTCCGTTGCAGAAAATCAAAGGTGCTGCCACCTCTCTTGAAGATGAAGTAGCCGACATACTATCGAGTGTGGCGTCGCCTCTGCGCGCACGTGGATCGCGAAGAAACAGCACAGTGACGAAGGCTGGCAGCGCACGGAAAGGGAAACTGGATACCCACGCGCCAGATCATGGGTCGACGTACTAATTAGCGCTAGAAGTTTTTAAAGCTCAGCATTCAGTGGTCACTGACTCTGAACGGAAGACGAGACCCCCATCAAAACTCTCCCCTTTCCCTTCGTTTTCCCCTGTTCTCTCAAGGGGTCGCCTCTTCGATCTCAGTGACCAACCCCACTGACCACTGAGCGCTGCGCTTTAAGTAGTGGTAGAAGTAGAGGTAGAAGAAGCTGCTGGGAGCAGTGGACGACTACAAATTTGTATTTGACTCTAGTAGTTTCTTGATTCTTAGCTAGCAGTGCCAGTCGACGATTACAAATTTGTAATTTCTACTAACAAGGTTTCTTCCACCCCGCGTTTCGGCGTCTGCTGCTTCACAGCAGCTTCCCTCAGATTCGGATTTGCTGTGGCTCGGCAACGGCGTCTCTCCAGCGAAGCCAAGTCCCATTGCAGAAGGCGGAGAAGGAGATGTTGTTGCTCTTAAGACTGCGCAAAGTGACGTCGCCACTACTGAAGATGCAGAACATCAAGTTCATAGACCTCCATCCTCGGCTACCTCAACGAGACCACCAGCTGCGCTACCAGCTACCACTACATCATCCTCAACGACGGCCACACCCGTAGCGCGGAGCAGTAAGTGGGGACCGGGAATCGATCCGGATCTGCAATTGCCAACAGTTGGCACAGCTTCCGAGTCGGACTTGACGGGAGCCCTTCGTGGTTTAGTGCTGGCGTCGCCACCATCGAGTGGGGTAGTATCTTCTGCTAAGGGTCTCGAAAAAGTAGCAGCCAACGCAGGGGATGAGGAAATCGGTCACGATCGAAGCGATGAAGACGAGGAGGATGATGAACTCGCACTAGATCAAGCCCCCGACCGGTCAGAAGAAGATGACACTTCACCAAAACCAGAACTGCAAAAGGCACGAACAACTACGCCTTCTTTAGACCAAGATAACGTCGACCTTTCCAAGAGCATAAACGACTACAGATATGGTGGTTTTCGGGCTGTAAACAAAGATGCTCACATGAATCTAGTCCGCCCCAAAGGACCAGTATCTCGTGAGACGGTCGAATCCATGGTCTTTCTTTCGCCAGGTAACGAGGCAGGAGGTGAAATCAGGAGTAAATCGCTGCTGGACTCACTGGACGCACGCATAGCATCGATGCTCGGAGGACATCCAGCTGACACCTTCAAAGAGGATAGTCCTGCGGCAAAGGCACGCAAACTAGTGAACAGGGAAATGGAGAAAATGACTGGAGTAAGAGGCGATGGGGGGAGGACGAGGATGGAGGAAGACAAAGAAAAAGAAGAAGTGGGTGTGCATGTTGACGAGCAGAGCAATGTCTTTCAAGATGGAACAGGAACAGAGGGTGATGCTGATAGTCCGCTTCTGAAGACATCTTCTAGTAGCAAAGATCTCTTCCGGAGTTTCGCTAGCGGAGTAGAACAAGTAGATAAGGAAGAGCCTACAGATGAACTAGCACTAGGTGCATCGCGACAGGCACCGCAAGAGGACACCCGCAAAGACCACGATGATTTTGGGACACCAAGAGCCGGCGACGTCGACGCTCTGAATGAGTCAATCACAAATGCTCTAGCTGCACAAGAACTCTTTCCATCTTCTTCGACTGACAAGCCTCCACCACTGTCTCTAAACTACAAAGAAGGGACCAGGACCACTAATGACAGCATCAATCAAGAAGAACTTCGACAGAAGAACAATTTTTCTCTCGAATGTCAGCACGATGGTGAAGAGGATTCCCTATCCCCAAAAATCGCGGCTTCGCAATTCAGCACCGCGCGACGCGGTACCCCGCAGATGGTCTTACAAATGAGTCCGGAAGATACTGCGAGTGTGGCTCATGATAATGTCGCAGCGGAGATGATGGACAATATGATGGACGACTTGAGCTGTTACTATTCAGCCACGTTTGAGCCGGAAAGTACAACAGCCTTGTCTTCGGCGCTTTCAGTCGCTGACGCGAAAGAGGCTGAAGGTTTGGATTCCGACAAGAGGCATGTGGATCTGAACGAGGAGACTGGTCGGACAGCAAGCCTCCACCCAGAACAGCAGCAGACCAAGACAACAAGTTCTCCTGGTCCTCTTGCGGCCGACTCATCATCTGGACAACTCAATCAGGACCTCCAAACAAAAGAACCTCAGCAGCAAGAACAGATGATAGAGCCAAATCTAGTCTCTATGAGTTTAGATCTTGAGCCCGATGTCCGTACATTCTTGAACCACTGCGCAACGGCGACTGCCAAGTCACATCAAGCAGGAGGAGCATTCGATGGGAGCTTAGTGATGCTGAGTAAATCTTTTGAACGAACACATGATGAAACCGATATGCTCCAAGCGCTTGACAACATGCGATCAATATCCTCGTCTAGACCACCGGAGGACGACGTTGCAGGCGATACTGTTGGTGGAGTGGATGACTACATTCAACACAGTAGCCTCCACTTCTCCGATCTGCCTTTGCCAGGTGATGCCACGACGACTAGAAGCCACAGTGAGGACGACGAGAAGCCACATTCACTACAACAATACGGCAGCATCCTTCGCAAACAAGCGTCGAGTAACCATGACGTCTCAACACGGGAGGGGGAGCTGAGCGACCACGTCACTCCAGTTGAGAAATTCACAAGTTCTGCTAGCACAACGTCCAGTGTCCAGTCCTTCAATAGAAGCACGTCCTCGTCTAGGCTAGCTCTGCCAAACACGCGACAGAACAAGCCTCAACCTTACCTACCAAACGTGCTACATCATCAACCTGGGGTTGCTGGAGGTGCTGGTGCTCATGATAGCCACATCGATCCCGTAACTGGCGGCCCAACACGATACCGCACAGTGCGAGCACCGAGAAGAGCACAGCACGAAGCGCATGCAGACAGGATGCGAAGGGCTAGGTCGCGGTCAGACGCATCTTCAGGTGCCGGCAGCTCTGTGGCGTCAAGCACTCAACAAATGAGGAAAGGTGCTGCAGCTTTGAGAAGAAATAATGTGACAGGAGGAACTGGGCCTGGGACGGGCACCGGAAACGGAAGAGGAGGCCTAGCGCTAGCTGGAGGCACTAATCGGTCAACATCACAAGCAATGCTGCTACAACAATCATCTCAATCTGGTGGTCAACATCATCGAGGAGCAAGAAACTCCATCTCAACATCCAAGGCTCCGTCACCCGCAGCATCGACGCCTTCTTCTACTAAAACCGGCAACTACTACAACAGCGCGGCTAGCACGGGGCACTCTTTTGGCGGTAACTCGACTACGAGAAGTCGGGCCAGCAGCAATACGAGGATACCAGTCCCTGCACCAGAGTCGTCTTTGTCTACTGCCTCGAGCACCGCGAGCTCACTGATTCAAGCTGCGAACAAACAGGGAGGGACTAAATTCGTATCAAAGATCCGACCTCGCGGCTACTCTACAGAGGCTGCAGGTGGAGGCGGAGCCTCTTTAGCTGGTAGGAGAAGGATCCACACAGGGGATCAACACCTGCTGAATAGTATTAACAACAACAATTTTCTTCAGCAAAACGAGATGAAAGGTCAAAGCACAACAGCAGAACCAGCAGGAGCGCCTCCACCTACTTCATCATCATCATCATCAATCTCAGCATCTTCATCTGGCAGAACCGTGAACAAGGCCGAAAATGCTCAACATAACGTCAAAACGATATCAGACAGAGAAACAGATACAACAACTAGTACTCAAGCTCTGCCTACGTCCACCTCTGAAGTCCCAGCAATGAGCGAAACGAAAATGCATCGTATGGCTGATGCAGTGTTAGCGGCGCCTGGCCTACCTGAAGAACTGAAAGATGATCTCCTTTCGCTCTTAAAGAACAGCACAGCTCCAGCTCCTCAAATCGATGGTGATGATGCGGCACCTGGCGCAGGATTTTTTGTTGCAGCGACCGCAGAACCCTTACACGACGACGCGGTGGATAGTGTTTTGTAGTTGTAGAGAAGTGCAAGTGGTTGATCGTACCACATGATCAGGTACCAATGATTTTCTTTAGCGTGGACCGCGAGCTATGTTTGAGTGGTGAATTCTAGTTTGGATAAGGACGCACGATAAAATGAATCATCACACCCGATTTAGATTGGACAGGGCAACAACTATGGAGATTGTCCAAATTTGAATTATGTAGAGTGCAACACAAATTAATAGAAGACAGGCAATGAATACTATGATGAGAGAAGCAGGAGATGCAGATGAATCTGAATCATCCAGCATATTGACATTGAGGGATTTGCAATACGAGAGACAGAGAGTGTAAGCTTTTGTATCAGTATCGGTTGTTTTTGGAAGATCATCGAGAGCACCCATGCAGGAGCATGCGGATGTTGGAGGGGATGGCAAGCTTCCCTTTTTCCCCTGATCTTGACGTTGACCTTAAATTCTCAACATATTTATTTTGTGGGCCAGCCCTCGCTTGAATCTTGGCGCTGGCTCCATGGGGTTTGATGTTTATTTTTCCTCTGCTAAGTTTTAGTTTAGGCATTTTTACTTTTCTTGTACAATGTTATTGTTAGTCTGGTGATCAACATTATGTTATTGTTAGTCTGGTGATCAACATCTACATCTACTGCCTTGAAGGTATCAAGATCGAAAGTAGTTCTTCATGCTATTGAGAAAACGTGAACGAGAACGTTGACGTTCGTATCTAACACACAGTAAAAGCACTGTAATTTTTAAGCATCCGAAAAAATGTCGTCTCAGTCCTCGACGCGTGTCGCCAGCGTTGCTGGGCATGTGCTTGCTGACGTCCCTGCGCAATGCAAACTCCTGGTTGCTAACCGTGGTGAAATCGCTTGCCGCATTTTCCGTGTCTGCAAGATTCTGAACATCATCTCCGTCGCCGTCTACACCAAAGAAGACAGCGAAAGCAACCACGCCTTGGAAGCTGACGAATCTTACCTTCTGGAAGGCACTGACCCTGTCGCACCGTACCTGAATGTCGAAAAGGTAATAGAAGTCTGCAAGTCCGCAAACGTCCATGCTGTGCATCCAGGCTACGGCTTTTTATCGGAGAATCCAGCTTTCGCAACCGCGTTGGCAGTGGCTGGTGTGCTGTTCATCGGTCCACGACCTGATGTATTGGAGACGTTTGGGGATAAAACAGCCTCCAGGAAATTCGCCGAGGAAGTGGCAAAAGTCAGTGTCGCTCGTGGATCACCTGTGCTGAAAGACGCCAAGGAAGGCCTCGCTTTTGTGTTATGGTCAACATTTAGTGTCTATCATTCTCGGCATAGATATGTTCCGCTGTATTCTTCTCATGAATATTACAAGGTATTAAAAGTGGTCAACAAGAAAAGGGACCCCCCGAGATACAATCTAGCAGACTCTAATTGTGAAAGAGAAGAAGATGACCCTACCTTTGCTCCTCAAAGCGGCGAATGGAGGCGGAGGGAAAGGACAGCGAATTGTGCGGAAGCTCGAGACCTTTGAACAAGACTGGCAAAAATGTGCACAGGAGGCGGAGATGGCTTTCGGAAAGGGCGAAATCTTCGTCGAGGAGTACATAGAGAATGCTAGACACATCGAGGTGCAGGTGATTTGCGATTCGGTGGGGAATTTATGGAACTTTCAACTTATCTCAACCTTGTTTCATCTAAGGATCTATGTTGATGGAAAGCTGTAGATGTAGTCTAACGGTCTATGCTATGATTGAAAGCTGTAGTACTAGTACGTGCACAAAAATTCATGATCATGATTTGGATTTGAATCAAAGTTGCTACTCAACCACTCACCTTCTAAGTTCTTGCCTTCACGCCTTCGAGCGCGACTGCTCTTTGCAACTGCGGAATCAGAAGGTTCTTGAAATAGCGCCTGCGCGTGGCATCTCCGCTTCCTTGCGCAAGGAGCTCACTTCTGCGGCTTTGCGGTTGTGTCGTGGTATCGGGTACATGAATGCGGGAACAGTGGAGTTTCTAGTACAAGGAGAGGACCTAGCTACTGCGAATAGATACATTTTTCTCGAAGTCAACCCTAGGATTCAGGTGGAGCATACGATCACCGAAGAGCTGACAAGGTTGGACTTGATTCAAGCGCAAATACGTGTAGCATTTGGGGAAAGTCTGGAAACAGCTTTATTCAAACATTTACGGCACAGGATTTTGGGATTTTGAGTTTGAGTTCTACTGGTTCCTTCTCGTACTCGTAGGAAGGGTGCTTACTCCACACCTTCACAAATATATGAATCCATCAACATGCCTTCGCCTTTGCCTAGAAAGTCTAAAAGTTGAATCGTATCTTCTCTCTCCCTCTCTCTTTCTTCCTTTCTGTAACCTAAGCTTCAACGAAAGCGGAGGTGAAGAACCAGCCGTCCACGTTTATTACACCAGCATCAGTCAAGAGGATGCTGGCATCTTCAACGCTCACAACCAAGACTGCACTTAAAGAGAGGCAGAATACAACTGTCGCGAAAAAATTTTCCGACAAGTTGCAGGAAGAAAGGATGGTTTGCGGTAATGATGGCAACAATGCTGCTGCACAACTCCGCATTAATTTGCTGCCTGGCGCTGTGGCGAAGACCTTCAGCGTGTACCAGCCGCCACCGAATGTTAGAGTCGACACTGGCATTCGAGAAGGAGGTCCGATCGTCACGCATTACGACAGCATGCTGGCGAAGCTGATTGTAACGGGGAAAAATGAGAAGACGCTCGTCGAGAACTGCCTTGCAGCTTTGGATAATTTCAAAATTGAAGGGGCGTCAGTGAACTTGGATCAACATCGAAAAATCTTGAACCACCCAGATTTTTTGGCAAATAGGGTCTTTACAACGTCTTTAGCGGGGATTCTCGGTGGTAAGAAGGGTGGTGGTAGCGCGGGTGGCAGTGGCAAATCGGAGTCTACATCGTCTAGTAGAAAAGAGCTAGGACGTGAGCAGAAAAGCATCGGCTCTCCTTTACCCGGTCAAGTCGTCGAGATGGTCGTCAAGGAAGGCGACGTGGTAGAGGAAGGTCAGACGTTGTGCGTTATTTCGGCCATGAAGCTACTCAACGATGTCCCCGCGCCTCACAGTGGCAAGATCACTAAGGTTCTGGTCAAAAAGGGTCAAACTGTTGTCGCTGACGACGGCTTGTTCGAGATGGAAGCGATTATCTACGAGGAAGAAGCAAAAAAAGGTTCATCTTCGTCAACAAGAAATGCAAAGAACATCAAAGCAGGTTCTTCTGAGGGTGCATCTTCTTCCTCTTCAACATCTTGTCCACATCAAGGAGCTGACCCACTTGGCGCTTTTCGCACAGTCAGTTCCTCCGACCGCGCAACTGGTAAAACTGAGCAAGCAGAGTATGTCGATGATTTCAGTAGCCCAGCGTTGGGGACGAAGATCAAACCTGATTCAGACCAGTTCAAGAAGCGACAGAAGGTGAACCAAGGGCGCATAAAACTCCTCGAAGACCGCATCGGAGAGGTCCTGCAGTACGGTGGTGAGAAAATGATCGCACGAAATCGCAAACGCGGCAAGTATTTGGCTCGTGAACGCATCCAGAAAGTCTGTGATCCAGGCACTAGGTTTCTCGAACTCTCGCAACTAGCTTGTTTTGACATGTACGAAGGCAAAGCGCACTCTGCAAGTGTCATTTGCGGCATCGGCATCGTCCATGGCAGAGAAACAATGTTCATCGCAAATGACTCGACGATTAACGGTGGCGCTTTTTATCCAGAAACGAGTAAGAAAGTGAACCGCGCTCAAGATATTGCCGAGAAAAACCACTTGCCCTGCATCTATTTCGTGGATGGTGGAGGCGCCAACCTCAATGCGAGCATGTACTTACTTTTCTGAACAAAGACAACTTCATTTTTTGACATAATTCTTTCTGCTAGCCGTAATCCTTGTTCCGCTCATGAACGTGCAAGAACTCTGATTCAAGAACTTCGTACTTAAGTAGGTCGTCATGAACGTGCAAGAACTCTGATTCAAGAACTTCGTAAGTAGGTCGTCTTCACTATAGCGGAACGAAACTCACTCAGGGACTCTTCGAAATCTGGCACTGCTCCGTCTACTGCTTTCGTCTGGGGCGGTCTGCAATTCAAGAATCAAGCTGTCATGTCCTCAAAACGCATTCCGCAGATTGGCGTCGCCTTCGGTACCAGCACTGCAGGCGCAGCTTACACCTGTGCCATGTGCGACGAACTTGTGATGGTGAAAAAGAATGGCCTCATCTTCCTTGGCGGAGCCCCCTTGGTGCAGGCCGCGACAGGCGAAGTGGCGGATGAGCAGGAATTAGGTGGTGCGGCGATGCATACGAGCAAATCCGGTGTGGCTGACCACTTTGCTGAAACAGAAGACGAAGCTTTGGCTAAAGTGCGAACTATTGTGGAACATTTGTCGTTGCGAAGAAAACTGCCAGTGTTGAACATGGGAATCCAAGGAGGCGGGATCGCGGGACAAGTCATCGATGGAGCTTTGGGCATGATGTCTACTAGTTCTCCGCGGCTTCTTCCCGTCCAGGCGCCGCTGTATCCGAGTGACGACTTACTTGGGATCATTCCCGAGGACAACAAGCTCCCCTTCGAAGTTCGTGAAGTGATCGCCCGTCTAGTTGATGGATCCCGGTGGAACGAATTCAAACCGCGCTACGGCGCTACTCTCGTCTGCGGCTTCGCGCACATCCACGGTTACCCAGTAGCGATTTTGGCGAATAATGGGATGCTCTTCTCGGAATCAGCGATCAAAGCCACGCACTTCATCCAAATCGCAGGACAAAGAGGTCTGCCACTGCTGTTTCTGCAGAACATTTCTGGGTTCATCATCGGCACTCAGTATGAGCAACAGGGCATTACGAAGGACGGAGCAAAGATGGTCACCGCAGTGTCGTGTTATCAATTCCCGAAACTGTGCGTCGTTTTGGGCGGCGCACATGGAGCGGGGAATTATGCGATGGGAGGACCGGCTTTTGACCCGCGGTTCATTTTCCTCTGGCCAAATGCGAAGATCAGTTATGTTGAACACGAACATTTTGTACTTGTAGAAGAAACCACTCGAAGGTTCCTAAGCCTAAATGCCTGCATCACTAGTAGATGTGAACAAATTATAATTTTCACCTCAGTCTTCGTCTTTCCTACATGCGCATCATCAGTAAGATACTTGCTGTAATCCACCTCATATCGCTACAATCTTCCCCTTTCATCCCTCCGTAATGGGCGGTGCCGAAGCAGCAAAGGTCATTATCCAGGTTCAGAATAATGCTATGAAGCGGAAGGGGCAACCAGGTTTACCAGAGGAGATGAAACAAATGTTGATTGAAAAGATCGTGCCAGCTATCGACGATACAGCTACGGCGTATCACCATACTGCGCAAGTCTACGATGACGGCATCTTAGACCCACGTGACACGCGAGATGTATTGGGAATGTGTCTGCAGATTATCGAAAACAATGCGCCTGTGGTAGGAGGACCGAGCTACGGAGTGTTTAGGAATTAACTTTGGATAAAGCCAGTCTCAGTCAGTGTGTGTAAGTGTAAATATGAGCACTTCGGAACAGAAGGTACGGCATCTGTAAAATTCTATATGCTTATGCTCCTCGCGACTGTCAGAGTCCGTCCAATGCCGACTCGACGGTTAGACAACATTTTCCTTTTCCGTTCTTAGTCCATATGAGATAAGAGAAGGACCGATTCTACTTCAAAACCTACACTATAAGTCTTTTTGTTTTTCAATTTCAGTGTGTATAAAAGAGATATACCGATCGTTGATACGAGTAGAGTGTAGAATTTCCATAGTTGATGTTTTTAAGTTTCTTTGCACAGCAAGTTGCCATAGCAGCTGATGTTTGTGTTCGAATCCCTGAGAGGAGATTCAGATGTTGAGAGAAGTCAGACACGAGCATGGGTAGTTTCATTATCACACACGGGAGGTAATAGTACACTCTCGATTTTCCGAGAGAAGAGAGCGACAAGATCATGACGGCTTGTTCATGAGACGGTAAGAGATGGTGTGCCGATTGTTGTGTGGTAAAGGAAGAGAAGACTAGAGGTCTGGCTGTGGTCTAGTAGTGGAACATCAACATGATCGTTACTTGGATCCGCATCTGCATCTGCAGGGCCTTCGAGAGTGTCATTGTAATTGTTTAGGTAATTGATTACAACAGTCGTGCTTCTTGGCGTTGGCTTTGGCAGTCATATTTTTTCCGAGTTTGACACGAATACTGAGCTTGCGATATTGATATACGATACTGAAACTACCACTTAGAGGTGTAACTATAGAGATTATTCTTGATTCAACAATACTGCTCATCGTTTTGATTATCTGACTTGCGCTACCAGTGTTTCTTGGTCTTCAAGATGAAGTGTGTTGCTTTTGCAGTGTCTTTGCGTTGGCCTCGACACCGGCCTGTAAAAGCGAGCGTCACACACGGGAGAACGCAATAAACGATTGGGATTGTTCTGTCAGGTGAAGGTGTTTGGAGGTAGCACGACGGATTTTTAGTCTTGCCCTTCACCTCTCGCTCTCCGGTTATAAGAAAGAAATATATAATTCTGAGCAGCAACCCCTGGTGGTGGAGAACGGTCACAGGGGCACTATCATCCACCAAGTACAAGAATAAATATCAACAACGATTTCCCACCGCTGCCTGAAGATCTCACGACAATGCAAACGCCTCAATTGGCTCAGCGCTTACAGCGAGTGCATAGCAAGTATGCAGATTGCACAATATCGCTGTCGACTGGGGAGTCGATTCCAGCAACGCGCTGTCTCTTAGCAGCCGCGAGTGATGCGCTGGATAAGAGGATAGGGGTACTTGCTTATTTGACATTTTTTTTTTGACTACCCCGCGTAAGCGTATCGTGAGGATAGTTTCACCTAGGAGTAGGACTTACTATCTAAGTCCCGCTGCTGGTGCTGTACCCCTTCTTTACTTTTCGCATTTTACGTTACAACTCCTCACCACGACTCAGACTTGTCCGGCCGGTGGCATAGTGTCGCTGATTGAGCTCGATTCTCTCGAGTGCCTAGAGGAGCTTGTCCGCTACTCTGTGGGCCAACCACCTGTGGACGAGTATGCTGCGAAGTGCGTGGGCAATGCGTTCGGGATCCCATCTCTTGCGAGCTTGAGAGTGAGTACGACTTCGAGCAGTTCGACAGGCTCAGGGAAGAAAGGGGGAAAAGCGAATGGAGCTGTAGGGAATGGAGTTGTGAGTGACTCAACTACTAGTAAGCAAATTCACGGGGATGGGGCAAATTCATTGAATATCAATGCCAACGGAACATCAGGAGCCGGAAAAAAGAGTATCCAGTCATCACCACGCACTAGCACTAGGCAATCAGGATCTATGGGAGGAGGAGCCACGGGCACGTCAACATCATCGTCTTCCGGAAAATTTTCACCTGCTTCCCGACTAAACGCAGCTTTCGGCTTCGTCTCTGAAAAGCTCACCCACACGCTAGACCGCCTCCCAACTGACAGCAACGTTTCCATCCTTTTCTACGACTACGTTGCCAACAGCTATCCAGTTCTTCAGACCCTGGCTTTTGTTGGCGGAATCTCTTGTTGGTACCATGCATGGTTCTACAACCTTGAACAAGGTGGGCTCTTCATGGATGACGTGATGATTAAGAGGAATCTCAATGTGGTGGATCCGCAGTTCGACTGGGATCGGTTGATTCGGACAGATTACTGGGGCTTAGAGATGTTCGATCCCCAAGTCTGGACACACAAATCCTTTCGGCCCGTAACAGTGTACTCCTTCCGCTTTGACTACCAGAACTTCGGATTCGACAGCCACGCCTTCCACCGACACAACATCGTTCTGCACGGGCTGTCGGGACTGCTGCTCGGGTAAGAGGAATTTTTGTAGAGCTGTGATGGTGATGAGAACTAGATAGATGAAGAAGAAGTACAATAACAAGGATAAGAAATCATGCTGCCCTCTTTGACACCTATCCGAATAAAGAACCTCCTCGACTGTATCCCCGCGCCATCCCAATCACCTCAGGTACGTCGCTAACCGAATATTGAAGATGGGCGCTGTGTTTTCGAGCTTGCTCAGCTTCCTCTTCCTGACACACCCAGTACACACGGAATCTCTGCTGTACATAGTGGGTCGGGCAGATCCCCAGTGCTGCGATATCTTCTTGTTGGCGGTACTTCTTCAAATTGCTTACATGATAATGATGATTGACTTCTTTATCAATGCACCTTTCATCAATTTTCTTTCTAGATGACAGTCTCATTCATCAAGGTACTTTTACGTTTACCTTGCACTTGCTCTCCACTAATCTCTGTCTCTCCGCCTCCACCAGATCGTGATCTACGACAGCATGATCCAGAGTGCTCACGAGAGCTGCGCAAAAAACAGGGGCATCGTAACTATGTCCAACCTGATTCGAACCGGCTCATACCTCTTCTTGTCGCTGTTCCTCGTGGTGATGTCGGGTTTCTGCAAGGAGATAGGATTTACGGTGTTCGCTTTGCTGGTGATGCTGGAAGGATACTATTTGCTTGCGCCACCAGCAGTCAGCGTAGCATCTGGAAATGGGGATAAGCCAGTTTATGAGCAAACTGTCCTGTTGTTGTTTTGTGTTCTCTCATCTTCGTATAGTCTCGTGCTCTCGCAGTCCTAGTCATAATATTATACTCTGCTAACAACTACTCGCCCAATTCCAACGCGCTTCTACCACAACATCATCTATTCCCTTGTTCCACTATTAGCTCCTGCCAAGAAGTTTTCTCCTTTCATACCTGAAAAACGGTGAACCAGTTTTTCTGCGCTGCGCGTGTGGCTGCTGTCATCGTGATAGGGACATTGGTGATTATTTGGCGATTCCAGTACACACAGGGTACGCAAATCGCGCGCATGGACCCCTATTCGAATCCGATTGCGGCACACGACAATGCCTATCAGCAAGTCTTATCGTACTGGTATGTCCATGGACGCTACGCGGAACTGTTAGTGTACCCGAAATTCCTCAACTATGACTACAGTATGAACGCAGTGCCTTTGATTTTGTCGCTGACAGACGTCCGATTGCTCCTACCGGCAGCAGCTTACGCGACGCTGTGTGTCGGTACTCCTACAGCTTTCAATCATGATAAACTTGTGTGCCCTTTTCTGCTTCATATTCTCAAACACACGACCACGTACAGTGACATCAATCGACCGTTTACTTACTTTATCCATAGAACTACAGCTACACATTCAATTTCAATTAATTTTTTTCCGACACCCACGAGCGCGACCACCTCCTCGTCAATCTCTTCAGGCGTCCATTTCACGATGCATCAATTTCATACGTCACTCGGACGTGCCAGTGGCTTCGGCCTGGCAACCTTCGCAGTCAGCTTTCTACCGATGTCAAACATCTTGTTTCCTGTCGGAACGCTTATCGCAGAGCGCCTTCTCTACATCCCGTCAGTCGGATACTTGCTAGTGCTCGTAGCGTGCATGAATATGATGTGGCTGCGCTGTCAGAAGTTTGCCCGGCCAACGAGGATACTCTTGCAGACTTCGCTCGTTGCGAGTTTGGTGGCACTTGGTAAGAATCAAAAGAAGTTTATGCTATATATAACACTATCAAACTGAAACATCTTGCTCTATGGAACTTTGGTATTCTTATCCATGCAATGTAGTCCTCCTATCGGACATCTTCATCATCGTGAAACTTCCGAATCGTCCACAGGTGTTTTCTACTGGGTACGTTGTTACGTCCGCATTTTCGACTGGAAGGATAGCGAGACCATCACGGAGGTCGACGGTCTTTCTCAGCCTTGGTCTGGGAGGACGAGTTTTAACATCGCGAACTTGTACCTCTCGAGAAAAGACTACGATCGAGCGCTAGAGGCCTATATTCGTAGTATCAAGAGCGACCCAGAGGAAAGGGATAGCATGCCGCTGTATCACGCGGGACAAATCTTCATCTACAGAGGTGATTGGGGATCGGCGGAACAATATTTGAAGAAGGCGGTAAGACCGTTTTTTGTCATTCTTGGTGATAGGTAAAAACCACAAGAACGTCTCTCTTTGATGACAATAGAGGCTAGTTGCGAACACATTCACTTTTTTTAGGGGTAGACTGCATAAACTTTTACTGATGTTCTCTTTGTCGCTATCGCATTTTTCTCTCCACCACAGACTGACACCCTCCTCACTTCTCCAAATAGGTCGGCGGTTACTTCTCGCCACTTACGCTCGCAGAAGAGGAAGTGTTCCATGATTACGGTATGGCCTTGTGGCATGTGAATAAGGCTCCAGAGTCAATCTACAACTTGCAAGCCTCAATTATCACAAATCCGAATTTCGCGAAGGGATACAACAATCTGGCGTGTGCGCAGGTACAATTGACATCGAAGAAACTTCTTAACTTGAATTGCTGATGACAGCTTTGGAGAACGGAAGCAGTAGTTGCTTTCTCTTACTTAGTCAGAACATGCACTTGTACATTGAATTATCACGCCGCTCCACTTCTTGTTCTTCCACATCTCATCTTCCTCCCACCATCCAGGTCCTCTACGGCCTTGACCTGAAGAACCAGGAGATGGTTAACCAGGGTCTCGGTAGCCTGGAGAAGGCCTTGAGTATAGCACCTGATATGGCCTTGTATTGGAGAAATGCTGCAGTTCTGCTAGGTTTCATCGGAGATCAAGCGGCCTCTAGGAATGCGTGGAACAAGTTCGCTCTGTACGATCCCAGTGCTGCAGTTCAACCCATCCCCGATAACTGTGTGTGGGAGTTCTACTTCAGATAACGAAGGTGTTGGTGTAACGTACGTTTTAAGCTGACGTAGGAAAAACTTGCCAGGTCAATGGTCCAGCCCCGCGGAACAGCTGTTGCCATGATTGATCATCATTGTCCCCACAGGAGCATATTAAAGTACCCTACACTACAACGCGACCCACCCCAAGGCTTTGATTATGCTAACCATGATTCTGGTTAATGGGCTTGACCAGACAGGAAATACCCCACCCCATGAAGTGGCTCATCATTTTTCACTGTATCGAGCTGGTATTGTCTCTCCAGCACCTGGAGACCATACATAACGACTCCAGGGGTATCTATGTGTCGAAAAGATGCGGCCGTGGAAAATCTAGCTAGAAAGCAGTTTAGACAAGCTTGACGCTCACGAGGACATATCTGTAATTGTCCATAGATTTTATTTCAGTTCATCTCACTCCTAACCCTAAGAAGCAAGAGCAAGATTTGGTTCTATCTTTGATACAGTTCTTGTCGAATCCTATGCGCTGAAATGTAGTTTTTTCAGAGCGACGCATTGATAGCATGATCATGATACAGATCCGTGTTGTCAGAAGCACGCTACACCGTGTTGTCAGAAGCGTCCTCCGTTTCGGTCGCCGAATAGATTGTGTATAACGCTGATTTATCGTGCACGAATCACTGAGTTTCACCACTGGATTTTCTACATTAAATAATGAGCTACTTTCCATATTCTTCATCTTCAGGAAATGAAGATCAACAAGTTCTTCTTCTTTCTAGCGTGTGTGTCTTGCGCGATGAATCGATACAAATCTTCACACATGAACAATTATCTGCTTGAGAATATAGAGGAAACTTGATTTCTTGTGAATTGAGAAAAGTGGACGTCGCGATAGGCGCCGTCAAGAACAGCTGTAGTGCGTCCTTCATGAGGTCGAAAAAGTCAGTGGAAATTGCTGGCATGACGACGCCGACAGTGGACTGCAGTCGGGTATCGGTATCCACTATAACTACACATCACGGTGTCTTCAAAATCTTCTCTCACGACAAGGTCAAGCCCAGAGGACACCCTATCCTTGGAGAGCAGCCCCACGCTGATGTGCGAGTGATGGAATAGAGAGATTGAGGCAGTAGAGATCCGCATTGAGGCCGTGACTGCGTAAGTAACCTTTTTTAGTACTCTTAGTTAAGTAAGAAAAGAAAGTTTCTTTGAGATTGAGAAACAGCAGCAGCACAGTAACTAGTCGTGTACGTGCATCTATTCTGTAGAAGTCTGATGTTGTGTCATGATGTTATCGCACGAGTATGCACATGCAGCTCTTCCTGGTGCTTCTCCATATTATGTTGATGAACGAGATCAAAAATGACGCTCGGAAGATTTGGAACACGAGTAGCATGCCCCCTCATAATTACCACGTAGGCTAGTGTCGAAAGACGACCAACACCATGGCCACCACGACGTCTTCATCCTCTTCGTCGTCCACAAGAGGAAGCAACCTTTCCACGAGAGGTGCCTGGGGAAGTTCGAAGGAGGCGTTTTACCAGATCTTGTTGATGGACAACCTGAATGTCTACTCAGTGTTGTCCTTCGAGTCGTGGTGCAACACTGTGAAGGATGGTCTGTGGATGCGGTTGATGAGCATCTACGTGTTGCTCGTCTGCCATGGCGATCCGAGAGGAGCGGGGATTATCCTGTCAGTGTCAGGGTTGACAAGAGCAGGATTGGGAATGTATGGTCTGATGATGCTAAAAGCAAAAAGTTGTTTTCTTCTCCTGTGACAATATTTTCTAACTGATTGATGAAGACGCTTACCTCATAGTTGACGGTAAAAAGCTACACTCGTCATAACAGTGTCAGCGCGTCGACTCTCCAAAGCTTGGCACACTCAAACCAAAACGTGCCCTACCAATCCTCCTCGCGTCATTCAATGATGTCTGGCTGGTGGCGTTTTGGTGGACACCTTCGGTTCGGAAAGCGTCATGCGTCTTGCAGGAGGTTGCGGGATATTCGGGTTGCTCATGAATTTCTTCGTGTTTTCCGGTATGCATGTGGTGCGCCACTACAGTCGTGACATTGCGGATGATTTGCGCGACGGCAGAACAGGCAGTCCGCGGAGTTCGTTTTTATGGGTGAACATAAAAGATGTCATGATGAGTATTGTCGTACAGGAGAAACAAAAGCTTTCGCTTTGTTCGTTGATGGTCCTCATTCTGTCATGATCCATGTATGCCCCTTCTCCCTCCAATCTTCCCTCCCGACAACGCTGACAGCATCATTTCCACAGGCAACATTACCGCTGCAGATGAGCCGATGACTGAGGAAGAGCAGGAAACGCGACTTGCTGTTTTAGTGGTCTTGAATTTCGTTTGGGCAGCTTTTACAGGCTTGAGCAATGTAGGATCCGAGATGGCGTGGGCGCGGTCCGTTCTGTCCGAACGCCGAGTCGATGCCAATCTTGGCAGGCAGATGCTTAACAAGGCGACGACTGCCCTGGGTCCGCTGTTTGCGATTGCGTGTTTTGCGTATCAAGAAAAGGAAATGGAAGGTATGCGTATGGTAGAATGAAAGAATTCCTTAAAGAATGAAACGTCTCCTCGATGCAAGTGCCTATTAGACCACCTACATTTCCTAAAGTCTAACTCCCAATCCAGCCAATTCAACCAGCCTATGGAGCCACCAGAACGCGATAATATGTGGCCTACGGCAAGCTCCACATCAAGCCACTCTCCTGCTCCGAACGCGCTTACACAATGGACTCTCCCAGTCCTCAATGCGGTGATGCTTGTCGGAACATGCTTCACGATTATTCCGGTACTCTGTTGCTTCGTTTTCGACCAGCGGGCTGAGATACGACAGCACGTTTCTTTGCGGGAAGTGAGGAAGCTAGTTTTCTTAGACCCGGAAATTGTGCCGCTTGGCATGGCAGAACGAAATCAAATCGTTAACGCGGCGGACACTAATGGGCGCGAAGATGTTGCCCCTTCTGGTGAGAATCTGCTAGACCGAAATAGTACAGCAGCACAAGAACGACAAGAACTACTAAATCAGTATGCCTCCTCCAGTGCGGATCAGCAGACGCAAAGCAGAACAATAAACTTCAACCCTTCCTTCAGTAAAGAGATCTCGATGAAACAACCTGCTGGCATCGAGATTGGCCAGTACTGTCACAAGGTTACGCTACACTGTGAGTCTCTGACGAAATACAGTTTCGTCGCTACCAGACCAGGTTTCGTGCGGCTGACGTATCCTATTCGTGCTGCTTCCAGGTTTGCGTCTCTTTCCGTGTTGCGGAAATCGAATCTAGAGGAGACGGACTTTATCATAGGAAAGTCATACACTGCGACGGTGAATTTAGTTCCTCTGTTCTTCTCTAGAGCAGGAAGGGCGACGAGTGCAGCAACCAATGTTAAGGCATTGGCGATGAATCAAGGAGCCGATGAAGATAAACGTGCAGCAGATATTGAGGAGAAGAAGCGTGTTGACATCAAGGGTGCTGGTAACGACATGATATCCGGTGAGCAGCCAGACGAGAAAGCACTTGTTCGCAGTGCGCAGGCTCCAAGCAGTGGACGACAAAAGAAGAATCTCATGGACGGCATTCTTGCCCGCTTGTCTGTTGAACAACGTGCCATCCTGACTCGTTTTCACAGTTGGTACCAGCCTGGAGTGATGGATGCTTTATCATCGTCGAGCAGCTCGACAACAGCGCTAACCGCAGCTGGAGATCGGGAGCAGCAAGCAACGACTACAGCGACTTCCAGTACTACAGAAGAAGTCCGCGACGACTTACTCCTAAAAATCCCAGAAGTTGATCCCTTAGTGAAAATTGTCTTCAAAGATCGCTCTCAGGCTCCGTTGCGCGCTACGGTGACGAAGCTGTCTCTGTTTTTGCTGGTGAATGACGAACGAAAAGCGGTCGATACTGATGCCAGCAGCGTTTTGTGCTCCTTATGCCCAGATCGAGATATCGACAAGATAGTTGCCAAGCCACTGCTTAGCGGCATTAGCGACATTGCTTCGTTGCGAGCATTGTTTGTGGGCATCTACAGTTTGAGACAAAAGCTATTTGGAGCAGTGGAACAATTACGAAGTAAGTTTTGCGGAGCGGGTAGTTACTACTTCTTTTGGCGCGCTTCGAACAACAATGACCCAGAACAATCAACAGCCGATGAGCCAGGCACAACTAGTAGGACGAATCTTTTACAGTTTCAGACACGAACACCTACCGCAATGTTACTCAGTAGTGATGAAACTCCAGAGCCAACGAAGTTGAGTCAATTGACAACTCCATTACTGTGCACACCCGAAGATCAACCTGTTTTGAGTTCTTCGAGTCACCTCCTAAGACGGGAGCAACAACGTAGGGCATCTGCATCATCTGGTAGACATGTTGCAACATCCACCACCATCGATGACCCCGAAACAACCGCCGGCACGAGTTCTTCTTCCAAGTTCTACACCCAGCAGCAGCAGCAGCAAGAACAACAACATCATCACATGAGTCCTGATGCCCCAGCACAGTCAACTACGACCCAGCAGTTAGAAGTAGAGGACCACCTTCGTCAAGCCTATGTGAACAGAAAACGACAGTTGAACTCTCAAGTTGCGTCAAGACGGCGACGGGATCGGCAGGCTTTGATGCGTGAGTTCCAAGAGGAACAGGATGGCATGGAAAGCCCTTCGTGGTTACGAACTGGAGCAAGCGGCGCGAGTCAAGGCCTTGGCAATATCGCTGCCTCCACAAGAAGTGGTGCTGAGCAGGGTGACGTGCGTGCAGTCAAGAGTGCTGCGAATCAAGATCGAATGGGGGCGGGAGATAGGAAGGGGAATTTGGGCGCTGGCGCTGCCTCGTCTGATGATTCTCGTCTAGCAGACAAAAAGACAACAGGACAACCCTTGTTGGTTAAGACGAAGACCGCTGGCCCAGCCCTCGCGGAACGAGAGCAGAACTCGGGTCCCGGCGCAGCTTTAGAACGGACGTTTGATCATGCAAGGACGAACGCTCCGCCTTCGGTGGATACCAGCAATGCACTTGTCCAACTCGCACAAGATCCTCCTCTCGTCCCTGAACTCTCACGCAAATCCACGGGTATTCTCAAGTTGGGTGAAAACGTCAGACGGAAGAGAGGAAACAATACTGCGATGTTGGCGAACGGCAGTTTCGGTTCGGCCAGCACAGGGTCTTCCAGTTACAAACCCAATCTTCACGGAGCAAATGTGATTCTCTCTTGCGATCTGCTGAATGCTGTGGCTACTGGTTGTTCTTCAAAGATCATACCACTGTTTCTAGTGCAGGAGTACAATTTCGGGCCACTAGGGGTTTTGAGCATTGCGTTTTGCTCGAATGTGTGCGCTGTTTTTGTAGCACCATATGCGAAGAACGTGATATCGTGGACGAGAAATTACGGCTATCCTGGCAAAGTGGGGGTCTTACTGGTTTGGTATTTTTAGATCATGTTGGCTGAATGTTCTTTGTTTCTGAAAAAAATGACTCCTGCATGATCGTAAAGATTGTCGAAAACTACTTTCTTGTTCAAGAAATACGAGTACCACAAGCTCAAGCACCATCCACCTACCCCTCGCACCAGGTTGTTCGGCATGTTTTTTGTTTTCATCCTTTGCCTTCCGGAACCGCTGCTTTCCTGGGAAGTTGTTGCCCTTGCCGTGACCTTGCGCAATGCCGTAAACGGTGCTGCGAAAGGATATTTGAGGGCGAAACTAGTAGGTTTTTTGCCTTATGATAAAGTTTCTCGCTACATGAGTTGGGACAGCTTGAACAAGGCGTCGCAAGGTGGACTAACCATATTCGGAACGCAGCTGGTCTACTACGGCAGTTATCGTCTCTGCTTCACGCTCACTTTTCTGATCTTGGTTTTGCGCTGGCTGTTGTTTCTACGATTTATCCTGCACGAACATCGAGAACGACTGTTCTTAGGCGGAGGCGGGACCACTGGTGGCAGTTCGTACTACTATCAGCAATCGTGTAGCGTAGCAGCAACACCTACTCGGAGTGGCTCGGGGGGATGGTGTGACTGGCTTAGCGCACTGTTTGGTACCCGGAGAAAGAGCATCGTTGACGGACTACCTGCATCCTCCGCTGATGTAGTCGATGAGCTTGTCGCTACGACTGAGCGAAAGAGGGATGAAAGTAATCCTAATCTCGCTATACAAGAAGATACGAAAGCGCAAAAGCAAATCAAGGACACTCCTACGGTGGAAATCATGCAACGAATGAAACAACAGGCTGCACTGGATGCTGCTGCTAGTGGAGGTTCGATACTAGAGTCTCCAGATCAATATGGAGATAAACTCACCCTTTCCTACCGGTCGAACTCAAAAGCGAACTATGATCGAAGTGTTGTCGTAATCCAACAAGAACCAGTGGACGGCCTTCTAACTGGGGATGACCACTTCTCGTCAACCGGACCAGCAAAAGGAGACGACATGTTGTTATCAGCACAGGCCTCTCCTCCTAACGCTGGTATGCTCTTGTCGAAGAGTGCGACGACAAACCTACGAAGTAATGAGTCCTCTGTGGCTGAATTCGTGATGGAACTGCAGGATGAAGAGGAAGATTTTCGACCACCTCGTGCTTTTCTCAACCTAGAGGACAACATTTTCAACACCCAGTCTTCTAGCTCTACGTCGATGCCATCGATGGCACCAGTGTCATCTTCAGATTACGGTGGGGGTGTAGAACAGCATACGCAAAGTAGCTTGATGAGCATGAAAAATAGAGCTGCGGCGGGCGCAGGTGGGTCGTCAGGGTTTGGGAACGTGAGAAGGAGTAGCTCACCGAAACAGGATTCGGGGACGAAAAGTGGTTTGCTGAATCCGCAGAAAGTAAGCGATCATGCTGAGGCCGCTTCTTCCTCGATGACGCGACGAGTGAGAGACCAACAAGAGCGATTTCGACGTGCATCATTTCAGAAACAAGAGCAAATAAAAAAGAAAAACATGATGCCGATGACCTCGTATGATCAGACTCGGGATCATGGTGCTAGCTCTGACGAAAATTACTCTTCTGAAGACGATAGAGGGCCTAGCGGAGACGGTAGAAGCCACAACCAGCGCGCGGCAATGGCTGACACTCATATCATGAGTATCTCACAGCAAGACCTGATTGACGACCAGGCAGGCTTCTTCACTGACTTTGCGAACAGAAGAGCTGTGGGAAGACGTCGACACCGGCTTTCTGGGACTGAGGATGAAGGTGAGAACATTTACGAGGATCATGATGACGTAGAAATACTCCACGGCGAATCTGAGGATGGCACTGCAGCGATGGCCGCTTACAGCTCAGGGTATAACATTAACAACCAAGCGCAAGTGCAAGCAGACGCACTAGACAATCGAGAACAAACGCCCGATGTTGAACCTTTTCACGATCACCAGAGTGCTGAAATGATACTTTTTCGCGGAACAACAGCTAGCAGTGCCATGTCCGGCTCGAGTCCTCATGACCACAACAACTCATCTACCATGATATCAAAGGAGGAAAGTGGGACCCGTGATGTAATTTTTGAGCCTCACCAAGACCATCAAGCACTAGGTCTAGGGCGCGTGGAGTCCATACCACCGCCTTATCGTCAGCGCTCGCACGCCGATCCGTGGGAGGTGGATGCTGTAGACGCTAGCCCTCCACCACAGCACAGGAGAGAGGTGTAAACCGTAATGGGGGGTCGAGACGCGGAGAACAATTTTGGGTGTGGAAGTTCTCGTAAATCATAAATTACCAAATCTAGTACTATTGATGGTTTTCATGGGCGGGGACGACTACAGGGTCTGGCGTTGGCTCCGACTTTATCCACGGGACAAACACTTCCTCTCCTAGCAAAGCCTTTCTTTAGGTTCAAGTTGTTAATAGTTGCACATCTACACTACGACGCTGAATGGCGCAATGCTAGCTTCATTGGTGCTTTATAATTCACACAGTGTGTGGAAGCTGCTGCGGACGAATGCTTTAAGTCTTTTTTGCGTATGCAGTTCCATCCTTTAGAAATTTGTGTCATGATCACCTGTACTCTGCCGCTTGCTAATAAATGTCAGCAGGAAACAAGATCGCTCATGCCACCATGGCTGAACAAGGAGCTGGAGATTTGCACCTTCTTTACAGAGTAGTACTACAGGGTTTACCGCTATAGCATGATTTCGTCGAGAATTGGAGAGAATTTGAGGCATGCTCTGCTGTTAAAAGGCACCGAATCGTGTCCCCTAAACTTCATTGCGCTCCTGCTTGGCAATCGTTTTTTTTTTCTGTGACGAAGGGCAAATTGTACTGCCTCTTGTTTTTCATGACCCTTCGCACCCGCTCCTGCTCCTGCACTTCTTGATCTTTATGATCGATATTTTCACTACCAAAACAAAAAGACCAAAAACCATCATGTCATCTTCATCTGCTGTGCCACCGATTAACGCTGCCGCACCTGGTGCGAAAGCACCAGTTGTGCCTATTCCGGTTCGAGATTTGAAACTTTTCCTCGGCGTTCTCATCGCTTTTATGGTCTTTTTCATCAGCGTCTTACTGATTACACGAGCACGCGATCGAGCCCGATTTGAAGCAGAGGAAGCCGTGGCAGAAAAGGAGAGAAACACTGGCACGTCGAAAAAGGCGAGATGAAATTGGCGCAGGTGTGAGCATTCTCCTCCAGCAGAATCGGCGATATTAGAAGCTGCTGAGCTGCTGCACGCTTTTTAGATCATGTGTATGTGATAGCTTATAGGTTTAAGTTCTTCAAATTTGATTACAATGATGTAAAAGCAAAAGATGGAAAGCAGGTCTCTCCACGTAAATTTTCCAACATGCGGTTGCTACCAAGCGATGCCAGGAGGCCTGTTCACCTTATGGAGTGATTGAGAGTTCCACTGATAGTCGTGATACAACTAGTTTGAGTGCAACAGCTTCTAGTTTCAGCACCAGAAATAGTTGAAGATGAGATATGGCACTGTTTGACTAGCGAACCTTTTCAGTACAATCTGCTACTTCATCAACAAGTGGAAAATATTTACATACTGGCAGTTCAATTTGCTTCTAGATTCTTCCCCGACCCCGACCCGGCCCTCACTCCTCAAAAATACCCGTTGTTGGGTAACATTTATTCCGGCCCATATCTATAGCTTCGAATGGATACGGTATAATCATGGTGGTGGAAAAGATTTCATCTTTTCTGCATGTCTCAGTCTAAGAGTAGCTAAGAAGATCCTTGCAATTTAGCTCCTCAGTTGAAGAGGAACGAAGCATCAACATTCTAACCAAGAATCACATTGGATATTTATAATTTTTTTATGCAAGAATTTTTTGATTCATCAAGATCATCATCGAGAATTTGAATTTTTTGAATCACTTATCATCAGAAACAAGATTCAAGATGTCTTCCTCCACTGACCTTTGCTCGTCTGCTGCACCCAGACTGTCTTCGAGGTCGCGAAGTACACCAAAGCAGGATGTTTTAATGTTTCGGTCTAGCTCTCTGTCCCAAGCGGGATCCAGAGGCGGCCCACAAGAGACTCCTGGCTATCAAGGGGAGTATTACGACACGTATCTATGTCTAGACAAGATCTTGGATGCGCAATTTCCGGTGAGTGGCTCAGCTCTGCCTCCAGCTTTTTTAAGGCTCACAAAAATTCATCTCTAAAAACGAGTATTACTCTTTAGCATTGATTTCTCTCTCATAGTTCGTTGGTAGCTTCATTCTTGAATTTTGAAACTAGATTATAGGTATTGGTAGAGGTACGTAAATGAAGATGAACTATTTTGAACTGCTGCACTCTAACTTCTTCTGCGAAGTTTTCACGTGGCACGACAACAGCCTCTGCCTCCAGTAGTGGTCCGCTGCCCGGTGCAGTAGTTGGAGGTCCATCTTCCGCTCCGTCTGCGGTTTCAAGTGCTGCTGGTGCTGCTGCAGACGCCTCCGGAGCTCCCTCAACGGCTGCTCCTTCAACTACGTTACCATCTGCATCTTTTCCTGGAGATAATCATAACAAACCTTGGATGAAGATGAATGACATATACGACATGGTAAAAGAGGGCACAGAAGCAGTAAGACTCGCTGGAGTTGGTGGAGCTGTGAACGGGACTGGTGCTGCGGGACACGGACAAGAGCCAAGTTACCTAGGAGTCGGAAGCTCCACCACAGGACCAACTGGTGGATCAGCAGCTTCTTCATCAAGCACAAATACGGGCGTTGGTGGCCCTTTGACGCCTCTCGAGCCTCGAAGTCTCGAAGGTAGACTTATTTCCGGAACATCGAAAGCAGAAGATGCATCCTCAAGCAGGCAGTCACCTGCTTCACCCGTGTCAAAGGTGGGAAGTGGAGGCAAAGCAAATGAACTGCCATTGCCGCAGGATGATGAACAGTTATGAAAAAGTTGAAGATGAACATGAAGTAGTAGTATTGCGTCTTAGTAGTTTTCGATCTTGGATCTACTGCAGCTTACTTTTTGTGATCTTCCATCCGCATCCTCAACAACAGCGTACGACCCTCCATCCTTCACAACTCGACACTCACACTTACCCAGAAAGACAAAGAGAAAGACAAAGACACACCGTTCCTCTAAGCGCCCCCTCCCGCGAGCCCGCGCACGACGAGACGCTTTTCATCATCATCCACCAGACTTACGAGCTTTGGTTTAAGCAAATTCTTCATGAGCTCGATGCGGTCTACACGATTTTTTCGAAGTCCAAAGGCATCCCCGAGAACGAGATCTCGCGCGCTTGCCATTACTTGTATCGGATAACGAAGATTCAAGAGGTGTTGGTGCAGCAAATCGCCATCTTGGAAACCATGACCAGTATGGAATTCCTGGAGTTTCGGGATTACCTTGTACCTGCAAGTGGCTTCCAGAGTTGGCAGTTCCGCTTGATCGAAATCGCTCTGGGTATACCTATGGAGGGAAGACGATACGGGACGGAATCGTTTCTAAAGGGCGTGTTTGAAGGGCGGCATCGGACAGCATTGAAGCTCTTCACCGAACAAAGAGTCAGCATGAACAATTATGAAACCATCATCATTCCCATACGAAAACACTTCTGTGACAGCGCAACTTGATGTTTTAGAACGTACAACTCCAACTTCTAGTATTTTCTACCCACCCAGTCGTTCCAATTTGAATTCACATTCCATTTCCACAACATCTAACGCACACTAGTAGAGCGCTGGCTCGAGCGGATGCCGTTTTATCGAACAGAAGAGTATGACTTCTGGGCAGAGTATAAGGATGCGGTCGACACGATGTGCACGAAGGAGGAAGAAATGATACAGAAATTTTTACCTCCGGAGAAACAAGAAGAAGAATTGAAAGTAAAAACTGTAGTAAGTGATTTGTTTTTGTGCTGACTATCTATTTCTTTGTTTCTGAATCACCTGACGTTTCGCAGCTTGCTGTGGAATACCGATTTTCTGTTGCAAGATGATGAAATGTAGCAAAAGTGATACAAAAAGCGCATGGTCGTTATGGTCCTTACATATACATATAACGCTCAATCATAAAAACGCACTCCTATGTGCATCTACACTCCATTTCTTCATCAGGGCCTCCGCTCTGTCCGTTCAGCATTCCACAGTTTGCTGGATCCTGAAGCACATGCGGAGATGGTGAAACGAAAGGTCAGAAGATGGTCTCAGCGGGCGACCTTGGCAGCACTTTTTATCTTCCTATACCGACACGAGCCGATGCTTACAAGTCCGTTTTTATGATGAAACAACGTGCATTGTAGTTTTTGTTTTCTTTAAATACCTTGGAGTTGGACACCAATCACCAAAAAATGCAAATGCTTGATGAAAATGCAACATCACTCTTCACTCACTCACCCACTTACGCTCCTTTCTAATCCCTCGTCTTCTCAACCTCTTGATGGAGATTGATCAGAATTTCAGCGTCTGGCGAGCTAAGCACGCTTCAATGGCTCATCGTATGATTGGAATGAAGATAGGGACAGGTGGCACAAGCGGTGTGGAATACCTGAACAAAGCAGCGACCGAGAACAAAGCGTTTAAAGTTATGCGGAGGTTGTGGCGTTTATTTTTCTGATCGCTTCTACAGTAGACATAACAAACTGGTTTGCTTCTATCTACGCATTGTTGTAATCAACGTAAATGACACCAAGGAAAGTAGTACGCAATACAAAAAGCGGGTATGTCTTCTAATCCTCACCTCTGGCAGCTATCGACATTCCTTTTGCCAAGCGGAGCTTTACCGGAGCTACCACCGTCGTTGCGGTATCGTATTGGCTTCTTACACGACTATCTAGAAGCCAGAAGTCCAGCGGGAAGTCCTACGCCATTAAAGCATTTTCCAGATATCGATCTCGCCGACATCGAGCAAGAACCGCGGGACCAACACGATACGAAAAGCGATGTGTTGAAGAGGGCAGTAGGGGAAAATAGCAATCATGTTATGGCCTTGTGTAGTTGATCAACATCAATCTCATCTTCGTGTTTGTGGTTTGGACATTGCGATTCAAATGGTGTTGTAGTTGTCTCTCTAATCACAACGTGAATTCTAGCAGTCCTTCGAAAGAAGAAGTTATCTCGTCGGATCTACGTGACAAACTTCGGGAGGAACGCGGCGGAGGTGGCTGCCCCTTTGGATATGCGTAGTCGAGTTGAGGTTTATCCTTATTGTGACTGCTTTTGTCTTAATGTCTGCTATGAAATTGAACAACTAGGAGTAGAATAAAGTTGAGTCATGGAGGCTCGCTTTGCTGCACCTTTGACTCATGGTCATGCTGTCCGTGAAAAGATAATGGGATGTCGTCGGCGCCTCCTCTTTTGATGCCCTTGCGATAGAAACAAGGCGTCGCCGTGATGTCATCGCTATCTGAAGATGGGTTGATCCATTAACTAATTCGCCGATGCAGTATCTATCGTACAACAGGACTACAGACTGTAGTCCTGTTGTACGCTGCAATTGGTGCATGTGTTTGTGTTCTTGTGCTCAAATAATGTTATTGAAAGTTCAGGAATTAAAGGAGAACACTTTAAGACATTCTCCTCTGGTCGTTTTTCTCTTTGTCTTCGTGTCTTTGGAATGATCTTTGTCATGCGTAGGTGTAGCCCGCCCGATTTATATTTGTGGGTCTAGTGCTCATACATATACTCTGAGAAAGAAGAAGGAAAGCACAGAGCGAGGAGCGAGAAAGCAGGCAGAAACTGAGACACGATGTGCTTTTTAAAGTGTTTGTTTCTCCGCGACTAATTTTTCATGGTCGGTGACATGGTCAAAGTCTATAATGTCTTGCCGTAGGCGAAGTGGAGTGATGAAGAAGATCGAGGCAGTCAGACTGGATTTTGTATTTCTTGATATTACGAGCCCTTTCCATGCTTGTCTATTTTGCTCTGGCTGGGATGCTGAAGCTCTGAATCTCAGGGTTACTTCTATATATATAAATATATACTCGAAAAAATAAAAAGATGGCGAGCAGTGGCGCCACTGATATCTCCTCATTCGGGTTGGGTACTGAGAAAAGCCGCTGGACGTTGGATAATTACTTCAAACCTTTGGTGAAGAGGGAGAAACTCACAGCAGAAGAGGCACTCGAAGAGAGAGCTGACCTCGAAGCAGGTTTTGACCTGAAGCGACATGCACTAGCGTGTATGCGTCATGGTACAACCAAGATCGAGGACAAATTGCAACAAGCTGCGGACGACGACGACGCCCAGGGCGATGAAAGCAGTGGCGACGACGATAGCGACAGCTGCGATGCAGCCAAATGCGACGTCGATGACAACGAAGGCGAGAGTGCTGGAAGCGGGGACGATGACGGTGAGAAGGTGGTGGAGGGAAGTGGAATCGACAACAGCGTTGTGGATGAGGATAATGAGAAAAGCGGAACACAGAAAGCCGCAGACGAGCTTCAGGGAGGTCGACGCATTAACGGTAAAGACGAGGTCATGGAATCCGGAGATGCCGGTAGGAAAGAAAACGATCTGGGCGACGAGATGGACGAGAATGGAACATCAGAGGATGACACTTCATCTGTGGACAAGAAAGAAATTTCGGGGAACAGTGATGGCGCTTTTTCGGACGAAAGTGTGGAGGATGACACATCGTCATCGGAGGACGAAATCCCGCAGGACGACAGATCAGACGACGATCCTTCAGAGGACACAACTTCTTCCGATGAGATGAGCGAAGAAGACGATATTTGGGACTTTGAACCGACAGGTCCGTCACATCCTGGACCCATTGATGATCCCACTCTCGGACTTGCCGTCGCACGCATGTGGGACGACGGACATCCGGTTCGTTTCGTCGCAGACGAGGAAATAGACTACGTACAGAGAGAGGCTATGCTTGATTCTGATGACGAAGACGAGGAAGATGAGCCTTTGGGCTATGACCTTATGGAGGGTAGCAAATATTATGTACCGCCAGCAACGAAGGAGATTCCACTGTCGTTGTGGCGGAAGCTGGCGATAAGCGGCACCTCTCGCGAGCTTTTCAACGAAGTGGATATGCTCAATCTTGGTCTGAAACAAAGTCGGCTTGACAAAGGTACTAGTACTTTACTACCTCCTTGTCATATTGTTTGAAGATCGCCGCCTAGAATTTATGAGTCGACCAGCTTCAAGTTCAAGTTCAAACTTCAAGTATGCACATGCGCTTCATGTTGGGAAAGAAGAGAAAAGTCAAAATTACTGAATGATGTTCCGCGAATGGGCTCCAAATACTTCCCACCCTCTCACCTTTCCAGGGCTTGCTCAACTCAAGAGCTATGTATAGATACTTGTAATCATCATCTGTCGCCAGGTTCTGGCTCTAACATGCGTCAGGAGGAGCGGGAAGAAGAAGATCGGCAGTGTGCAGAGTTCCTGGAAGGGATTTTTTTGAAGCGTCCAGTCTCGTCTTGCTCTTCCGATACGGCTGGTCTGCGGGTGCGGTCCCAAAAACGTTCTGGCGAAACAACATCTAAGCAGCTGGATCGAACAAGTAGGCGTCAGCAGGTCAAAGATGAATTAGACAGCTTCTCAAGGGACCGTGGTGCTTTGGCAGCGACGCCTGCCACTTCCGCAGCCATCAAACAAGAAGCATCTTCTCCGAAGAAAGAACAATGTTCAGAGAAGATCTTCACTGGGAAAATATCCTCTACAGTGGCCGCCAACGGTGTTGCCTCTTCTTCTTGCAGTGGCAAGTCAGGCTATCGCTCTTGCATCAAGCCGCTTTTTCCCGAGCCGGAGACGGAAGAGTCTGACGATTGTGGAGGATGTCAAGGATTCGAAAAGTTTATGCTCGCCGCATACAAACGATTTGCGAGGGCAAAGAGGCATGAAAACGCGTCCAAGAAAGAACTACTGGAGGAAGATGATGGTGACAGCGATAGTGATGAAGCAGATGCAGATGTGCCCCATCTGATTTCGGCACAGAGTACTCAGTCGCATGCAACGTCCTTCGCGTGTTCGGCTTCGTCATCAAAGTTTGGCCGCACAAAAGTAGCACCTCAACCAGAATCAAACACGCCACAGCTGAACGAGCAATTACAACCACAGAGAGAGTCACGACAGGGCTCCCCCCGAACGAAAATCGTGAGAACCGACGCGCAATATGCCAGTGCGACAGAAAGCAGAAAAGTGACCGTGTCAACGCAGCTGGAGATGATGCTTGGTGGTGGTGGAGAGGCTCGTGAAGTGGGCGAGGAGGTGAGGACTATTAAATTGATCCAGATTTTAATTTTTACATGCGTGTGGCTGTGGCATTGAATTCGTGTAGGAACTTGAACTACTTCCGTATATTTATATGAACAAGGTTAACAATATCGGTCGTTGATTGAGAGCTGAGTATCAGTGTTTATCTAGTAGTTTGAATACTCATCGCTCGCATCATCTATCATCCCGCGGGTGTGTCCCAAAGCAGGCTCTGCTGATATTTTCTTCTTCCCCCTGGGAAAACGAAAATGAAAAACCAAAAAGATTAAGATAATTTCCTCCCTTTTCCATCTTATGGCAAAATCAATTTTTCATTGATGCTAAAATGATCCTGGCTTCAGGTCTCTGCTCCATCCGATGGAGTGGCTTCTGGCGGACCAACAAGAAGCAATCGAGATCGAGATCTTCTTGGGCTTGGAACTATAGATGAGCGCAATTCTAAGACCATAATGAGCCAATTTCTGACGGATCAGATGGAGAAATGCCGCGCATGGCATCGCGATTCACGAAATGTGCACACGCCAGCTCGGTCCTGCTGTTTGTCCAATTCGTTTGCTTCGGGCGCTGATTATAGTCGCGGCCTAGAATTGACGGGGCGAAAAGAGTTTCCTGGCTGTTTTCTGCTGTTGACACCGCAGAACACGCGCATGCTGTGTACGGTACTTTCATTCTTCAGCCATGACTTTGGCTCCTTCTTTTCAACATTTGTAGTGGAGTTTTGTGCTTTCCAGGGATTCTTCATGGAATTGTTCGAGAAATAGAAAACGACTCAACATACGAAAATTTATATTTGTAGTTGATTTATTTATAATGATCGTGATGATCTTTTCCGGCGCAAGCGCGACCGTCACTACCAACTAGAAATTCCTCACTTCTCAGTTTCTGAAGGATAATCTCGTGGAAGGGATTGGAAGCATATTGCTGGGTGTTGAGCCCGCGAACGAACTGCAAGCGACGCTTCTACGTGTTCGCCAAAAACTACTCACAGATGGCTACTTGTACCCAGAAAACCTCAAGCCGATTTGTCAGACGAGGCCCATGACTGTGAAAGGAGACCTATCCGATGGGCGCAAACGCAGTGCTGTGCGCAGAGATGAAACTGAAGCAGAGCCACAGGGCTCCTGCGCGATATCGTACTGATCTTGTACTTGTCCAGAGAGTGAAAATAAGCTTTATTTCTATGTAGGACACACAGGTAGAAGAAAGACGCGTATGGTTTCTTGTCGACGTTGTTTGGCAACCTTAGTTTTTGGTCTTCGATCTAATCCATTCGTTGTCCGTGCGAACGATATGCACAAACTACGCAGGCAGAAAGTTGCCCGTCTTCAACCACATGTGGATGATCCCGCTGCCCTCCGAAAGGCTTCAGCTTTGTTATTGCGGAAAAAAGCAGGCCACGCGAGTGCCTCACTTCTTTCCAGTATTTCCTTTTCAATCGGATGCACAGTTGTCGACGCTTTCATATTCATTCTTGCGCATGTGTGAAATAGTTTTCCGAATCATGTTAGCAGCAAGAAAATCGTGTATCTATGAGATGATCATGAGAATGATGTCGAAAACATATATTTAGTAAATTGAGAAAGAAGATTTGCATTTATTGAGTAACCACAACTCCTCTTCAGCTTCAGGAGACTAACAAAACTACACAGGTGACACCGACGCGTCGCTCTATTCTGATGATGGCGATTCGTCTGCTTCCGAAGATGGTCAACAGGGTCCTGGTCCATCGGATCCGCGAGATGCGCTTCCGAGTGTGCCGCCTGCAGTTGATAGTGATTCGAGTGGCAGTGACAGTGACGACAGTGAAGCGTCGTTCTCCGAAGATAGTGACGAAGATCCCTTGGAGACCGCCGAAGCCCAAGGTGTCAGCTACTTCGTTAACGATAATGGTAAAAGTCGTGATGCGGATAATCCCGAAGAAGATCATGGGGCGGAAGATGCATGCGACGCCGACAGCGAAGAACATGATGAGAATGACGACAATGAAGCCATGCCGTTTCTGGAAGAGAAGGATCCGGAGCGGACTTTTCATTGTCAGTGGAGTTCCAGCAAGAAACGCGGCACGAATAATAACGCACGTTTCTATATCGATGAATACGAAGAAGCCGTGCAACTGCTGAAGGATGGAAGACTCTCGGAACACGACGCACAAGAAGCTGCGCGATTGGACGCATGTGGTAATAATAAAATGATATAGCGATGTAATAAAACTTAGTACTATAACATCAAGAAGTACCTTTTCATCTTGTCCTTGTGTATGCTCTCGCTCAGCATAATTCGAATGTGAGAAGAGATACGTTCGACATCTGGATCTGGTTCTGAATGTTAAGGCACCAGGTAGAGTCGATCCTCCACTCGACTTTCTCCTTCACAATTGTTCATAGCTGGAGCACTCGTCAAGCATGGTTCTTGTTCTTGAGTGAACGACTCTCTTCTTCCAGTGATTGATGTCATGGGCAAGGGCATGCCTATTGGGTAGAAGCTGTTTGCTTCCACCTTCTTTCCCGACTCTTTTTGTGATCGTGTTGTGTCCTAGAGCGACTCTTGACGACTGTATGTCCAAGTATAGAAGGGAGATGAGTTGCTATCCACTTACTAGTTGTTAAACCCCACCTCCAGACAAAAATAACACAGCGCATCTCGTCAAGCACGAGAAACCATTCCGGATATGACGATGGCCTAAGTTATCTCCCTCTTGTTTTCCTTCAAGTGGCTTGTGCGGCCTTCTGTGCAATGAAGTTTGAGTTTTGCATATGCAATATCCCATTTGATGATCTAGTCATCATACAGGTACCCGCCTGCGTTTTCTGCTTCCACTTCCAGTGATGTTTTTTGTAGTTTTCTCGCTCCAACTCCACCTCCTTGGAGATCATTAACTCTATGTAAAAATTGTGTAGAGAGCTTCTCATTCTCTACGTATGACAAAACTCCCAGGTAGTTGATAGATGGCAGAAAGACTTTGATGACCTTGAAGATGCTGATTATTTTCTCTTGGAGGTTGTTTCTTCGTGGTCATCAATTTAGATCATCCAATATCCACTTCCAGTGTTCCGGAATGCCCTCGACCAGATGCCGGGAGTAGGAAAAGAGGAAGCCAATAGTGGTCAGGATAATATCAGTTGGCAGGATAATTACCAACGCTGGATGTTGGGCTCCACGGTGGGTGGAGGTGATGGCGATGCTTCCTGCCACGAAAAAGAATGCTTTCCCGCAGCTGAGTATGCCGACGAACTGCAAGTCGCTCTAGACGCGGCCATCGAGGTCGCTGAAGTGGATGCGCAGGAGGAAGAAAAGGCGCGAGGTGAAGAAGACGCTATGGATTACGAGAGCGATGACGATGAATCTGACGCGGCGGATGACGACGTGGATCCGTTTGAGCGTCAGCTCCATGAACTCGCAAAGGAGAACCGTGCATCTGTGGAAGTCGCACAGGCAATGCTGTTGCCGAAGGTCTCACGTTTCGACGAAACTATCGATAAAGCACTGGCAAAAGGTAAGTACTATAGAAGTTTCTTCGTCTCCGTTTGAGTGTTCGTATGAGGATAGGGAAGGTACATGGTGCACTTGATCATTTCGGAAGAAGATAGTGTTTTCATAATCTGCAAACTACAACGTCGTTGACAATGACTAAAGCCATTTCTTCTCATTCTCTTGACTAACTTCTCTTTTCTAAAAGAGCAAAGTTGTACAGGTCGCGTAGCGGGTCACGGTCAGGGTCGGGGAGATGATGCGAAGGCTTCCAGTCGATCGAACAAGCCTTGATGGATGACTTAGCTAAACCATTCTTTTTATGTATGACAGTCTCATCAAGATTAAGAACCACGCTAGACTTCAACTAGTAGATCGTCGTATAAAACTGACACGTAGAAGGTTTTGGTAAGAACTCGATTACATTTTGTATCAGGAAGTCCATCTCCATGTTGAGAATCACAGTTTTCGTTTTTCTTTGTTTGGTAGTGTGACGAATATGTGACCGAATCCTCTATCTGGTGATACTTCTTGACATCTAATTATGCATCAAAATCAAACCTGTGTGGGCACCAGATGCACTCCTAAACCTACACTTTTTCCAAGAAATTCTATTTAAATGGGTCCCTTCTGTATAAAGGAGTAAAAGTATCATGTTTTTATAAAATGTGAAATATCATCTTCATCTAGAGTCATGGTCATGTGATGGCTACTATTCTAGAAGTGACGTAGCACTATCACTATCTTTTTACTATCTTCATCGGGAGAAATACAAATAGAAACCGACGACCGAAGTAGTCGTTGAATTATGACGTGAATACCACGACGTAGCTCCATTTTGGTATGATTTGTTTCCATCTTGGACTTGGAGATCATCATAATAGGGTTTAGGGGGTCAGTCCGGATGAAAAGAATCTATCAGAGGGTCACTTTTGTTGTGATTGTTGTGATGGTCGCAGTACCACGTTGAATTTTTATAGCAGAAAAAAATCATCGTCAAGACCACGGCCATGGCTCTCAATATCAACATCGGAACTGAAATTGGTTTTCAAAACCGTGATCGTGAGCACAATGAAGCCTGTTGTCCCCTCATCACGTTGTAGTTGTCCTGTGACGGTATCAACAGCATGATATTCGTGCGATCGCACTACATTTTTATCATTAAAGTTAGTATTTGACTCCGTAGGCGTAGTACTACAGCTGTTTTTTTTATTTTTGCTCACAGACAGCCACAGAAGCAGCACAGAAACATGAGACAGACACGTCGGAAGATGATACTGGCCGGAAAGGCAACACTGATTTGAGTACTCAACATCAAGAAGAACGATTCTTAAGCAAGAAATATGATCAGAACCACTTGGCTACGTCCTCTTGATGCATCCGCATATACATAGATCTAGTACCATTTTTTCCTTCATGCTTCCTCGCGTTCGAAAATATTGCTGCTCGGGCGTCTTCAAGATTGAATGCGAAATGTTGGATACAGGTGAAGCCTCGCTCATAACACCTTGCACCTAATCGATCCTACAACAGCTAGTGGCAATTATCCAGTAGTGTCGGATAGAAAACAGACGTAATTTTAAGAAACACCATCTATGTATTTCCATTTTTTCTCTCCATACTGATCAATGATAAGAAAGTAAGCCATACTACTAGCCTAGTATATGTAGCATAAGTTCGCTGTTGTAGTGATTGGTATTAAAGTAACTCTGTCGTTTTTGCGTTTTTTTTGCTGAGATATTGACTCACCGAACATGTTTCCACATCTTCCATATCCTGTTCCTACTGTATGTTGATGTTTTGTAGTGACGAACCAAATCTCGTCTCGTCTGCGTGCATCAGCAGTTCAGGGTTTGACTTGAGCAGTTTAGTACAGATACCACAAAGAACAAGTATCGACTAGGAATGCAGAAAACACATTGGAGAAGTAGGAGGGCGAAGAATAGTACATAGAATGATAATCAGGAGGTCTCTTTGTTTTTACTAGATGGGGTCATGATGGTGCCACTACCAGGAATCTGGATACGATTCATACTTTTGGTCTTCACGAGATATATTTCTTCTTTTTAAAGATGGGACTTCGACTTCCGAGAAACCGAGAAAGAGACTTCAACTGGAATGATTGTGTACCATCTACTTTTTCTCAGTTTTCCAGGAGAGCTAGCAGAAAGAATAACATAGATGTTGAGCAGGGTCTTGTCCCACTATCTGCACACTTGATGTTACAGTGGACGAGTTGTCGGAAAGTAGTTTTTGATACCTCATGGTGAGGCATTTTCTTTTTCATCCAGCATGTTGAGCTTACAATCCAATGAGCAGAGAGAATGCGTCGAGAGTAAAGCTTCATGACGAGCGAGACCGAGGAGAAGATAAAGATACAACTAGAAACCTTTGCGAAATAAAGTCTATGAGAAGAAAAGGCGCTACCAAAAGCAAAAGCTTGACAGTAGATACAACATGGTGATAGAGAAACGCTTCCATAGTCCTCTTCGTCATTCAGAATTGTTATTGAATTTCCACACTCACCAAATCCAAAATTGAACTTCTTCGAAAAATCGCACGCAAAAATTGAGTTGCAGTCTCTCTGTCTTACACCCACATGAAAACGTGTTTCCCGCGCGGTAGTTGATCGAAGCGAAGTTAGGGATACAGACGTCCAGCCGGTCCACCCGCTATTGCGCGGATTCCCTCTCGAAGGTCTTCGTGGTTACCTGATCGAGTCGCGCACTCTAGTACGGCTCACTTTTACCGCGAATCTAGTGAAACGGTATAACTGCACAGCGCGACCGGAGACTTCAAGATGGCGACACAATTGAAGCAAATTGTGGAACTGCTAAATGCAGAGCCGTTCCATAGCGATCTCAGTCTCGTCGCTTTCGATGAGAAGGAGGGCGTGGATCTACTCGAGATCTTGAAGCGTGTGCTGGCGCATCTTGATGGTATTTTCTTTCTTTGTTGTAGTCGGGGTTCATGATGTGCTCCTGGAGAACTTGACTAACACTAAGCTGTCATATATTGCGAGGGCAGCAGAGATACTCGTATCGGAGATTTTTTTTTCTAGCATTGTTCGTCTTCTTACGTGCTCTTCCAAGAATCAAGAGTGATTTATCCCCTATCTTGAAGCGTCAACTTCAAGAACAACAAATAATTATCGGAAATTGTAATTGACTACTTCTCTCTTGGCTGTTAATATTCACATATTACTTTCCTCGGACGATCTACTTCGAGTACCGATCCATCGTCCTAGATTCAAAAATAGATCTTCCCCAAATTTACCTTTACTTCTCCAGCCAGCGGTAAGTTCGATGCGGACCTTCGGGAGGACTCTCCAGAGGCTACTTGCCAAAAGTTCACGGAGTATCTCCATTTGCTTGGATATCAGTGCAGCTATGATATGGAGTTTCAGCAGGCTCTGATGATGGGCGAGAAAAAAGTCGTCAACGCGATTCTATGGTGGCTACTGACGAATTTGGAGTCGTTGAAAAAACGCAGTTTTTTGGCGCACTTCTGTGTCAACTTCGAAGTGCCGGAGGAGATTTTGAGGGATGAGCCAGTTTTTGAACTGTACTTATTTTACAGAAAATTCTTCTTGACCTGCCAGGCTTCCTTGTTCAACTGGGAGATTGTATTTTAGAACGTCCAGACGTTCGGCTCTTCTACATCTGTCTTGCTGTTTGGAGGAGAACTGAAGATCATGAAATTTTTCTCACCAAGCCAGGTACCAAGGCTACAAAGAGCTGCAGTCGCAGTTCAAGACGACGCATGCACATTTAGAGCAGCTCCGTCTACAAAAGCAGCATCCGGGCGACCTCCAAAAGGAAGTGCAGCAACTGGCCGCTGAAAGCGAACAGCTCACGCAGAAAATCGCTTCTTTTCGGCAGAGGTCAGCTAATACTCCAGGATTCCAGAATCTGTTGCAGATCACCAGTCTACTCAGAAAAGAGCAAGAGGAAGAAGCGCGATTGACGGAGCGGCTAGTGGAGCAGAAGATGGGGTTGGAGCAGACAGAACATCTTTTTCTAGAAAAGTCAAGACGTGTGCACGAATTGCGGCAGGCGCAGGCGTCAGAACCGGCGAATAGTGCGGAAGTTATGGTGTTGTATTTTGACGTAGTATGTGGTGCTTGAATGGGCAGTATCAAGGTGGTTCTCCTGCTGTCAACGTTGAGCTTATTCCAAACACCAGGATATCCAAGTATATTATGTTGTTCTAATTCCTCAATGCTGAAAGTCGTTCGCATCGAGACGCAGAGAAACAAAGATGCAGAAGCTCGACTTTTGAGGGAACGTGATGAGAAGCTGAGGAAAATGCAACTGGTCGAAATTGCGTTGCAGGAACCAGCAGTAACGCAGAATATGGTCATGGAGATACAGGTACTTTATTTGCAACGGCTGAATGATCCTGATTTTGACACACGAGGTCGAACATGTCTTCAACTTTCATCTCTGCTGTTTTTCGACAACCGATATCGACATCGGCTGAATTCTGAACCTCATATCATTTCCAAACTCGTCTCTCAAGACTGAATGCGCGCACATGGAGCAGCAATGTGAGCATTTGGACGCTCAGCTGGAATCCCAGAACGCAACCGATTCCAAACTAACTGTCTACAAGCAGCAAGCGAACCTTGTAGCTAAGAAGAAAGAAATGACCCAAACAGAGTTGCAGAAACATCTTGAGGAGCGCGATGCGTTGGCGTCGCAGATAGCGCAGAAGGAAAAGGAGTATTGTGCGGCATTTTTTGCTGAGTTCAGAGTGTAGCATACAGAAATCATGATCACGATTGTTTTTACAGCCCTGTTTGGACATGCACTCGATGATTATTTCCATTCATCTGCGGCCTCTTTCCCATAACAGATACGAAGCGAAGCAAGGTCACAAATTTATGAAGCGAGACGACTTCAAGGCCTATGCAGGCAGTTTGAGGGAAAAGAGCAACCAATTCAAGAAGCAGAAGGATGAGCTGAATGCTTGGAGGGGAGAAGTATTACTACTCATTGCAGATGAAGGTTTGTTTCCCACGAGTGGGTGCTCCTCTTTCTTTCAGGGCGACAATTGCTATCTACTCCACAATACGAAAACCATTTCGTTATCCACTTCCACGTACACGCGTCTCTTTTCTACTCAGGTCGCAGTCCTCATCCGTACTCTCCAAATGGTCAACGCGCAACACCCTTTACCAGCAGAAGTGAGGGATAACGAGAAAGCGATCGAGAAAACCTCTATGGCGAAAGCCCAGGAGGACTCTGCCAAAGCACAGTCAATGGACGAGCTGAGTGAACTGGTAAAGCAGATCACGACACAGCTTCGGGAACAGAAAAACAAGCTTGCGCCGCAGATTAAGGAGCTTCGGTAAATTTGTTTTTCTTTCTAGCAGTCACTGTAGCAGTAGTTGTGGTTCTCCTCCTGACCTACAGATTTAGTACAACATCATCAAGTTCGATTTTTTTCACCATCTCTGATCCGTCTTCTCGCAAATCCCCTCTCCCATACTAGATGATCTTATGATCATCCAAAACATCATATCGCACACCAGAACCGTGCGTCAGCAGTTTGCGCAGGTCGAGCAGAGGTATCTGGAATTGAAATCCAAGTACGACGAAGCCCGGCTAGCAGTGGATGCAGACCTTAATCGCGTGAATGGCGACGTAACGACGATGCAGGACGAGGTGAACAGTTTAGAAAGGAAATATCACGAGCTGCAGACGCAATTGACCTGGTCAGAAACGAGATTGAATATTATGGCGCGTGTTGTTGAAGATGAAGTTGGTGTTGAACTCGTAGACCAAGTCGAGGCACATGAAACTAACAATTCTCCTTGACATTCCGATTCATTGTCAACGGGAATCTCAAGAACTTTACTCTTGCCCTCGCATCAGTAGACATTATTGCAACAACTAGCTCTAATAGCAAAGTCCACAAGGAGGCAAAGCAGTTACGCGACGCGCCTCACCAGTCATTGACAACGCAGTACAACAACTCCCTCACGAAGATGGAGCAGCAGGCGAGGGAACTACGACAAAGACAGAAGCACGTCAAGGAAACGCACGAGGAGCGAGTCAAACAGAAACAGATTTTTTCTTATGTCAATCTTTGTGTACCTACAGCACAAATTCTCTCAAATAGAAACTATCCCTAAATCTACCCACGTCGACACGACCCCTTTTTTTCTCTCCCTCCCTTCATGCCTAATCTACTTCCACGTCTACACGACCCCTTTTTTTCCTCTGCCTCCCTTCATCCCTCGCAGCTCGAGGCCTTGATGGATATCAAGCTGAAGGTGACCTCAAACTACGAAGCTGGCGGAACCAACTTGTATGCGGCACAATCGGTGGAGTATGGCATGCGGCCGGCTATAGACATGTCCCATGGTGCTGTGAATCGTATCGTCATTGGGGACTGATGTTGAAGGTGTTAAGGAGCACGTTTTGATGAATAACATTTGCATTGATGTTGATGTTGATGATGTATCTATTTGTTGTAGTTCACATTTTTGGGCTTTTTCTGATGTTGTATTAGTTCGTCTACCTCTACTATGTAGTTGTCGACGTAGACGTCGTACTCGTAATCCTATTTTAGTAAATGATTTCTTTCGTGTAGTTTACAGATCTTTGACTAGTCGCAATGTTGTTGTACTGGGACACGACAAAGAATTGAACAAGAATCAGAGAAATCGCTCATGACAGCTTGACTTCATCTGATTGCAATTGCATCCACAATGTCGAATGTCTTCGCCAACATGGATGCGCCTGAAGACGTTGGTACTATGGGGCAGAATTTCATTGCCCATCCACATCCTGGCGGTCTCGCCACAACATGTTCATCATCATGCCATCAAGCAAAAAGCCTCTGGAATTGAATCAAATGTGGCTCACGTGGTCTAATGCGATCCTACTACTTAGCAGGAACAACTTCGGTCAACCGTGAACATGGGACTCTTGTTGAGATTGATGGTGCACTCCTCGTTGAAAAAAGCGAAGCAAAAAGGGCCTTTTGTTTGTTGAAAAAAGTGGATGCGTTTGCGTTGATTTGATACGAAAAAACAGGCTATAATTTTTCTGCGACCACTTAGTCCGAAAAGTAGAAAGAGGGGAACACCAATGTCCAGCGATTGAAGTTGAACTACAACCCATTTTTACAAATTTTGTATTTTTGTGTTGCACCTTCTCCTTCCTCTCTTGTCCTTGACCTTTTTGATTGTCGTTGATCGTTGTCTTTTGCATTTCGTGCCTTTAAACAGTGCTAGTCCGATGGCGAGAGCGGTAGCAAACTGAACGAAGTTAGCTTTTAATGTCACACATCCACCCTCACCCGTTCGATACAAAGTTTGAGAAAGATGATGACGAAACAAGATGCCATTTCCTCCCTTGTGCTTTGACGTGAAACAAAAGCACCACCATTTTCGTTTTTTTGCCCTGCTCTGCTTGATCGAATCGTGCACATTCTGTCTTTGGCTGACTCGCTAACTCACCTGCGGTGACGCATAACATTAAGGTTTAGGTTTACCTCATCGATCAATAAATCTCGCGTCGGCTATTAAGTGGTGGTGGTCTCTTCCGCGTTTCGGACCGGTTTGCAGTGGTGTTTTCAGTTCCAAGAACACTTGGGCACAACGGCAAGAACGAAAAAGATACCATCTTCTTCCACTTCGTCTTCGACTTGTTTGTGATACTGGGAGACCTGTCAATAGCCTTTTTGTGGTACAATCGGCGGTCTCAAAATGGGGAAGGAAGCCGCTGGCTCAGCAGGCCAGTGGTTTATGATAGCCGTGGGCGTCTTCGTCGTCATAGCAGCCTATCTCGCTTCGATAGGGTTTCAAGGGAGAAAGCACGTCCTCGGAATAGATCTTGGTACGACTTTCTCGGTCGTAGCAGTGAAGCGTGCAGGCAAAGTTGAGGTATACGAACACGGGGATATATCACATGTATTGCTAAGACCATCTTCGAGTAAGTATTTAGTTGCCTGAAGCTGAACGAACAAGGAGACGGCTTGAACATGCCAACAAAACGAAGTTGTACTGTGCATGTCATACATGCACTTCATGTTTTTTGAGCATATTCTTTTTTTATCCGAATCCGGTAATTGCAAGACATAATTAAACAATTCTCATCGTCCACCAGGTAATCCCGAATCATGAGACGGGTCGCTATTTGACGCCATCCGTCGTGAGTTATGTCAAGAACGGTATGGGTGACCCAGAACGGAAACTCATGAAATTCGATCACGAATTCAAGCACTACCTAGTCGGCGATTCAGCAGTACGGAGGAGGCACGAAAATGTCGCAGACACGATCTACCACTCCAAGAGGTTCATTTTATGGACAAGCACGAGTACTGCATGAGCATATACACCGATACATATTGTATTGCCGGGACATCATCGTTTTTCTTTGTCCTAGGTTTTTCTTCGACCTATCCCTTCTGGTGAACAACAACAAATGCCATGATCGAGCAACAACAAGGTCATATGTGATGAACTGGTTATTGATAGACTTACACGTGATTGATATTAGTTGATAGTTTTCCAACTTCTAATCTTCGGCAAGTCCATCTTCGAAACGACGTCAGAGGTTGCTGAGCATCCTTTTCGAGTAGGGAGTCCAGCTTTAGTTCACACCTTTGAAGACGGAATAGAGAAGCTGCGACAGCAGAGCTACGGGCGGCCAGGTCAATACTTTGCGGATATACTAGAAAACTTCGACAAGTGCAAAGTGAAAGTGAGGACCCACAATGACGAAGGCATAGTCACAAAAGCACACGACATAAAAGACAAATGCACCGGAAGCAAGCAGGGGAAGAAGATTAAGGCCCCACTTAATTTTGAATTTGATCCATCTTTATTATTATTTAAGCCCATGATCTGTTTTTGTGGGCTGTTTTAATTTAGAGTAGAAAAACGGAAGAAGATGAGGCAAAAGATGTTGGATCGTAGTGAGTTCTAAGACGAGTAAAGCAGCTTCGACGAAAGAGGAAATGGGTGGAGATGCAACAATAGCAGCCACGGAAGATGATGTTGATGGCACAGGTGCATTAACTCCTAGTGAAGACGAGGAAGAACAACACCTCACCCGCGACGCAAGGTACACAAAAGCGCGAGAGGTGTTTTACGAAGCGGCAAAAGCGCAGTTTAGAGTCCTCGACAGATGGAGGACTCCAGTAGACATAGGCGCGGCGATTGTGAAGAAGCTAAAAGACGCAGCTGAGGTAATACACAAGACTACAACCAGTTCCTTTGATTTGTATTTTTCTTGATCAGCGAGCTACAGCTACTTCTTTGTATGAAACAAACAAGATAGAACTATCCCACCACCACCACAATACGTCATCAAATCCGATTCCTGCGCGTAACGGGCCCACAAACATAATATTTTTCCATCCCTCCCAACAACAACAACAACAACAACACTAATATGACAACTTTTCTATTTCTATCATCCTACCATCTACAGGTTTTCCTTGGGTACGATGTCTACGATACGGTGATTTGCGTCCCCGCCAAATTTGGGAAATTGGAGATACAGAAGACCTATGAGGCTTTCAACAAAGCTGGCTTTAGCGTCGCCCGAGTGATGGACGAACCAACGGCAGCAGCGGTCGCCTACGGCCTGCACAAATCGGCGACTGGAAAGACAGTCATCGTCTACGACTTAGGAGGAGGGACGCTGGACGCCAGCTTGTTGTCCATAAGCAGCAAAGCAGTGAACGTCCTAGGAACAGCAGGAGATGATCACTTAGGCGGTAGCGATTTCGACTATGCAATGTGGAAGTTATTGCAGGTATGTTTCCTAGATTTGTTGATGTTGTTCTTGTTGATTAGCGACAATGCACGAGGGGGTCATACAACATCGAAGATTGGTTTCCTCAAGAATGAATCTTTCACTTTCTTCTATCTATTTCTCGTCACAACATCCCCTCAGGATCGATGTGGACCATCCGAGAAAATCACCCGTGGCGAAGCCGAGGACGTGAAAAAGGAGCTAACTAGTAAGGACATCGTCCCGATATGCGAACGGCGTACCAAGCAAGTAACGCGCGACGAGTATGAGACTGCTGCAGCCACGCTCTTCGAACGAGCCATGGCACCAGTACATCAGGTCTTGGCGGATCAAATGATGTCAGCGGATGACATAAATCATGTGGTCCTAGTCGGAGGTGCATCCAGGATGCCGAAAATCCGAAAAATGCTCATCGATTTCTTCGGTCAAGACAAGCTGAACATGGACTTGGATCCAGACTTGACCGTCGCGATTGGAGCAGCTAACATCGACCAGTGAAATCCTCTACTCCGACTCCCATCCCAGTCCCACACAATCACAATTCTTGATTATCCCTTCAAGGATCCCTGCTCCCCACTAGCAGCATTTTCTTGCTTGTACGACATGAAACATAGCGACACGACCTTATCCCCGACCCTTCTCTTGAGATCGAAGTTCATACCTCTATTTTTTCAATATGCATGGAAATGGATGGAGGTCATGAATTTTCGTTCACAATGTTGATGTCCCTTTTCTACTTCACATTGTTTTTTTCATTTGCACTGCAAGGTAGCCCAGCATCTTTTTCTGTTCGATGTTGTGTGATTGCGGTGTTTTTTCCAGCGGAAACCATGAGTCAATAGCTTCCTTCCATATCTACACAACCTTTCTCCTACGGACCACAAATTTGTGGCAACTCGAATAACTCGTCTTTGTTCGATTCGACTAGAAGGAGCTAGTTGTGTTAGACGAAGCATTGCTAGTACGATCAGTGACAGTACCAACCAAGAAGGCCTTGTGCAACTCGAAATCAAGCATCTGCACCACGGTGAGAGAAGATAAGAAAGAGTCAAAATGATGACAGTGTAGAGAGACAGTCGTGGCAGTCGTATCGTAGTCCTTTCTCCTTGAAAGCCTCGTTCGTGTCGAGAAGATCTATCGAAAAAGACGCAATTCAATGAAATTTCGAGACAAACTGCTATCTTCAAAGAGGTTTTTCCATTTCATCGAATTAGGGTAAAACTCGACGGCCTTAGATACTAAATGTATAACATCACGAGTTGACTATTTTCTCAACCCTCTAATGATCAATCTTTAGAAACTACGAGAAGGAAAAGCACGAGACTAAAAATAGCAAATAGAAATAAGACGTTAACGTTTCGAATATCAACATAAGGATGTCTGCTCTCCAGCTTCAAGAGAGCACACCTATGGAGGAGGAGATGAACGAAACTACCCATGCTTTCCAAGAAACAGACGCCCAGCATTCGAATCTATCCGAATCAGCCGGCGAAGGAAAGAAGGTGGAGAAATTCATCAACATCCTCAACTGTGCAGGCAACATACTTGCCAAAATTCCTTTGAGAAATGTCTGTCGCAGAACCGAGGAGACGAAAGTTGAAGAAACCCAAGATCATGTCCCCAGAAGAAGCTCATCTTCTTGCACCAGTACAACTAGTCACGATAGTAGTAAGGTTCACGTCGCTAGCGATAGAGCAGCAGCAAGTTCTGCAGTCAATTCGATTCTGAGTCGTTGTGGATTGCCTTCGATGCAAGACGATTCCCTGCAGATAAAGGAGAATCGTCGGTTGTCGGTGTCATCAGTGTCGACAGATGCGACTACCACGGCTGCAAGTGGCAACAGTGATAAGGAAGATGCGATGAAGGAGGACGAGAACGAAGGGACAATGGAGTTGTCAGCCGCTGATATTTGGATGCCTGCTTTACGAGCCGAATTCAAGCGCTTTTTGTTGCATGAATGTGCTGACGTGAATCGCGAAGTTTTGAATCTAGTACAAGACAAACTCACTCCCGATGTCACCAACTGGGTCGGTTATCCCCGACGAACGATCTTTGAGAGCACTTCATTGGTCAAGCGTGTGACGATTTCCACTCTGAGCTCACGTCCGAGTCCGGCACAAAGAACAGCGATGCTGGCGGAACAGGGGAAGAAAAGAACAACAGGTGACGCCTCCTCGTCTAGGAGACAGCAGGTGAATGATCAGGAGGTAGTGCCTGCAGACATCGCTGGTGAAGGAGGGAGCGCAGCTGACGCTCAGAGGAACAACGATGTGAACCAAGAGGGTGCTTACGCAGGTCCTTCTGTTCATCTGCTACCTTCGACGTCGAATAGCATGACGATCTGGCCGACGCTAGAACCAGTTGATGAAGGTAAAGAACAAGACGAAGATCCGCTTCAAAATCAAGGTGAGACGAGTAGCGGTGTTGCAGATTCCGACGACGACTTTTTTTCTGCACTACTCCGCGATGAATCCGGTTCCAGGACCAGTTCTAGTGCTAATCAACAAAGTCAGAAGTCTTCAACGTCCTCAACAAATACCACAACGTCATCAATTTCGCGTATGACCTTGGATAGTAATGGGAGCACGCAAGAAGAGATCACGAACTGCAAATTGCGCATCTACATCGAAAAGAGCAATCGCGCAGCCTGGCTAGAGTTCGCCTACGAGGTGGATGGTTGGCCGATGAAGAAAGAGAGACCTTTGGCATACAACAACAACGACATTCGAGCTGTGCGGATTGTGAAGATTATGGTGAATAGGAGATCAGTTTATTTTTCACTATATTTGCTCGGAATAGATATAGAATTAATTTGATCTTTTTGAAAATTTCTTGCTCTTTTTCCTGATAGATTCATGAACTCACATTCCTCGACCTCGTCTAACTCTAAGCAAAGCACCTCTTCTGCGAACACTTTGGAGTTGGATTTGGTCACAGCACTCGGCTTCATGGGCCAGACGTGTCGGCCGCGCAAGTTCGTCTTCACTTTTTCCTGTGGGACTGACCGCGACGCTTTTCTCTCCACGTTGCAGTCTTTGCGGAGCTTTCGTTTCGGTCAAGAAGACGACGTCCTAGTCGAACATCAATATCACGAGTGGAAGCTAAATTTGAATCAGAACGACGAAAATCTCAGTGTCTGGGACCGTCGTGACGAACTATGCCGCATCGTGAAGAGCGAAGAAATTCACACGCGGATGAAAAAGCTGGTATTGGAACGATCGAGTATTTTGCAGGAAGAAGAAATGCGTTTTTCGAAAATGGTTATGCCGAGTTTAGAAGAAGCAGACGACCTGCTAGATCATGATCAGGATCATGTTGATAACGACAAAAGTGGACTACACGAGGAGGCGATATCCTTGTGGCGCAAGTTTGATCTTTTCGAAGGGCTACTAGCCAATTTGCGGAATGTGGACTTGATGCCAGCTGAAGAATTCGGCTGCATGGCTGTTGACGGCGACGAAGAGGAAGGAGAAGAAGAAATCATAGTGGAAAACTTCTATGCAATCGTACCGATCAATGATGGAGGTAGTGTTTGATTTTGGAAGGTTGAAGCTGTAGTAGGTCTTCTCAAATTTGCAAATATAATGAAAATGTAAGGATTTGTTGTTCATGTTTGTTTGTTGAGGAGTGAATTTCTCACGTGTTTTGATGACCATTTTTGCATTTGTAATGTCGTAGTTGATAAGCTGAAGCTACTGCTGGGCATGGGCTAGACCCTAGACGTCCAGTATTTCAGAACTTTTTTTCAAAATCTCTTCACACATATTTCAATTGCCATATGATGCATCTAAGATTAGGACCGACAATACAGCAGCACCGGGATGTGCTGATTACTGAGTTGTACTGACATTATCTTATCATGAAAGAAATGTTGAGGTTGTAGAACTAATCGAACAAATAGAGCTGATGCATGATTGAATCTTTCGTATTCGTTGACCTACAAAATCAAGTTTTGCAATCGAACTTTTTTTTTACCGATAGATAAGAGCAGCATGATAACATGATCTTTTAGAACGACTATGACTGAAGTACTTCAGTGAAGTACTTCCTTGCTTGATAGTAGAACAAGGTAGCTGTAAGAAGTCAAGTGATGAGTCAATTCTGCACTCGCATAGCCATTGCCATAGTATATGATCTGTTTGATGTCGATTCCTCCTAGCAGTGGGAGTTGCTTAGTAACAAGAATTCTAAGAAAGAAAGTCGTAACAAGAAAAACGAGTTTTGTGCATAAGTAAGAAATAGTTTTGGTAACATCTCAGTTCTGGAAGTTCGGATATGGACCAAGTTCTTTTATCCATCTTTCATGAGTACAGGACTTGCAGGTCGTTGCTCTACTTTGTGAGCTAAAGGTTGTTGATTTCTCTCCACGAGAAGATGTTTGTACATTTTTGTATTTTTGCAGTAGAAGTTGAAGTATAAGTTGTATATGTTTGAGTTAAGCTGTACCAGCAGTAGTAGTAGTAGTAGTTGGCCTCTAAGGACTCAAACTCTATTCGAATAATGTAGTTCTTGTAATCGAGCAGGTAGAGTTCGTGAGTAGCTAAACAACTTAGTTAGGGTCTTTTAGGTTTGAAAAGAAGATAGAGTTAGACGGGCTGTGTGGCTGAGCTGTTATTTCAGAATTGTATACTCCTGTGTGAAAATAGAACGCTGATGAACAACAGAGAATCCTGCATCTCAAATACAACTGTTGATCTTGTTGTGTGAAAATGAATATATATAAAATCCTAAAGATATCTCCGAAGTTAAGCTTGAGATGCTTTATGGTGCTTTCGAAGCCGATGACTCGTCTCCGAGCCCGTTTGATTACGGCTGACGTCCTTTCGTATCGGTATGCAGTATCTTTAACTCCTTCCTCTTCTGTTGACTGAATCTGAAAGCTTATCCCTTGTCTGTTGACTGTGGGCGACGAAGTGGGCCCACACCTAACCGAACCTAACCTAGCCTGACTTTGCCCTTGACCATGGACGACGGGAAGTCTTCGGGTAATAAACATCGTAAGGCAAATGAACCCATCGAAATGACGTAATCGGTAACTACCCTTCGGATCATGGAGATGCGCCCCTACCACCCAATTAAAGCTAATAACGCAAATTATGATGAAAAGTTTTCGTTTCGATGCTCATCCTCTTTTTCTTACTCGTTTTTCTGGTGTCGATGAGTTGTATCTCAAGCTCAACCTACGCTTAACTGAGCTGCCTCTATATCGTTTACCTCGACGCTGATGCTGATCCGTGATGCAATATACCTTTTGCTAATTAGAGTTCAAGAACGATGCTCGTCAGACTCAGGATTTGTAGTTCACGTTGTTGATTAGCAGGTCGTTAGTATCCATGTCGATCTGAAAATGGCGGATAGAACGGGCAGTTCTGCTCGAAGGGTATCGGGTGGGAACCCGTTTCTGTCTGGTCCCGGTGTTTCACCCTGTGAAACAAGGCAGGATGACTGCTCTACCGAGCCTCCTCGTAAGAGCATCAAGGCTTTAACGCAGATATTTTCCAGCGGTTCGGCATCATCTTCGTTTGTAGCTTCAGCAGCACCGTCACCAACGAAAGTAGTACAACAAGGGAGCGTCGAGAGCAAGAGTAACAAGTTGCCGGTGTGCTTGTCTTTATGGTAGATTGCGTGTAATTGTAATTTATTTTGTTTGTAGTTGCGAGTATCTTTATTATGTTCTTTGTTGTTGTCATAGTCTTAGTCGCATAACTTGTATCATCACAGCTCTAATCTCTGCTCAAAAGTCATTCGGTGTCGTGAATCCAGACGCACTCGAAACGAAAAAGAGCAGTCCTGCGAATTTCCGTACCAGAGCAGGCGGTGGCTCACCTCTCAAACCCTACCTTTCACCTGTGAGAACCAGTCCGAATAAGGGACCATCTGCAGGAGCAAGTAGTCCAAGTAAGGCTAATGCCACATCAGCTACGACGCCGAGCAAGGTGACGGTAACGAAAGGTCCTCCGAGACGGAAATGCGTATCAATTGTGGCGAATCAATCTCTACTTGGTACTATAGGAGGCCAAAAACAAGCATGCCAATCTGCAGCCGCAGCAAGCGGTCCTACCCCCAGCGCATTCGAACACACCACGACGACCACGCAGAACAATATAAACAAGAAAACCGATGGTGGACCATCCTCTCCTACTCCTAGCGCTGCTGCAGCGAGAGGTGGCCCAGTGTTTTTGCCAAGTGTCGAACTTGGTAAGACGACGTCGCCACGCACAGCAAGTCGGAGTCCCAGTCAGGAGGGGTCGTCGGAGAAGCCTAATGATGCTTCTTCGAGCTTGTTGACGCCAGAACGGCAGAGGACGCCCCAAAAACAATTAGGAGGAGAGAATGCCGCGTTCGAGCGAGTACATGATATCCCGACGCCAAAAATGCGGCCTCTGATGACAAGGAGGACATCAGAGACCGAAGAAAAGACTTCTACCACTTCTACGACTGAATCAGGAAAAGAACAGAGGACTTCTACGACTGAATCAGGAAAAGAACAGAGGACTTCTACGACTGAATCAGGAAAAGAACAGAGGACTTCATTAGATAACGCAGGTGCAGCTACATCTTCATCTTCTGATCACGCAGATGCAGCTACATCTTCATCTTCTGATAACGCAGGTGCAACTACATCTTCATCTTCTGATAACGCAGATGCAGCTACATCTTCATCTTCTGATAACGCAGGCGCAACTACATCTTCGCCTTCTGATAACGCAGGTGCAACTACATCTACATCACAAGAGATGAAAAGCACATCTTCAAGCAATAACGGAGAAGAAGATCTCAGAGCCGAACTACAGCGACTGCGTGCACGAGTAAATGATCTAGAGGAGGGTAAGGACCGTCTACAATCAGAGCAGGAGGCGCAAGCTGAAACTCTAAAGGCAAGGCATGAAGCGGAGCTGGCTGAAAGCCTAGAGAACCAGAGAAAAGAGTTCGAGAAAAAAGTAGAAGAGATGAAGAAGGAGATGGAAGAATTGAAGAAGGAAAAGCATGTGGAGGGGACAGGAGATGAACACGAAGAGGAAAAAGCAGGAAACAAACAAGACAGTGCAGTGGATGAGTCGCACAACACGAGCTTCCTCTCGGCCGCCGAGGAAGCAGTCTCTGGGGCTAGCTGCTCTCCGTCTCCTCGAGAGGTCGTAGGACCAAGTAGTACGGAGGCAGAACAACAAGCACACGCGGACCCAGCTGTTGACGCCGAAAAACCCCTACTGTCTCATGAACCCGATGAAAAGACTAAACCAATTACTAGTGCTCAAGCGTCGCCAACTGAAAGCCACATTTCCATGACTTCTTCCGCAGTTCCTAGCAAGTCGTCAAGCCCCATCGAGAATACAGCTTCGATATTTCTCAACAAATGCCCCAGTAGAGCAAGTGGCAGTCGAGCAGCAAGTAGAATCACGACGCCGGTCACACCTACCGCGCCCTCTGCAATGGAAGGCGCTGTAGCTTCCGGCTCTGCTTCGGAGGGTATGATTGAGGACAGGAGCGAGGAAGTAGGGACAGAACCAGCAGAAAAACAGAGTAGTTCTTCTACTACTAGTAGTACAAGTGGAAGCCGGTCTAGCACGGTTTGCAGTGCACTTATCGAGGACAAAGTACGAGAAGAAATTGAGGCCAAATACGCAGAAGAGATAGCATCCATTCGAATAGAGAACACAAAACTACAGCAAGAGCTTTCTGAGCTCCGAAAACTACAAGAAAATAGTGCTAGTCTTGCTACAACTCCCGCTAGTGATACCGGTGTCTCCAGCGATGGTAAAGGTGGAGAAGGCGGTACTAGTAGTGGTGTTTCTACTGTTTCTGGAAAAAGTAGTAGTGCTAAAGGGGCGGGCAAGATGAACAAAGGACCACCAGTCCCAGGAAGTGCGGGTTCGACGCCATCCGCTTCACCACTGCCATCACCAACAAAGGGTAGCGCACCTTCTCCGCCAGCGTCTAGTGGAAAGGGACCTGCGCCGCCGCCTATACCAGGCTCTCTAGGAGCGCTTGCAGTGGCAGCTGGAAAAGCAAAGGGTGCAGCACCACCTGTGTCGGGAGGTGGCAAAGGCAAAGGTCCTCCACCGCCTGCGCCTCCAGGAACAGCTGCTCCGCCTGCTGTGGGAAAAAGCGCTAAAGGCGGTCCCGCGCCACCGGTCCCAGGAGCAGGCAAGGGCCCGGCTGCACCTGCACCACCCGGAAAAGGTGCACCTGCAGCTCCCTCCATGTCAGCTGGTGCAACAAAAGGAGGAAAAGGAGGCAAAGGCAAGGGCAAGAATCGCGCACCTCCCTTACCTAGGAGTAACGGTTTCGTGAATATTCCCTGGACCGTGATTCCTGAAACCGCACAAGACATCACAGCACCAAAACTGGAGAGGATGGTAGGGGATTTCCTAGGAGGCCTTTACGATGTCGACGAGATTGTGGCAACCGCCTCATTCGCTCTTTGTCGCGATGATAGCGTTGTGGTCATGGATCCGAGTAATCTACCTTCAACTTCTAGCAACAACCCGTCTTCAACAGAAGGTCTTGCGAGGACAGATTCTAGGGCAAGTGATGGCGAAGATGGAAACTCAAATCCTTCTCAAGCACAGCAATCATCCTCATCGACATCTTCCAGTAGTACCTCCTCAAAACAAGTCTCCGAGCAGGAACAAATCTCGCTAGCTGAGAATTCCTCCTCAGCAGAGGAAGCGGCACCCCAAGTTCGTATCAAGCCATCGTTGTGGTCGAGGGAACTGGTAAAGAAAGCTGTAATTCAAGACAGAGTGCTCCAATTCTTTAAGAAGCAGAGTGCGGCGTCGGCGAACTCCCAGAAGTCCTCACCAGCTAGTGACGAGAACAAGAGTTCCAAGGACATTGCTGCAGCTGCGGAGGCCAAAAAATTGTGCTTGATTGATGGGAAGATTATGGCTGCAAACATTTTTAATCGGTCCTCTGAGTCTGGGTTAGTACTAGTAGGCAGTACTACTTGTTCAAATTCTGACTCTGACTTAGTATGCAAAATAAATTATAATATTGATAGAGCCATGACTCCCACTCCTAGTTCAAGATTGGATTACGATTACTTCCTACCTAGAGCAGTGATCTTCTTCTAACTCTCTGGTCCAGCATGGTGAAATCCTGTGGCGCGCTATTTCCAAGGAGTTTCCAGCGAAGAACAACTTCGATGTTTGCCGGCAGTTTCGAACCGCTTTTTTGGATTGCACCCTTACTTCTCCCGACTCCCTCGCCTCAATACGACCCCTTATCTCCTGCGTCCAGGAAGCCTTGAACAAAGACCGAGCTCTGATGGAGCGTCCAATCGACGATTTCCAATACCCACATCTCCACAGGCTCTGCTTCGATATATGCAGGATATCGGGGTACTGATGATGACTACAGCGAGCTGTTTTCTTATAATTTTGTTTTGTCCACGATCCGCGCGTGAGCTGAAGCTGCAGAGCTAGTTGCACCTGATACAACGCTTTTTTTTTCATTTTAACAAGGAAGGACGAGAGTCGTTTCTTAAATTCTAAGGCCAAGGAGCTTGTTTTGTCCACCTCATCTGTAGGCTTATTGTTTCTTACTGCTCTTTCCTAGTACTGCTGAGCACTCTCGTGTTTGTCAAAACTGACTTCTATCTAGGTTTTGTACAAGATCTCTCCTACTTTAACCTCATTTTGATCACACAACACAGGTACGACGAGCGCATTGACGTGATGGTGTACAAACTGGAATTCCCACATTTAGCAAAGGAGCTGATGGAATGCATTGATATTGTCACAGCGGGTCTTCAAGTTCTCACGAGGAGTCGAAACGTGATCCTGCGGATGTTTAAGCTGATTCAGGAGTTTGGCAACAAACTAAATGCAAACTGTCAAGCAGCGACGTGCGAGAAGGGATTTCGTACCTCTTGGTTTTTGTTACCTTGGCAAGAAATGCAGTGTCTTATGTATTGAATTTACGTTAATGTTAAATGATGCCAGCTCAAGCTCCTCCAGGATGACAGCCAACATCTCCGCACAGGTCTCACATCCCTTGAGCGCATTTGCGACGTGAGGAGTTCTACGCTTAATGCCACGTTCTTGCATTTCGTGGTCTCCATGATGGAGGAGGAAGTCCTTTTCACGGAGCAAGACTGCAAAGCCCTGCGTGATGCACGTATGATTCGAACGTACGCTGTCTATGACAAGGCTAGAGCATTGCTGGAGCCTATGCAGGAACTGCAGGAGCTCGTGAAAACAAGTCGTTTTCGCGCCAAGCGTATCGAGCGACGTCGCGAAACCATTGGTGGTAGCATTGACAAGCGTGACCGATTCCATGAAGCTATTGGCGGCTTTTTGGACAGAGTAGCAGACACAGAAGAACAGTTGCGATCCCGGTCTAAACAGTTCTTTGCCAGCTACGTGCAATTTGGGCTGTTCGTAGGAGATTTGCCCACTATTTGGCCTCCACCTTGCTTGGATTCAGATCCAACAAGGGACTTGTTTGAGATTTTCGACGTTTTCGCAGAACGTGTGCGAGCAGTGCAGAAAGACTTTGGGTTAGGCGGCAGAGGAAGCAACAAGCGGAGATCGGTACGCAGTTCGGTGAGAGGGAGAGTTATGGAGTCGTGTACTTACATGAAGACGAATCGAGTTTAATTGTCATGAGCTTTCTATTCCTCGGACGTGACGTGGAGGAACAAGAGCAGGCTAAGCTACTTGCGTGATGATCCCTTTAGGGCAATATGAGTAACGACTACAACGACCTTAGCAATTCATACATTGGGACCCTCTAAGTCACCTACTGTAAACGGACCGGGCGAGCCTGCTTTTGGTGCGAACCGGCTGTCAGCGCGCGCATTTGCGGCTTCAGATTGTCCGTCAGAGGTCAAGAATGTGCACATGCTGTGGGATTACATTCAAGCCTGTAATAAGGGAACTTCCGCAGGAGAAAAACCAGCGATGACCGTGGAAAGATTCACGTCAATGTATTTTTAACGACCTGATTCTATTTCTAGTACTATGCGTGATGTAGTTCCTTCTATTCGAAAACTCAAAATAACCGAGTTACTGACTGAAATAAGGGAGGCACTAGCTTATAGCGTCAAGGCTACCTTTCCTTCTCATCAGTATCTCGGTTATATATTCTGATCAGTTACTCGCTTATTTCAGTTTTTCGAGTACTTCTGCATTCGGGCTCCTTCTATTTTCTCTGTTCTGCTCTTTCCACAACAGATCAAACAAGTCGTCGCCTACCGCATCATCTATCGATGAGTGCTCCGGATCCAGCACACCTGAAGATGCCGCTCCTCTGTTCTGCCCACCAAAGCGAAAAACAGCACCGGCAACAGTAGCAGACAAGGCTTTGCTCGAATTCAAACTTCGATGTGCTCAACGAGCAAGTTTGGAGTCTAATGGAGGAGACGGTGAAGGTGTAGTTGGTAGTGGTACTACGAAGAATGCAGGAAGTGCAAGTAGTGGTGTCACGAGGACAATTGACTCCACAATAACTAGAACAACTGCTCCTGGGCAACAGGCTGCTTCAGGTGGACTAGATGGAAGTAAGATACCTTCTCCCGTCGAGTCCTTTGGTAGTAGCCAAGAACTGGGGCAGTTGTCGGATGTTTCGGCTTGGAGCGAAGACGATGCTGATAGTAAGAAATCGTCTCCGGTAACTACGAACCCCTCACCTACCAACAGTTGCGATCAAGTCGTGCTAGTGGCTTCTCCATCGGCCCTTACATCAAGCACCACAGCTCCGAACCCGGTGGTGATGTCATCTACTTCTACTGGTAGTAGTAGTGCAACCACTGGCGTCGTTTCTTCTCAATTACAGAAGACAGCTTCATCCTTTTCTGGTCGAATAGGAGGACAAAGCGGGAGTCCTGAGAAGGTCGTCTCAAGCTCAACTACATCTTCAAATACTACCGCAACTGGAGCTCGTTTCGTGCGCTTTGATGCTGACCGTGTTGTGGATGATAGCCTAGAAGAATTATCGACAAAACCGGCACGTCCTCCCCGTAGACCTCCGCTGGCACCTGGGACGACTAGTGCCGGAAGTAGAGGTCTTGGGTCAGAGGAAGGACAAGGAGGAGGAGGTCAGGTGGAACATCACAACAGCTCTTCTTTGGCTGTCGATTCACAGGATGCAGAGGCATCACGTCAGCAAGCGGCTCCTCTATTCAAGACAGTGCGTCCTGGACGCAAGCCGTCGGTGTTCAACTCGCGTCCACCTCGTAAATCGCTCAGCGCTTTCGCAGATCGCGTCACCCAGCGTAGTCGCTTCGTTTCTAACGAAGACGAAGGCAGTTTCGACTGAGGAGGTTTCGACTGACCTCTTGATGTTGAAAAAGACGAATTATCATAACAGGTATTTATCATGGTGTAGGTGTTAGTGTTCGAATATGTTTACACAGGGCGGACACCATTTTTCTCTCCAGGACCTAGCTTCCTGGACGTATTTTGTTAGAGCATCGATTAATCAAACAGATGATTAATCAAGGCCAATATCTAACGACAGAAATTACATACATAGATGAAGTCTGGTACAACAACAACTGAACAATGTCGTGAACAGATTGAAAATGTACCATCGCATTATTGATCAAAACAATTAAAAGTGCTAGTTGGTTGAGTAAATTGTGTGAAAAGTTTTTGCTTAGTTTCATTTGTCATTCAAACTTTCCGTTTCGTTTTCAAAACAGTAAGAAATGCACCAAAAACTACTAACTGAAATTGGAATTCATTGGCGACTTGAAAATCACTATGCCTATGGGGGGTGAATTGATAAGAGTCTTAAGTATTTTTGTTTGGGTTTTCCGCCTTTTTATTTCTGTCTTATTTTTGGATCGCCACATCATTCATCATGATGACATCTAGGGTTGTATTTCGTATATTGTGAAGTTGAAGTAGCAGCATGAGCATGGAGATGTAGAATAAATCCGTTGAAGTTCAACTGAATCGCTCAACTCTTTACAAGAACAAATTAAGCTGAAAGCTTTGATTTCCCAATGCGCCGACCATATTGTATGCCTTTTGATACGAGTGAACACAGCAGTCGGAGTTGTAATGCATGATCATGAGAAAGTGTGCTGAAGAGTCGCAGCGATGAATGCGGATACAACTGCAGTGAAGATGAGGACATGTTCCGGGAGTCTACTTGTCAAGGATGCATTTGAGAAGGATGCCCTAGCCGCGTTGAGCTATCAGCGTGTTGCGATGCTTACTGCTTTGCTCAGTCTGTTTCAACACCAGTCACAGCGAAGCAGAAGCCGATCCAGAGAGAGCACGCAACTACAGCGAAAGAGAAGCCAATCCAGAGAGTAGAGCACACAACTAGTACCACTACCAGGAGCAGTGCCGACAGAAATAGCATTGACTGGTCCCGATGAGATCACAATAACAAGAGAACACAGTGGATCGTCCGCGTCTCTGTTTTCCACCGTCGCAGAAGCCTTGCATCGCATCAAGCACCAAGGAGGGGCCTTTCTCTGCAAAGACTCCAATCTAGCACAAGAACTGAGTCGCGCTTTAATACTATACATCTTCCAGAATGAGGACACTCGTGTAGTGCGCATCGTGCATTGCCTTGGTGGACGAGGTGGAAACAACAGTCGCAATCCTAGTGTTGGTCAGGAAGGAGCCGATGGAGAACAAGCACAAGATCAGGAGGAAGAAAAACATATTCTACGAGATTACAACGTCTCCTTGCTGAATTGCATGTATCCGGAAGCAAGTATCTATCAGCTTGTGTTTGGTTCATCACCCGCCCTTCGTGCCTGCCGTTGTGGCGTATCTGTCAAAGAAATTGAACATTTCAGCCAGCAACATGTTCATCACCTGTCCGACGTCAAACTTCCAGTCCAAGTTAGACACCCCAGGAGGTGTGCGAGTCATTCTGAACAATGAGGAAGAAGAGACGAGCGAATTATATCGTGACGAGGACGAAATGGTGGAGGGCCATCTTGGCCAGCAAAGATCATATTCTGGAAATGCATCTGCGTATCAACCCTTGCCAGCAATTGCAACGTAAGTAGCAGACTAATAGAGAAGTTGTTGTTGTACCACCTGGGCGTACTACTTAGACGAACAATGTCGTGGACGAAGATGAAGATCATGATCGACAGTTCTCAAATCCGCTCAATAGTGTTTTTCTTTCTGTCATGACACAAGCCCATTGCAAGTTGGAGTAGCGTTTTCACACAGCACTTCTTCTTCTAAGTACTTCAATACGCGAGCTTGAGAAGATCTGTTGAAGATTCCTGGACTCCAATGATTCGCTGACACAGGAACAAAGTACAAGCACGAAATGAAGAAGATCTTTATTTTGTTGATGCGGGTACGTCAACAAGAACAACCTAAGGAACAAAAGATGTTACGTTCTGTCAACCAAAGTTCCGAGAAAACGCTAGGATTTCGGGCAGACCCATGCTATACGTATACCTGGCCAAGATCTTTTTTTCAGAGTCAGAGTGGTAGTTGTATGTAAGTCAACGATCATGATCATGTAATTCAAGTTTCTTTTTGCGGATTCATTGATCATGCACTTTCCATGCCTATCAGGGTTGTCTACTTCTTTGTGCTAGTCTCACTGTGCGTCTGCGACCATCTTGAACTTGTGATGTAAAACAAGGAGCTATTTTTAAACGACAGTTTTTATTTGACCAAGGACCTTGATAAAATCCCAATCCTTCCACCGAAGACATTGAAATTGAATAAAAACGACACTTTTTATTTGACCAACGCCGAGTCACAAACAATCATGGCGACTTCTTCGACGATAAATCCTTCTACCTCGACGTCCCCTTCTCCTTGTCCGACAGAACCAGAAGCATCTTCGACGATAAATCCTTCTACCTCGACGTCCCCTTCTCCTGGTCCGACAGAAGCATCTTCGACGACAAATCCTTCTACCTCGACGTCCCCTTCTCCTGCTCCGACAGAAGCATCTTCGTCTTCCAGCTGCAGTAGTACCTTCCATTCTTACCTTCTGCTGCACAATGTTGGAAAGAAGCAGAATTTTGGGCAGCTTCTACGCTCAGCCATGGCTTTTGGCGTGTCGGAAGTTGGTGTCGTAGGTGCCAAGCGAATTGCGGACCTCTCCTTGTTCGGTAACCAAGGGACTACAGGTCACTGCAATTTTCGGTTTTTCGATTCGTTGGCTGATGCACAACGCTACTACCACAAGCCAAGCGCAGAAGGTGGTCCGGGTGCGGATATCTGCGGGATTGAAATCTCGAACGAAAGTAGAGCGATCTTGGAAGTGGTCGAAGAAGATGCTTCTAGAAGGGAAGATGGTGGAGCTGATCAAAGTGATGGACCTAAGGCAAGTGCTGGAGCTAATCAAAGTGATGGAGCTGCTACTTCATCAACGAGGGATTTAGACTCTTTCAATCTTCTCACGTGTCGTACTCCTTTCCGGAAGTCAACTTGCTTCATGCTCGGCAACGAAGGTGCGGGAATGAGCGTGCAACAACTCCGGATCTGCGATTTCCTTGTCCACATCCCACAATATTCAGCTGCAACAGCCTCGCTCAATGTCGCAGTCGCTGGTAGCATTGTTTTGCACCACTTTGCGCTGTTTGCTAGGTTTCAACCGCACACAATCTGTGGCGAGAAATTCGAGGTTGCCGCACCACGATCGAAGGTGGAGAGGTTTCAGAACCCAAATGAAAACGAGCGGGAAGAGATTGAAAGGAAAAGATTGGCGAGAAAGAAGCAAACAGAACAAGATTGCGGGGAGGAAGTAGGCGAAGAGGAGTTTGATCTTGATGTTGCAAATGAAGACATGAATGAACAAGCAAGAACTCTTTGTAGGAAAGGCGGGGCGTGAGGCTCTTTCTCTAGCTTTTGCACTTCGTGATTCTGCTAAGTAGGAAAAATGAAAGTGCGCCCTTTATAATTCGCCCCCAAAGACCTAAGACCATGAGCTACAAGTGCCCAGCACCATGACTTTGCGCTGCCCATTTCTGAACGAATACAACCTTTAATGCACTCGTCGACGACGTGTCATGACTAATAATGTTAGGCACGGCGTGATTTGTGATTAATAAACAACAAAACAACACGAATGGATGCGCATGCGTCGCTAGAAGTGTTCTGAAGATCGTGCTCGTCCACGGGTTTTCACGCTTCAAATATTCACATGGACAAGTGAAAAGAAGACCATGCAGTCAGATCTGTAACTGAGAGCGTAAATGAGAAGCATCTTCCAAATAGAAAATGTGCATCAGCATCTTCAGCATCGATCATCCACTGCCTTCACATTGGGGCTTTCTTTACAACCACACGATACTTCATATCATTCCCCAAGAGCAAGACTAAGAGAGAGAACGACAAAAGCCACAGGATGCAGCCTGATGAAGGCATCCCGCTCAAGAATTTTGCTGGTGGAGAGATAGAGGAGGACGTACGCACTCTACCTACTTCACCAGGCGATGGCATCACTCGTTTTCGCTGCAACAGGCTTCGTGCATTGTCGTCCGATTACGTGGATGCCCCGCAGTTGGATCCTGATGGGAGCGACGTCGAGGCGGAAGGCTTCTGCTCGCCGCGCTCTCAGCGTGCAGCACCAGTTGTGGGCAATGCGTTCGCTGTTCAGCGACTGGAAGAGGAGCAGCCAAAGCAGACTAGTAGTAGAAGTAGTTTCCAAGATGTCAGTAATCTTGAGGTGGATCATCTGGAAGTGGAACAACTGCTGCAAGATCGTCTGCGAGAATCCTCCGCGTCGCGAGATATTCTAGCTGCGCACAGTCATGAGACAGGGCACCTAGATGACGATGAGGCAAGCTGGTTCACATCTTGTGTTCGCTCCCTTCCCTTCCCTTCCCTTCTCGTTTCTTCTTCGTATTTGCACCATTTCGCGTGCAGTTGCAGAGTTCGCGCACAAGTGGCTACTCGAGCGTCGGACTTTCCTGATTGCGGCGTTGTTATTTGGCGCATTTTTGCTTCGCGGGTTGACAAGAAACGCGTTTCCATCGTCCGTTGTGAGCAAAACAAGACGTGGAGGCGCTCGTCTTTCCCCGTCGTCATGGGCACAGATAGCTCGCAGTGACACCTACTACTTGTTCCATGCGATTACACGAGAATCAGAATCCGAGAGTACTAAGAGTGAGCAAGACCATAAGGAAGAGTGGCAAAACTTCGTATCCAGGGTTTTGAGATCCTCCTCCAAGAATCGAATACTCCGCAATCTTTCTCTTACCGTACTGCCCCTACACGTATCCGGCGAGGACGGCCAGGTTAATAATCCACGGGCACGGGCGCGCATCTTGTTCCAATCAGGTCTGCTCTTTCATGCTGATTCATGCAGGGTTTATTTCGGAGGCAGCGACGACGACGTCTTACAGACTAGTCTTGTGGTGCGCACAAGGAGACATAGCGGATGGTTTGCTTTAAGGCGGGCTAGCAGTTGACATACCTCCACCTAGAATTTTTAGGCATTCCGCGAAGAGTACACGAATTCCTAATAATTCTTATGCAAGAGATAGAGACGTATGTTACTTGGAAGCCTCTACTTAGTGAAGCAAACAGGCGCGAGAGCGGGGAATATTCAAGACGATACGATGATCCAGATTCGTGGTTTGTTGCGGCAATGGCCTGGTACCTACATTGGCAGGGAGACCCCGACGTATCGGAAGAACAAGCAGCTTACTTCGGTGACAAATTTACTCAGGGTGCCTTTGATCATCTTGCAGGGTTGCTGGACAACACGGCTGTGTTCGGAGAGGGATCGCGTGAGTCGGGGTTGTACCGGAAATTTAAAGAATGGTTGGAGGGGATGGGGATGATTAGATCACTTACAACAACCTCCAAAGCAAAGGCAGAGGAGGACGCGGGTAGCGGGAACAGAGGTGGGGGCCAGCACGACCCTCAGAAGAACAATTTTGCGCGCAATGCATATCTATTAAGAGTGGCGGACTCACCCACGGAGATGGACGAGGACTTCTATGACCACTTGCTGTCCAACGCTAAACAGAGATAAGGCTCGAGGTCACATCTCGCTGTAGTAGAAATGCATAATGGTCGTGATGGTCCACAGTAACAGTATTTCATTCATATTTTTGGTATAGAGAGCGAAGAACCTTGTTGAATTTCCAGGAAATACTTGAAATTGGAGCGCTTTTGTAAATCTTTTGACTTTTTCGAATCAATCTCCGACGTCTCTCCTGTGTGAATTTGAATCACTCCAGAATATTCTAATTCTGAGAATAGCGATACCAATTTGCTTAAAGGATATTTTTGCTTCGTTCTTCAACACGTTGCGATCATTGGCGCGGACGAAATAGTTGAGTACGTAATATATGAATACAGCGGGTTCATCGTCCACCTGTAAAAATCCCTCTAAAGATGAGAAACGATCTCGGAGGTGGTTGCGGACTGTCCGTTTGATGCCATCGCAGGGGCTGTTGTACCTGCTCGCTTTGGCGCGGATTCCCTATTGCGGAACAACAAGATGTCAGCCAGAGGTCAGCTGTCGTCTGGAGATGGGGTGGTGGCTGCACAAGCTGCAGTGGCTACTTCTTCAGAGTCTGGCTCTGTGCTGGATCAACTTGTGTCAATGAACGCCGCCGCGAGCGTGCGTGACTTTCCGATTTACACAATACCGACAACAACTTGGAAATGGAGATCCGCCATCCTCGTGAACGGAAATGAAGAACACATGAAAAAGCTGGAGCATCCGCAAGCTAGCGCTCCCGCTCCCGCTCCCATCGAGAAGGAATCTGCAGGTGGCGGTGCTCGTGATCATGCTGACCCTGACGCGCTAGAGACTTCAGAGCTACTGGAGACTTCGCCCAGCGCTGATGCAGTTAGTGTTGACGAGGACTTTAGCGATACTACTACAATTTCAACTACTGTAGAGGAGTTGGTAGAACGCGTGGTGGATAGAGCAGCATTGAGTGTATGGAGCAGACACAGCATCGCCACGCATGGAGTGCATGGGTCACGAACAAGCGCCCGGCCCACTCGGGGGTGGGTGGGTCGGGGGCTGTAGAAGTCGGGGTCGGTTGGTCGGCTAGACTGCCGCCGCGGGAGCGCTGCCTTGTGCGTAATGCGGACGCGTGACGTACAAACTGGCGGCGCTGCAGCAAGCTGATTTCTTGCGCGCGGCAAGGGTCTCGGCCCGCGCGTGAGTGTGCTCGGAGATGTAGCAGCTGGCTCGGGGGCAGGCGGTCTGGGTGCTTGAAGTTCCCGCCGGGGGTGCGGAGCTGTAGGCGTGTGGGCTCTGACGAGGGACCGCCCGAAGGGCGCACCGAGAAAATTTTCACGCATGGAACACATGGAGCACCTGCTCCATGCAGCTCCATGCGATCCATGCACTCCATGCCGTGCGAGCTGCCATCAAAACTTATAAACTATTCTGCTACAACTGAAACCACTGTGCCCGCAACCCAAGACACCACTACTGGAATAACTGGCCCAACCATCTCTGCGGGTACGTCTCCTGCATCTGCTGTCGCTGCCAGTACCTCGGGAAAACAAGCGGTCCCTGCTGCTGCAGGCTCTCCTGCTGTCGGAAAGGCAACTCCTGGCACCTCGGCCGTCGCGGCCAATGCTGCTGGTCCTGGTAATACCGAACAATAACAAACTGTAAAGAAAGGTAGAAGATTTGGATTCCCCTCCTTTTCATGGATACAACGAGGAAAGCGACCAGAACAAAAGCAATCTACAATCTTGCAGCCGATATGTGGCTCCGATGGCTCATCCCGATTCGTAACTAGTTAGAGTCAAGTAGCTCGTGTATGGTGTTGGTGTGGGCCTGACCAATGACCACGCCCATTCACGATTTCTAACCTCGATGCGGAGGGCGAGGGACCATTTTTGGGATCATTTCGTTAAATTTTAATTGCGTTTGCGGCGATGGGGGATGTTAAACAGTCATGGATGAGGAGTGCACGACAAGGGAGGGTCAGTCGGTCCACAAGAACAGTGTCTTCTTATAACATGTGGATGAAATGGAATTTTGTACTGGATTTTGCTAGGCTCCTGTGCTCATCAGACAAAAGACCGAGAAATTACTCAGCCTCACGAACAAAATGGAGAAGCAGATAAGTAGCACGACAGACACAGAGCCCAGAAGGCCTTATAGATACGTTCTTCCAACAATGTCAGTATCCTCGTAGAGCCATTAAAGTCCTTCTTCTCATTAGTACCGCGGACAACGACAAGGACAATAACAATAACAATTTCCGATTAAATATGAAATTGGAAGACCGGCGTGGGCGGAAGGAAAGTACTGGAGGGCGGAATTATGCGAATGACGAGGACGTGCGTGCATTGACGAAGATCAAGGGAGAGATGACGAAAGTGAAGTCGAGTGAAGCAGCCCAAATGATCAGTCGTGAAGATCATGCATGCGATTAGCAGACCTAGTGCTATTGCTCCATTCTTTTGTAGTATTTCAATCCCTTCTTAACAAGCAAGGCAAAAAATACTGTAGTTAAGGTGGCTTCTCTTTCTCGAAGAAAGAAATAGCTCCTCTGTCGTGCCTAGGTATGGTATTTGGGTCATTTTCACATGTCGACCACCGTTTTCTGAAGATCTCTTTCACAACAATTTTGCTTGCCGTACCCCTCGACTTAGTACCTCAGATTCAGGATGGGCGAGTCGTCGGGCAATCATGTCAAGCTGCTTGCCCTTGCCCGTTTTCACGTGGTTGCAATATTCAGCGTCTTGCTTTTTTGTTTGCAGCTATATGGCGACTGCAGTGCTGCTGTACTAGTTGCCGTTCAAGTTGTGGGAGACGGACACGGCGTCGCTCATGGAGCAGCAAACGTCGCTCAAGCAGTCACTCAGCAAGCAGGAAACGTCGCTCAAGAAGCAGACGCCTCTCCTTCGTCGGACAAGACGAGTGGCAGTTCGTTATCTTCAGGGCAGGAGACAGCATTCGATGACCATTCCTCCGATGGTGTCGACTCCGAACACGAAGTACAGTCTAGCGCTGGTGAAGGAGATGCATCTTCATCAACTGTTCTTTCGGTTTCCGGCGCTTCATCCTCTGCGGACGAGTCAGGACCGGGGACGCAACAAGATGGGACAAAAGTAGAAGAAGGAAACTCTAGTTCAGGAGATGCTAAAGGTACTACAGCACAAGAACAGCATGCCAACGTCGCGAACTCACGACTTGCATGTACAGAATCTATCGATGTGATTCCTTTGCTAGAAGGGGGTCGAGGGGCAAAGCACAACATCGTCTTTGGTGACGATGAATGGTGGCACAAGAACAACAATACAGCAGGTGACACTGGCGACGACGCGAATCATCCAACATCTTACTTAAGGGAAATAGCTAGCTCACTATCTGGTCGGAGGTACCTATCCTGGGTGGCGTTCGCCTTGATTTCGCTTGGAAATCAAGGGGAAAGAGGGCAAACTCACTCCACAGCGGATAGTGATGGACCGGCGCTAAATTACTCAACTTCTGACGAGGAAGATGATAGCTGGTCTTCTTGGATTGCAAATAGCATTTCGCAATTGCTAGGATTTTCTGGTGCAGCAGCGGAAGGTGACGAGGAAAACGGAGGTCCTCAAGGCGCTGAGCAACACCATCTTAGAGTGGTTGAGGAACAGGATCACGATGAGAAAGAGAATGAAACTGCGTTTGGTCGTGATGAGGTTATAGACAGACCTGGAGGTGCTGCTGGAGATGCAGGTTTCTCTTCAAGAACGAACACGAATTCCTCAACAACTAGAACTAGGCTTGGCCCTTTGTCTTCTTTCACACCTGCTCATGGTGTACCAGGAGGACAGAAACACAAGACCTCCTCCGGGGCGGTGTTCATGATTCCGCGCGTGGTGATCTATGGTGGAGGAAGTAGCTCGTCAACAGAAGCTGCAAAGACCGCAAAAGCTCCAGACCCTGTCCATGTGACCATCGACCCAACGTCACCATCCGTGAAATTCCCATTGGGACCGATCAATCTCAAGCTCATCATGCTGGACGAAAACGATGCTCCCCTGGCTGAGCACCAGACAGATGGGGGGACGATTGTTCCGAAAGTAGCTGTTCCTGTAGTTAACTATGGAGCTTCAGTTGGGGCTGCGACAGTTCTTGGGTACAACTATGATGCAGGAGAAGGGACGCCTCGTCCTACATCTACTGCACCAGCCGACGCAGGACCAGAAGATGAAGTGCTGCAGGTTCCGCAAGAATCGCATGAGCAGTCATTACCTCGCCTCCTTGGCTCTGAGCAGTCAGGACAAACAGCAGATGAGCATAAGGGTGAAAATTCTTCAACAAAACCAACAATTCCAGATGATCCTTTTGTTTCTTTCCTTTCCGCTGGCACTCAGGGTACAGCAACGCAGGAAGAATTCAGCTCGGCAATGTCTAGCATACAGCCGCATCAGTTCTCGACACAATTCCCCACAACAACAGTGCAACAGCCTTACGGTGGTCCCATGCAGATGGTCAACACAATACCAGGGCCTACAAATAAGTTGATGAACGCGACCACTAGCACTACATTGCCCGCCTACATTACAACTGGAAGTAGTTCTACGCAAACAGGGGTGCCAATTCTTCAACCAGCGAGAGGAACGACTTTCATGGTAGCTTCGCCACCTGTTCCTTTTCCTCCTACGCCAACCACGTCGTATCAGATAGCGAACAGTAACTCGTCAGCATCAACACCTTCTATTAGTATGGGAGTCGGCATGCCTGTGGCTCTGCCCCGCCTAAATGTGGCCCACCACCTTACAGCCTCGGCTGACCAGCCAGAAGGAACTCGTCAAGCAGCTGTTGTCCAGCCCATCGCCTATGGCAGTCTGACCAACAAAATCGAGACACTAGTCGGAAAACGCAACTTTTTCGTACGTGGTCGGAGCAAAGGGGCACGGACTCGCGCAACAGCGGCAACAGTATCAGCAGCTGCAACGCCAACGACTGGCACCACCGCCGCAAATTCTACAGCATCTAAAAGTGGCATAACAAAGCAACCAGTGAAGCAGGAGACGAACAAGGCAGCAGCGCCAACGATAGAAGATGATCCAGGTCGTTCTGCAGCGCTAACTTCTGAGCAAAGGGAGACATATACTCGAGAAAGAGAAGATGCGGCGCGACAGAAGACACGCCAGGAGCAGTCGCATCAGCAGCCTGTTCGAGGAGCAACTATTAATACAGGATCAGGAAATGTTACAAATGCTATAAAAACGCTTCGTGTAGTTTCTAATCCCATTGCAGATGCGTCCTCCTCCGCTCCACAGCCTTCAGAACAAGAACGCGCACCCTCATCATCAGCCGCCGCATCATCCTCAGCTTCTGCGGCGAATATGGAGCAACAGCAACGCCTTCTACAACCTTCAACTGCCACTTCCACTGGAACTACAAAGCGACCAGTGGGTGTTGTACAACACCTGGTGCCATCACCAACATCATCCTCACAGGTAGTGGTGAAAGACGTACCAGAGCAGCCAGCTGCCCCACCGGAAGTTTTAGACCTTTGGCAAGTAGAGGGAGTGACAGGTCCGAAGAGTGCGGAAATGTCAATTGTGGATTCTCGGATGATACCTAGTCCGGGAGCAAAGTCGGCACCGCTGAAAATGACTGCTTGGGACAGGCAGAAAGTTCTTATGACAATGACAGGATGTTGTTTGAAGATTATTTTTGGAGTTCGATGAAGTTCAAGTTCCTTGTTATTGATTTTTCACTATAACTCGTAATCCTTATCCTACGATCCATCATCATCAAGAACAAGCATGATCATGTCCTCACCGACACCGCTTTTTCCTCTTCATAAAAGTGCAGTTTGAATGCATCTCCGAAAATGCAGCTTTGGGGAAATGCCGGGGCTCGCGATGGGCCTCGAGCCTAGCTAGTCGGGCTATCAGCGCAGCAGGCATCGGCTTCGAATGGCATACTACACCGGCTAAGGTTATGGCAGAAAGGACGAGGACGACTCAAGTAGTGTAAAAACAATAACATGAAAAGTAAGATGCCTTCTAATGATAGCAGAGCCAGAGCTACTAGAGGACAAAAGTACTTACACTTCGAAATGCAGTTAGCACAGAACCAATGATTGAAAATAAGTAGAAGAGAAATTACTCTCTGCTCTTACTGAAGTGCGACCCTCACATCTCAGTGAAATTCCCTAACAAGCTCATTTCACTCACATTTTTTCATCTAATCGCAGCCGTTTAACGCTTCGCGTAACGGGTATCGACTGGAGCAACGTTGAGGGTTATCTCAATCTCGCGAAACGCTTTGTCCGTTTGGGAGGTGATGAGCCGACAGAAGTGATTTTGCGATTTGAGTATCCTTTAAGGCTCATTGGAATCTATCTTGAGAAGCCTCTCGTCTCTCTTTGACTCCTACGGACTTTTTTAAAGGCAAAAATCGAAAATACATCACATGTCAAACAAAGATCGATGATGCTTTTCAAGATAAATATGCATAGGTAATGGTAAGGTCTAACTCCTAGCGGTGGCGCGTTGGTGACGCGATCTATACTCGTGCAAGTCTGGATGGGGGAGAAAAAATGAGATTCGGAAGCATGCATTTTCTATGTTGGAATTCTAATTCAAATTTGTCTGATGTCTGCGAAATATCAAACATAGACTATCATGCATCATGATCATGTCAACACATTAAGTAAATTTTGTATCACTTTCAATGCGTTCGAACAATTTTCTAAACTACATAGAAATAGATTCATCATTTCTATTCAGACATTCATGGTTACTTATATGGCATAGGCATACTCTACTTCATCATCTTCATATTCTTGAACACGTTCGATCTTTTCTTCCATCAAAGCACCAAGATTTCGATTTGATAATGGCGTCGATATTCTTATCCACTATTCGGGTTCGACTCCGGCCACTTGAAGTACCACCTTGTGCTTACTCGTAACCACATGGTCACCTAACTTCAACTTCAACAAGACCCCATCAGTCACGCTCGAAAGACGACTCATTGATCACGTCACTTGAATCCAGAATCGTCAATTTTGTATCTCTGCTTGTCTGTCTGAAACGCAAAGGTCGGAGGTAATAGAACATTCAAACTAAAGCAAAAGCACGCCGACGGACCGTCGTGAAAAGGTCCTCGCCGTGAAGAAATAGACTTTTATTATGGCGAACCCGTACCCGAACCCGAAGTAGATGTCCTTCATAAACCTAGAAGATCAACAGTATCTTCTGTAATGTTGCTTGAGCGTGAGCGAGAGGAGCGACTATCATTTTTTTTGTTTGGTTCTTAGAATGGCGTCGACTGAGATTCGGTAAAATGTAAAAAATAGATATCGGTAAAATGTACACAGTCACAACTTTCAGATCATACGCAAAGATACGGAACTCGAGATCTTACTTTTTCCTTCTCTTAAATTCCGCAAAGATGCACCATCAAGAAGAACACGAACAACAAAGTGCGCGTTGTGACAACAAAGCGCGCCTAGTCAATCCCTATTGTCTTTTTTACAACAACAACCAAGTGACGTTGGAAATTGAGAAGCTTTATTCCACTTGTGGCCTCTTGCTGTCATTGAAACAAGTACGTCGTCCAAAGCCACTCTGTCTCTGGCAGAAGTAATCATATAAATAGAACTTTCTTCAATATCAGTAAAACTAAAACAGGAGGATCGATAGAAGTGATGGCGCAGGCGCAGGCGGCGCAGAAGATAAATCGCGCAGTACAGCGACTTGCTGCACAGATCGGAAACTCGCCAGTGCATACCGAGATTCAGAAGGTGTTGCTGGCGGGTCCGCCATCCGGAACCCCAGCGGATGGCGTGGTTTCGAAAGTGCCGGCGCTGCAACGCGCAATTGTGACTGCGCAGAAAAGTGAGGGAGTCAAAATTAAGGCTAAAACAGTTTTGGGAAACCTGCCGCTGATTGAACGGGTTAAAGGCCAGGGCGGTCGCTTGTTTCGATATGCGGGTCCGCCTCTCGATACTTCTCAGTCATTCAGGTCCGGCTCGTCGCCAGTAGTGCCGGCAAGAGAAATTAAGGCTTCCCCTAATAAATCCATCTTCGGAACAAGCATCCTGAAGAGGCTTCTCAAGGGAAAAAGGCATCCAGGATGCATCTCGAGATAGATCAGGGCGAGCAGCTCTAAAGAACAGACTGCAGGACATGTGGCTTCTCCACCGTTTCAGCTTTCAGACGATCGACAACGACCACCTAGTCAAATGTTTAACATCTTCTCAAACAACAACTCCGCAGTGGCCAGTGTCTTCACCAGCTTGAAGACGACCCTCGGCGGCGAGGCCATAGACGTGGTGACGATTTCGCGACAAGAGGATGCAAAAGCCGCGCTTTCCTCTCTTAAAGAGAATTTGCTGCAGCGTAGGGCCAGTACAGGCAATTGCACGTTTCTTGCGCTCGACTGCAAGAGTGTAAATTTGAGGAGCAGCGCAGCACATAATCATGATGATCAGGGACATCAACAGCAGAGGCTTGATGTCCAGGTGGCCTACAGAGACCAAAGAAGTGCTGTGAAAGTACTTTCTTTCGACATTTTAGGGATGGAAGCCGAACTACAAAGGAACGTAGCTGAACAGACGAGGCACTCTGAATTATTGAGCAATACGAGCAGCTGCAGCTTAGGTGAATCCTCTGCATTGCAAGCTTGTGACCTCCTTTTGCAGCTTCTGCAGGAAGAAGACAACAAGATAGGGGCTGCTCCGATGTACATCGACTCCCAGCTTGGCCTCGAATACCTAACGGGTGAGGCATTTGCGTGCCGCTTTGGAGCCTCAGTGTTTCAAGAACGTTTACACACAGTTGTAAGCGCAATGGAACAGGGCACAGGCGCCGACGCGGCCCGGCTATTGCTTGCGAGCGAGCGGATCTACTCCAAGATGGGCTACCTTGTCAGAGATAGCAGCCGTTTCCCTAGAAAGGAGCTTATCCATGCAACGCGTCTACGGTGGGAACGCGTTGCGCGGTTTCCAATGGCGGCTTTACAACGACCGACGCGCTTTCACCCTATCAGTGGCCGCGCCATGTCTGCAGAATTGCACGAGGCGCTGGGATTCGGGATGAGGCAGCTACAAATTTAAGCTTATATAGAATTTAATATGAGGACCAAGGTAGTGTGTATCATTGAGGTCTAATGTCTCATTCTTCAGGCTGGTAGTGAAGTGTATCCCAGTGCAGCAAAATCAGTGAGGTACTGCGTTGTATCAAATAAGTAACTTTTTTGATATCATACATATCTGTCTCATCCTCGTCCAAACATGGGTGATGTGAGGTATTTTTACTGGTAGAGACGTCCAGTTCGTAGTTCTTTGTGACAAGAAGCTGCCTCTAACAGATAAAAGAAGGCGAGGGATGTAGCACCTGGGACCACGACCTGCGCCTACTTCTCGCCCACATTCCTGTCTCCTTTTCCAAGGCGTTGTATGAAGGAGGTGAAGATCATTCGTGGTCATCTTGTGTTGATGAGGACTCTTCAAGTTTTAGTGAAGGATTCACCCAAGAAGACCGAGTAGAGCCTGCGTTCCTAAAGTTGAATGCAACAACCGCGGGGGCGCTGCGCGATATCATATTAGAAGCGGGCGCAAGGCCCTACGCCTATCTTCTCGACGGATCGCGCATATTTCTCAATAGGGACGAATCGGTCATAGTAAGGGAGGAGGATATGACGCCGGACAGGGGACACGCATTATTGCGGAGTTTTGCCAAGAACCGCCAGTTAGAACAAGATGATCCCTCAGTTTATGTAGCAGGTGGGTGTGGAACAGGACGAGAACGCGAGGGCGGCACAGCTTCTATTAAGGCTTACCACCTGAAGTAGCCTAATCCATCTTCTGAAGCATCTTGGAGCTGCCCCACAAGGGAGAAACAGCTCCGAGATAAGTGCGCTCAAGATGGAATTGGTATGCGTGTGAGCTCTAATGTTGCTAAGTTCGGTTCTGACAATCGCGCAGGCATCAGCGCCTGTCTGCACCGAATCTCATGCATTCGCTCGAGAGAGTCGCAAATTTACTCGCTTACGTACCGAGTTGGCCGAGCGATCGTGGGTAACGCAAACTTCATGCTCGACCTGCTGAAGCCAGAGGCGCACAATCTCAAGAGGTGCAGTTCAAGCACTTCCAATACCTTCATCTCAAGTAGAGAAGTAGATGAAGACGTGCCTCGTGCACCTGGTGCGACTGGTTTGGAGTCTGCTGCTGCTTACCACGATCCATCCATTTTTTGCTGGCGGGACGAGGAAGTAGAACGAGGAGAGGGACGAGAAGCGTTTGCCTCTTAAGACTTCTCGAAATCCATCTTCAGAAGCATGATCTTGGTGCTCCTTGTTCTAAAGGGAAAACAGGTTGTGGTCCAGGATGACTTTCACCATTCACCTTCACGATGGATACTTATATCATATCATGAGTAAGTGACGGAGGTCCTCTAAGATTCTGCTTATGAGCTACTTCATCAGGAAAACAGAGCACGGTTCGTTCAGAACTGTCAGAAGGTCATTTCAAACACGACTTGCAGTCCTCTTTCCGATCTGGTGGATCCCGGTAGCTGCATCCTGCTTCTCGGACGTCCCGGCAGCGGTAAAACCACGATTATTCGCGATATAGCTCACGTGCTCTCTGTAAGAGGACGCCAGAATGTGATCGTTGTAGACACCAGCAACGAGATCTGCGGTCACGGGATCGTGCCGCATCCAGTTAAGGCGCAATACTTCCTAACAAGCTCGTCCTCTTTGAGTTTGACTGCTGAAACTGAATTCCTGAAAAGTATCAAAAATGTTCCACTCGTCTAAGAATTAAGAATACAACTACAAGCTAGAAGGGGGCTCCCTGAAAAGTATTCCGCTTAAATACTTACGTCGTAACGAATACTACAAGGCTGCAAGAAATAAATGATAGATCATGAATATTGTTCGGCGTTAATCCCGCGGTAGGTATGGCGCGCCGGATGATGGTGCCCGATCTGGACAGACAAGCGAGCGTTCTGATTGAGGCGGTACAAAATCACACGCCAGACGTGATCATTTGCGACGAGATCGGACGAGCATCAGAAGTCGCAGCCGTTCAGACCGTCAAGGAGCGCGGTGTGCGTTGCGTGTCAAGCGCGCACGGGTGCTTGAAGAGCCTGGTGCAGAATCCGGTCCTGAACGGGCTTGTTGGTGGTGTGAAGACAACGCAGGTAAGCGACGCGCGGGCAACACTACGGGAGAAATCACTGGGAACGTTCTCTAAGATGGTGCCGCAGCGTGCGGGGCCTCCGATATTTGACGTAGTGGTGGAGCTGACGCCAGACGGCATAAATGCCGCCCAGTGGGTGGTGATCAGTGATGTAGCCGCTGCTGTGGATGCAATACTGGCTGGCGGCGAGTACGAGAGACAAATTCGCCGCCGATGCCGAAGGACCGGCGAAATTACGATTGAATTAGATGGCGGACAGTAGCACTACCAGTAGATCAAGCTGCGGAAGCTGGAGCTGAGCTGGGTCTACTTTTCCGTTGTTCTAGTTATCAGCTAGACCACTAGACATAGATGTGCATGGGCACGTCCGCATCGTGGCATCGAACACAGACTTGCAACCACTAGCAACATTCCGTACCATGGGCGATAGCACCGGAGCCTCCGCATTCGCGTTAGAAGCCGTTGGCTGCGCGGAGAGTCCATCGAGGTGAGCTTTGCTCCGAGCATCACCGGTATCCAGAACATCAACATAGTGCATTCTATTAAATTGTGAAGGGCAATGTCACGGCTTGCGCTTGGCAAGCGCCATGGCACGCAAGGTAATGCAATCTAGCAACAGATGAAAACAACTTCAAAATCCTAGCGCTTTCATGACCATTTAAGATCGGCTCGCCTGTTCGTGTATGATTAACCCCGTCCGTAGCCCGTTGGGCTTGGGGTTGGCGTTGCTTTGATTATGAATAAAATGTAGCAGCCCTTTATGTTTATTCGCTGAGTAAAAACTACATTACAGAACCAGAACCAGAAGAATGAAGCGCCCCTGGCGTTACCATTGACTTGAATTAGTACACTATGTTGACTTTGAAAAAAAAACTATCCACAATATCTCTGCATAGTAGATGAATCTACCACCCTACTTACATCTAGGATATTAAAGTAGAAGTTAGGACTAAGAGAGACTAAATCTAGAAAAGACAGGATGAAATCAAGAAAGGTAATGCTACAAGTACACTACAAAAGAAATGTGCTGCTCCATGGAGAGCGTATTTTTGGGTAGCAGAGTGTGAGTGAGAGAAACAAAAAAGGCAATCGAAACGAAAGCATGGCAACTTATAGTTAAGGACTAGTTAGGCTTGCAGCAAAGTAGCAAACAACTAAACAAAAACATGATATCAATGTGATCTGTGCAGAGGGGAGAAGAGAACGTAAACCCATGCTCTTGTCGAAGAAAGATGAAACTACGATCGACATGCTACACTTGGAGGCACGACAACCACAGCAAAAGTGATGACATCAAGATAAGACATGGATTTTCATTGCAAGCTCAATCCAAATCCTGATCTTCATCATTATTATAATATATAATCCAAATGATGATCGGAAGATACAATGTGGCAGCGATCTGACGGGCAGCGTTTCCGAGAGCGACTCGGCTTTTTGCTCCTCTGCTTTATCGCATTTTACTACGTCGTCCTCTTACTGATCAACTTCAAGCCCGTACTGGAGCCTCTCTTGTGGGCAGTTGTCTTCGTATGCGCGATTGATCCGTTGGTGTCGTTCGTTGAGGATGGCATTTTATCGGTTCTGTCAGCATGCAGCTTGGTCCGACGAGGACATAATCGCTGGACGAAGAATACCAAAAGTTCCTGGATTTGGAGCGTTGCTGGTCCTGGAAGTGGAACTACAAGTGCAATACTAGAAATAGATAAAGTATTATGGTCAACATTTAGTGATGAGTGGAACTACAAGTGCTATACTAGAAATAGATAAAGTATTATCATTATGGTCAAGAGCATTTAGTTACTAAGTATTAGTGTCCATCATTCTCGGCATCTTGGTCCCCTTTTCCCTTGTATTTTCGTGACATACAAGGTAAAAGGGGTCAAGATCATCAGGGGGCCGAATTGCAATCTAGCAGACTCTAAAAGTAGATGAAGGAAAACAAGGATCCACGACGACCAGAGGACACTATCGCTTCAGCCGTTCGCTCGCCAAATACGCGTCGATCATAATCGTGCTGACCTCGATTGTCACGGTTGGAGTCGTATTTTTCTTCTTCGTGTTGCAGTCAGCGAGGCGGATTATGGCTTCCCTAATGTAATCCATCTCTATGCATAAGGGTCATCTCTCAAGAACCGTATCTACCATGGTGCACCCAAATGCCTCCAAGGAAATGCTTTTAGACATATTGATTATTGAGGGATCCCCACAGCACAGGGATGAATTGGAGTGAAGTCTAAGCGGATGCGAGAGCATTGGTCGGTCTACGAACAAGGAGCGGCGAACTTGCGCAAAGCACTTTCAGACTTTCAACATTCTTTGGCAACGACCACTGGTGCTAGTGTCGAGACGATCAAAAATGATGATTTTCTTGCATCAGCGACCTCAGTCTCGCCTGATACTGATAGTAGCCTCAGAAGTAGACCGTCTGCAACTGCATCTACTGCATCTAGTACTGCATCTGAGCAAAGCCTTACCACAGGCGCAAGCAGTCTGCTTTCGACCAAAGCGTCAAAGCAAGCGGAGCATCTGCAGCACTTCCTGGTGTTTCCGTTTTCTTACGCCCGTGGCTTGATGCAGAGCAGTGGTGTAGAGAGCATAAACTATGACGCCGCTGCGCACGAGCTCTTAACTACGGTTCAAGACCTCCTATACACGCTGCTCGGCACGTTGTTGAACAACGTGAGCTCATTATTGTTGGGATTAGGCATGACGACGCTGTACACACTTTTCTGGCTTTTAGGCCGACCATTAGCGGGGGATGAAGATCAGTATGTTGCTAGTAGTTCAACACCTTCTCCGACGAGAGTAGATGGCTTGATGGTGCGCCTCGGAGATGGGGCCACGTCAGTAGTACGCAACGACTACGATGATCAAGAACAACATAATAGAAACGCGCAGGACCATAAACACTGCTTCGTTTCTTTACCGGGACTAGACCATGTCGTGAGTAATCAGTATCATGGAAATGATATGAAGGCCATGGAACAAGGAACAAGTGATCGACAACCTACGTCCGCACGACCCGAAGATCCACCTACTACCTGTCGTGCCCCACGCACCCCACGCGAGATGGAGACATGGTCTACTGCTAGCACTTCTGCTAGTAGTTTCCTATCATCTCCTTCTGCCTGCTCCGACTCCGAGACCTCTGTCATCGTGGCAACCAGCGCCGAATGCAAAGATGGAGGCGCTCCTGCGAGCGAGGAAATAGATTTTCTTCCTGTTGTTGTTGACAGAGACACTGACACTGTAAGCAGTAGAAGATGTGCAGCTTCTGTAGCAGTGCCTATGAGCGGAAAGCATGAGAAGCGGCGTGAGCATCTTCAAGAAGTACAAGTACTGGACGAGCCTCTTCTTGAACGAGTAGGAGCATCTTGTCCATCCAGCTCTAGCGTCTCTTTGCCAGAAAAGGAGCCACTGCTTCTTTCACGGATAGATCGAAACGCTTCTCCTGAAATGACTGCGAATTCCACGTCAGCATCATCCTCCTCAACATCCACCTCGTCCTCTTCGAGAAACCAACAGCTTTTGCTGATGCCTCAACTCCGCAAAACCTTCCGGCGCTATCTGTTGCTGAAATCCATCTGCTGCTTCGGGTTTGGCCTTGCGGTTGGGATTTGGCTCTCGGCCTTGGGAATCGATCTTGCAGCAGCTTTTGGTGCTATCACCTTCGTGATGAATTACGTGCCTGAAATCGGACCCTTCATTAGCATCCTTCTGCCGACGCCAATCATTCTGCTAGACTCAAGACTGGAAAGACCATTGTTCACGCTGTTTTTGGCGGTATTAAGGCTACCGCTGACGCATCCTCAACACCATCCTTGGCTTCTTTTTCAAGGGGAAAAGGGGGTCAGGGATGGGCTCAAGGATGCGACGCGGTCAGTCTAACGGTAGTGGGACAAGCAGGATTGAAGTTCGCGTTTGCGAACGTTGTGGAAGTGAAGCTGATCGAGAATGACAGGAAATTGCGGATGCATCCGGTCACGATTCTTCTTAGCGTGGCTTTATGGGGTCACGTTTGGGGACCGACGGGAATGCTACTTTCTTATGACATCAAGTGGTCTCTTCTTATCGTTATTCTATTATTCTTTTCTGAAGCCTGCCTACGCCCTCTCTCGAAGATCATGGATGTGCCAATACAAGTGGCACCATCTCCTGATGCATAGATTTTAAATTGGAGAGAATGATCTAATACCCCGTCCCCCTGATGGCGTTTCTGAAGATCAGCCTGCTGTCTGACGTTGTCCCTGCCAGTTACCGAGACCCCGTGCTGATGCTGCTAGAGGGAACTGCGAAACTGTGAGGATTACGTCCTATGTTGGTTACCAACCAACATCAAAAAGACACCCTGACACCTTCCTTGCTATCTGTTTCACCATTCAAAAAATGCACTTTGTCGAGGCCATCATGCTACAATAGTCAAATATATAATGTAAGAAGACAAAAACAATCTGAGGCCTGAGCCGCAGAGCCTCTAGTTATCGTTACAGCATAGTTGCTGCAGCCCCTTTTGGACGCAAGGAGTGTCAGCTCCGTATAACCATCAACAGATACTTCATCAAAATTATGGACCTGGACGGATGCTTGTTCATAAAGTTGACGTTGCGAAGTCGAAGATGATCTGAAATAGGCAGTCGTTGAAAAATTTGACATGGAGATATTGATATCAGAGTTCTTACAAAACTGGTGAAATGAAAAGATCCTTGCTTCTTGCTGACAACTATCCTTGTTTTGAGATCCGACGTTATACTCCATCCGAGAAGAACATGTTGAAAAAGCCGACGACGCAAAACAAATCAAGGTCAAACCACCACAACTAAACTGCAGGGAGTGCCCACTTTCTTTTCATGTCTGTAAATTTCGCTAGCGTTAAGCGAATTGTGAATGTAATCTTAAGCCATCTAGAAATTTAACGTTACCGATCCATATCCATTGAGCCCTCATCTTCTTTTTCGAACTAATCTAGTCTGTTATTTCCACAAAGAAATGATCGAACACACGAAATTAGAAGCGACAACTTCCAATGCAGGCGCTGCATCTCCGGGTCCGGTCCTTGCATCCGCCGCCGCTGCCGAGGACGGTGTCTCCGAACCAGCAATACGAACGCTTTTGTTGGCTGACTTATCATCATATCGCGAAAAAATCGTTCGTGATCTCGTTTGGGTCTTGGCTGGCCCAAACCTCACCTCGATCTCGGTCTGCGGAGTGTGTCCACCTCTAGGTGCAGCAGAACTCCTTGGCAGAGCTGACGTTACTTCTGCTACTGCTGGTGGCGACCAAAAACAAGGACAAGATGCTCATGCCTCCAGTCTCTTTCTAACAGGCCGATCTTTCTCCGATTCCCTAAGACTCCTGCGCGAATGGGATGAAGACCCGACGGCATTGCTAAAGCTGTTGCGCCAACGTGGTGGCAGCAGTGTACGTACACTTGGTCACTACTTTTCCTGCTTGTTGGAATGCTGGCTGCTGTCGATGCCTGGCGTTGAGAGGATATCCAAGGGACAGACAGTTCGCGTAAAAGAAAAGAAATCGACAAAAGTGGTACAAGAATCGCAGCTGAAGTTCTTAGTATTGTTTCAAGACGATGCAGTTGCCAAAGCCAATCATCGAGGAGGTGAAGATTGCGAGTCTCCTGTAGTTGCAGGAGATGAAGAGGATCCCGCACAAGAAGTAGAGGATCCGCGCTTCGTCGTCGTTGCTCCTAAACTGTGCGCTGAGGAAATCGGTCGAAGACGCGTGCTCCATATCGAAGCAAATGTCAAGTTTTTCGTCCTAACGAAAGGTGGTTGCGCGGGGCCCTTTCTACACGAGAACCTGCGAAATCGTGTGGAGGACATCGAAACGAAATTGGATCTGGTGTCCCGTGTCCCCGCTTTGGCAAGAAACCCTAGGAAGCAAAGCGGCTACTTGTTGAAAGGTTACATCTTTCATCAAATCGGAGAGGGAGATGAGGAGGAAAAGCAAGAAGAAGAGGAGAGTGACTCTGGAAGTACACCTAGCACCGTAGCGCTATCTGCAACTGGCCCGTCGTCACCTCCGATTTCTATTACCAGCACTTGTTCGACAGCATCCACATTGGAGCCAGATGCATTACCATCGTCTCCAAATGCTATGTCTGCAAACACAAAAAAGGACGAGGCACCAGAGCAAGTCAAGCAGGTCGAAAAGAACTCGTCTTCACAGCAGCAGAAACAGCAACCCACTTCGGTGGAAACAAATCCTGATCGCGCCTTGTTGGAACCAACGCATTCTCATGGATTCCTCACGCGAGACGTGTCCGTACTGGAACGTCATTTGGAAATCGTCGATCTGGTACATCAAGGTGATGAAAACAGCGATAAAAAAGTGGCTCAGGTCACCTGGACTACCACGCCACGACCCTCGTCTTCTCCAGTTTTTGATGCGAACGGTGATGGGCACGAGGAAACATCTAAAGACAGGAGCCAACACCAAGCCCATCCTCGTGAGACTCGACTCCAGGACCATGTTCGCTACCTCCTGTTACCGAAACTGTATTGGATGTCACCTGTGACTCGACTTGAGCCAACCTCTCGCTATCCTCATGCTTACGATGAGGTATTTGGCGAGTATTTTGGCTCTGCCTCTGCTCCAAAGGTCTATCAGCGCGCTGAAAATGGCTACAACACCATTGATAGGATAACGATGTCTAATATGCCTACGGCGAGATCGACAGGAGGGGGTGAAGCAAATTGTGGTGATGCCGCTAATGCCTCCGAACAAGGTGGACATGGAGTTGGAGGAGAAGAAGTTTCTACTTTTCGTAAGAAATACGCAGGTGAACAACAAGCTGGAAGCGGAGGAACCACGGCCGCACGAGCCGCCCCTGTAATCGCCACGGGAGAAAGCAGCATCTTCGTCGAGTCTGGCACTTCTAGTGGCGGGTACGACATCACGCCAGAGCGCGCTTGGCACCTAGGTCTGCCGGTCAGCCGTGCCCTCAGCCATCTCCCCAATCGACACATCTGCTTAACTCCTTCTGTAATCGTGTTCCGGACTTTCGAGGATCTTGAACATTGTGCTGACTCCTTTTTCGAAGACAACAAGGACATTCCTCTCATGATCGCAGTAGCATACTCACCAAAACCGTTGTCAACAACATCTTTTCCCCAAGCCGACTTGGATCCAGCAGTGGAGTGGACTGAGATTCGCAGAGGCTTCGTTTTGCCGAAGTGGTGGAGTCCAGACAGTCATGATGCACATCTGTTGAATGTGCAAAACCGAACCAAGAGCAGTTGTGCAACTGCCACTGCCCTGGAGAAAAATCTTCTTCCTGGTGGTTGTGAATCTTCAATTTCCAACATGCAACGCGAGTATGACCAGTCTCTTGAGGACGAGCAACATGAAACATCAACTCTCGGTGATGTTTTTGTAGAGAGACCCAGCACAACCTACGGCGGTCAAATACAAGCGAAGAACGAGAGTGGCATTAGAGCTCGAATGCGACAGGCACGGATGCTGAGACAGCAAGAGCGCTCTACGCCTTGGGGCAAATGCAATCAGCTTTTGCAAGAGATCGTATTCGAGCGACAATTTGTACCGCAAACGAAAAAAGCAGGTCCAGGTGGGGCTTCAAAACAGAAAATTTCATCTGATGAAGCCGCAGCAGGAGGTAATGGCTCAAACGAGAAAGATAAACGCACAATGAACAGAAGGGCCATCAAGCGTGTGAATGCAAAAAATGAGGCAACCAATCAAGATGCAATTGTGCGTGTTCATTGGCATAGAGCACTTGAGAGTTTCAGAAGGCACGTCGAGTTGCTCAAAAGCGGCATGCCTCTAGCAACGAAACGGCAAATAAAGAGGAAAGAAAGGAAAAACAATTTGAGAAAAACTTCTTGTGCTAGTGAGGAGAAGCAGGAGCAAGAAAGGTGTAAACCCGATTCGGCACGACCACGTCAATCTGAACACGAACAATCAGCGCAAACTGCACCTGATGTCAACGTCAATCCAGCAGAAAAAAGCCACGTCATCGAGAAGACTGAAGATGCTGACGCTGATGCCGTTGATCGTGATGCTGAAAGCTGTGCATCCTGCTCCGAAATACAAGCTGCAGAGGAGAATGACGACGAGAATGAAGAGGAAAAGAAGGACTTATGTGTCGACATGCTCGAAAAATTTCCAAGAATATCTATCGACTGGCTGTTTCGTTGCATCTTTGAGGATCCCCCTAAACAGTCTGCTGGTCTAGATTTACCAATCGACGTCGCATTGTTGGCTAAGGCGTTCTTGGAATTGTTGCCTTTCGCTGAAACAGCAGAGCAAGAGAAATTTGCTCCTCTGCAAACAGCTATTGAAAACCGTTGGAACTTGCAGGAACGGCTGTCGCGCAAACCTCAATTAGTCTCAGCTCTACCGATTCTGCGTGTCGCAATGCCACTGGAGTGCCAAGAGCCGTGGGCTAATTCTGTGGCGCGGTGCTTACCCCAACGGAAAGCATTGGGACTGTTGGAGGTGTACGAGAACTACGAAGAGAGTAGTTGCGTTCGCCCAGTTTGGATGACGCGTGAGTTCCTGTGTAACGTCAGACACCAAGTCTTGATGCTAGGAGATGTTGCGTGCAGATCTGCTTCAATAACTTCTTCCACACAGCATGTCGTCGTACGAGGAGCTTCTGGTCAGACACCAGGAGACATGTTCTTGGACAGCTGCGTAGTTCAGAACGAAGATGGTGCGTCTCCTATTTCAGCCGCTTCTCGTCAAAACTCGAAAATGGCAGGCTCACCAACGGCTGGATCATACGGAAGCTCGTCTCAAGGAACCCAACTCGAAAATGGAAATACGTTCACTTTTTTCAATTCTTTCACGAAGACGAATGTTGGTGACGAAGCGCAGCTTCTACCGGTAAAAGCGACATCTTCTTCTTCTTCAGGAAGGGTGGAGCAGATCCAGACAGCAGGCACGGGTCTTGTTCTATCGAACGCAGTAGCTAGTGGCGCTCCGCGTGTCCGCTTTTTGCGCTTGCCTGAGAGTGTGCCTGTTTTCATGGTTGAGTCTATGGATGAGCTTGAATGTGGAATGGAGAAAACTTCATCTTCATCAAGTTCCTCACCAGGCCCTATGAAATGTCCCTTCGGTCTAGACTGTGAGTGGACACCCGGCGATCGCACTGGTATTAGCTTGGCTCAGCTCGCCACTCAACACTGTGTGTTTTTGATCGACTTTGTTGCTCTCGGTGCAGACACGGGCTTGGAGCTCACAAGGCAAGTACTGTTTCGCTACGCGAGCAAAATCATCGCCTTCGGACGAGAAGATTTTAGAAGATTGGGATTGGATGCTCACGACTCGACTGCAACTTCTAGCGCCGACTTCGAATTGATTGATCTTCAAACCGTGGTGCCATCATACGAATCTGCTTGTCAAGGTCAAGAAGAACTATCTGAAGGAATCAAGAGGACCGCCAGCAATGCCAAAACTTCGCAACCACAAGCTCAGCAACCTCAATCTGCCTGGAACAGTATGACGGAGCTCACTGGACGCATCTTTCGAGGACATTATCTGGACAAACGGTTCCAATGCAGTCCCTGGGGCTTGCTGCCGCGACCTTTGCTACCTGACTACGCGCATTATGCTGCGCTCGATGCCTACTTGTCGCTTGGTGCGTACCACGCATTGGGAGGGTTTAAAAGGGTGAGTGAATACTATGCTGGCACCTCTCGTCCTACTTCATCCTCCTGTGAACGAGAGGAGCTGATGAAAATCGTTTCAGTAGCTGAGCGGAAAGGGAGACAAGACGACGTCGTTGAAAGAAAAACGGACTCGACATCCCCTACTTCGAGGAAAGAGGATGCACCAGGTGGATCCGGGTCCCTTCTCGTGGTCTGCAAAACAGTGCTTTGCGAAAAGGTGGTCGAGGTTCGTGATCCGTATTCTTCAGCCATAAATGATGCATCTGCAACATCTTCATCTAGGATACCTCCACCCAATCCAAGCATGGCCATAGCCTGTGTCCTGCCTGAAAAAAGCGAGATCAGTTCTGAGTTTCTTGTCGAAAACCAATTGCGTGTGGTGTCTCCAGTTGAGGTGGCGGCCAAATACGGTTTCCCCCTTTTTGGCGCGGGCCCGATCGCACCCCTTACTGCGTTTGGTAAGGTCTATCTGGATGAAACGTTGCTGGCGGACCGAAGTGATGACTGTGGTTCTTCATGTGAAACCTCAGCGGAAGATCCTCTTGATCTCCCTTCTTGTTCTAGAACTATCTTTGTCGGCGCAGGATGGCCAGGCGTAGAAGCAGAGTTTATGTCAGCGAGACGACTACAGAAGTTTCTCCTAGATAGGAAAGGTAATAGCACTTCTTCGACTATGTCAGTTGATTTTGTTCCTCTCACTGCAACGACGACCCCAAGAAAGAACAGCAGCTCTACACCGAGGATATTCAAGTAATTCAGTTGTTCTTCTCATTTTTACCCGATGAATTTGCTTTTCATGATGTTTGCTTCTACAAGAAGCCTTACGCCTAGCGGATACTAAATACAGCACTTCTTAGCTTGGCAGGAACACACTTCTGGTTCTGTTATTGTTGAAAGAGAAAAAGTGTTCACCTAATCCGTCTTTCGCTCCATCGAGCATGTTGGATCCCCTTGGTCGGCCCATAAATGTCCATTGTCCAAGGACGTCTCTTTCTAATTCCTTGAGGTTAGTCCTTTACGTTGTCTTCCACCTATTTGCAAAGGAGGACAAATATAATTAGAGACATTGCATACCCGTCAAATTGACTGGGTACATCATCATCATCATCATCATCATCAACTTCGCCCCGTCTGGTGGCCAGAAACTTTTTCTGAAGATACCTCCAAGTCGAAATCCAAAGTCCAAAAGTTTCAAAGGGGAACAACTAACTACCTTCTTCGCTTACAGACTTTCACCATTCCACTCGATTTCGATCTTTCTCACCAAACTACCGCAACAAACAGCCAGAAGCCCTCTTGTAGATCGATCAACCTTGTTCAACGCACAACTTTCAACTCAAGTTCTTTCCAATTGAAGTTGTCGACTCCCTTCACCGATCGATCTCGCTCGCGTTCCGCCACATCTTGCTTTCATTTCTCACCACACCAACAGAGGATCCTTCCAGAGTGTGTCGTCTATCTCATACAATTGGCCACGACAAAGCACGTGAAGAAGGAGGAACCTGGGAACAAAAACAATGATCTCCACAAACTCTGTTCTGTCGTCGTCAGTTTACCTTCAATCACTTTAAAGAAACAAGGAATATTTATATCCCCTTTCAGCATCAACCCAGGCTAGAAAGAATGTGAGAAAAGGCGAGAAGAACTACTGCTAGAAATAGTATCTAAATCTTTACTATAATAAAGGCTGAATATATCTTTCTTTCGTGAACCCAAAGAAACCGATTTCGATATCGATTCTTTTCGGTAATATGATAAATTGCATTTGCATTGTTTTTTTTTAGCATAATGAATAATCTTAACCTATTGGAATCGGTTTTTCACCTTTTAGTTTTACGATTAGTCCATTAATACGTATCTATAGATACATCTTCGAAGATAAGATGTTATTTGTTTCCTTGATTGGTAACTAAAAAAACTAAATGAGAGTAAGAGCTAATGGAGGTACAAGAACAATTATGCTCAGGCTCAGCAAGAACGACCTATACTATGGGTATGATGAATTGCATCTCAATCTTTGTGATCTTCGTGTAAGAACATTATTGACTGGTCATATGATTTCTCTCCAGTTCCATTGTCCATTGTGAAAATAAGTGTGATTTCTAGAGTCTTCATTCTGTCTTGTGGGGGTGAAAATGTAGGAAGTTGCACAATTATCAATCTTATTACAAGGACCACAATTACTGAGTATTATGACTCTCAAGTTGTATCTCTATGTCTAGCATTCATTCACACCGATCATGATCTGATATCGACGCTAATAAAATCTGATTGGTCAAGAACATATTCGTAGCTCTAGTATTTTAGAAGTTCGAGTTGAAGTTTGACAAGCTCATATCAAAGGACGAACAAGAGGATTAAAATGTTCTTAAAGATGTTGTTATCTTCTACGTCTCAACCGAGGTCGTGGTGGTTCTTTTCCTCAAGGGTCGTTGGTGTTGCTCTCGCTCTATTTGCGAGCTGCAGCACTTCTTCTGTCAACGCCAAAAGTATTGGACAACAAGAAGGTTCTTCGACTGGTACGGTGGATGAAGGCACTCCTGCTCCAGTAGTTTTGCCTATTGTTAAGGCTGTACTAGCTAGTTCTAGTTCATCCTTGCGGCCTGCATCCTTGAAACTACGCATGGGGGAGTATCTTGAGCTGGGAATGCTCTGCCATATTTTTCAAGGATGCAGCAAGCTGCGAGATGAAGCACTACGGAGAGCTCTAATATTGGTCGTGTCCTCCGACGGGCACACGCTCCCCAGGAAGATGTTGGTCAACACCGCGACACAACAGAGAACGCGGCGAGAGTAGAGAGAACTACATCACCACTACACACGGCCACTCCAATCAAACGAAAGGAAGCACCCAGGGATCCAAAAGAAGCACCTAGGAATCTTCCGCCAGGTGGTGGAAAGGAGGCTTCAAGGGATCATCCAAAAGAAGTACCTAGGGATCCACCAGGTGTACCTTGTTCTGAGGATTCACGATCACTAGCTCCAGGCTTTATTATGGAAAAGTGTTGTATTTGTATTATAGCATGAATTGGAATTATTTCTATTTGTTTTTTTGAATATTTATTAGGTTTTGAAAGAATGCGGAGGCTATCTTAAATGGTACTGTAGCGCTATCCTGTATTTTTCTCGGTGCTTGAATAGAGAGAAATATTGTCGTGGAAAAACGGCCACGGCCATCAAACAAGAGCAACGAGAACGCGAAATTATGCATTTCAAGCATCGCATTGTGCTTTTCAAGCATCGCATTACCATTATACTTGTCAAGCATCGCTCTAACCGCGCTTTCGACGCAAAGAAAATTACCATTCTGACTGGCGGCAATGCAGGTGACGCCAAGGCTTCGGGCTCTACTTCTTCCAGCGCGACCAAAACTCTTATTCCAACAAAGAGAACCACGCTGTCCCTCCTTCTTGATGTGCGTGCCTGTGAAGTAGGCGTAGAAAAAGTACCAGTAGACCACGTAGGCCATGAATATGATCTACATCTTCATACTTCTAAGGAGGATCATGATCATGATTACAACAGTACTCATCTTCCTCCTCTACAACCATTCGACCTTGGAAGTCCCAGGACTGTGGAAATATCCACAGCCTCACATGTTTCCTCGACTCCTCCCATGACACCAGCAACTACCGGGAGTGAGGATCCACCATATCCTCGAATAGGTAGAAGTGGTATGATTATGATAGGCCCACCAAACTTCCGCTTGTCGATCGCAGATGGACTAGGACTACCTGCAGCTGCTATCGATGTAGACGGCTTGTCGATCGCAGATGGACTAGGACTACCTGCAGCTGCTATCGATGTAGACGATGAAGTGACTTCTTTTGCAGCGCATGGAGAAGATCTAGAACCTGTTAAGGATGATCAACTTCAAGAACTTCCGCGAGGACTAGTACCCGACCAGCACGACAACATGATGCTACCATCCCCGTTTTTGAGCAGCCCGTATGTCGCCGCGAGGATGGGCCCGCCTATGGTGTTACCCAATGGATCGATGCCGGTTATAATGTCACCTGGTGGAGGACCGATATCCTCCAGTATGGTGCCACCTGGATCGATGCACCCGAGTTTCATGCCACGTTTTCCGCCTGGTATATTCTTTCCACGACCTGGGTATAACATGTCGCAGCATGACCCTTTGGCATCCAATTACCCGCTCCCTCCGACAGCAACGGCTGCCTCACACGAAAGCCCTACCGGCCGAACAAAAAAGCCTCGACCGCTGAACTCTAACGACGAGGGACGAAAGTTTTTCGTTGGTGCATTACCAGTTGTTTGGCTTATGATGTCTAAACATATCTAGTTACTGGCTGCCGTGTTTTCAGCAACACTTCGTTCTCCTGGCCTGGGTTACACTTTTGCCAATTACAGTTTTTAGAACAGATTGATGTGAATCACAGAGGTACACTTGGTTTTTCTTCGTGAGGACAGAATTTATAATAATTAGAGTAAGGCCAATAACGGGTTTCGAGTTGCTCGAGTTGCCACGAGTTGCTCGAGTTGCCGAAGCGAAGAGCTTCACTCCTGGAACGAGTTGCCACGAGTTGCCGGAAGGTGTCCGCTCCATCGAAATGGAGCGAAGCAGGGCGGTGCGAGCACCAGCCCAGCCGCTCGGAGTGGCGAAGTGTAGGAGGCTGCCGCTTTTGTTGTTGCTCATGAAGGGGGCAATCGGGTACGGAGGGCGCCTGAGCCCTTACGCCTTCTTTTTTGTAGCTTGCGCGCGAGCGCTTTATAGAGCACAACCAAGGCCAAGGGAGCGAAGGACTCGCCTCTTTGTTGTTTTTGTTTGATGTCAGTGTCGCTGTGGCGTGTGGTGTCGTCTAGTCGCTGACGATCTCTCCTCTTTTTCTTCGGATGTGTGCCCAATGAGTCCACTCCGGGGGTGGGAGCGAATGGCCCCGTCTGCTTGATAGGGCGGCGCGTCCAGCCTTGCTTGGGGTGAGTAGACTAGAGGAAGCATCCCACTAGGTGGAAGCGGGGGCTGGAAGTGGGTCATCGCACTAGTTTCGTCGTCTTTACTTAGATGCCGCGAGTAACTAGATGACCAAGCAGGTGGCTGAGTAGAATGGGACGAGTTTCGAGCCCGAGACGGTTACTCGCTCCTGTCTCAAGGGTGCACTGCGAAGAAAATCAAGGACCAGCGACACGGCTCGCAGTGTCGTACGCTCCTGCTAAGGTTTCGCGGAGTCTCATAAAGCCGCGCCCGAAGGGCGCCGCGTAAAAAATTAGGGTGGGCAACTCGAGCAACTCGAGCAACCCGAGCAACTCGACCCGATACGGGTCAAAAAGTGCCTTATTCTATTATATGTATGACCAACTACTTCATCTACTAACTTCGAAATAGTTTTAGTATTCTGGTAGAGCCACTGCCTCTGTCACAAATTACCCTTACACCACTAACCCGACATCATGATCTTATCCTCCTTCATGACATTGAATCCCAATGGAGATTTAAGTCCATTTGAGGACCATGCTTTACGTGAAGCCTTCGAAACGTTGGCAGTTTGGCACCGTTTGAACCCGACCCCAGGCCAAGCAACGATAGAGCATGTTCTTATCCTGGGTGCAAAAGGCGCGTTTCAACCTCGAGAACGACAATCCAAACCGGAAAATATGGTACTGATGTTATAGATACTATAATGAAGGTCGCTAGAAACACTCAAAGTAACAGCTTATAATATAATTTTATCCGCTTAGTACAGGGGAGCTAGAACTTCTATCTCTATGAAGACTTCTTTATCAACCATGTACATTGGTGTATATAAGACGTCGATATGAACACCATCTAAATACATCACGGTCAGGCTGCACGGCATGGTCGGGGATTTGGCTATGTGAGGTTCTCGAATGCACATTTGGGCTTTGCTTTCATGTATTCTTGGAACGAGCTGCTACAGTTTTGGCGACAGAAAACCCAGGAGAAAATGGAATTAAGGCGACTTCTTGTTTTGTACCATGTTGCCTGACCACTTAGTTAGACTTACTAGCTGTCGGTACGTAGCTTATTATACTGATTCTAATTTCTAATTCTATGCAGCCGGTTAATTTTCCCTCTGTTCTTAGGTGTATCCCTTCACGCAATAACTCTATGCTACGTAAAGTAAGTCCCGGCTCGACGTAGTTCGTGGCTTGTATGAGGGTGCGAGGATATCAGAATCAGCCTGCTCTAAGCCAGACGCCGCGCTATCAGGAGCGGATGAACCAGTACGCATCGGATTGCCTATGGCAAGAGGTATTTCTTCTTGTCGTTAAAGAGTGGCTTGACGAGCAAGAACATATTTTTTTCACAAGTCGAGCTCGCTATCATCTACAACAATTAAGGCAACCAAGGGAGCATCCTCAGCATCATCCCTGGTCTCATTTTCACGAGGAAAATGGTTCCAGGGATGGCCTCAGGGATGCACGGCGGTAGCTCTAAAACAAGCAAGCAAGGATGGGAAAGGCAAAACAAGGAAACAGGAAATGGAAGAAAGCATGTTGACAGCTGCGTTACCAGCATTAAGGCTACCGCTGAAGCAGCCTGAAGAGCATTATCATGGGCTCTTTTTCTACTTGAAAAAGAAGTTCCCAAGGATATGACTCCCACAGAAGATGCCAATGCGGTAGCTCTAACAGATGAAGCTGCTCTGAAAATGAGGCGTCAACAAGACAAGTGTGCAGATAATTTGGTCCTCGAATGCGCGATGGGAGGTGGCATTCCTTCTACTTGCATACAGAAAAAACCTTCTTATGCGCTTGTGCTTGTAGATTGAGAATTCCATGGAGTTTCATACTGATATCAATGAATAAATCTTGATCTTCATTCGGCTTGCAACTCCCTCACCCTCTCCCTTCGTCCTGGTCAAAACTTAGTAGAACGTCCGCAAAAGGATTAGGGGTAGCTCCCTTGTGCTTCTTATTGATATTGGTAAACTTGATAAAGAAAAGATGAACTAGAACTCAAAGTTCGTGCTTAAATGAAGATTTATTATCGTGATATTGTTATTGACTCTCTAAAAGGATCACCCAAGCAGGCAAAGCAAAGCGACAGACGCAAACAAAAAATCCGACTCGTCTACTACTACTGACCACTGCCAAAATGACGACGACATTATCAAAGGTGGCCTGACCAGAAATGTATCATGGTTGTACTGGTTCGTCCGATGGTGGCTGTCTTCCATAGGGCGCATTCCAGATATCAAACCTGGAGATACCTGGCCCAACATTGCAGACATCCAAGCTGCTGGAGAGACCTTGTCAGCCGCATACAATATCTGCGATGGTCGAATGCCCGATGGTGCTCGAATGTCCTCTGGAACTTGTAATCCAGTGTCTGGTAATCCAATAGTAACTCCTCGTGATCCTCTGGCGAATCTGAGCGAAGATAGTAATTCAGTCAATGGTGATGTGGATGTGGATGCCGCCATCAATGTTCCAGCACTATCTTCTGCAGCTGGTCTTTTCCATCATACGTTCGACGAACCGGAAGGAAAAACCGTGACAGAAGAACCTGAAGCCGATGAAAGCGTCTCAGTCGCAAGTCAGGCTTGTGGGACAGAGTTTATGAGAAGATCGCTGTCTACTTTTTATCGACAAGAATTTCTGCAACTACTACTACTGCAATTCGAGCGAGGAACTACTTAGTCTGGGTGTTTTTGTAATTACTTGTATTTCATCATAAAAACAAGAGCCAGGTGCCGGGGGGCTTTGATGTGCAGGATTCACCACCTAACCTAACCTAAGAGTGATTATACCTCCCCAGAGTAGTTTATCTCTAGGTAGACATCTACTACATTGATTTAGAAACCCCATCTACATCTATCTTCAACCTTACCACCTCCTCTAATCATCCTTGTACTGTCGATCACCATACGGAGGAGGAGGACGGGAGGAGTTTTTTCACTTATGAGTCCGGTATGAGAAGCGACGTTCGCGTCGAGCAATCTGGCTCGACTACAGGCACCAGGCGTGGCAAACGAGGCAGTGGTATCAGAGCAAAGCTCCTCGCTGCTGATTCTTCAACATTTTCTGATTGGGAAGGTCGCCGGCTCGCGTTTTGTGAAGGGGATCAGATTCAAAGTGATGGTCTTGGAGGCAAAGATGTAGGCAAAGGCGGAAGCAAGGGTGGAAAAGGGAAAGGCGAAGGCCAAATAGAAGTAGATACAGATGGTAAAGGTAAAGATTCTTGTAAAGGCCGAGTACTCGATCATAAAGGTCAAGGCAAAGGCAAGGGACAACAAGTAGATAAAGGCAAAGGCAAAGGCAAAACAAGAAAAGGACAATGTGGTGCAAATCGGGACTACCAACACCAATTAGATCGCGATCGCGAAAGAACAGGAGAAGACATTAAGGCTCTTACAAATATATCCACCTCCTCTGTAGCTCTGTAGCAGGTAGTATCTTTGTGTGATCTTACTCCTTTGGGGCTCACCGCTTAGTGCCTTAGCACCAGGGAAAACAACCGGCACCAAGACGCAGATGTATGATGAAACTCGTCCACGAGGAGATGGATTCTCTTTCTCCCACCTCCTTCCTAGAGGCTCTAAAGAGACCTTCGAGGGCCACCATGACAGATTTGACGAAAGTGGTCACATGATGACTGGAAGAAACCCAGTAACCATGCACCTCGTAGACCCCGAGACTGGCCTGCGGCACACTGGGAGATCCTCCACTGACTGCGCGCTGTGCCAACATTATTAGGGCAACAAGACTCGCTGTAGGAGTAGCCTCAGGCTAAGCTACTTAGAGTAAGATTTAGTTATTTTAGACTTTGACCTCTCCCTCTCGACGATACGACCAATTATGAAGAGAGTAGCAAGTATACAGACGAACAGAAGAATGAAGAGAGTTGTATACACTATAGGTATACAGAGGACACAGAAGTACAAGTAGTAGTAGTTTCTATTCTTACTCTTGCAGTCCTCAAAAGGATAAATCTCTAATCTTTCCTGGGGAAGTCGAATTCAATGATAATGAGCTGTAAAGGTGGTAGACCGATCCAGGAACGCAAGGACCGGGAGCGTCTTGAAGCTTATCAGGATTGTTTGCACATGACAGCCATTAATAACGCTCAGAAAAACCTCCTGCAGGAGCGCGAACAGGAGGAACGAGGACATTTGCGGGAGGAGGAGCGCCAACTACAGGAGGAACAGTTGAGGGTTTCCACATTACATTCCCCACGAGGACGAACTTCCTTGACCTTTTGATCTCAGGTAGAAAACTTAGGTCACAGGAAACGTTCTGAAGAATGTAATGCGGAAACCTTTAAAACAAAAACATCTTCACGACCAAGAGGATCATGCTGAGGATCGTACAACAACTCCTGCTGGTGTTAGAAGAGCAGGACGTGAGCAAGAGCTTGCTGAGAAAGAGAACGCTCCTTTACGAATAGTAAAAGGTCGTGTCTCATCTTCTTGTTCTGGATCTGGCTTGCTGGATCAAGAGGCAGACGATCAACATGTTGCTGATGACGGCTTTACTGAAGTTGTGTTTCCTTCAGAAGCTGCATCTTTGGCGTCCTTGTCCTACTACAACTATCCTCATAGTTATACCTCCTTTTCTTGGCCACCTCCAGGAAAAATCAAGGAACCAAACGGGTTCGTTGGTTCAGAATCTAGGCCTATGGCGATGAAGATGATGCTTGGAGCTGGTGCTGGACGAGGACAAGGAGATGAGCCTCCTTTTCCGATGATGCCAGGCCTGACGTTACCGGAGCAAGAATGCTCTTTCCCGTTTATTTCGACACCGGAACAGGCGGCAGAATTTCTTTTTTATGGTTATGCGATGATGCCTCCGGAACAAGCCGCGGAATTCCTTAACGAACAGGCGGCTCTAGCACAATCAATGCGGCCGCTGGATCATGTGAGTGGTTCTGGTGCGAGTTCCTCCTGCTCTGCTGGCCTTCAGCTTCATGGGCAACTGCAAGGACAAGAGCATGATCTTCTTCAAGGTATTAAACACGGTGGACAGGACGATTCAAGACAAACGATTGCTGAGGTATGTGGAAGTATCAAGTCACCCTCGCACACGTCTGTTGATGCAAATTCAAACTTATCATTTTCAGGAGTGGTTGATGAAGATGATCATGCCGCACTGGATGCACGACGTCGTTCCGGACAAGATCGAGTTCAAGATGAAGATTATGTTTAAGGCTACAAGGAATCTCCCATTTTCAGAGGCATCTTGGTCCCTTCTGACGCCCCTACCTTGCAAGACAAAGAGTTCCCCTATTGCGAGGAATATAGACCCAGGTCCCAAAAAAAAAAGACACAATACAGGTACATGAATGAATGAATGAATGAATGAAAAGGGAAAACGAGACCCAGGATGATGCTGAAGATGGATTTCTCTGAGTGCTAATATGTTGTCGCTGATGTTGCCCACACATCTCGGCCTCCACCTCCTGGCTTGGAAGGATTTGATTGTGACGACTTTCCGCCAGAACTGGGATTTGGAGCTTTGTCGCTAAACGACTCTGATGAATGTGGATCTGGCAGAAGTAGCACAACTAAAAGGGTGGACGAAATGAAAGTTTCCTCTTCTGGATCTGTCAGAAGTAGCTTCCTGACAAAGAAGGACCAAGTTGTAGAAGTTTCTCCATCTTCTGCATCACAACCGCGAGGACAGGCACAAGAAGTAGAACAAACCGCATCGACTGAGCATGGTGTTACGACGCGTGCGCGAGCAAAACCTGCTGCAATAGATCACGTGGAGGAAGACGCAAGAACTCACATTGTTTTTATTAAGGCTACAAGAAATCCATCTTCTTCTTCACCGTATTGCTCTGGTACTGGTATTTGCTAACCTGAATTCGATCACAAGGATCCCCTTCTTGTTTTCCTTCTGATCCAAATCAGGTTACCAAATATCAGCACCATTCATTCACAAGCATCCTGGGACCGTTTTCAAGGGGGGAAAGGTTCTAGGATGGGGATGCATTTCAAGATGGATTTCTCTTAGTGCTAATTTTAGCACGGATGATACAATTAGCGAAGCAGTCCTCGAGCACCAATTTAGTTCACCAACGTCAACGGCGAAACCTTCTTCCGAAGGTATTGATGCGACCACAGTCTCCCTCGCCGCCTCCTCCTCAAGAACACCGCTTTCACCGAAAGCAGAGCCGTTTTTTTAAGGCTACTTCTTGATTTTATTTGACAAATGATAGATTCTTTGCAGACGAGTACTACGAGGACGAACTGCCTTATGGCGGTCGCAACTATTACATTTCAACTAGTACAAAAAAATTTCGGGGAAGCCAGTACTCAGGGGCTTAAGGTTGGGGCGTGAAGCACCCAAGTGGAATTGCGAATCGATGGAGCAGCAGCGGTGGACCTGGTATTATATTTGTTTTAGAGATTATGATTTGAGTAGGATGAAGCTGAGTAGTTGACTAGGTGATTTATTGAGTAATTTATGGAGGAGGAGAGGAGCGGAGGCAGCAGTCGGTTCGAAGTCGCGTGGCTTGGACCCCAAGCCACGCACCTAGCAGCAGCAGAATCCGGATTTCCTCTCCTCCTCCTTAACTAGAAATCAACATACTTATTTACATCAAATCAAATGAGCCATTTCATCAATATCAAACTGTACCTTCATTCAGGTCCACTGCAGCAGGCTCCAATTGCCCATGGCTGTCCCGGCACTTGAAACACGACTGAGTTCTTGGGTTAAGTTCTAGCTTCCCCGAAATTTTTTTGTACTAGTTGAAATGTAATAGTTGCGACCGCCATATGCCTTGTTCGATCAAGCTCAGATGGATAAGTTAGTGACAAATACAACATACAACCCTTCTTCATGATGTTTTTACAGCAACCAACTAATATAAATATAAGTAAAGTATAGGCATTATACCTCCGCCTCCACCAATAGGCTATAGTACTAGAATAGACCATCCACCTCTACTGTTCCGAGTTTCCATCAAACGCTTATCGGTTTCTAAAATTTCCTTCCTTTATCCAGCAACACCACACCTCTTATCTCTAATATCAAACTCAGGGTCCTGCTCGGTCTCCTCTGGAGGCCTTCGGAATGCATTCTCCTGGTATGATGTCTTCCTTGGCTTTGCTAGCTGGCGGTGTCCATCCACTCTCACGCGTATCTCCAAGCGCTTTTCAAGAAAGGACTTTGATGCTATCGTCAATGAACAATGGTCCAAACAATCCAAATCCAAAAAAAAAGTCAAAAAAAAATTCATCCTCGATGTCCGTGCCCTCCTCAATGCCGTCTTCACCTGGTGCTATGCCTATGCCGTCTTCACCTGCTTCAGCTTCTTTTGGTCAACAACCATGTCAACGGGACCCACAAGCACAAGAATACGGAGGTCGAAGTCAGTTTGGAGGTCGAGGAAATGGAAAGTCGACAGGTCGCTTTATACCGGATAGATATTTTGTTGGCGGCATTCCGCAGTCTGCGACAATACCGATGCTGCGAAAGATCTTCAATGCTGCAAACATACCTGGCTTTGACTCTTATGCAGCTTGTGTGACATCAACATGTACGTACAGACTAAAGTTACTTACGTGATTACATGACAGCTATAAGAGGAGGTAGTAGTTTTTTTACAATGGTTTTATTGATTTTGATACCTGCGGACTACAAACACTTGTTGCAGTCTTCTGCTCATGTGCGCAAGCAGGTATCAACATGTTCCACTGAGTTGTTCTGCAGAGTCGGCACCCTCTAATTCTCTTTCGAGTTGCGCCTCACTTATAAGCTGGGTGGGCCGAGCTTCGCCCTCTGGCGCGCTGCGCACTATGAGTTTGAAGCTGAAGACGGGAACCAGCCAAAACGGGTACAAGATGATCGCTGGCGTAGTTCTTCTGCATTTCCTGAACTTGAGAAGTTAGTCTTTCACAATGCTCAACCTCAAGCGGATAGTCGGGCGCACGGTCCACCGGGTCTACGTGGCCTTCTGCGACAGTATGGAAGACCTACTTCACCTGGTGCTAGTGGAACATCTCTTGTCCAACATGTATCAGACGATCGAACACACAGAGTTAAGGCTACCGCTGAAGCATCCTCAGCGCATCCCTTGGCCCCCTTTTCAAGGGCAAAAGGGGCTCAATGATGTGCCCAGGGATGCGACGCGGTAGCTCTAACAGACGTTTCGGCTTTCTGATATTTCGCTCTATCGACGACGGAGAACGCTTTTGGCACATGTGGCGGGGTCTCCTATTAAGAACGAAACAGAATGCCATAGTATAGGTCTGAAGATTCATCAAGAATACTACGCGAAGTAGATAGATTCTCAATCTTATCCTGCGCATTCTCATCCTAAGATCTGAGGAACAACTTCTTGGGTGGGAAATCCTAAATTCATCCTGGGCTCTAATTTACGATGGAAATGGAGGAAATCCGCCTGGAGATTGGAACTCGTGCGGATTGGACCCTTGGACGAAGATCACTGGTATCCCGTTTATACGGCCTCTCGCTGTAACCCAAAAGCACGGCCAAGACGAGTCTCAGCATGTGGTGAAGGCGCACGTCCATCAATTTTTTGTACACCAAGAAAATGCACTAAAACCAGGAGGGCAGGGAGTCGTGTTAAGGCTTCCGTTTAGTAAACCTAATGCTAATACCTGGTAGCTTGATTTGATGTGTTCGGGGGAACTGGATGAATCTGGTAGATCTAGTTGTAGAGTAGTCCTTCATTCTCAATTCATAGTCATGCATTTCGCTTTCGGAAGGATCGTAAATATGCTACAGGGGAGCGCTTTCGTTTCGGTTTTTATTCAAGGTGAAAATGATTACGATTGAGGAGATATCACCAGGATCTTTCGGCTTCTCAAGATGAATCTTCCGCTTCAGGGTCTGTGAGTTCTAATTTTGTACCCACTCGCGCGCTTCGTCTTTGCCTACTTCATGATGCTGGACTCCCACCTACCGCATATCAAACTAGCTGACGCAAACGCACCATGGAGGAGAAATATACCGAGTGTCCTTATGATGTTGATGCTGATGCTGTCCGAGCGGACAATTCTCAACACAAGACAAAAGACGCAAAAAAATGATTAGCGTCGTCTCGTCTATTTAATACAAATTCACATTCAGAAGTAACATTCAGTATTTTTGTTGTTCCGTAATAAATGTTTATAGATAATAACGGAAAGAATAAGAATGCTGTTCAGGAGCACACCCACAGCTGGACGTATGTGCCACGACTAGCATCATCTAGTATCTCTAATTCTAATAGAAGCATTGGAGAGGAGGAGCACGAACAGCACATACAGCGATCACGTGGAGCTCTGCATGGTCCTACTGGTATGCGCTCGCGTCCGGGACCGGGACCCGTCTATACCTCGGCACATGACCACCCACCCAACATACATCTGTGGCTCGGTGATGGAAAACCAAGAGGGTAGAAGATAGAGGCATCACTATGCAGTATTTCGAAGAGTGAGGTAAGAAAGAAACTTGTCGTCTTCGTCATGATGAAAAGCCTAATTCTTACAAAAAATGCAACTACAAGGTCAGGGCAAGATTACGATCCTTGATAACATTTACGTACACAGAATATTTTTACATCACGTTTGAAGATGAAGATGAGCGAACAACAAGAAGAAAAACCTTAACAAGAAGCAATACGAATACAGGAACAAGGAAGGAAAAGGAATTCTTGTTGACAAACTAGTAGTAGTACTTACTTCAGCTTCACGACATCGCATCATTATATTTTTGCATTCTAGACGAGTATTGATTTTTTTGGTACCGATTTTCTGCCCTCGCGTTCTACTGCTGGTCGTGTCTTTTTATAGAATCGGGTGGAGAAGAGGAACAGTGCATCGAAGGGCGCTACTTGCTTCTATTCTCATTTTAACGTTTGTGAAGCCGTGCTTAAAGTTTCTACTACCACCAGAATACGAGTTTCATTTCTATCAACCATATAGTCACCACCACAACACTGAATCAATTACACTGATTTTGAAGGACGAGAAGTTGCACCAAAAAGTATTCTTTTTCTTGTACGACTCGTCATGTTGTTGCTTGAGGTTTTGTCATTTTGAATTAGATTTCGATGTCCTACTTACTACTTGGAGACGAGGATCACGAGTTGATTCTTACTTACAGTCTTAAACTTAAAGGTAGACCGCATTCAATTGCTTAGCTTCCAGCACCTCATCTGAGGGGGCAGCATGTGTGTTGAAGCTGCTCACTGATGGGAACCTGCTTCGTCTTGCCCAATGCTGCTTCTACGACAGATGCCGTGACGATGACCGCGATTGCGCATCGACTGGCTATCTTAACAACCTAGACGGAGGACGACAAGGAGAAGGTGCAGCAGATACCACCGAGGCAGATACAACTCGACCTGGCATCTCACTGAATGGCTAATAGGCACTTCTTAACGTATGACACAAAAAAAGCACTAGTTCTCGAAATTTGTAAATTTGATAGATGCCACAACTAGGCGAGTGCCCTGAGTTGCGGCAAGCTAGTGGCGCCTTTCAAGGGGCCGCAGCTCTTTGGGATGCCTCTCGCGTTTTTGGCGCCTGATATCGGTGCCCGCGCTCCTTCCTTTCTGTGCCACGTGGTGGCACTGTGGCGCTTCCTGGAAGACGCTGGCGGTGTCCAGCTGATCTCACCGAATGGCTGAAAAGCACTTCTTAACGCTGACTAGATTCATTATCGGGCAACACCATTAAGAAAAAAGTCATTGTGTATCTGTATGTGCAGCGAAAGTGAAAACTTCTAGAATTCTGTTCCGGTTGACCTTGACGTGTCGCGCATGTTTCTATTAGAGAAAACAGCGTAAATTGCCATGAAAAAGGAAATCTAAACCTCATGAAAAAAAATGGCCGGTATAATAAGTCCAGCAAGTGATTGGTGGAATATAGGATACAGGACATGCTGATTCATTTTTTTTTTTTTCAAATGTCTGTAAGAAAAATCGATTGCCAAGTCTATCTAGGAGGTTGACCTTCTTCTAGTTCTGCGAACTCTTTAGTAGAAATAATGGAAAACCAACATCAAGCACAAGCACTCAAGAAACAAATAAGGCTAAGATTATATATTTCTAAGTAAGGAACAAGATACGCAATTCTACTACTAGTAGTCCGGGTTATCTCTTAGTTGTACAACGAATTTGGGAAGCAGCGCAATCAATCGTGCTGTTGTGAAACTCGATGTGTGTAAGTGTAGAAAGCATTAAAGATAAGTAGAGTCTGAGCGCACGCTGCTCGGTCTGCAGAAAAAATTGAATGATCTTCTTTGCAAGCAAAAGAACATAGTCGTAAATTTTTTTTGAGGTTGTACCACGACACGCATAATAAAAAACCGTTTGGAAGAAGAGGAGCTGCAGCTTGTTGCGATGTTCATGAGAAAAGCGGTGGCGGTGTGGATCAAAACTATGTTGAGGCTCAGAAGAAGTCTTAGACTGCCGAGAAGAAGAACATTTTTTCTTACTCGTTCTTTATTTGACGAGAGCTTTCATGTTGAAGTGGGGATTGAAAATGAAATCAATGTCAAACTCAAACAAGAGTCGTACCCTTGTCTGACGACTGACTTCGCGTGAGCGGGCATACTCAGTGAGGCACGACGAGTAGTGACACGGTTACGTCTGCTAGGCTCGGGCTACCGCGCGTCGCCACTTGATTGATTGATTAATGTTTTGCACATACTAATCAACACTCTCCGTGAGTCTAAGTGTGAGAAGATGGAGAAAGAAGAACCTCGGAATTCATATTCAATTGATAAAAAGGAAGTTGCAAAGTCTCACAACCACAAGAAGATGTCACTACCTCGCCCGCTACGTCGCCTTATTCATGTGGTGCTGCTTGTCGCTTTCTCGACGCAAGATGCGCTTGGAGCTGTCAAGATCCAGAGTTGGCATCTGTCAGGGCCTTGGCCTGTTGGTAAGAATGAACTCGATGCGGATCCCAGTTTTGAACTTGCGAATGGAGGCGTGTTCGAATTGTGGAATAATAGGAGAACAACGAATGCCACTGCGACATCAAGATCAAATCCATCAACTCCGACGACTCCAAGTCGTGGCGCTTCTGCGGCTTTCTTTAGTGAACTCGTTACTGGTGGACAGCTTGCTGGATCTTTTTCAAAGGAACAACTTTTCGACCCAAGTTTCATTCAAGGTAAGAACATTGGACAGAAACCTCCCTCAAAACAAAATTTTAATGATGTATGGGCTACGGTAAATCCGACGCGTCGGGTGGAATGGAGTCAGCTAGTGCAACAACTCTCGGCTATGGAAGTCCTAGAATTTCAGGCATGGGCAGTTGCAACAGTCGACTTTTCGAAGACCATGAGCAAAGGCAAAGCGTCTAACGATATCAAAGTCTATGCCGTCGGATGTGAAGGAGTGCGACAGTTCTTTATTGACGACGATGCTCAGATATTCACTGGTGACATGTTTCGCACAGGTGCAATCAAAGGCGTCTTCTCTCCGACGAAAACCAAACATACTTTATTCGTGCCATTGAAAGCGAAAGGACCTGCTACTGAGTTCAAATGCGGCTTCGAGCCCCTCCCTTCGATTGGAAGTGGAACTTTTGCAAATCGTCCAGCATCAAGTTTAGAAGGAGATGTAGTTCATGCAGAGATCGCAGCAAAAGCAAATCTTGTGCCAGACTTGTTGGAGATCGCTGGAAAGAACCCGATTAATGTGCTAGGAGGTAGTACATACCAAGAAATTGATCGGGCAACTGGTAACTCTAACTTCAAAGAAGTAGTGCTATTACCAGAGCTACATGACCAGAAACACTCGAACTTGAAGGGCCCATTTCTTATGGGTAATTTTATCTCTGTGGCGATCACGAGTTTGAGCCTGTCTCATTTTTTGAAAGTCAGTTTTTCGGTAGAAGCTGATGCGGCCGTGGAGCTGCTGCCTGTGCTTTCTACTGATGTGACAAATCCTGATCCTGAAGAAGATGGCGTCATTCTGGATGAAGACCCGAAACATAGTGGAAGCAAACCATTGGATACATGCGAATCCAATATCGTTGCGCCTAGCCAAAGTAGCGCAATACCAGTGAAATTCAAACTAAAGGATAGCACTTCCACTTCAGAAGCATCATCTTCCACCTGTAACCCAATTCGATTCGAGCTCAAAGTGACTTACACAGTCGCAAGCACAGGAGACGAAACGACCACTGATTCTCCCCAAACGAAGCTCCTTCCAATAACGCTCCAATGCAGAAAACCCAGTGATTCTCTGCTGTACACTTTTCTCGACCACGACGGAACAGTGAACCGCGCAGCTGCAATTATGCCTTTGCTGTCTACCTCTCCCACACTCGTCCAGAGAGAGGCAGGACCCGGAGGTAAACTAAAACTACCCAGGAGCAGTAAAAAGACTGCATATCCTGTAGTCTTGAGTCTTCATGGTACTGGTGTAGACGTACGCATGCAAGCAGACAGTTACAAATACAAACCTCGGGCAAATGACGTACGAAAATTACTACAGAAACTGCAAAAAGAAGAAGCTTTAGGTGGCGCTAATGAAGCTTGTTCTAGTGGTTGTACTGGGTCCGGGCCAGAGAGGACTGCGGAGGTGGATGACAGAGACATCAATAAGACCACTAGTACCTCCTTCTACCCTTTACAGGATCTCCAGAAAGCAGAAAAAGCATGGAAAATCAAGAAAGATGAAGACGTTCCGTATCTCTTTGGTATCGAAAATGCGTGGGTAATCGCCCCAACTAGACGTGGTGCACACAACTGGGAGTACACCGGCTTCCTGTCTGCGCTCGCAGCTGTGAAGGCTTTGAAACGGATAATAGAAGCCACGTCGTCCTCATCTTCAAGTTCAATCTCTAGCTCTTTATCTTTTCCCGCTCTACGCTTACCCCAACTAGATGACGAAAAAATGATCTACACTGGCCATTCGATGGGTGGTCATGGAGCAATGGTCCTCGCCACACGTGCACCTGGTCCAATGCAAGCAGTCGCACCGCTGGGCATGTGGATCAAAAAAGAAGAGTATGGAGATAGCAACCGATTCTTTCATCTGGATGTGCAGAACGCGCACGTGGAACCGAGTCTGAATTATGAATGGACTCATGCTGGAGTATAAGTGCAAGGGTTTCATTTTTAGTTGATGTCTATCGTTCGTACGCAAAGATGAGAATCATAATCTTCAATGAAACCAATCACTGAGTACTCTCCGCATTCTACATCCTCTAAGAGTCAGCAGTTCTAGAAGCTAGCATGGCTGAAAACTCAGTGGAGCCTCAGTTGGGCAACGTTGCGGAGCGACGGCCATTTTTACCTGTGAAGTTTCGCGTTGGCGCTAAAGATCAGGCGACCCCTGCTTGGTTCTCGCGTCGACTTGCAAGGAGTTTGACGGGATGGAGTAAAAGTGGTCCGATTACTCCTTCTCCTAGTCCTTGTCCTACTTCTTCTCGTTCTAACGTTAAGGCTCAACTTTCATTGGTCACGGGGCTTGGTCTCTGACATCAGAGAGGAGACCCACTGAGAGAACAGGGGAAAACTAACGGAAAACAAGGGGAGAGGCATGGGGCATTTTGCTTTCCGAATCAGTGGCCACTGACCGCTGACCTTTAATAACGGAAAGACTACGATGCAAAGGAGTTCTACACTTTCCATCGCTCCTTCGATAGACATTGATTACGAAGAGACGCCTGAGAAAGAACATTGGTGGTGGGACACACAGCGCCCGAATGACGGTGGTACTGTAAATGATGCCAAAATGCGAAAATGGTACAAGACGGTTGTTTCGAGTCTTCTTGCGGATTCGGATAGTCTTATTGCGGATTTCGAGTCTTCTTTTGGATTCAGCCAGGAGGCGGAGAGAGGTGGGACCAAAAGCGAAGAGCAAGCAGAAGTAGACGCCTCCTGTGGTGAGAACAAGATGGAGGAGATTATTGCTTCGACGAGTGCTGGTTTTGCACTCACTACAACAAACTTGAACGCCATTGTTGGTCGCGTCGATGGCATTCGGATTGATGAACAAGTGAGGCCTTTTTGGAAGTCCATTCTCCGAATTTCGCATACTACAGCGAAAGTACTGAGCTCTGGCATTAGTAAGTCCGTGGATTTCCGCTTTCTCATCTCCGAAGCAAAAAATGTAGCTCGTTTTTCAGCGGCTATATCAGCGTCGCAGCTGGGAAAAGTACTTTCGCGCTATCTTACCCGGACAAACGGTAGCTTCTCATCATCGAGAAGTACAAACAAAAAGTGCGTCCTAGACGCAGAATCAAGGACACAGAAAATACTAAAGCCGCCTGAAGACCTGCTAGAAAACGGTCTAGTAAACGTGACACTCTCAGTCTCAATCCAATATCAAGAATCTCTCGTCACGAAGAGGACTGTAACACTATCGCCTTCTCAACTCAAGCGGCTCTTTGGACATCTTAATCAAAGTGACACAACCATATTGAAACTTGAGATGTGTCGTCATTCAAGAAAGTCGGAGAAGTCATCCACTAGTACGACGATGTCACAAGATACAAGTGGCTGGAGGAAGTGCGAGCCTGAAGATTCACAAGTCGCTGGGACGAACGGGAGCGAAAATGGGCAAACACGAGCACAGAAATCCCTTTTTTTTCTACCTCGACGCTTCTGGCAATTTGGCCCTGTGCGTACGGTTTTTGCTAGACCTTTTGTCACGGTTATTGGAGGTTCTACTGAAGCTAAATATTTGCAGCAAGCCGTGTATCTCGCGAACACGCACTACGCTTCGGCAGATACGAGAGCGCCAGTGCTGACGGATAAGATGCATCTGCAGACGAGTTATCACGGTGATACGAACCTAGTGCTTCTAGGGACGCCGATGGAGAATAAAGTCACAGCCGCTATCTGGCAAGAGCATCCGTATCTTCGCAAAGTGATTGATTTTGGCGAGAGCTCGTTCGCCATTTTCCCGTCTATTGTCAACGAAGCAGGAGCAGATCATGAAGAAGCCGAGGGATTCCGTTTTTCATCGACAAGAGAATCCCCAACGACCCCACCAAGAAGAAGCACCAGCCACAGCCTGCACGTCGCTGAATTCCAGCGAGAAAGCATTGGGCTCCTTGCTTGGGTTCCACTAGGCAGCCGAGGCCGTAAAGCACTAGTCATTGCCGGAACAGACGAACATGCAGTGCACACGGTAGCGCATTATCTAGGCCAACCGACGATACCACCAATGATGCGCGCTCCGTTTACGAATCAAGTACCAGATTACATAGTCTTAGATGCTCATGAAACGAAGAGAAAGGGCGTTGGCGGTTTCCTAATGGCAGGTTTCTGGGGAACGGTGGAGCCAGGATTTGTGGCGCCGCATTGAGGGGATCCGAACGTTTTTGAGCGGGAGTTGTACATCCAAACATTTAGGTTCGCACACCACACTTAACGATTACAAACATTACGATAGCGATTATAAAATAACAATAAATGAACACAAGAAAAGATACAAAGAGATAGAAAAAGATACAAAGAAAGAGATGATAGAGACTACATCTTCTAGAGTAACAAACCTGAGCTTTCTTTTTTTACGCGAGTCTTTCAATGAACCAACGACCAGCACAATTCATCGGCTGCTGCGACGAGGACAGAAATTTCGTTTTCGCCTCGCAAGTTGACAGCATGATGCTGGCGCCAATGCATCGAGTTGCAACCTCATGGGGTGCAATCCCGCTATCGCTATGGTCTGTCGTCGAAAATTTCGCTGACTCTCGGAGTGACATCGCACGTATTGGGAAATAGATATTCGAAACCGAAAAAGGCTAGAAAAAATCGAAGAATTGTGAATCGAAAACTGCCCTCATACACTTGAAAACTAGACGTAAACGTAGGTAGCAGTCAAAAGAAGTCGATTGTTTCCATTCACGCCGCAAAAGGCGACGGATAACGAACGTGTAGTCACGGGATCCGGAATAGGGACAAATATGAAAAAGTGAGGTGTAATTAAAAAACGCCAGAATCTCGGTGTCGCAGCATTGCTGAACACGGTCGTGATCCTATCGAGATTTTCCGAACGACGAAAATGAAAGCTGTCAAAATGACCTCCGAACAAGACGGTGCGGAAGATGTCGCCACGTCTCAGCGTCGTCTCGTTACCGAGACCGTGTTTCTGGCTGGCGCCGGCTTCATGGCGGATTCTTACGACCTCTTCGTTATCGACTTCGTTCTGGCGATCCTCACGACATCAAACACCATCGACGAAAGCAGCGAAGATAGGGACAAGTCATTACTTGCTTCCGCAAGTATCGTTGCGGCTGTTGTAGGACAGCTGAGCTTCGGTTTCTTAGCAGATTGGTTTGGACGGCGAGTGATGTTCATCACCACATGCGTTTTCATAGTGGCTGGATGTGTTGGGCAGAGCTTGGCTGGCACAAGTAGTGCAGGTTCATTGATCTTCCAACTAGTAGCGTTTCGACTATTGATGGGTCTCGGCATCGGTGGCGAGTATCCATTAGCAGCTACTGTCACAAGTGAGAAGATGCCGGAAGATATGCAGAAGAAGGTGATTCTAATTTTTGTTTTCGATGTTTGTAGTTGTCATGCAATATGTCCATGTCTTTTCTCTCGGAGTTGTTGCTGTTACTGATACTGAGACTGACATCAACGAAACATTCCGTTAACTACATACCAGACTCTCGCCATGGTCTTCTCGATGCAAGGATGGGGACAACTACTCTCTGTTCTGGTCATCTTTTTCCTCCTGTTGAGTTCAGCAAGTCTCGAATCAACGTGGCGCTTGGCGATTTTCGTTGGCTGTATCCCAACAGCAATCGTTTCCTATTTTCGATGGAAAATGCACGAGACTCCTGCATTTTCAAGAACGGCGCAAAGAGAACTACTTGACGAACAGGGAGATACAGGTAGTCACCTCCAAGAACACCAACAACAATTAGGGGTTGAAACCAGTGCCTTAGTCGAGTCATCAGCCTCTTCTAGTAGTAGCTCCAGGCCAAGTTTTGGGGAGCAGGTTTCTCGACAGTTGAAAGTTGCTTCCGAAGCAGGTCTACTGCCCACATTAGCAGGCACCGCACTGTCATGGTTTCTACTCGACGTCACCTTTTACGGCGTCGCATTGTTTAAAGCCGACATCGGTCGCTCGCTTTATTTTCCACGAGACGAGGACACGTCTTCACCTTCCTCATCGCTTTCGCAGGAAGAAAAAGACAAGGAACAACTGCGAACATTGACACTTCAAGCCGGACTGATAGTGCTTATCGGATTGCCAGGTTATCTCTTTTCAATCGCTTTAGTTGACAGAATAGGTTTGCGCCGACTCCAATTTTGGGGCTTCATTTCCTTATCGGTTTTGTTCTTCTTCGCTAGTGCTACGTCGATACTAGTCCCCGACATGGGAGCTGCGAAGGCAGCGAGTACCAAAAGCACGACTTCTGCCCTAGCGACCAGTGCAGATTTTGACCAATATTTGGGTGTCGTGAAACTTCACCAACAAGAAGGAGCGCGAACTAGTGCAGTAGATAGTGCAATAGCTGCGGATGATAGTCGTGTCTCATCTGCAGCTACTGCTGCGTCGTCCTCGTCGCATTACTCTTTTCTAGAACAACAGCAGAGTCAAACAGGAGAGGACGCAGCGAAGTCATCAGGAACTCTGCTGCGTACTGAAAAGGAAGCGGGCGTCGATCAAGCAACGGGATTGGCGTCTTCGTCTTCTAATTCCTTAACAATGACATCCAGCACAGAGACAGAAGACACCTCCCCCACCACAACCTCTGCTAAGATCGGCCGACTCCTCACCCTGGCTTTTATCTGTCTGACGATGTTCGTCTCCAACTTCGGACCCAACGCGACTACCTACATCCTCCCTGCCGTAGTCTACCCGACCCCTGTCCGCGCAACCTGTCACGGCATATCAGCCGCGATGGGAAAACTAGGAGCCGCAGTCGGCGTCGCCTGTTTTTCACCTCTGCTCTCCGCATTTGGATTGCCATACGTTCTTCGCTGTTGTGGCTGTGTCGCTCTAGTCGGTGCCATGGTCACTCACCGCCTTCTTTCCCCAGAAATAGACGGACCATATGAAGGACTTTGGGGTGACAAAAAGAGTAATGCTGGCGATGACGAAGTAAGTGAGATAGTGGGTGAAACTAGTGGCGGCTTCCCAGTAGCTCATGAAAGACAAGATCGCGAACCATCATGAACGCTTACTAACTGAACACTCAACCTTTTTTTTTCCAATTTTGCGTAGATGACATGCTACTAAAGTTATTACACATTACACTCTTCTCAGCGCAGGAGCAGGAATCACGCCGAATCGAAGCTGTTGTTCGTGCGTCTGCGTGTAGATCAGGACGCGGAAGAACGATGCTTGGAAGAGAGCACATATCAGGTCGACTTCGACGAGAGACGTGACTTTAACTTCCAGCTATCTTGATATCACTTGGTGCTAGTCACGAGAGATACAGCGAGCTGAGAGACTGAGGTAGAGATTGTGCTTGACAACTACGGAACTCCTTTTCCTCAATGAAAAAAATGTAGGATTTTGGGTTTGCAAAATGTGTTGGAGAGGTGTGGCTCGGCAAGCACACCAATCTGTCTCCGAGCTACTTCATCAATCTATATCCTTCTTGGCCGTCTACGTCTTGTTCCGTTTTTGCCATTTTTACATTAGTCTACTAAGTGGACGTTTTGAGTGTTTCATAATCGGAAACATCTTGAGAATATTACGCTATGCAGAACAACATGAAGAACTTTTTCGTGAGCGTGAAGAAGGGAAAGAACACGAAATAAATGAACGACATGCCTTGCCTTGGCTTGGAAACAAACTGCCTCGATGCGCGCGTTTGCTTTGCATCAGAAGCAGAGCCATCGGCCTCTTCGTTCTTGTATTTGCGCCGTGGATTTACCCCGTCCATGGTGCCACAGTCCCACCACCGAAGACCCCACCATGGTTTGATCCACGCATTCAAAAAAAGTTCAATGAGCGGTTCGGCGACCCAGCGCGGCGTCGCAACACGGCTGCGACGAATAAAAACGTAGTCTGCATCGAGGGTCCACATAGGTGGGCCAACGCTCAGGTCCTGGAGTCGATCTATGTCAACCTGGTAAGACCATTTGGCGAGAACACGGATGTGGTTGTCATTGCGCCAGACGTGAAATATGCCAAAGAAGAAGACGGGAGGCATTTCAACACAGGCGCGAATCGCATTGGCTTGCGAAGGACCTATCTCCAAGCAGGTGCGTTGGCGGATTACTATCAGGGGAGTGGTGATCATGCCGGTGAAGTAGATCGTGGAGTTGTTGGAACATCAAGTAGTGCCGGTGATGCTGGAACTACGAGTGAGATGAACGTCAACAAGAACGCGGCTGCTGATAAATTTCGACAGGATAGCAGAAAACTGAGATCCCACGATCTCGAGAATGTCCATGAGCGTGAAGACCCATTGATCTCAGTTGAAGTGACCACTGATCATGAAGCCGAAGTTCGGAGAACAAAGCAGTACCTGGAAGCAAATCCAGTCGAAAGACTACAGCAACCTCAACTGCACATTCTGAAGCACAGTAGTTGTGTCTACAGGCGAATCTTTGGGCATCATCTGAAAGCCTTGGATATGCAACAAGACGAAGAGCGATATGAATTGGTCAACGACTTCAGTTTGGAATGGTTCCGAGATTCGAACAGCGAGCAGCCGGGCTATAGATTTGGGATGCACCTGATGAGCAGTAAATGGAAATGCTTAGCAGCGATGAAGAAAGCGAATTATGGACAGAAAAAAATAAGTGGGTTTCCCTCCGATGAAACTTGAGATTTGTACGACTCCTACTTGGAGGTCATGAAACGATGTCAGGCTGTTCGTCCTCGTGAATCTGTTCTCCCTCTAATCCCAACGAAAACTCTAATCCAAACTAAGACTCTCTAGTCCCAACTAAAACTCTCTAATCCCAACTAAGACTCTCTAATCCCAACCAAAACTCTCTAATCCCAACTAAGACTCTCTGCCTACGACTGGTTCGCTTTCACGCGAAACGACGTTTTTTGGGCCTATCCTCATCCACAGCCTTGGCTGCTGAACCACGAAAAATGGATGCAGCCTGGATCAGGATGGAGCGAGAACCCTTACGACTTACGGCCTGTGGATATTTGGATTCCAGCTTGTTTCGATTACGCTGGCATCAACGACCGCGTCTACACGATTAGGCTGAGACCTGGTGGAGATTTTGACTGGCGAGATAGAGAATTCCAAGAAGAAGAGGAGGAACAAGATCAGGGAGTGGAAGGAGAGACGAAGAGGAACAAAACGGCTGAGGAAATTCAGGCGCGGGAGGACCAGCAAATCGAAATCGCTAAGAAGAAGCGCATTCGAGAGCAAATCCGTAAGGCGAAGAAGGTGTTTTTCCGTTTCACTAGAGCGGTCTACGGCAGACCTGGTGGAATGCCTATGGTTAGAGCGGATGGCTTGCCACCGCCGAACGCGCAAGATCCCTCAGATGTGAGTTGGCGCTTTCTCAAGGGTTTTGACGGTGGTGTAGGCGCACAAGAAGTGAATGGCGAACTCAGCTTCAGGAGGTTTTTGGACCATCACGATTTCAAGATCGGGAGGTTTGACTGCATATGTGCTTTGGTTAAAACAGGACAACTGGCTAATGACTTGATCGGAAATGTCATGGAGAAAATCGTGGAAAGCAAAAGGAGATACGAGATGAAGAGGCTACAACATGTTGACGATGGCATCAAAATTGGAGGTAAAAATACAGAGGCAGAAGTAAGTTCTACAAGTTCCACAACAACGCCGCCTCCTCCACCATCAACGTCTCCACCTCCACCACCAATCGTGCCAAAGGAGCAAATCGACGAGGACGAAACGGGCGACCCCCACTACTGTCGTGAGCTTCAGACGCCAGGCTTCTCAGAGATCTTCGGACGTCATAGGATATCTTTCCGCAACCATCAGCTGTTCGACTCTACTGTGCAACTGAACGCGGATTTACAACCTAACGGTGTAGACCGATGGATGTCGTCGAGTAAGAAAAGCAAAAAGGCGGACTGGACGGTTGCCTTGCCCGTGGTGATTCCTGATCGCTTTGTGGCTTTGGGGAAAGGTGAGGCGAAAGCCGGAGCTGAGGAACAAAAGGGAACAAGCACGAGTGGCACAAGCACAACATCAGCATCACCAGCACCATCTCCTACAGTTTCAGAAGTAACTGACTCCTCCAGCAGCTCCACGGACAATATCAAAAGTGCAGAAGAAAAGTTCGCCGCCCTGCTGCATTCCGTAGTTCAAGATCTCTCCCATGGCACAGACGGCGCAAAAGTGGTCGCAAATCATCCAGAGTTGCTTGCGAAATTGAAGAAATACCGGTATTCGCATGATGGCGTCATGAAATTCTCGCAGAAAGACTTGGACTTTAACGAAGCTAGCGTAAATCATGGTGCAGTTCAGTCGGTTTTGGATGCGTTTAGACGTAAACCCAGACGAAGATGGAGTGCTTTGGAGAACCGGTTTATTGTCAATCGTTTGGGCAGTCATATGTTTTTGCAACGGGAGTCCTGCAAGAAGCTAGTGATACGTGGAATGGCTCACTGGGCTGCGTATCTATCTCCGATGAGACAAGGCGGTCCGAAGGGTGCGATACCAGTAAACCTAGATTGGTTTCAACCCCAAAATATGGACGAAGAGTTGGACACAAGGATAAAACAACCAGCGTTTGGGTTGGAGCAGTTACTGTTCAACGCGGAGAAGAGCGGATTAAATTAAGGCTCAGCTTTCAATGGTCATTGGGGTTGGTCACTGAGATCCCTCTTGAGAGAACAGGGGAAAATGAAGGAAAAGCAAAGGGAGAGGCATGGGGCCCATTTCTTTCAGAGTCAGTGACCATTGAATGCTGCGCTTTAATTAAACGTGAGTAGTGTAGTACATAGGTGGAAAAGGCGGACAGAGCAAGGAGATGGGCACGATAGTGGTAGCACGACTGCAACCTCCTCCATATCTTCAGCTCAGAGCAAGAACTTCCCGCAAACTCTAGTAGATTTCGTACAGTCCAAGATCGATGAAGCAACGGACTATCTGATAGGCAAATACTGCGATACAGCGCCAGTTTGGTGGGAGCCGATGTCGGAAAGTATAGTCCTCCGAGACTCACAACATGTTTGGGCACAGGTAAAGGGCTTTCTGTCCAAGAGCCTTGATTTGAAGATTGAGGATCGCGAAAATATCTTGAAAGCACTCACAAACACAACTCTCACGACAGCATCTTCCCCATCTTCAGTAGAGCAGGCATCAGCAGCGTCAGAATCCTCCCCATCGTCGTCCATCTCTGGAGCAGAAGAAAAAACCGGCTACGCCATCCAATCTCTGCTAGGCCATTCATCTAAGATTCCTCTAGGAAACTACGACCGCAGCATGCACACACTAGTAGACGATTTTCGATACGAGCTCGTCTGTCCCATGATGGAGTGGGACAAGGTCAATCTAACAGAGTGGCATCCGGTAGCTCACCATCAGTACAACTGCAGCGCGTTGACAGCACCAGAGCAGCAATACGTAAATACGATGGTGTCGAATATGGATCACGCGACGGCTGGCGTGCCAGGTAGTACGGCACTATAATATTGTCAACAAGAACAAAGCATGATATGAAAGAACTTCTGGTGGATCCTCAGCACTTCTAAGTTTGCTGTAACATGATCACTAGAATATCCGACACTTGCATTCATCCCTATTTTGCGAGTGAGAGTGTGAGAATCTGAATCATCCTAGTAGAATAAAAACTTCACTACAGGTCTCAACGAAATGATGGAGTTGCATATGGAGGATCGAATTTTAGCCTTTTTGTTGTTGAGCCATCGCGGGGTCCTGGAAGTCGTAAACGCAAGGAGAGAGGCAGACCGACAACAGAAGGCTAAGGTTCTTGCCGGAGGATTGTCGAGTGACGTAAACGAGAAAAGTGAAAGCCCTCCAGCAGTCACTTCAGCAGCTGAAGAAGAACAACTTGTCGACGAGCCACTCCCTGACATCTCCACGCAATTCGGACGACACTTAAACTTGAAGATGTTCGCCAAACTCTACGCGAGTCAGCAACTAGGCCCGGATCTTGGTTTTTCGACGCCCTTTGATAACCACTTTTTCATGTACAACAACACGTTACTGTGCAAGCCCTACAATGACGACGTTGCATATACTTGGAACAGGGATACTGTAGTGGTGAAGCAGTCTCAGAGCGGATACCTAGCTGCGACGGACTTGCACCATCAATCGACAATATTAGATACTGAGGGAGTTGTGGGTGAAGGAGCAGGCGGGCGAGGAAGTAGTACACCGTCATCTTCAACAGGACCAGCGCAAGTAGTAGAAGATGTGAAAATGATGCGTGCAATAAACAACGATCATGTTGTAGCTGCAACCATGCAAGAACAGGGCGGTCCGACTAACAAGAGAGTTTTTGGCAGATACAAGAAAGCAGCCGACGGGAGTTTGACGGAATTAGTTGTCCACAGTGGTCCTTTTTTCCGCAACCGTTCTCACGATTACATCATGGACAACTACTCTCCTGAAAAATATCTAGATCGAAACAGCAATCCAGGGAGGACAGCTAAGTGGGGAGCTCGCGACCATTTCGTTGAGACACCGAGAAACCGTAATATCCCCTCCGACATGTTCACCCCTAAAGGAACCAGACCCGACGCTCCCTATGGAGAAGAAGAATTGTCGATTTATCCAATGGTGTTATCCAGAAGAGCAGGAAGGTATCTCAACCAACACGACCCTGAAGAACTGCACCCAGAAGACCTCTACACGCATGAAATGCGTGATGACGATATGCGGCGCGGAAAAGATTTGCAAGCGCGCTTGATGGAGATATTGAATGCGGTAAGCAGAGAAGCGGAGGAAGCGACTGTGGATTTGCTAAATATACCAGAGAGTATTACAAAAGAGGGATCAGAGCCAGAGGGTCCTTCTGAATCATCACCCAAGAGGACAAGGAGAACCTTCCCATGGCAAAGAGAAGGTAGTAGTGACAAACCTGTAGGCGAGGACCATCCGCATCAGAAAAACGGACAAGCTTCGCCGGCAAAACCAGCAGAACCCACAGGCAGAGTCCTCGACGCCTTGTTCAACAGACTACCAGATGCAGAAGAAGCTCTGACGCATCCGACAGAACTCGTTCGTGACCTGGACGATAGTCAATGGAAGGAGTTATCGGAGTATGAGAAAAGCCTTGATCCGGTACTGACATCATTTTGTGTTCCTTGAAGAACTTCTTCGTTGTTATGGATATGGAAGAAGTAGTTTTTGATTTTTCTTTGTTTCTACGACGGACGAGTGCAAGAGATGTTTTACAACTCTACTTCTTTTATCACACCGCTTCAGACATCACAGCCTCACAGACAAAAATTTTACCACTCACAGATAATCGACTACGACGAGTTCGTTGACCGAAACTTCCGCCGAGCGCATGTTGCCAGTTCTCAAGCTTCTGAGGTTTCTCGGAGTATCCCAGTAGAGCAGCAGGACAAGTGGTGGGCAGAGTATTTCACGAAAAACGATAGTGTGGGGAGAAAATACTACCAGCAAATGCGAGAAGCATATGACTCAAAAGAAAGCGGGAACTTGGACACTGCACATATACCTTTGAATATGCAGATGGCGATGGTATTAAGACTAAGATTTGACTTTCCTGGTGATCTGAATCATGTTCATTCTTGTTTCTGTTTCAAGTGTAGTTTATGTTGTAGTCATCATCATATGACGAGGATGAGCCTCGTCCTCGAACTGTCTGAAAAATCATCTTCATCGTACAACCTCCCAAACTAAAACCCCATCTTTCTCATTCCCAGCTAACCGAGTTAAACAAAGTACCCGCTTACCCGAAGCAAGACCCTAATGGACCGCAGAAGTATCGACTATTCAAATCTCGCGTTCCAAGACGGAGAACGTGCGCAGGCATGGAGTATTTTTCTGAGCTACCCTTCGGCTACTCCACGGTCGATTATTGGGAACCCGAATCTCAACAACGCCATGCCAGACATCCGGGGCAGCCCAGTTGTATGAGCTGTTGGTTACGCGGGCCCAGGTACTCGCAAAACACAGGTTGGCTCTGTTGGAAGGCGAAGGAGATGAAGAAAAACCAACCAAGTCGATGTTGTGGGAGACTGGAGTCGCCTTTTTTGCATGCTAATTTGTGGATGCACTATCCCAGAACCGAATGCTTAATGGCAGACCATTTGTGTTCGGATCACTTGTTCGGGATGTGGAGGCGAAATTTGAAACAAGGATGGCCAAACGTGAAGGAAGCGCAACGGCCTGATAGGAGAGATCACGCAGATGCGCCATTGAGCAATTTGATATATTGAAGAAATTGAGTTTAAAAGTAGGGAGAATAAATATGCTGACATTCTTTTTTACCCTTTTTCAGCATCAGGAGCTGCAACACACTTTATGATCTACGTTCGGTAAGCGTAAGCACAATCACCAAACAGTCAACAAATATCATCCAGAATACGTTTTCACGATTATACGCGAGCAAAAGATTCACACAGAAATTTGAGGAAGAGTTGGGGAGTGAAATTATCAAAACTTCTACATCGAGGAAGTAAGTAGTATCACAACTTGTTCAGGAATTCCAAATTGGAGAAGCATATCTTCCAATATATCGCACGCGTTCATCAAAGGAACAGCAAGAAATGCGCTGTGAAACATCCGCTACCATCATCTTGAAATGGTGCTCTAAGTTTTTACTGGATGTTGTTCTAGTAGTTACCGATGAAGTCTGATGTGATTCTGAGGATCTGTTTGCGCTTGGGATTGGGATCAAGTGCTTCACATGATCATCCATTGCTGATCATTGGCCGACAAACTCCCTCAAGGATTAAGTTCTATTGATTTTGACTTTCAGGAGAAACGTTTGGCAGGCCAGTCCGCGAGTTGGTAGTAAGATTTCATGGACATGGTCAGTTCTGGGCATGGCTTTAGGCATGGTTTGATGTAGTAGACATGATTCATGATGATCCTTCGAGTGGCTACTTGAGTAACCCATTAACCATTTTGTTTCTTACGCGTAACAAACTACAACGACAAGAGGAACTTCAAATTATCAAATAGCGCACAAACAAGACAAAATGGTGCAGCGGAAGAAAAGGCGCATGGTGCTAGACACCATCGACGACAACGAAGCTGTTACTGCTCCGGATCATTCGGCTACTGCAGATGTCAACGACTTACCTCCAAATACAGGAGGTTCGTCTGCTAGTGGTGTCGCCCGTGCTCTAGGGGCTGGCAAGAAAACTGATGACTCACCAGGAGGGCTCTTCGGAGGACATCAGTTTAACCGGGACACGTTTCCGCAGGAAGAGCAGGAGAGAGCTGTGGCGGAGGTACATGTTAAAAGTGGTTTTTGGTAAAAATAGCAAATCCACATTTGTTGTTGTTCTGTTCTTATTGATTTCATCACTAGGTTTTCCACAACACCCAAAGCAATACAAGCACAACACCATCATCACCAGCATACAGGGAAGATCCATCCGTTCATCTTGCCTAAATATCCCTACCACAGCAAGAGCGCCAGGATGAGCTATTGCGAAAAGGCAAAGCCGTCAGCTTCGCTGATGAACTCAATCGAAAAGAGGCAGCACTGCTCAGAAGTGGTCGCGGAGCAGCCTCTTCTAGCCTGGCCAATGTGCTTCTCGAGGGTACTCAGATGCGACTGGCCAAGCTACTCGATGAAGACGCGCTGAAAAAACGTGGTGCTGCATTAGGTCTAGGTGGAGGCGAGTCGTTGTCATCTGGCGCAAACGAGTCGTTGTCAAGAGAGGACAAATTGAAAGCGTTACAGGAATTAGCGTCGACTGGTTCTTCAACATTAGCGCAAAAAGTGATAGACACTTGTGCGAAGACGGAAAGTACAATTTTGCAAAACGAAGCTGCTGCGAACCGAACGGTTACGACATCTTCGTCTTCGACATCTTCAGGTCGAAAAGGTGGAGCTGCCTCGAATACAACTACCTCTTCTTCTACTGCTGCAACCCGGCAACAACTCCTACGAAAGCTGTATCTCGCCTTGGACAGAGCTTCGGCACCGAGCAAAAACGCTGTTCTGACAGCAGACCAGGAGGTGGATGGTCCTCGAGGTCGCGCAGCGGTGTTTTTAACTAAATTGAAGCGCATAACCGAGGACGTGAAGGCTCAAAGGCTGAAGGATGGCGATATTGAACAACTTCGCAAGGCGGACTCTCGAAGTTCTGGTGACGCGATGGCTTTGAGCACTCGGCGTCGCGCATACCGCCGAAGGGTTCTGCTCGATGCGATCCGACGAAATACAGACTGTAATGCAGAAGATGCTGATGTGGTGGACGAAGAAGGTGCGCAAGGAACATCAACGAGCAAACGTGTCGTCCACATTGACGAGAAAAACTTGCGTGCTTTATTCCAGCCTTCACTCGGTGGCGCACAAGATTTGGTTAAAGCTGCACAGACGGCGTTGTTAAACACTTCAGACAGCGCCACCAGAACCAATATGCGCAAAGCGTTGGCAAGTTTAGGTTTGAGTGAACGGTTGACATCACATGCAGGATTGGATCGAGCAGGGAACTTGACGACAGCTTCTACTAGCGGTGGCTCCTCATCTTCCTCTTCAGGAGATTTCATCCGCAACGCACATCATCCAGCCCTATTGCCTTCAACCTGTGGAGAACGTGATTTTAGTGTGTCTCGGAATCGTGACGCTAATATTGCGGATGTGGACCTGTACAGCGCCAACGATGGGTGGCACGTTGTCTACAGCAAAGGCCACCTTGCAGCGACGTATTGGCATGATGGAGACGAAAAGTCTGGCGGAGCAAACGCAGAGAACAAGTCTGGGAATACTCGAAGTAGCACAGGGACAGGAGACGTAGAGATGACAGACGCTCCCGCCACATCGTCCTCAGCTGGTCATCTAACTTCTTGGAGTATCAAAGTGTCAGAGAAGCCACTTCTTCTGGCAGCTTGTGGAACGATCACTCTCCTGTGTTGGGAAGACCACTTTTCCATCTACCACACAGAAACGGGAATGATCGTTTTGCCCGTGTCTTTTTTGCCTGATCAGGGGAAGCCAGGTACCAGATCAAAATATTGAATAGAGTACTAGATTAAAATTTCTTATAGATGATGAACGCAAAGCCAAAGCTACTCGTATTTTCAAATCCTTTTCAACATCGAGACTTCTTTTCAATAAACAATCATCCGCCATCCTCCATGATTCTTCACTCTCCAACACACAGCCAGCATAGCGGTATGTCCGAAGCGCTTGATGGTTCTGACAACCGACGGATGGCTTTATTGTTGGGAGTATCATGGCTTGAGGCCTGGCGTATCGCCGATATCACTCAAATTTGAGAGCAGGGTCACGCATTTCGCACAGATCACGGCTATTGGTTTTCGTGGTAGCGACTGCGTTCCAGTGTTGGAAGCGAGACAGGTACCTAAACCTGATCAGTGATCACTGAATAAATAAAAAAGCCTCCAGCAGAACCAACATGTCAGTATGAAGATCACGTTGTTTATATTGCCGTTCCTAACTCAAAAAACCTGACAAATGCAGCTCGCTCCCGCCTCCACCTCGTCAACCCGCATCTCACCGGCCCTTCGCGAAATCCAGTATGTTTGGAACGACCAAGTGAAAGCTTTCCAGCTTGTCCGACAGGAAGAGGCTTCACCTGCAACATTTTTCTCTCATGTTCTGCTGGGAGATCGCAGGGCAGCGAACGAAACCTTGGACGCTTTTTTGCATGTTTGCAATGACGACCCTGCTGCCGGTCCAACTGCAGTAGCGCAATTCTGTGCGACGTTGAGGTGTGTCTACGACGACGACGACGACGACAACGCAAAAATGTCAACAGCAGGCTCAGGTACTGGGTGGCAAGCGCAAGAACAACAGTCATCTACTAGTATGACTAGTGGTGGTGGTTTTGGAAGATTTAGGTCAGCTTCAGGCAATCGCAATAAAGCCAAGACCAGCAAAAATCCAAAGCCTTTTCTCCTGCGCCGTCTAGAGAAGATGTATCTTCAATCATCACAGGCCTTTCTGAGGCATTGGGTCTTACCCAAGATCGCTCTGCATCACCAACTCCAGAAGGTCTATGAAGAGGAGCTAGACACTCAAGACAGTGACACTAGCGGACGTGACACGTTAGTGACAGACATGGCTGAAAGGAGGAAGCTTTTTGATATCTGAACATCAGCATTGTTGGTTCAGATAAAACGTTGTTGTTGTCCAAGATCCAAGCGTATAGATTTTGTGCGCGCACACGCCATCATCATCAATCCACTTCCACAGAATATCCACAAGAAAGGTTTGTGTTTGACCCTCAGTCTTCTATTTCTTAGCTTTATTGTGTTCAAGACTTGTTCTCACAAAAAGCACGGTGCTGCACTAGCGTGGTCTGTGCTAGTTGTAGTTCCATTTTTTTTGATGTTTTCTTGCGCAGCTGCGAATGCGCGACGTCGGTCAAGATCATTGCCTGAAGTGCTAAGCTGAAAGTTGGTTCTTGATGTGCGATTGCGATTCCAGCTCCGTTTGTAGTACTTAATCGATCATAAACGTTTTCCTTGACTACCTTGAGACACAACACTGTGCTACAATGAATAGAAAGCGTCAAAACTAACTTTGACTTGGACACAAAAACAAATACATAACGAAGATTTCTCCTGCACCTCCGCCTGCTCGTGCTTGTTCCAAGCAAAGAAGAACAACAAAATGAAAATGGATACCATGTACAACCAGGCATCGAAGCAGATGATGAACATCGGGATTACACATTCTTGCACACTTCCGCATTGCTTGGAAGGAGGGAGGTCAGTGAGCAGTTGCTCTTCTTCTTCAATACCTGGTGCTGGCCTGCTTCGGCTGAATCATCCACCAAGGAGAAACCAGTTGCAAGAAGTCAACGTCGAAATGACGAAAGATGGGACCACAAGAAGGCGAAAAAATGGTGGCGGTGCTGCAAGGAGAAGAGGTAGACTCACAGCTGCGATTCTCTCGGTGATGACCACCACAGTGCCAGTAGCCGCAGTGAAAATGGGTCGCAGCAATTCGGATTCATCCTCGATGATGACTATTTCTGGCGTCGGCCAACAAGGTGGAGCAGGAGATTTATTAGGGACTTCTGCGACAGGAGATGGCGGCGCTGGCAACCTCCTTCCTCCAGTGGTCGAGAACATTGCAGGTTATTCCAAGTCCGAAGGTATGGATTTGCCTTATTTAACCGCTTCGTGGGAACCAATGAGGGTGAATGCTGGAGCCTCTACGCCAGACGTTTGTGCAGATTTCTGCACCAAAGAGGCGCTTTGTTCAGCGTTTTGTTTCTATCCGAAAACTAGGATTTGCACTTTTCGACAGCAGTCAGACGCTGACATTCAGCAAAGTGCGTCACCGGCATCAGTGACCTTTATTTTTGTGAAACAAAATTCTTTGATCTCGGCACATGCTGTTTCGGTCAAATCGTCGACAAGCGAAGCGGTGGAAGCACTGGCGGTGTTGGCAGTATTCTTTTTGTTCTAGATCGTCGTTATCGATTTTACCCGTGATGATGACCAGGTCCAGGATCTTCCTATAATCTAACCGTCTTTCACGAAATGAAGAATCTTCATCTTGTTCCTGATAAAGAACCCTAAATCCTTCGACTAATATGACCGCATCAAAACCAAAACACGCTCACGCACGACCACAGCGCGACCGCAAAATAGAAGCAACAGACCCGGTTGCTATGCGTTTATTACGCGCAATATGCAGTGATGCTGATGCCCACGCTTCCGATTCCTGGTTTATGTGGGTCTGTCGGTCCCTGTACAATTTCTCTCAGGGACTGGTGATTACGCTGGGGATGTTAGGTACGCTAATAATGTCCTACTTCTTCTTTGTGTTGGTTATGGATGGCCAATTTACTTATGCTACCATTGATGGTACGCGTGAAATTTTGGCGGAAGTAGCACTATCTCACTTGTTCTTGTTTTACTTTTGTCTATAAGAAAACCTAGTCGTGGTTCTGCCTTCTTCTACCACTCCACCAACAATGCCACCACTCCTACACACAAATCACAGTCGTATCGATTATCGTCTACCGCCAATGTGGGGATTCTATAATGAACTTTTGGAATTACAAAGTTCTTGCTCTGTTCGGCATCCGAAAACAACCAGCATATTCGCCAACAGAGCTAGCTGCTATGTGGGATGATGACGACGGGTTGTAGCAGCGTTTCAGCAGAATGTAATGGCGTTCTTCCTTGTCACTGGCGGGTTGTAGCAACGTTTCAGAAGACGTCAATGCAATGGCGTTTTTCGTTGTCATTTGAGGCACGTACAAATGAGGATACTAGATCTACAAAAATGAACGAAGCATTCCTGATGTATTACGGGGATCGAAGGAAATATTAGCATCGCGTTTCTAATCCTAAGTCTGCGAGGCACCCCGCAATCTAATGTAGATGATCGACATTTTGAAGCATAAGATTCTCTTGTAGTGGTCGTAGTTACTCCTCGATGAAGATATTGAGGTGCTGTCCATGCTGCGCATAACTCAAGAATTCACTCCTACACAGCCGATTCATATGAACACACCTGCATGATGAATCTCAAAGAAGATAACGCATAAACGCAAGACTTGATTCGCTTGACCATTTTCGCTTATTTTGCTGATACAGTAGGGTGGAGAGCACGACGCAAGGAATGGAGAATAGGTCCTTCAAGGTGGAAAAATAATGTAAACTGGAGGAGAAAATCCCCGTACCAATCTCTGTTCCTTCAACAACTTTTGATGATGATGGCCGAAGAGATTGAGATATATGAAAGAGTGAGAGAACGCGGAGAGGTTGAGATAAAATGAAACTCAGCGCGAAGGAAAGGTTTGATTAGGTCCGAAGAGAATACCAAAAATTCATGCAAGAATATACCCTCTAAAGAGCGAAACCGCATTTGAAAAGTAGTTCAAATAAGAACATCTTGATAGTTTTGATTTTGAAGGACCACATTAGAGCTACTTAAATCATCTAGAACGTCACAACCACAACAACTGCATATCTCATGATTGCTTCTTCGAATCGCCGCGAGCCACCTACGGGTGGACTGGCACACCCGTTGTAGCGCTGCTCTCACGAGCCGCACATTGTTGACGGTACTAGCAGGGAGCGGCCGCGATAAGGAAGTTAGTAGCCCCGTTGTGTGAATCGATTCGCGACTCACATATCTTCAAGTCTAAACCAAAATAAACTGCAAAGCGAAACCTGAGGATATCGAATCAAGATGGCACTCGAAGATATCCTGAAACTATCTTCCCAGTCGGCTCCGTCCGGCATGGACGCGGCAGCAGCAATGTCAGGCGCGGCGGGAGGCGCCACGGCCTCCTCAGGGCCTAGCTTCTCGGAAAAAGAAGGCGATTTTGAGACGATGGTAGCGGACTTAAGAGTTAAGATTCGAGGCAAACCATCTTTCGTTTCCCTTGGCCTTGTGACGAACAATACTAATAATATAGACCTCCAAAATATAATACTTGTCGTACCCTCGTTTGACGACTGACCTCGCGAGAGCGGGCATAGTCTTTGAGGCACGACGAGCAGTGACACGGTCACGTCCGCTAGACTCGGACTGCCGCGCCTCGCCAATTAATTAATTGATTAATTAATTAATTAATTAATTTCCCAACAAGTATTATATTTTGGAGGCCTTTATTAGTACAGTTCGTCACAAGGCCAAGGGGAACAAAAGGTAAAGGGGCACCAAGATTGATGCTCAGCAAGATGGATCCATCAGGGAAGCTCTAAAAGATGAGTCTTTATGGGCTGGCTTAGACGGTCAGAAAGGCAAGTACAGGATGCACGAGCCGAACTAGCCAATGCGAAAAAGGAGTTCGAAGATGAAAAATCAAGGGTGTGGAAGGAATTCATGAAGGAAAAACAAAATGAGTACTTCTCCTTTCACTTCTGTCTTGAATTTTGAAGAAGTACCAGAACAAAACCAAATATGTACTAGACTTTCTATTGACGTAGTTGATCTTGATCTTGTACACATGAGGATATGAAGATGGGAACCCTCGTGATCGTATGATCTCGTTTCATAAATCAAAACATATACCGCCCCAGATACGACAAGCTCCAAGCAGAACGGCGGAAGAACGAGGCGGAAATAGCAGCGGCAATCAAACAAGTGGCAGTGGAGAGGGAAGACGCTAGAACGAAGATAGCGGAAGAGCGTGCAAAGCTAGAGGATGATAGGGAAAAAAATAGGAGGCGGCTCGCACTTGAACGGGAACGGCTACGACAAGAAGCAGAAGTCTTCGAGGAAGAAAGAGAAAGAATAAAGGACCAGGTAATTGAATCAGCTTGAATTCGCATTCGGAAATGAATCATCCTCGACGGATTTTACAACAACAAACTTTCACGGCATCTTCTGACAACTCATCCTTCGCCTTCTGCATCAAGGTGTGCTAAAACCCCCACAGGTTCTTGCATCCGAAGAAATAGTGGATTTGAACGTCGGAGGTGTGACATTCGAAACTTCCAAAGCTACGCTTTGCAAACAGCCTGGAAGCTATTTGGACGCGCTCTTATCGGGTAGGGAGCATGTTGGACGCGATAGGAACGGCAGGATATTCATCGATAGGGATTCGGAAAGGTATCCTGTACCTGGAGTCTTTTTCTTCATTAGATGATTGCTGGACAACATTCTGCCTCAAAGTAAGTAAATCCCTAATCCTCCTGCGAGGTCTGGTAAGCCTCCTCAAGAACTTTCCTTGACTAAACTCTACTTTCCCACCAGCTTCCGCACAATTCTGAATTATCTTCGCGGCTCCACCGACTCTGCAGTTCCTTTGCCTAGTAGTGCACAGGAATCAGACTCCTTAGTGCGAGAAGCAAACTTCTATGGAGTGCGGTTCTTCCCTTACCCGCTTGTTTTCGCAGCGGGAGGTCACAACGGGTACGAACATTTATCGGCAATGGAAGTTTTAGATGTCGGAAATCAGTGCTGGCGACCCTGCAGGGCAATGCGCACAGAAAGGACATACTTTGCGGTAATCTACTCATTAGTCCATAGCCATACTCTTTCAGCTCTCCACCCTCGACATTCACATCCACTTCTTTGTCTTGATGAATCTCTCCTGAAATTATAAATAAATTATAAATAGTACGAACATTTTTCTTTTGATAAACCCTATCGATGCCAAGCTGCACACTCGTCACCCACCAGTCTTCAACGCTTTCCGCCAAACTGTACTTGATGGGTGGCCAGAACCTCGAATACAAAGCTCTGAATGAAGTTGAGGTCTACGACTGTCTCAGAGATGCCTGGATGCCGGGACCACCACTCAATGTGCCCCGAAGAAATGCTACAGCTAGCAGTGTTGACGGTAGGATATACGTCATGGGTGGCTTTGACGGTGCGCAAATCCTTAGTGGAGTCGAATGCTACGATCCTAGGATGAAAAGCTGGATGACCTGTGATCCGATGCTCACACCGAGAAGCAGTCCCGCGTCGTGTGTGCATGGGGGGAAAATATTTGTGCTGGGAGGTAAATTGAGATTGATGATGGGTCGTGGTCTTTGGGAAATAATTAAAGGGTTCATTTTGTAGAAGAAAAGCGGAACCAGAACTACAGGTGTCGACCTTTATGGACGGAATTGTTCTCCCTCCATGTGTTTGTGAGTCGACCTAAGAGAATATCGATTTTCTTTTTCCACCAACAGCACCATCATCATCAGCCCTTAAACCTTCAGGCACCAGCGGCAAACGGCTGAAGACCGTCGAATTCTTTGAGCCTAAAATGAATAGATGGAGCGCTTTTGACGTTGATATGATTGACGTTAGAAGCGCAGGACAAGCCGTCACATGCATGTCGCAGATCTACTCCCTCGGAGGAACCGATAATTCGCAGACGATACATTATTCGGTACCACGGAATGTCTAAGAACGCATTCTGCTGAAGTCGATTGTCATGTACATGATAATTGCCGTTCTTGGGTTAATCTCTTCTGCCTTCACCAAAATGAAATTCAAGTTCTTTCCCACAACACGCACTATCATGTTCAGGTCGAGTCCCTCGATCAAGAGACTGTCACGTGGATGTACAATAAGAGCATGCAAGTTTCAAGGATGGACTTCGCGGCCACCGTTATTTCAGATAGCATTATGGTCGGTGGCGGACAAAGCGGAGACATTTTGGCCAGCACAGAGTACTACTAATAACTTATTTTTGTTTTTATTTTCATCGTTCAAATTTAGGACAAAGATAAATCTGCTATTTCCCCGTCGTACACTCAACCTCGAGCTTTTTTCATCTTCTTCCTGAGTTCTCGATCTCGTCTAGGTGGTCTCATGAGCTTCAACATTATCTCGATCAGGTTCTACCGCCCAGAACTCGATACATGGCAGGTTGGCCCTAGTATGTTGACGCCGCGTTACGGGCACCAGTACCTCACTGTCACACTCTAGTGGTGGTAGTGGGTGTCTGTGGTCCACAGTATCCCTATCCCTATAATTGTTTATGTGTAACTCTAAGGCCTGCTTGGCCACTTGTTAATCTTAATATATCTTGACGACTTATCGCAGTTTTCCTCTTTCCATGAATATCAAGATCAAGGTCAACGTCTTCACCAGGATCATCTTCACGTTCACTGGTATCTTCTACAAAATACACTTATGCATCGATGTCGCTCGAGTTTTTTTTTTATTTTTGAGGATAGCAATTTCATAGTAATCAACGGGAAGTTGAAGTTCGCTGCGGTTGCAATGAACCAACAGAACGTGAGCCCCAAGGGTCGTGATTTATTATTATTTTACCGTATCATTATAAGAGCTACGTACTTATTAAAACAACAGCACGCGTGATGATAAGATGCTGACCTGCACGATCATAATTAATTATGGACGAACTTAGTTACGCAGTACATCGTTCACAACGCACACTCTTTTTTGTCTAACGAAGGAAACTGCTACTGAGTTGTTTTCTTCAGCAAGTCATTGTCATTTCTTTAGCGATCACGTATCCATTTCCACTGTCTGCTTACCCGCGTCGTGACGGTGAGCGTGAGATCACGTCTTAGCAGCTCTGAGGGAGTTGAAGCAAAACTTTGTTCTATGCGTAGCAGACGTCCATTCGACTTGACGGTCTAACAGGATCTTTGAAGAACAAGTTCCTGTATGGCATGGCTGCCTCTGCTTGTTGACTCGGAAGCAGCGATCTTTACTTTTATTCGGTCATCAAAAAAAGTCTCGTAAACATCTACATGCGGTTCTAGAAGAGTGTACTAACTTTCCCAGGGCTTGGATGATGTGTGACCATGAGCCCAACAAGGGCTACGGACGCCGTGTTCTACGCGCGTAGTCTAGCCACCGGACTGTGTTTGATAGAGGTGGCAGCTGGTCTGTTGAATAGTGGAAAGCACTTCTCGTTGAACTTGAAGTGAGTCTAAAGATCACCACGTCTTCAAGTAGACTCGTCTAGAGAAGAATTTCCCTACTAGCTCAAGACATTTGTACGAGTAGTTGCACCTCGATTTCCATTTCTATTAAGAATTCCTTACACATTTTCATCAAGCGAAACCTCCAAGTTCAAAATAAGAAGATGTCCGTCCAAAGTGCTACCTCTGGTCCTTACCACTTTCACACTGCGCCACAGTCCCTGACTGCTGGCATTCCTGATCCTGCTACCGTCCAAAAGCAAAAGGATGCTTACCTGCAGATGTTGGAGCAACGTAAGTCTACTCGCAATGCTGGCTTTTCCGAATTTCCTCTTCCTTCTTCATCTTGATATAACTTAGAAGTAGAAGTCCCTGAGTTTTAAGCTGCCACGGAAGTTCTCATTTTTACCTGCTGGTGAGAATATAGATACAACGTATTCTTATTTCTCAATAAAAACATATAAGATATATTAATATTTCACAAACTACCACATCAGAAATGAAGCAAGGCGTGATGGCCTTGGACGCTCAACTGACGCATCAGAAGGAGTATTTGGCTGCCCAAGCAGACCAACAGAAAAAGCAATTTGCGATGCAAGTAGACTTGGAGACTGGACAGCAGCAGATGGCTTTGCAACAACAGTATCAAGAACAGAAAATGTCCCTGCAGCAACAAGCAGGTGCGCAAAAATCAGCCTTGGAGCATCAATCGATGCAAATGATACTGGATTACACACAGAAAAAAGCTGAAGACGAAATGCAAAAACAACAGGTAATTTAGATGTATCGTGATGGTAGTGCTCGTGAATTTTGGGTGCACCATTTATTTGTAGAATGATCTGATCGTGATATAGATATTGTTATTGAAGTAGTTGAAATAAATCTTATTAAATAGAATTATCCAACAAGTTTGGAATTATCCTGGCCTTGCGGCAAGCACGCAGCACCTACTAGAGTGCCCTGCGCTCCAGGCTCTAGTAGAGGCCCACGGGGTTCGGCGAATGTTGGGGCGGCTGCGTCGAACCCGAAGCGGCTCATCCCATACCTTCGCGACTTAGCGACCAGCTTCGGCGGTGCGTTCTTGCGAGCGCAGCCGCCACACCTCGCCCAGTGAAGACAAGGGGAAACGAGTAGCGGCCGCTGTGGTAAGCCCATCGCTGCCCGCTACGATAGGAACCGTGTAGGACTAGGACAATTCTACGATTATAAATAAATCTTATTAAGTAGTAGAATTATCCAACAAGTTCAAGTTGAATTCACAACACCCACACCAGTTAGAAATGGAGCGTTCTCAACAAGAGATGCAGATGAGGATGCAGGCTGAGATGGCCAGACTCCATACAAGTTCCGCAGCTCATGCGTTCCACAGTTCGAACGGCGCCTCAATGACCATGCTCAACGTGCAAAATATCAGCATGAACATGTTGCCGGGATTTGCTGGTAGTGGTACAGGAGGAAATAACACGAATGGAACCGCCTCCAGCAATGTTGGAGGAGGTAATTATAGCAACTACCTTACTGGAACGACCACCTCTATGGCACCAGGAGGAGCCATCACAACAGGAGGCGAAGACAATCAACAAGACAACTTGGCTGCATCTTCCACTGCGAATCAACTGACTCAAGCACAAGGAGGGAACTTGTCTTCGGCTTCGTCGGTCACGGGCAACACGACTGAGCGAACGATTGTGGGTGGTGCTTACTTCCCGATTTTAGGCGGAACATCGTCGTTTATCGCTGGAACATCAGCGCCGGCTGGAGGAGCGTGAAGATTGATGTACCTGTAGTCTAGGCGCACGGAAGAACATGAAGGTAGCCATTATAGCGGATGCAAATAATGCTGGATTTTGCTGAGTCCGGCAAGAACCTCTGACATCGTTCGAGGAACATAAAATGAACAACTACAACTATTGTTTCCCCTCTTTGAATTTGAAAATAATTACATGCATGACAGCAGCACGTGTTTCTTTCAATCATCTTCTAAACAAAAAATGAATCCTTGATCCGCCCTTCCCATCTACTTACCATTAGAGTAATCACTATCACCCATATGCACCCATCAGGCAACCATTTAATTTTTTGACTGCGTTCACATCCAATAAAGATTATAAATTTACTGTATGATTCAGATTCTTCAGGATGACTACCACGTTTTCAATCTATCCATCTTTTCGCATGACCCTGTATTTCTACATGAAAATGAACAACGAGGAGCCCCTTTTTAGTCAGAGATTTCATTTGAAAATAATACTTTTACTTTTATTGGACGCTTTGGCCTTTGGTAACTAACGCAAAGAAGAACAAATTGATATTCGGAAAATCGAAAAAACCTTCCTCGAACCTGCGTTGCTTATGTGGAAATCGAAAAAACTGGGTTAATCTCTTACCCTTCAATTTCAACTTTCTTCAGCTGCCACAAATATCATTCAAGGGTATGGTCGTTATGCGAGGGTCATGGTACACAAGCACGATGAACTCCTTGTTAAACCACGTATCTAAGGAATCCAGTAGGAAAAAATGATCGCGGGGTGCTTCTAATTAGATGACAACTAACACAACTTTTAGTACTGATGGTGCATTCTTCACTTTCACAAAAAAAATACGATGGTCCTTCCAGTTCCACTGCGCTCTCTACTGGCGCTCGACCACGATTGCACGCCACAGCCGCCTTTTGCATTTTTGTAACCCTTCTCCTGTTTCCCGCTTCTAGATCAACCTGTTCGGCAGCGAGCGTCTCCTCTTTGATCAAGAAGCCGCGTCGTTCAGTAACCTTCGCACTGGACTCAGATGGGTACTTAGCACCGCCAGAAGTCTTTGGAGCCGATCATGATAACTCTTCTTTCTCATCGAGCTCCGAAGACTCAGAAGATTCTGGCTCAGGTGTGCAGGGAGGTTCGTGTAAGCAGGATGATTCTGACGATAGTGATGAGGATGCTGGAGCCGCAGGAGAGCAGAGTGCCAGTTCTGATGAACAGCACATAGACATACCAGATGCAGAAGAAGCATCTTCATCTTCGAGTGATGTCGAGGATAGAGCAGAGGTGGCTGGACGAGGGGTTGCCATATCACCAAAACGGAAAACATGCATCTCCGCGCACCACAACGCTCATTCTACTACCTGTACCTCCTCTAAAAAAGTCGATACCGCAAAGCTGAAACTATACGAAGAAGATGATCTGCGTATTCATGGATCGCCATCATCTTCCTCAACATCCAGCCCCAATATCGAAGAACAAGATGCAAATTCTAGTGCAGTTGTCGATGTTGAGCCAGAGAGTGAGCAGGAGACTTTGGTCCGTCGATTTACGAACTGGTGTCTTTTTGGTGGTGCGAAGAATAAGAGCACAACCTGCATCTCCAGATCTGAAGAGGCTGAGCCAACAAGTCTCTCTGACTCTGTGAGTGACCTGGCAGACGAAGTTCGATATGCTCAACAAGAGCCACCGGTTAGCGGAAAAACTGCAGCTGGTGCGAGTCCTCCTAGAAGCCTGGAAGATAATCGAGTACCTTCTGGAAAAAAAACGCGGAAGCAACGTCAAAAGAGCAATAAGCTGAAGGAGGGCTCACCGACGAAAGCTGATCAAAATGGCTCTCTCGCAAGTAGTCCAGAGCAGGATCATGCTACTGATATGCACCTGCTTACTGGATCTTTGGCTAATTTGGACCTTGATTCGGCGGAAATAGAAACTGCTGCGCACAGTCCATCGTCATCGTCTAAAACTAAAGCTAAAGGAGGCACCAAGAAAAGAACTGGAGGGAATCCGTTCGGCACTGCTGAAGATACACATGATCAAGGGCAAAGGCAAACCGATGCTAAGGATAAGCATAAGGGTCAACAAGCTCCTCATTCTTCCAGTAAGAAAAAACATCAGACCAAAGAGGCAAGTACGAGGAGTCCTGCTGGTACGAAGGGCAATCAAGAACTACCAGCACGACCAGGACAAGGACTCCTTCACAAGATGAGCAGAAGAACAAACCAAAACGCCAATGTCGAGGAAGACGCTGTAGTGACCAAAGCACAGCGAGAACGATTGGAGCAGTTGTGTAGAGAAGAAGCTGAAGCGGCTACAGATAAATTTGTTCAGGCTATCAAGCTTCCACCACCCACTATTCTGCAACTCGCAGGAGCCGTTGCGGCGCAAATCTGCAAAAACACTGTGCGTGACCTGACCGACCTGGCATTTCTGGTGGTAGGTTTTGTGAATGCGGTCTTTTTCCGATGTCTTTTGTCGCAACTTATGGGAGCTATCCAGGCCTCTGTAGGAATGATATACGAAATTGTATCGGACGAATACGATGCAGCCGATTTAGATGATGACATTGACAAACAGGCGGGACTTGAGAGCGCTTCAGCTGCTGCGAGAAATTATGGTTGTGTACTCACTACACTACTAGATGTGATTGATGTGGATTAGAAGTGATAGCGTAGTCCTCAGTTGTATTGATTCCAATTTACTCATCCCGCCACCTGGGGTTCCTCAGCCTCTAATTCGTTTCACGCAGTGCGAAGATTTCACGCTTCCTTCACAAGCTGGCAAAGGCACTGCAAATCTCGCTAAGTCGATTATTGGTCGCACATCAATTAGCCAGCGGTATAGCAAGCGACTTAGTTCAGCAGCTCAGAGTAGAACGAGAGCGTGAAATTGCAAGACGAGGTCCTCGATATGCTGCTAAGTGCGGACAATTAGATCAGCAATGTCGGAACGCGGGAAGAGAAAAAGGAACGGCATCATCGACGTCTGTAGCAGACGATGGAATAGCAAGCTCAGGTGACAAATCACCTGGATCTTCTGGCGTTGGAAACAGCGATGAGGTTCTGCAGGAACAGGAGGAAACGAAGCAAACTCCCCCATCTTCATATCCAGCTGCGTCATCAACTGCTCAACACAGCAACACTCAAGCAGCTGAGGGTGGTGACCGCACCAATATTAACCTTTCAGCAGCCAACTGCAAGAAAGCGGCCAAGAAGGCACTTGGAAAAGTCCGAAGTAAACACGACAAGCTCATATTAAGGCTCAAGATGATTCATTTCCCATTCCGAGGGTCAGAAATATATTATATATATATAATTCCCCCGTTTCCTTCTATCTTGGGAATCTCAAGACATGAACTTTCCTAAGAAGCAAGTGAATTGCTTCCTTGTTCTTGAGCTCTAATCATACAAAAAGCAGGAATGCCAAGAGAAATGGGTGATCAAGTGTGGTGCGAACTACAGAAACGCGTATCTACAGAAGAGTATCTACAAGCTTTCATGCGTCAATCGTCAACTGACTGGGTAGAAGGAGCAGGAGGAGGAGGGGCAGCGGGATTAACGACTACTTCGAAGAAACAAGCACACCGAAATAAGGGCAAAGGCACCTCATCAAGTTCCCAAAAGCAGAAACCTGCTGTAACAATCGGCGATACATCAACGACAAGATCACAAGCAGATGGTGAAATGGACAAAATTACTAGTGGCACAACTTCATCTTCGACTAAGAACAAATACAATGCACATCGAGAGGTAGCACTTGGAGAGCGAGACGCTGCTGGTCAAGAGTTGTTTATCCGCACTGGTGATCGCGATAGTCGGCCTGTTCCTCGCCAGCAAGATGACCATAAGTCTGTACAATTCAGTAATGGGCGCTTTTACCCGCTGGAGCGAGACCACGAAGCACACCATTCCCATCGAGAAGCTGAGGTCGTGCCGACTTGTGAGACAGCCAAGGACTTTGTGTTTAATGCCTTCGAGGAAGGTTTTTACCGGGGCTGTGACGCTGGATGGAGGGGTCTGAGAATGACCGCCCGAATCCTTGCAGGGTACACGATTCAACGTGCCTTCATGGCAAAAGTGCTTAGATCCAATTATGAAGAGGGCAGCAGGGTATGTAACTAAAAATTTAATAAGTACAAACAGGAGTTGGTATGACTATGTCTGGAGCCAGGAGTGATGTAGATTTCCACTCCTGCGTTCGAACACGAATAATTATTTTCATCATTAATTTAATTAGTTTTAGCAGATAGGAGGATACTTGATGATCATAGTTACCCTTTTCTCTTTTCTATCTTCCTCTGGTCTTTCTTTTTTCTAGTTAGGTCGGCGCCACCACAATCGTTAATTTTAGTGTGCAGCAACGAACTTACCTAACGTTTCTACTTGGTGTCCTCCAATAAATATGTATTCCTCTTCTAATCAATCCATTATCATTATGCCGCGGACGCGATGTCCTCTCCAATTACGACCGTTCTTTGGAAGGCGACCGGGTGGGCAATCGGCGGTGAACTGCCTGTCAATATCGAAGGAGAAGTGGACTTTCAATCACTGTTTTCGAAGTTGGAGGAAGACGACGCACTAGGTAGTGAGCAGAAGGCCCCTTTGCGCGCTCACGATAACTCTTTGCTAAGTATCAAAAGCCAGCATGCAACTATCCGAAAACAAGCAGCAAGGGAGTTAAAAACAGGTTTGAAAAAGTTGCTCAATGACATGGAGATGGACAAGGCATCAACATCCGAAAAGTCAGAATCAGAGTCACCGGAGAGCGACGAAGAAGAAGGAGAAGAAGACGAGCCCGCCTTTGTCCATCATGGAGAATGGATGAAGATTCTTCTGAGGAGGGCAAAGTTTTGCGCTGATTTGGATGCTGCTGTAGAACAAGCACGACTAGAGGATCAGAATGACGAGGGTGTGAAGCAAGAAGTAGAAACAAACAGTAGCTGCAACTCCGACGATTCATCCTCTTCTCTAAAAACAACAACAAGGCGTCCAAGGAATACCCCTGACCTCAACTACCGTGCTTTTGTTCACGACGCCTGCATCCCCTCACCTGGCCTGCTACTACGGGACGTTGTTGTGGTCATATCACAACGGATCCTAGTCGACGATGGTACTTACAAGTCTAGTATACATGATTAAGGCTTTATATCAATCACGTTGACGTTACCACGAGGAGCGCAGGCAGACATTGTTTCGTTTTTCTTGCAAGTTGTAAACTGCTCAAACGTCAGAAGGATAAAGAAATGTACCCTTGTGATCAGCGGCACCTAGTCACTTCAAGTTGTTGAAGTCTCTAACACCACGAGCACCGCCTCGCTTTGAACGGACGTGGTATGCTTCGGCCTCGGATCCGAGTGATGCTTTCACCACGAAACGATGGGAAACAGGGATTCCTTGCTCCAAAAAAGTACCTCCTTCTAAAACATCAAGATCATGACCTACTCGTTTCTTCGGAACACTCGGGTGAAAAAGATGACGGAGGAATAGAAGGTGATCAAGGTAATGATTGGCGAAAGACCAGTCATGAACAGGAGGACGACAACGATGGTGCTGTCGGGGAAGACTCAGACTCTGGCACAGAACTAAAAAAATCAGAAGAGCAGGATGCAGAGACAGCACGGCTTGATGATGTCACTATGGATGAAGTCAAGACTGAAAATGGAACAATATTGGTTGTTGGTGACACTCCTCCTGGTGCAGGGGATGTTCCGGAGGTGCAACCTGATGCCAGTCACAACATGGAACCACTGCAACAATCTCTTACAGTTGGCGTCGAAATCGAGAGGGAGAAGCCTCTACTTCTGGCCACATCATGTGAAGCCGAGGACAAACTACCTTCTTCTGCTGAAACTCAAGAATTTTTAGTAGTGGAAGCTCCCGAGGACCAAGAGGATGGGCAGAATGCACTAGCTGAAGCATTGAGTAGTCTTTCGCTTGGTAGCGGGCAGAATGATTCCGAAAATGCTTCGAAGAATGACGCTGATGGTAGCGTCTCTCCCTCAACGTCAACCATAACCACAACCTCAACCAGGACAATCCAAGATGACTGGGCGGACTTCGTTGGTGATCGATGGGTCGCTGAGTGCACCAATTTTTGTCTGAGGCCATTTCTCGGAGAAACTTTGGCGCATCTGGAGGGGAAGAAACACCAGAAAGAAGCTAAAAAGAACGGGAACCATTCAAGCAAAAGTAGTAAGGACGACGAGACTGTCGACCCAGACACAGTCTGGCACGATCTAGTTGCTTCTTTGACTTCTACAGCTTCTGCTGTGCCAAGAAGACCCTCCTCAAGTAGCTCTGCGGACGCAGCGACTTCTGCAACTTCTACTTCTGCCATCGCTAACCTGCTCCAAATGTATGAGAAAATGCGCGCTGGGCTAGATCCCAATGCCTTGGAAACACTTCCCGCCGACATTTTCGCAGAAGTTCTGGACTATTCATGCGGTCTCTGTGGTTTCACTGATATTGATCCAGTATCCACGTGTGTTGCTCCGAAGGATTTGGCGAAGAAGATGCACCAGGGGTCGTCGCCTGGTAGTGCCGATTCTCGTACCGATTCCATTCTTCCTAAGCTCATTGATGCTTTCATCGCGCACCGTCATCCGATCCAGTTAGCGTTTCGTATCTCCGCTGAAGTGAACGACGAACGAAGAACGCATCAGGTCATAGAGAATGTAGATTCCGAAAACTACAGCTACATCAAGCAGGAGGTGGAGGATGTTGCGCAATTTACAAGGGTGAGAAAAAGCAAAGGAAAGGCATCCACTACAAGTACAGAATCATCGGGAATCAAGAGAAGCCTGCTCTTAAGTGCCCGGAAGAAAAACGAACAAAAGAAGAAACGAAAGGGTAGGCGAAAGGGTATTTTGTCCGAAAAACGACATCGCGAGTGGACCGCCCTCACACAGCACTACGTCGGAGAGCAGGCAGAGAAATCGCTCCTATTGACTAATGTTAAGGCTCAGCTTTCAATGGTCATTGGGGTTGGTCACTGAGATCGAAGAAGCGACCCCTTTGGAGAACAGGGGAAAAGGAAGGGAAAGGAGAGACCTTTGAAGGGGGTCTCTTCCGTTCAGAGTCATGATGACCCTTGAATGCTGAGCTTTAATAATGTCTTCGCCGAACGCCATATGGATCATCCTGTGCTTCGCCTAGACACTATGGAAGCTGAGGAAAAGTTCCTTGAGGAGTTGTTAGCAGATGTGGTCCAGATCCGTCGTTCTCAACGTCGCTTATGGCCTGAGAAGGCCGCGCGGTTTTTGAGACACGCTCTACTCCTGGATCTCGACGCGATCGTAGAAACAGTGCCTTTTGCGGGAGAGATCGCCAAGGCGGCCACAAGATTAGCCGACTGGGCCAATGGAGAAGACACGTCAGATTTTGTAGTGCAGTATGCAAAGCAGCTGGAGGCAGAACGGAGACGCAAGAACATGGAGGAGAGCCAAACTGGTAAAACTGCAAGTTCTTCTTCGTCTAAAAATTTGTCAGCGAGTGGTAGTAGTGCCGAGAAAAACAGTCTTGCCTACGCGAATTACTTGAAACGACAAGACGAGAAGACACGACTTGCCAAGATACGACTAGCTGAGAGTCTGCAGCAAAGACGGAAGAACAGGCGCAAAAAGCTTAGTGACACAATGCTTATTAAGGGTTTCCACATTGCATTCTGCCTCTGCGCTTGCATCCTTGGCCTTTTTTCAAGTGGAAAATAGGCCAAGGATGTTCTAGAGAATGTAATCTGCAACCTCTAAGCGTAACCAGTGTGAGCCTTCAATACTCCCGAGTATGGACCAGATTGAAGAAACGCTGCTGCAGCGTCGTCGTGATAGAGCTGCTTTGCAGAAGGATGACGACTCTTCTTCAGAGTTAGAGGAAGTATCAGCCACTCAAGCGAGAAAGCTGTGGAACAGTTTCGTCCACTTCATGCAGGGCGTCGCTCTAGGACAAGCCTATTGTGTCAATTATGAATGTGATGTTGTATGATTCCTACTACAAATAAATTAAAATAGTTTTTCGTACTTCCAGGAAAAAATCGAGAGAACTTTTACTCATGATTTAAATTCAAAAGTGGCGATAAAAAAAATTAACGATCATATTGCTATTGTGGCTATGGAGGGTGTTTTGGTGGTGGTGGTGGTGGTGGTTCCCGGTATGTATCATGTGATTATCACTCTAAGTCTCCGTTCTCCTGAAAGGTATCCAGATGCGACATGTGAGGCGACGGTTGGCCGAAAATATAGGTTGGGGGCCTCCATGGGAATACGATCTCTTCCTTGGTGGCGGCCGTCCCCCAGAAGGACCGTTGTGCGTGTCAAAGTCGCAAATTTCTGCGAGTTCTAATCAAACAACTTCGAATGGTGGAGGAGATCAAGATCTGACTCCTGATTGGTCGAAGCGGGAAACTTGGATAGAGCAGGTTCAAATGGAAGAGGCGTTATTAGACAAATCGAACATTGATGTAGCTGCAGAGGAGTATAGAGATGCTATGGGCGTAGGGAGTTCATCTCCAAAGTCATCTGGAAGAAAAAGACAACGGGAAAAGCGACCCAGATGATCCCTGCTGAGATGAATTCCCTATAGATACCTCTAAAAACGACGCGATTGACCACATCGACAATGCAACGCTGCAGTTATTGCAGTTGATGTATCCAGCTGAGATTATGGCATAGATGCTACATTGCATCCTCCACGAGGATCCCTGACCTTATTTCTTATTTTGCAACAAGGATGTTCAACATGTGAGACGCACAGCCAGTCATGCAGGCTCTAATGAGATAGAGGATGAGATCCTGCGTCGGGATGCAGAGTTTGGATGGGTGCAGCGTCAAGGGTGCGCGGTCTTCTTCGCTGCCTATTTCTTTGCAAACTTTGCACGAGGATGGCTCACCGATATCATCCGGGAAAAGCGCGAACGTGAAGAAAATTTACTGAGAGTTCAAATAGATCGAATTTTACGGCTCCTTCAGGTAGAAGTCCATCTCCAGAAGCATCTTGGGGCCGTCCACTAAGGGAAAAGCAAGCCCAGGATGACGCTCAAGATGGATTCCGGAAAGGTCTAAGAATTGGGGTGAAAAGGAGTAAGAATGGACCGCGGATAGACCTCGAAGAGCTCAAGCTGAGAGGTCTGATGAAACCGTTAGTCGCTTGCCTAGAAATGAAAACACCCCAAGATGTTACACGCTGCATCAAGAAAGTACTGCTGCAAGATGTCTATCTTGTTGGAGGAGGTGAAGGTTCTTCAAGTCGAGGTCCTTCTTCATCTTCAAGTAGAGGCTCTAGTAAATTGTCGTCTGACGGTGGTGGCGGAGGAGGCGAAGATGAAGCTGCTGGGTCTTCGAACAGTCCTACTGGTGGAGGCAGCGAGGAAGGAAACGTCCGCAGTGAAGGTCTCACACTTCAAGCCAGTCCCAGTGGCAAGAAAACAAAAAACAATAACAAGAGTAAACGGGATCGCAAATACTGAAGACGAAGAGGACTGCGCTTCTCTTGCGAACTACATGTCTCGCCTTGAAGAATAACTACATCAAGTGTAGTACTAAATCTGTTGGTTGTGGACTATGGCTTTTCTCTGAGCTACCAATACCAAGCGTCTCTGTTGAAGATAGCTTACCGCATATGCATCCACATTATTTTTTATCGTTTATTTCATATGTTTATGTTTCATCGTGTATTCCAAATTTCTCCTTTTTAGCTTGAAGCAACTTCTTTGTTACGTGACCAGTGTGCTGTTCCTCGACGTCGTCCTGTCCAGCATCGTTGAGCATTCAGTTGGTCATGTTGCAAATGCTCCTTTTCCGGTAGAGCATAAACATTTTCCTGTGCCTAAGCATATTGTCGTTTTCTAGTGAGTTGCAATTGGAATTAGAGGTCGAATTCGTCATATTCAGCTCCTACTTGTGTCTTGACTGGGACGGTCGCACCGTCAACACAAGGTGGAGATGGAAGTAAGTAACTACTAGTGGTGTACCACAAGCACAACAACATAAAGTGACCGCTCACGCTTGCAAAAAAGAACAAGAAAAGCTCCTTCATATTTCAGTCGTTTCGGCCGTTATAAATGCAATAATAAATGGCTCGTTGCCAGCTTGCTTGTGTTAGAGCGAAGAGATCATCGCCGTCTTGTGACCGTCACGAAGATCAATAAGACTGGAAGATCCCTTCATAAGATCAATCAATGCATCAGAAATCTTAAGGTCCCCTCTTCCCCAAGAAGATCAACAGAAATGGCGATCACGATCATCAACAATCCTTCTGATGCGACATGATCATCTCAAGTTACGTCATCTTTTTTTCGTTTATCATGATGGATTAATTTAGAAGAGTACTAGTCAATTTCAAAGCCACTTACAAGTTTTATTATTTTTTCTTCAGGCTGTCGGGGTTAATATTGATCCGAGTGACATCATCATCATGATTGAGCATCAATATCAATTTAAGCCTTGATCTCTTTCTCCTCATTTCCTTAGGTTAGCAAAATTATTATAGAGATGTTCACCCTCAAGCCCAAGAGTTCCGCCGACTACGAGGCAATGACGATCTTCGGGGATCGCGTTGCCTTAATTCCTTATTCCAAAGACTTGGTTCCGTCTTATCATGAATGGATGAAGGATCCTTTCCTGCAGGAGGCAACGTGCTCAGAGCCCTTAACCCTAGAAGAGGAATACGAAGCTTGGGCCGGATGGGTCTCAGATCCGAACAAACTGACGTTTTTGATTGCGAAACGATGTGGAAAGAGGCAGGTGGATGCGTCTTTTCCCTCCAGCAGCTCTACTTCTTCGTGGTCGTTTCCATTTGCGCCAGTGACGAGGGCAGAACAGATCAGATCGCTGCGGAAGGAGCAAATAACGGGAAGCAGAACAATTAGTTTTTCTACCAAAACTTTTGAAGACAGTTCTTCTGACGGCACGACCTCGAAAGCGAGAAAAGCGAGTTCTGCGGACGTTGCTTCAATACCATATACAAGGCTGATAGCAAATAAACAAGGTGAAGATACAGCAACCCCCAGCGAACTAGGTCTTTCTCTCGCCAGCGAGCCACTAATCCCATGCGGTGACGTAAATATGTTTGCCTGCGACGACGACATAGCAGAGGTCAACGTGATGCTAGCGCATGCCGACTCTCGACGAAGTGGATTAGCCAACGAAGCCATTCGCCTGTTCCTGTCCTATGCCTATACAGAACTCAAAGTCAAGCGGTTTCGAGCGAAGATATTGGAGGATAACGAAGCATCCATAAAGTTTTTCAGTGATAAATTAGGTTTTAGCTTGGAATGTCGCAAAGAAGTCTTCGGAGAAGTTTGGTACCGGTTAGACGTTGATGAGGCACCTTCAGCTACATCTTCTACCACATCTTCTCCCGCAAAAGCTCCTACTGGACCTGAATCGACGATGGAAGGAACTTCGCTTGGTGTAAAACCACACAACTAGTAGACTAGATCATGAAGCCCGCCCGCCAGGCCGATGAATGATCACGACCCTTAGCTACAATTCCTTTACATTCTACCCAGCGACATGATCGGAATCGTCCCCTTCCTAGTAGTACCCAAACCCTTTTTTACCCGACGTCGAAGCCTAGTCAGAAAATAGGCTGAGCTTCATGTCTCGTCTAGAAACAACGAATAGTCGAGCAGGTGCATCGACACTAATGCAAAAATGCCGAACGAGACATGATTGAACTTGTTCTCTCCATAATATCCGCTCAAAATTGCAAGCATGAGTAGCTGAGAAAACCAAAATATTTTCAAACTGCATGAAAAGCGGTTGAGATCATCAAGAAAATCAAGAGATCACCTTCGACGAGTCTTATATTCAATCGTCGCAAAGAGTCAGGGGAACAGATCATAATACAAAACGGCAGCTTGATCGTGCAAACTTTGAAATCAATAGAATGGCGTTTAATAGTAGGAGGTAAGGTAAATTGATGAAAAGTGTACAACGCGTTTGGAATATTCGCGCTGAATTGTTGGCCTAAAAACTTTGACTTTCTGCAACCAAACAACAGCAGTTTTTTTATCGCGTTTCTTTGCATGTTTAGTTTACCTCCGTAACAAAAACCAGACGATTATTGTTCATCTTCTTACTGCTTCTCCATCATCAGGTTCTAGGAATCATCGTAAAACGAGAGGACTTAGTAGAGAAAACAAGAAAAAATGTATACCTCAACGAAAACGTATCCGGGCATCCAGCCCATCTATTCGCAGAATTTTCTGCTTAGAGCTGCTCTGTCCGCAATAGCAGGCATCGCCTTAGGCATCACGATTTCGCTCATTGTCAACTGCACTCTCTTGGAGATTTCTCTCAATGCCTTCTTCGCGACATATTTCGGCATTCTCTTCTGCGCAGTAGGCTGCATCATTCTCTGGAGACTGAGGCAGCAGGAAGTGTCAAACACGGCCCATCCTAGTTCCAGCGACGAAGCGGATATGAGAAGAAAAAGACACTTGACCTACTTTAGCTACTTGGTCATAGTAAGCGGTATCCTGTGCTTCATGCTGGAAAGGGATTGGTACTTCCGAATGTCACCGTTCACGAAGGTGCCATTGTACTCGATATTGGGAATCTCAGTGTCGTTTGCGCTGACGTTCTCCGTCATTGACCTCGTCAACTACACATTATGAATGGATATGGATGATGAAATAATTATAATAAAAGCATGTTGTAGACTGCAACTGCTAGTACTAGTTGTAGGGTTACTAGAAGTTAGCACTTCACGAAAGGTGAATGTGCGTTCCTATGTAACCCCATGTCTTCACTCATAATGATCCTGATTCGAATCGTCCCCAAGCAAAGCCTCCTCTTTCATACTCCGTCGGCCTCGTCCAAGGCAACACGATGGCGCGACCAATCGTCGAAAGTCCGAACCAGATCCACGTAGTGCTGATTCTAGCCTTCGTTATGGGTGCAACTTTCGGTTGCATCTTCGGCATGATGCAGGTAGCAAGCGCAGATACGTACAAAATCCGACTTTCGCTTTTGCGAGTGGAGCACTATTGTTACCAATTGGGAGGTCTACTTGGCGCAGTAGGAGGCGTGGCGAACGAGTACTTGAGGCACATCGAAGTGGTGTACTCACCTGTGTCCCTGGAGTTTGATGATGACATATGATCGAAAAAATCTCCGCTGGCATATTTGAGAGGAACTCCTGCCCCCTTCACCGGTGTCGGGCACAAAATTAACCCTGGGGACAACCGGTACTACTTATCTATTCAGAGCTCGACTTATTGTCGTTTTGGTTTTGTCATGTTTTTTGTTTTTGAATATTGCGAATACAACGAACAGAAGTTATATTTGAGACAATGTCGATCATCTCTATGAGGTAGAGGATCAAGATAAAGATCATCAATTCTCATGATAGCCATCTTAAAAACAGGCATCCCCGGAAATGATCTGAATGTCGGCAGCCGCTACATCCTAGATGCGTTCGGCGAGAGTTTATGCTGCCGCATTATTCGAAAAAACCCTGGAGTTCAGAAAAAAACGTTAACGCTTAGTAGAGCACATCTTCATCGTTCCGAGTCCAACAGTGATGGTCATCGAGATCATTGACAATAATGACTCATGACAATGCTGCACACTACAAACTCAATAATCCACATGCCCCGCCTAGATTATCGTGCTATTGCAAAGTTTGTTGTAGGCTTACGCGCAAGTCAGACAACCCCTATTTTATCAAGTAATTATAAGCGGAAACAACTACACCTTGGTCGCAGTCGCACTGGATTCCAGAAAGTGTTCGTCGTGTGTACCTCTATGAAATCAGTCAAGACTGCTGGAGGAGCAGCGGAATTTATCTCATGAGCGACAACGGGCCGTGCCTGTGAAACTAAAATCTGCGCCAGCTTAATTTGAAAATCGATTGATCCCAACCATCGGTAGAAGATGAAAACGAAGTTCTTGAAGGATACGACGAAGAAGTTGCCAGACATTTTCATACTCCTTTTTTTTGCTAGTAGACAGCGACTACAAGTATTTGTGCTAGAGTGCTAGTCCTCTTTTTTGGGTTTGGAAAAAACACTTCAATTGAATTCGTTTTGGAGAAATTGTGATCGACCTGAATAAGCGCCACGAATCGATCAAAATTACGTAAGAAGAACTACTGCTTCCTCTTTTCATCTGGTGACTGATCTCTTTTATGATCCTCGAAACATCCACTCATTTTTTTATTTTTAATTGCTCCTTCTATCGTAATCATTCTTCTACCCCCAACGAACGAACACCATGACAACCATGTCCTCGTCCTCTACATCAGTGAGAGACCATCCGCCTACTCGCGTTCTCCCACCAGCTACAACGGCAGCCAAAATGGCGGGCACTGGTTCCCCACCTCTGGTTCCGCGTAATATGGTTTCTATAGCACGAACGCTCCAAGAGCATGTCGGAGAAATGTCCAAAGTTCGCTTGTATGAAGAGGACATTAGACGGATGATTCTAGACTACTTCGTGCTTCATGGATGTCAGCGAGCTGCGGAAGCATTTAGAGCAGAAGCTTTTGGACCTTCTGTATCGTCTTCTGGGAGTGCTCCCGGAGGTGGAGGTGCAGCACAACTTCATGATCTTCCAGTAGATGCTCCTTTACAGCGTGGTCTTCATCTACAAGAACCAGGAGACTCTTTCCCGCCTCGTCTAGGAGAAGAAGAAGAAGAGGAGGACCCTGAAATTCGTAGAATAAGACCACTTTTTTCATCTTCCGCTCCAAGTGCTAAAGTTAGGAGACTAGATGGAACATGTGGTGAGGTTGTCGAAGATGCTCCTGCTGGTGGACTTGTGGGAAATGAAAACGAAGCAACGATGAACCTACTTCTGCAAGGACCTACAATGGCAGGTGCGTCCAGCAGTTCTTCCTCCTCGAACTTCGTACCACCTGCCACTGGTATATCTGGAGGTGCAGCAGCTTCGTCTCCAGCAACATCTTCGAATCCTGTCGCTGGTGGCGGAAGTCCTGCTACTGATTTCCAAGCAAATCCTAGCGCTCCTTCAACCGTCCTTCCTATTTCAAAAGTTCGTTTACGCGGGTCAGTAAGTTCAGCTATTCGGACAGGAAAAATCGAGGAGGGTATACGATTGCTAAATGAGTTAACACCGGAACTGCTCACACAACGACCAGAAGTACATTTTGCGCTTTTGAGGTGGCAGCTGGTGCAAAAGATACAGGCAGGAGAGATAGGAGAAGCATTAGAGTATGCGCAGGAACGGTACTGTATAAATGTTTTTTTCAGATGAATGCTCTCTTCACAACTGACTCTGTATTCTTGCACTTTGTCAATAATACTCAACGTTGAAGATCTACGTACTTGAAACAAACCACAAAGCTAAGAAAAGATAAACTCGACCACATCATGCACAGCCTAACGCCTTTCGTAGAGCAACACCCCTCTCTTCTTCCCGAGCTTGAAGAAGTCATGGGTTTGATCGCTTTGCCTCCAGGCCCCCTCCTAGAAGACAGTATCAAAAACCTGCAAGGAGGCTCCTTGCAATCCGTAGCTGAAGAGCTAGACGCAGTCATTCTCCATTCTTTCGGCATGGGGCGCGTTTCGCAGTTGGAATACATCTGTAAAAACGTATTGTGGTCACAGACCCAAATGTTATTGTCGCAAACAACACGACCACACCAGCCAGGGCATCTTCAACAAGAAGAGGATCTGTTGAGACCAATACTTGATCCGAATTCTTTGGATGCACCTTGTTTTGTGATGACGAGACCAGCAGCTGGGAGTAATGCGAACGGGAAAGAGAAAAGCAGTTGAGCTTGAGCTGGAACTTGTTAGACTTAGAGACGAGTTCATACTATTTTTTTATGTTACGATGAAATTGCCCAACATGCGCGCTTAGAGTTGGAAAGATGGTCAGATCAACCATTTCAATCATCCTGTTATTGAAAAGTGTAAAATTCCCCTTCTTAACCATTCTAATTCGACCAAGTCCGTGCCACATGATCAGGCGCGGCTACGGAAAGTCGTGTTTTCACGATGAAAGTGAAGAAAGGTCTCGTCTTTGAGAACAAGTTCACTTGTTCTATGTATAAATATGGACCTCCTCGAGCTCGTCCTCCCGTGGTTGCATTTCTTTTTTACTTGCAGCTTCGTTCCTTGATGTCGAATACATAGAAATTGATGCAGCAAAGATCCATCAATTTATGCTACTCCGGCTTTACACGTTCACACACTGCAACAGATGCACGCGAAGCGAAATTCAACTGAACTTCAAACAAGATGAAGAAAGAGAGGATCTTGATCCAAGAAAAGAGATGTACGAAATGTAAATGGTTACTTTTACTACTTAAAAATCGTGTCCGACGTTTTTGGATCTATATCCCCACTAGATATTACAGGTTCGTTATCAACCTAATTAAACTAGCTAGTTAAGCCAGAGAGGGAGCAATCGCAGGATCCGGAGGCTCTGGACGCCTTGGGCACTTCATAAGATGGATTCCAAAGCTGTGTCTGCTTCTGAAAGAAACATCCAGGTGAGCAGCTGGTGAAGGCTTTACGTGGTGTATTCATTTTAGTGGTTGTGCGTGTGCTTGTGGTAGTTATCAGATATTCTTCTATTGTGGTAGCTCAACCAGAACCTCCACTATATTCAGATATTATGGTATCTTCAGATATTCTGTGTGTATTATTATTGATATTCGATTACATATATATTACGTGGGTATTATCTAACTGTTAGTAGAACTGATATATCAGATGTTCTTTTTCGACGATATTGTGCTTGTGGTAATCGAAGTAGTAGCTACTACACGACCTTTGCTGTTGTCCAAGAAGAACTTACTAGAAGTAGTAGGAAGCAGTTGTTTTACTAGGTAGTTGCACGACAACTAGAAGTAGACGAGACTAGTTGTGGATCTGGGAGTAGACTGAGTAGAAGATCTAGTATGTGGATTCGCAAGTGGCATTCGCAAGTGGTGGTGTAAGCTGAGGTGTATCTGGATCTAGATCTAGTTGTGTTTCTTATTCTTTTTTGCTTGAATATTTAATTATTGACGAAATTTTCTATGCAAGATGGCAGATGTTAAGCAGGGGGTTCCTAGCGGATCGCGTTCGGGTGTTGTCGATAGTACTCACCCTAAAATAAATGGAGTTCTTGACTCTCCTGTTGTGTGCGGGCATCGTCGGCGACGACACGGTTGCTCCCCAGCACGTGGTGACGCGAGGATCGAAGAGAAAAAAGAAGGAGAAGCCACCTGTTGTAATTGTAAACAAGGACATATGGCAGAATTATTGTCCCATATTGTGAAGAGTGCTGGGCTGGGAGATGGTTTCCGGCCGAATAAGGATGTGGAAGATGATCATGTTCTGCATGGCGAGAAAGATGGCGGTGAGGGGCTCATCACCATGGGTCAGCGTTTGACATACCGAAAAGGTGGCGGGCCCAGCGCTGTTGCTTCCAAGTCTCGTGAAGATGTTCAGGATGGAGAGACGAAAAAATCTTCCATTGGTGGATGCAAATACGACCCAAAATCGGTTTTCTGGACGGCGAGTCCAGTTTTCGATCATCTAGCCGAGCAAATCCCTGCCATTTTGGAAAAGGAGTTTTTGGATGGCCGTGTGCGAGTCCGTTGGACACAGGAGGACTGCGCACAGCTTTGCAAAATGACAACCGGAAACACTAGAAGCCAGGTCCAAGAAGACGAAATCTGCTTCACCTATTTTTTCCAAGATGAAGACAACCCTTTCCGCAGCCTGACACCCAGAACCAGGAAGCAATATTCGGCGCCACCATCTTTTTCAGAATCCAATTCGATTGGTGCGGGAGAAAATAGTGCAGTCGTGGAGGCCGACAAGCAAAGACTTGGACAGCAGCAACAACGTGGACAAGCAACAAGTTGCAACTACTATACATGGCGTTTTGATTCGTGTGTCGTTCCAATGCAGGCACGCACTGTGCCGGTGACGGAACCTGGTAGAGACGGTGTCAAGCGTCGAGGTGCACCGAAAAAACGTTTTCCACTCATTACGAATGTCGACTGTGACGCAATGGCGAAAACATTTGGTAATGAAGGAGGCGAAGCTGCGGATTCGTCTAGTACTATCATGATTGCTCAGTTTCATTTCTCGAGCGCAAAGAAACCGGAGACGGTTGACGATGGAAATTACATTGCAGACGCCTCGATTATGGAAGCGAAGAAGACACAGCAGGACGCAGAAATACTAAGCAGAAGTTGTGCCGATCTTGATGTGCGGGTGGCAAGCGCCCTCGAGCAGACAAATGTCGCAAAGGTGGAATGCCCACAGAATGGAAGCGTCATCTCCTCTTTCCACGCTCATGACAACTTGGTTTTACAGCGCAAGGGCGGATGGAGGAATGGAGATGCGCAAGTCGTGGTCAGCGTCTTGGCGTTGACAGTACGTCTGTCGGTGCCATCTTTAAGACAGTCAACAGCAACGACCTGTGCCTCGTCCAGTACCAAAAATATTGAAATTGGGCGGCAGCCAGGCGGAGGCGGCGGCGACATCGGTTCTTGTCCAGACAGAAGAGAAGAGCATCCAGAAGATGTCCAAGAAGAGCATCACGCAGTTCGTGGACCACAACAGGCATCTGTGTCTCCTCCCTGTGAATCTGTGGGCGCAGAAATTCTGGTGATTGTCCCGACCAACGAGTACATCGCCGGCGCGAAGACTGATTCAGACGTACTGCGCTACAAGCAATATGTATCGCACCAGAGTAGTTTGGGTTCGGTGGCAGAGCTCCTCGGCAGTCTTGCAGATGAGGATTTTGAGTACCGCATGAAATCCTGCCGGGAGGATGGCCAGGATGCAGGAGACGGGGGCTCGCCCTTGTCCTCTACTATGTGTCCTGGCACACAAAAAATGGAGACCTCAGCATCCCTGCACGCTGGAGAATTCAAGCTGCATGCGCTCACAAAAATCGTCTCCGAGACAGCAACCGTGCGACAAAAAGACGAAGACGACGCAAATCACGCTGGCGAGGTACAGCGAGCCGTACCAACGAAAACAAATGGCGGCCAAAGGTTCGTTGCGCGAATTCCGCACTTCCAATTCGACGAGAAAATCATTTGGGATAAGGCTCCAGCTCCTTCTGAACAGAAGGAAAACATCAGTGGGCTTGCGGGAAACCAAGCCGCACTGATTCCCTTCGACGTCTTTACCTCGGAAAGCGCCACGCTTTCACCTCGTGTGGGCGTCGGAAGTGCAGGGGCGCTTGGAGGGATACGTCAGAGTGATCCTTTCGGCATTGGGGACGAAACTTCCGAAAGTGAAGAATCCTCCACTACACCGCCATTGTCGAAAGAATTTTGCGCGGATAAACCATTTCTCGTCTTGGTTCGTCGGCAGGATGCCGGAGAGATCGTATTCGCTGGTGCTGTTGGACAACCATTCCGCAAAAGTACAGCCGCTGCTGAGCAGACAAAGAAGTGCCTTTCCCCCGCCGACGAGCTCGAGGAAAACGAAATCGCAAAGGTCAGCACGGGAGAGTCGAGAAAAGAAGGCCACGCTGGGCTACATACAAATGGAGACGCCGGACATGGACATCATGATGCGTGCAGGACTACTCTTGGACAAGGGGCCCCAGCGGAGTCCTGTCGCGGATCTCAGAAGATGAAACGAAGTCGGTCTCATGAAGATGGAGCTGCGGAATGTCTAGAAAAGGGCAAGAAATACAATTCTGAACTATCAGAAGATGACGATCGTCATCTGAGACCGTTTCCGAGTGCACTTGCGAAAAAAGTCAGAGTGATGTGGGTCAATGATCGACCGAAGGGCTTCGTCCGTCTTTTCGCGTCCAAGGGGAACTAAGTAAGACTTGTACATACGTCCACTGACTCCTCACCACGTGTGGCGACTCGACTACAAGCACAAACAAGAACGGGCCATAACCTTTCTCCCGCACTAAATTTCCTGACAGGCGCGCGAAGATCGCGGAGCTCGTCGCGAAGCGGAGAAGGCCAGCAGAAAAGGAAAAGAAGCAGCAGCCCCGAGCACGAAGGCGCAGAAGGGGGCAAGAAAAAAGGGAAAAAGAAGAAGACGCCTACGCGTGGAAACCAAGATAGACCCCCGTCGGGTCGTAGTTTAAATCTATCCTCGACCCTTTGTGGAAAATTTTCAGTACTAACCTTCGTCCCTTTTTTTCCCGGTAAAGCGCGCTACTTTTAACAAAATACAGGCTAAATCACATCTGTTTCCAAGTGTTAGAAGCAAGAAGCTAGCTTGCTACGACTAAACTACTTGCAGCTGTGTAGCGGTTTGCAGCTACACAGCTTCAAACGTTTGAACCATTAAAAATCTCACATATGTGAACTAGGGCGGTAATACACGAAAGAAGTACTACCAACCATCACCATACGACTGGGGGAATCTACTAGAGACTTGAACGACGGGCAGCCTTATGGTGAATCGAGAAAACAGCTACTGCGTTTACTAATTTCCTAGTGCGGAGCTGTTGCCTTACTTAATACTTAAAAATACAATGCGCAGCAAGCTGGCTAGATGAGTTCTACTGCAACTGTGGTGGAACCCATTGGGAGCACTGCGGGAGGATGTGGAGGATGTGTGATCCATTGCGGGCCTCGATCCTTATCCACATGGAGTTGCGAAGTGTTCCGATCTTGTTCCGCACGAGTTTCAGCGTCCTGTTTAGGAAACTAAATAAGCAACACAAGAACGAACAACTACAGACAAGAACGCCCAAGCACGACACACGCCCGACGCAACAGGAACGCGCGCGGCGTCTGTTTTCTTTTCTCGTGCAGGCTTGGTAAATCCCACCTCGGTGATATCGCGCGCGACATACTGAGAGGGCATCAGATTGCCGCAATCTTAGACCGGCTCAGTATGGTTGGTGGCCTTCCTCTCTCGGAAAGCCATGGGCTGAATCTATCACATAAAGGCCAGAGAGCACCGCCGTCGAAGATTCTCATCTCTACGCAACATAAGTTCCAAATGCCAACTTATTGATCTCTTTTTATGATATGGAATCTGAATTGCGATCTGTGAAAAGGTGATCTACTGGCTGGCTACACATGACCGTTACCAACGAGATTGACGGCTCTTTTTGTTCCACGTGGTGCACGTTCCACGCAAGCAAAAATTAAGGATCGAGAATCTCTGTGGCTGTGGATCCTGATAAATTGGGTTGTGCTTCTGCTTCTCTGATAAGTTCTTAATGCAATGCTAATGTGATCTTTCTGTGAAGATATGAAAGACAAAGAAGATCAAGATCGGAAACAGAAGTTTATAGTTGAACGTAAGGCACTGGCACCTTCTCCCACTTTACCTTCTCGATGCATCTAGTCATGGACCACCACACCTAGCCGCTTCCTCTTTCAGGGATGCTCCGGTCTAGGTCTGTCTTCGGTTCCCTTACATACAGGGCAGATGGTCTCGCGGCCGTCGTTCCGACACACCGATCGTCAATACTATCTTGTCTTGCCGGTGATTGAGAAATACCAGTAAAGACGTATGACTATGATGATGATGATGATGATGATAGGTGGACTGGAGTAACTAGTAGTACAACAACTACTACAACTCTTGACCCTTTTTATTAAATATATGCTCAAGCGACGTCACCGATCATTGCACTCACCTTCCTAGTCAGGTTGTTCCGCTTGCAAGAGAACGAGTCTTCTTTGTTCATAGACTTGCCCTGCTTTTACTTACACTGTTTTCTAGAGATCATCGCACAGATTCTATTTCTATATTCAAACTAATCTAACAAGTATGGGGAAGTTACGTCAGAAAAAGAAGAAGGCTTACTGGAAGCGGAAAGAAAATGCTCCAGGTCAACAAGACGGCGAGAACAACCAAGCTCGTGCCGACCACGATGACTTCGAGTCTGGAGAAGAACAACAACGTGAAGACAGTCGAGAAAGACATCAAGGACAACCTCAACCTCCGGTAGAAGATTTCTCCAGTCCATCTGGATCTGCAGGAAGGGTCGTGAACCTCCAAACCGGGGAAGGAGCTCCATTAAGGGGATTTAAAGACGGAGGACCACACGTCGGACTCGGAGGTGAGCAAGAGGACGAGGACAGAACTGGGAGTACGAGAACACAAGATGGAGATAGAACAGCAATGCCAAATGTGCTGTCCCTTTCACCAGAGCCGGATGGTTCCTTTTTCGACACACCAGCGACCACTGCGCCATACAGAGGCGGCGACGATGGCGAAGGCTATATCTCGCCGTTTTTCCATGAGGAAGACGAGGACTACCGCCGACGAAGGTACGAGATGATGATGAACAACGCAGGGGCAGCAGTGAATCTTGATGAAAGAATCCAACAACAGCTTCACGGAGGAGAAGCTGTTGGGGCTTCATCTTCAGGTAGTGGTCTTCATGCCGCAGGAGCACTAGGTGGAGAACATCCACAACATCTAGGAGGTGCACCTTCACCTGCAGACTTGTATCGTCTTCATTATGAAAGCATGTACCAAAAATATCGAGAAGATATGATCATGAGACAACAGAATGGCGAGGAAGACTTGAGTCCTACGGCTCTGCAAGAAGCGCAAGAACAGTATGAGAGACTGGAAGCGGAATACTACGAAAGAATGCGACACGAACAGGAACAGCTTCGAAACGTAGATGCAGCGGGTCTCAGTCGCTGCATGATGGAGCAGGAATCGTCTTCAAGACGAGGTGGTGGTCCTTATCCTCATGGCGGCAGCTTTCATCAAGCAGGCACATCATCGAGAAGAAGGGACAACCACTCGTCACAGTCCTATGATCTTCATACAAGACGAGGGCACCAAGATAGCAGGCAGCGAGGTGGACAAGATCATGAAGACTATGACTCCTCAAGCGAAGAGGAGACAGACTCAGACGACGACTCCCGATCATCCTCGCAATACACGAGTTCAAAATGCTCACACAGTGGCGACGAAGACAACCCGAAAGCATATAAGAAGGGGGGATATCATCCGGTACTGCAGCTTAGCTATGGTTTCATCGTCCCTTTCGAATTCGAATCTTCTTTCACTTGAAGGACGAACATCGATTTGTGGGATATTTATATATTAAAGTAATTGTTTCAGAAAAATAGGAATGGAATTGACCCTTCTAGGTCTATAATGGATTTGACCCACCTTGTAGTAGTTGTACCAGTGAAACGGCATAAGTCATAATGCCAAAGTAATAGATATTAACTACTTACCACGACTACTAGTACCTCGAGTTTTCTTGAGTTTTCTTCAGTTTCCCACAATTTGAGTTTCCCAAGATTCGAGTCTTCTTGAGAAGTAGCTTTTGAATGATCCCTCGTCTGACTTTTCAATCTCTCTCACATCCACAAACAACCACAGGTCGTTCTAGGACAGCAGTATGCTGGAAGATACAGGATATTGAGCAAGCTTGGTGCAGGGGCGTTCTCAACAGTGTGGCTATGCGCAGACGAGAGGAATGATGACATCCTCGTCGCAATGAAAATATGCAAGAGCAAGAGTTCCGTAATAGAAGGATTTTTAGATTCTTGATCTTTCCAAGTCAAGCTGCTTCTAGAGATATGTCTTACTGTTTGGGGTAGCTCTAGCTTCCCTTAATATTGCGAGCAAACCGCTAACTTCCCTCTTTCCAACCCACTGTGTTTTCTCCACTGAAATCAGGTATCAGAGCAAGCGCTCGACGAAATAGCTCTGCTGCGGTGTATTTCAGAGCCAAAGGACATGCCAAATAAGGAATATTGTATGCCTTTAAAGCACCACTTCTGGCACATGGGTCCTAACGGAAAACATATGTGTCTAATCTTCGAACTTCTGGGAGAAAATCTTCTCGCACTAGTGAAGTACACGAAATATGGTGGATTGCCTTTGAGTTGGGTGCGAAAAATAGCGAGACAAGTTTTGCAGGTACTAGCCCAGTACAACTTTTTGTGTTGGCCAACCATCTAGCTACAACATTATGTGCCGAATTTCCACTTTTGACTGAATAGTCAGAAACTTTGACTTTGATTCATCAAGGACTTTCTCACTGCCCTTCTTATCCGTCGTCCCTTTAAGGCTTGATAATCGGGTAAGTATGTACTTATAACTATAAGGCTGAAATAGTAGTTATGTCATCACACCCCTTTAAGGCTTTCTATCCTTCGTAGTATGTAAGGCAAAGGCTTACCGTACGTAGCCATCTCCTCTTTCAGGCCTGCGACCACCTCGCCAAAGTCGGCGTGATCCACACGGACATCAAACTCGAGAATGTCTGCGTTCACCGCCACGACATGGCGGAGGTAAAACGCGAGGCTTATGCAGTCTTAGAAGCGCTAAAAGCGGCAGAAAAGCAGTTTCACGATGCAGAACTTAGGAGAAAACAAGCTCATCACGCATCAATTGCCGATAGTACGCCACCTCAAAAACTCTCCAAAGCACAGAAAAAGAAAATGCTTTTGAAGAAGAAGAAACTGTTAGCGTCCCAAGTAGACATGGCCAATGTGGGAAGTGGAAGCAATCAGAAGGTAGTTCTTCTACTCAAACATTTTTGCTGTATAATTGAAATCCCTAGCCCTACTTGATGAGCAATTGAGTTCCTTAGTTACGTCAGCCTCTATTCGCATCGTAAAGGTAAAATAGATACTGCTGCTAAATTTAAGTCTCTCACAAACAAACAACAGAACATCCACGAAATCGCACATCCCGACATTCCGGAAGAAGAGAGGATAAAACTTCCCGACGCGCCAATTAGACAGAAGACCAGGTTCGAAACTTTTTCACTCGCCGATCTCAAATGCGTCCTTTCAGATTTCGGTAACGGTTGCTGGGTCGACAAACACTTCACAGAGGAGATTCAGACGAGACAATACAGAGCACCTGAGGTATTGAGATGGATGATTTTCCTTATGGTAGCAACTCCAATTACCTTCTTCCATTGCAAAAGATGCTCACCACACAAGGTCGTACATGTACTCGTACTTCTTGTACAGAGTACAGTATCATTATAACAATTTTTGTTCAACATCCCTGATCAATTCCTCCCTTCTGAACATGAGGTCCTCATCGGCGCCCCCTACGACACTTCAACCGATCTCTGGTCATCCGCCTGCATGTTCTTCGAACTTTTGACTGGTGACTTTCTTTTTGACCCCAAGAGTTCCAACTCATGGTCCACCGATGAAGATCAACTAGCATTGATGGTTGAGCTTCTGGGCGACTTCCCACCTCCAGAATGGCTCTTTTCGTCGAAGCATTGGGACGAATTTTTCCAGGAAAGTGGAGATAGGATGATCCACATTAGGAATTTGCAATTCTGGCCAATGGACCGAGTGCTCCATGAAAAGTACTATTTATACTTCTTTTTTCGTATATCTAGGTCTAGAAATTTTTATATGGCAGTCTTAAAACGTTATTTTAGCAAAACGTTAAAAATTGACTTCATCTTAGGAATCTAGTCGGCTATTTTAAAAAATCAACTTTTAACGTAGTTTTGCTAAAATAACGTTTTAAGGTTGCCGTATTTTAGGGGGCAAAACTATAGCGATCCCCAAGTGACAAAAAGTTCCTACTTTCTTTTTCAAAAATCACTTACGTCCACTAGGTACAAATTCAGCGAGGAAGATTCGACACTTTTCGCTGATTTCCTTCTCTCTATGCTCCGCTGGCGCCCAGAAGACCGAGTCACTGCTGAGCAAGCTCTCCTCCACCCTTTTCTTCAAGGCGAAGATGATATGCCAGATGACCAAAATTTCATGAATGTGAAAGAGGACAGCGCTTCTGACAGAGAAGGACATGGACATGGAGGAAGTTATCATGGTAGAGGCGAACACGCCGATGACGAAGATAGCTCATCCGATTAAGGCTCGATGTCATTCATTTCGTGCAACAGTCGTGATAAGGATATTTATTTAGACTTCTTGTTTCTTCTTCCTCTGAGGATTTATGGAAGAAATATTCTTGTTCTGTTTTCTTCTTCCTCTTAGGATACTGAAGAAATGAATACAGAGTGGGAAGAAGTGAATTGTTTTGCTCTCTAATCTGAGGAGGAGGAAGAGGAGGATAGTTGTTTGGAAGAGGAAGACTCTGATGGTGACGAGGATGCATCTTCTGGAGGGAACTCTGATTCAGACGAAGATGAAGAAACAGGACAGTCATCATCGAGACCATCGGAAGATGGAAGGTCGCCTCTAGAAGGAGAAGGCGATGGCTCTCCGGAATCACCTCCTGTTTTGACGAGTCCCCCAACTTCCTAAAAAGTAATCTTCTTCAGTTCTGAACAGCCTGCTAGAGGTGGAGAACACTAAAAACTACTGGTTCATCTTGGCTTTGGTTCACAGCTACAACTACAACCTAGTACTAGTCAGTGTGATTATCATGGCAGCCGCTGGCAGTGGGAGCATCATTAGAACACAGTCCGAGTTTCGAATACGAATGCGATGATGGCGATCATCCACTTTTTGTGGATGACTTTGCAGACTAACAAGTGACGAGAACACTTCATGAAATCCAATGAAATTATAGCGAAGGTATCCAATCATGATAATGAACCCCGCGCGGTGACGCAGAACTATTAAAGATGAAAGTCCAAGTCTATACTTCCATGTACTCTTCTATGCCTATCTATGATCTCCATCCCATCGAACGCAACAAAAAATCGAAATATAACGACAACGAAGCACGAAGAAAATGAAAATGCACCTAAGCGCTTTGGTTGAGTGGTCTATGCTAATTCGTCTATCAACATAATATCTAACTTGCCCTATCCCTAATTGATAATGTTTCAAAACTCATTTTCACAGCATTGTTTTCATCTGACTCTGTCTGTCGTGATGTGTGATCGACGGCGCAGTAGTTCAGAATTGGCAATGTTTTTCCACTCTACTGAATGCTCCTTCTCTTTTCTTTTATGTGTCAATTTTTTCCGTCAACAAATTTCTTTGTTTTCCCATGAACATCGAAACAAACCTAACTGCTTTCCACGCAACAAGATTCAGCACCTGAAGACGCGGTTCGCGGTGCATAGTTTCAAAAAATCTTGCAAAAACAGTGGCCGTGAGAGGCCAACGACCCCGCCTATTAAACAACGCTCTCCTCGTCGAAAAGGCACCAAAACATCAATCGCGCCATGAATATCGAAGTCACGCATCCACATGGCATGTGGCACATGCTTAGTTACACAATATACAATATGAATCCTGCGCAACGACCCTGAGTGGATATTTCGTCGCTGATGAGTTCTTACATTTCTGAAGTCCCGTCTCCTCTCTCGTCAGGCAAAAGTGTCAATTTGATCCTTTTTTTGTGGCTGTTGTTCAATCAATCTATCATTCTCCTATGAATAGGCTTCAACTGCGTGCTCAGATGGCAAAACTTGCTACTTAGGTGGAACAAGATGAGTACAACCAGTCTTTCGTGGATCAGAAATTTTTCCGAATTCAATTTCAATCCGAAATTATATGCTCCAACTCGTCCACGATCTGAAAACACCTTTCTTGATGCACTTTGGCTCTGTCGATGATGAGAATATCCTACACGACGCAATTCTCTTTCCTGAAGATCCTTGACCAGGTGGCTCTGCTGAATGGTTGCATGGTTCCTTGCACATCATCCTGTTGAAGTAAGTAAGTAGCTAGTTATGATTAATAGTTGAAGTTGGCGCTTCGAGTTCGAGATTGACAACTGCCAGTCATTCTTAAAAAGCCACCGACATGTTCCAAATCAACTACAGCTCCGAGACTCGGGCGAGACAGCTATGCCTATGCATTGCATTATAACACAATGTTGTCTTCAGCAAGAGCAAAAGGCGACGTTTTCTTTGTGAGTTTTCTCATGTTGTTTCCTTGTTTCACGAACATTCACATTGTTTTCTCTCTCTGAGTGGAAGTGGTCTACTAAGAAATATAAATATAAGCATAGATTGTAATTATTTCATTGCGAACGAGTATATTTGATTAGCTCCGAGCATTATTCTTCACAAAAATACAAGTCATGCTGGCCCTTGGTTTCTAAGGAATGCGCAAAAGAAGGACCCGGCTTTCATTTTTACACGACACGTCGGTGTCGGAACGGACATTTACATACCGCACCCACTTCATCCCCGAACAAGCAAGCGACCCGTCTCTGACTGCATTCTCTGAGCACGAGAACGACGACGACGACTAAGACCACGACGACGACGCCATAAGCATAGTCAAACTCAAAGACAACAAAATGGGTGGCGGTAATAGTTTTCGTGCCCGCAAAAGAGGAGGCAGGCCTGGGCCTTCAAAGCAGGCTAGGAGTAATATGACTGCTTCAACACAGGCTGCGCAGAAATCCTCGAATGATCTTCAGGAGGCAAGAGCATCTACACAGGATGATGAAGAAGGAGAACTTATGCAGCATGTTGATGAGCAGGAACTTTTAGAGCATGAGGAACTTCTGCATCGACAACGAGAAGAGTTTTTGCGGAATGAGGAGGAGTTTCTCTACGCTGAAAAAGAACGTGAGCGGCAGCAACGATTGCGACAACCCCATATATTTGGTAGTTCGTCTCCGCAACAAGAACAACATCGCCCAACTTCTCGTCAGAACCGCCAGCAGCAACATCAAAGCCACCAGGAAGAGGCGTTTTTGCATCAACAACGAATGAATGAAGTAGCCCAGCACAAATTGAACCCTTTGACGGTGGCGAAAATCGAGGCGTTGATCGCGGCAAATAAGAGTGCAGTTTGTCATGGTTCGTTTTTTGGCAGTGGTCCTTTTGCGTACAGTGTTGACGCGGAGGTCGATCGGCGGATCAAGAGCCACATCGAACAGTTGGGCCTCATGTCGTCAGATCATCCGCTTTCCTCAAGTTCATCGTGGTACTATGAAAACGACATCGCACTTGGAGGTGGAGGTTGTGCTGGACAACATCCTCCTGCTCCTCAAGGAGGGCGTGGAGGTGGAGCTGGAGGAGGTGATCCGCGTGAGTATCCTGTTGTAGGTGGTGGACATCTTGTTCGTGATGGAAATTATGGGCTTGAAGATGCTGGTTACTCTTATCCTTTTCAACATGGAAGCGGTCGCGCTCCTCACCAAAACAATTGTCAACAATTGAATCGCGACTACTTGTATCCGGATGAAGAGCGAATGCTACGACATGCCATGCAACTGATCTGCTACTTTCAAGAGAAGAATCACACGCCATCTTCAAGTAGTGCAAGTGCTTCCTCTAGTGGCACCACGAGGACGAGACTCTCAGCCTCAACGACACACGACATTGCAATCCAACCTGAGACGGGAGTGAATCACAGAAACTACAAGGGTAAGACCTATCCTCATCTTGCTCCACAATCTGGTAATGGTACTTCTTCGAGTTGTAAGCAACAAGCGGCCTCGGTGAACAATCGGAGTGGTGGTGGAACTGCTAAGGGAGGGAACGTCCATGGGAAATCGACTGGAACGGCTCCGACGACAGCAGCTTCCTCAAAAAGCTCCTCAAACGATGTACAAGCACATGATCCTTCTGATGTGCTAGCTTCCGCAGCTCCAAAAACGGCAGGAGGGAACAAAGTCTCGTCAAAGAAAAGAAAGAAGATGCAAAAGGCAAATCAGCACGAGGGAGGTGCTGGGCAAGCGCAAGATCATCACGTAAGCCGTCAACAGCGATTGTCACAAATACCTGAAAGAAACGAATATCAACATGATCCTCACTTCTACAACATCCAACAGGGACACCAACAGGGAGACGATACTTATGCTCATTTACATCCATCTGCAACACATGTTGCGGATCTCACAGCGTCGATACCCGAAGACGTCGAAAACATCGCACGATTGTACTGTGAGTGGAAACTCAAAGTGGCAGAAGCAGCACAGAGGGAAGCCAAGGCTCGTGCCCGTTTTCTCAAGCGGGCCTTGCGCGTTAAGGAGCAGCAGAACATGCAAGAGCGCGACTACTTACGACAACAAAGAGAACTATTGGCTCAACAAAATGCTAAGTTGCAACGAGATGTGGATAACGCAAGCACAAAAATGGCTGGAAGAGCACAACAACAGCACCAGCACCGCGGGTTTCATAGTACTATAGCTTCACGAGGACAATCTCAATCACCAGAATTGCAACATGGTGACCACGTCCACACAGAAGAAGATGATGTTCACACAGAGTATGCTGATAATGATCTACTTGAAGAAGATGAACAACATTTACATCCTGATCATCAAGTAGACCTAGATGAGGATGAAGAAGCATTCGATGAGGACCCTGCTGTACTTGAAGAAGAACGCATTACCCTAGAAGAGGCTGCGCTTCACGACGTCTTGATTCGCGAGCTCCAGGCTCATCCTGTCCACAGTCCATTGCTGGATTTCCACCACGAACTCGAATGCACGGACAATTTGCCATATTTACCTGGCATCCTGCCACCTTCGGCTGCTAGGAACTCGGCGACGCAAGCGGCGATTTTGGGTGGAACAGGAGGCGCTTCGACGTCATCGTCGAATGGTAACAACAAGTCAGGAGCTGGCCCTCGTGGTCAACAACCAAGTTCATCGCCCGCCCCAACATCTTCTACTTCAAATAATCCCAAAAGAGGTTTTGGCATCGTCGCCAAGCGAGCCATGCAAGCTGGCGGCGTTTTGCTCGAAGATCACTCGATTTTGGAGCTGCCAGTGAGTGGAAAAATGGATATTCCATTGGATGAATTGCAGAATTTGGCACATGACGGTGCGCGGGTGTTTTTCAGTTTGAGCAACTGCGAAGACCCGTCAGTGTACTGGAAACCGACGAGGGCTGCTCGTAGAGAACAAATCCAAAGGAACAGACAACAGACAGCCACTCAGCAGTGTCACCAAAACGTGCGTGGAGGACAACATCCATATCGTCCAAGAGGTGCAAATTCTTGTCCACCTGGTGCATCCTCGACTGTGGGCATTCAAAGTCCTTCTAGTCGTGCTAGAAGTACAATGGGAGGGAGCAAGAACTCGGGGAACGCTACTAGACAACAGCAAATGCAACAACGCCTCCACCAGAGGAAAAGTGCCACATCAACTTCAGTCAGCAGCAAGAAGGCTGCTATTGCATCAAGAAGGACAGTAGACCTCCGCAATGGCAATGCGCGTGGTGACGCAAGTTGTATATCTTCTTCTTCCGAGGATGATGAGCCAAATCATCGTCGTGGTCGTGATCAAGAACAACTGAAAGATATGGACATCTCCTCTACCACTCCTACCAGCACCAACGGTTCCGACATGTACTACGAGTTTCTGTGTCAAAAACTAGATCAAATGCTGGGAGAGCGGTCCTTGTTCAACACCAGCAATGCAGCACAACGACGCGATTACCAACAACAGCAAAACCAAGAAAGGAATAGGGATGATCCTGGTCGTGATACTGCTGGTAATAGCTCATCATGTACCGCAGATCCGTTGTTGAGCCCCACGTGGCTGGATATCAAGGACTACGCTCGTGGAGTGTTCGCGACGAACGCAATAAGCTGCTTTGATACGACCAAAGCGAATGGGCTGAGGAAGGTATTGCTTGCGATCTTCAAGAGCGACAAATATTTTAGGAAACTTTCACTTTGTTGATTCGTCCTCATCATCGTGTGTGACTGTTCCAACAGCAACTATATGAATTTGAATACATGAATCTGATTTTCGAAAAATCACTAACCCAATACTTGATCTCCGCGAGGTAATATTAAACCCATGATTACATTATCAACAGGTTCTCTTTCCTCTGCTTGCTCGCGTGAACCACAGCTGTACTCCGAACTGCTACTACACGATCCAGCAGCGTTCTGCTGCCTTCAGCCAAAGACTTCTCGCACAAGAGCAGGAACAAGAAGATCCACGTGATCCTCGTAACGGAACAGCTTCACGCACGATTGTCCCGGCAGCTTACAAGCTAAATCCCCTGTGGGCTGAATTACTGAAAATGGAGAAGGAAAAACAAGTCCGCGAACATGTGAACAGAACTGGAGGTAGTTCTGGTGCGGGTCGTGGTGCGCACCAGAGTAGAGGAGGCCCACAGGCACAGGGAGGACACCAACGTTTTTACAGTGGAGCACCAGCAGTTGTAGATGCGCCACATGTAGTAGATCCACGTCATGGTGGCAATGCTTCGAAGAATTCTACTACTCCAAACAGTAACTACGACGATTGGACTGAATGCTTAGCTGAGCATTTGTACCCAACTTGGCGTGAAGACCAAAAACAGTTGCAAAGGCAGTTGATTCAAAGGCATGGTATGTGGGTTGCTCGTCTCCGCGCTTTGCGTCCAATCAAAGCTGGCGAAGAATTGACGATCGCTTACGTTCCAGAAGAAGCATCTTTTCAAGAGCGTGCGTCGACCTTGCAGCGTGACTACAACGTGCAAGTAGATCTACTATCGACGTTGCCGAAATCTTTGCAAAAATACGCGCGGGATGATCAACGCCGCCAATACGCGGAGATGATGATGCGACAAAAGAATGCAGCTGCGCTTGGTGGATCGTTGTTCTCGGATCATGAAGAGCGATTTCTTCATCAACAACTTCAACTTCATCAACAGGATCAAGTAACTAACACGGATCTCCAACCCCGCCCGGGTCCTCGTTTTCTCTCCACGCAAGAGTACATGGAACGCATGTTCGTGTGTCAAGAACAGGCCAACTACAACATGCGCATTCGTTTCAACCGAAAAAACTGCAAGGTAGAGGAGCAAGAAGAATCGCGGACACCAAGTCCCGCCAACGTCGACAACGCCTCTCTCAGGGAGTACGTGGCTGCTGCGCCACTGCTGGGCCCGCGACCAGATATCCTGTTCTATGCAGAGCAAATCCAACAGAGTCAGCAGGAGATTGACTCTAGGAAGGAACAACAAGGGGATGCTGGACATCACCATGAAGACGATCGTCAACATGGTGATGACCGAGAACAAAGAAAACTTCATGAACGTTCCCAGGCAGCAAGGCAAGTGCGAACCTCCTCTCCTTCAGCCAGTAATGCGAGTAGAACAAGGGGTGATGATAACAGTTCGAGTTCTCCGTATTTCGCACGCGTGCAGGACTGTGAGGCTGCTGCGGCTGAAGATTTCCCAGATCGTGCGAGCGCCTCAGCTTTGCAGTTCTTGCAAAACCATCGCAAACTCGCCATCTCTTCCGCATCTTTGACTTTGGCTAATGAAAAACAGAACAACTTAGGAGGAGGTGCATTTTCAGGTTCGTTGTTTTCTATGCCAGAGCTGTTGGCGATTCGGGACGACTTTCTCAGAAATTACATTTTCCGAGAGGGCTTAAATGTCCGCCTACCGATCGCGAGACGCCGTAGAGACAATCCAAACCCAGTGTCGCCACCACCGATGCGCTCTTTATTGGGGGAATTGCGCATGCTGGTCGAGGTCTTCCGTCTGAACATGGAAAGCGGACCGGTTCAAAAAGTCACTGTTCAGTGCATTGAAGAAACGACATTATTGCGGTCGCAACTAGATCTAGTGCCAGATGACGAATTGCTTGCAACATGCAGCAATCACGCTGTACCGGTATCGTCGAGACATGAAGATCATGATGTTGATGAAGCAACTTCTAAAGAAGAGGTCCTAGAACATCACCAGAACAAGTCTACACCATGCAAAAAGAAATCCACTTCTACGCCCAACATGGGATCTACTTCTTCACCGACGTCCACACCTACCACAGTCGTTGGCGCAACGCCACCAACTTGTACTACAACTATGTCATTGAGAAGCACACCTTCGGCACCCGTCTTGGACTTGTCTGAAGACGAGGAAATGGTTGTGAAGCATGATCCCCATCCCAATAGAAATAGTGGTCATCGTCCACAACACGATGTAGTTGATCAAGATGGAGGTGTAGTTGTCTACTTTGGTGACGATGAGCAAGATGATGACGAACCACGACCTCTTGAGGAGCAGGATGACGATATTTCCGAAGGAGATGATCTGGATCACGAGGTCGAACATCTTGGCGATGAAGATGGAGATGAACACTCTCTTCAAGAAGATCAAGAAGAAGAACAGGAAGATTTCCGAGATTACGAACGTGTCCTTGAGGACGCGGAGAACTCGATTCTTGGGTTTGCTGGCACGCGTCACGGACGTAGGAGGAATCTAGAACTTTTGGAACAACTTCTCGATGTCCGTCATCAGTGCATCACAGACATGACGAACGAGCACCATCAACGAGAACAACTGATGGTGGAGAGGGAACGTAGAAGTGTAAGTGTGGCTAGAAGTGCAAGTGATGTTGGAGCTGTAAGACGCGATGGCGTAGTTGAGGATGATGAGCAAGAAGATCACGATGATCTAGGAGTAGTAGACGAAGATGAACTTTCCGAAACTGATGAAGAAATGGATCAGAAGCGTCGACAAGATCTGGAACGTGGTTTTCCTTCTGCTACTTGCGCGCCTACTCGGACGGATGTAGCAAGAAGCACGATAATGGACTTCGCCATGCAAGCTGCAGGACAGCCCACCAATACAACAAACAATACGTCGAACTACAACAATTCTTCAAGAAGTGCAACGTCTAGTCCTCAGCAAAGTGCTCAACATCATCAAACAACAACAAGTGGACCTCCATATAATCCTCCATGTGGAACACCAAGTGGGTCTACATCACGTCGGACGCCATTGGTCCAACAGCGCAATGTCTTCAGACAGGTCCTCTACACGCGCCGCCCGATGAGTGAGGATTTGCGATTCCGCGTTGCGGCTTTATCTCAAAGGATTCATGACTTGTTGACGTTCCAGAGTGAGCGCATTGTGAGTGGACAAAGTCGTAGACTCCCAGAAGATATGAGCTTATCTCTGCCCTCCTATCATCCACGCTTACTCGCAGGCAATAAGAGTGCGCGCAAAGCGTTCAAGCATGCGGTGAAAGTCCGTGCGCAGAGGGCCAAACAGCAACTCGACTATGCCAAACATGCAGAAGAACAACGTTTGGCGGCACATGCGCAGCATCAGCACAACATGCAGCAACAGCAGCAACAACATCATGTTGTAGACCCAAGTACGGGTGGTAGAAAGGATTACACAACTGTTGATGAAGCAGGGAACACTTCACATGCTCCTCGTGCAACTGTTTGTGAAGAGGAACGTGCTGCTATGTCCTCTCCGCAGCTCGTTGATGAGCGTCACCTACATCTTGACGAGAACGTGAAAGAACCCTCTGCGACAGCAGAATCTTCGCATCAAGCAGAAGGACATGAAGAAAATGAAGCAGATGAACATCGACAAGCAGTTTTGACTTCTACTACATCTACGACAACTTCTTCTACACCTCCACATGTTGTCACTTGTCTGTCACCCAACCGCGCGGTTGGGGAACGCGTGGTCGAAACTGTAGAGGACATTCACATTCCGCCTGCTGATCTAAGCCAATTTCTGGCTTCCACAAGCGCCGATGCTATTGTCAAAAGAGAGAAGGGCTTTATTATGTGTGGAAAGGGAACTACACCAGGAACTTCTGCAACTGCATCTGCTCCTCGCGGAACAACGAGTACTAGTCAAGTAGGAGTTACTCCTGGACAACATGAAGGGGAACGATACTTCGTCGACGAGTTAGAAGAAGACGAAATCCGTGAACCGGTTCGAAGTGACGACATCATCGCTTCGGTCATCGAAGATGATGACTTGACCATCGTTGGCGACGAAGAGCACGTAGCCTTTCTAGGTGACGTTGTTGAAGATGTAGAAGCACCACAAGGAAGCCGCGGACGAGAACATGAGGGCGGCGCCAATCGTCCTCCAATGCAAACAAGAGAAGACTCGTCCCCTCGTCAGGCAGGAGTTACAGAGGGAGTAGACCAAGATCATGAACATCGAAGCTATCATCAGGGTCAACAACAGCAACGTCCACCCGGTAATCCTGTTGTTCAACCTCCGCATACAACACCTGCCGCATACAACAACTACAATACCATGGGAGCAGTAGAGGACAGTACAACCGCATTTTCTTTTCGTGACGTGCATGCTGAGCTAGGAATGGCACAAACTCATCTGTACTACTGTCCGCGAACAAGTGCTACCTACCACGAGTACGCAACTCGCGATGGTCTAGCGCGTGCGAGATACTACATCTACCCTCCGGATCTGCAAGTAGACCCCGAAAAAAATCGAGAGGACCACACCAACGATAGAAGACGTCACCTGCTACATCTTCAGGAAGAACATGAAGACCACCTTCGTCAAGACCGTCATCAAGAGCAACAAGAAAGTCGAGGGCATCATCAGCATCATCAAGTACCAGAGGAAGATGATCAGAATCGACCACGTCCTCAATACACCACAGTGGGCAAAGAGTGCATGAAACTCGATGCTCTAGAACCATTACCCGAAGGCGTTCACCTCGATGCTGCGAAGAAACAGTTCTGGCGCAGTAGGGAAGCGGCGTTAAAAGACTGTCGTGAGGATGTGAACACGGTCGTGCTGACCTTTCTGCGTGGTCTAGACTTGCTGGAATATTTGATGTCCGAGGTCGACTTGCACAACCACAACATCTTGGCTGAGATCAACTTTTACAGGCATCAAGTGAACAGATTCATGTCATTGGCGTCGACGAAACCAGTGACATATGTGGTTCCACCACCTTCATCCTCTAGTATGGCACCGCCACCGGCATCTTCGGGGGCACCAGCTTCGAGAGTAGTAAGTCATATTGGAACTAGAAATGTTGGTTTTGGGGTCAACCATGGTGCTCCTCCTCCTGTTGTCCATGGAGGCCTGCCTGTATCGTCAGTACGCGTTATCACACCAGCACCTGGCACCAGTCATGCACAACATGAACGTGATGTCCCAACAAGTACAAGAGCAAGACACGAAGTAGTAGAGCTTCCCGATGAGCCTCGCCGTGTGGGGTCTCTACCAGTCGCATCTGGTGTGGGAGAAGTGGAAGATGACTTGGAAACAAGTGTCGAAGACGCAGATGTGGCACAAGGCCGCGGGCACATCGATGAAGTAGAAGAGGAAGATGAACAACTAGAACTGTTGCACGAAATTGAAGAGAGGGAAGGTCGCGTTCGGGTCGAAGAGGATCGCATTGTTGTTGATCGAGCATCTGCTATTAATCAGCATGCTCATATTCGTGATCATGAGGATGAAGCCGAGCTGCATCGTCAACAACGTCAGCTCGCTTATGTGGCTGAACAACATCAAAGTAGACATCATCAAACACATGCACTTGCACACCATCAGCAGCAACTTCAACCAACTTTTAATGCCAACACTACAAGGTCTGCTGTTGTTCACCCACCACCTACGAGTAGAGCTGCATTTCATCACCAAGAACAGCAATTCGCAGCCCCACCGCCTCACGCACTGTATTACAACGACCACCATCTTTTGCGTTGTTGGCGTCACCTGCAGATCGCGCGCTTAGCCGAGTGCGACCGTGTTGATGAGTTCAGCCCCTATCTGGTCGACGAAGTGACTGAGCAGATGGGAGCTAATCGCGAAGAAGTTGAGTGCGCCAGATGGTGGGACGCTCTATACGAACTACCGCCTCCTATGGAGGAAGTGGAAGACGAAGAAAATGATGATCATATTGAGGTAGAGAACCATGGACATCAAGCAACAGGACACCATCACCAAGCTCGAAGAAGACGATCAGGACATCAAGCAACAGGACATCAACGTACTAGTGGACAACATCATCAAGCATCCCAACCAAGAACTCATCAAAGCCAAGCCCAAGGTACACCTCAAACTCAACATCGATTGATGCAACCACCAAGACAACAGCTGGTGCAGAGGTTGTTTTCTTTCTTGCGATTTCCAGAGAGGCATGGAAGCGGCGACTTCGACGATTTGGACATCATAGGGTTTGATGCAGATGAAGATCATCATGACTTGTTCTAAGTAGACCTGTTCAGCGATCCTGCCGATGAAGATCATGATGATTTGTTCCTCTAGACAAGATTCTTAACCGAAACGACGTTATGTCTAAGTATCTATATATAAGTAGTTATGCAGGAGCTAGAGGTTGAGCTGCGTATTTATAAATGATATTAATGGAGGCACAGGCAGGCTGTCCTTGGTACAGTGGTAGTTATCCATGCAAGGCGTGCTTAATTGGATGCCCCTGACCCATCTGGCGTCTCTGTCCGGCCTTTCTTTGTTTCCGTTTTTTTCATGAGTGTGTTACGCAGGAAGATCCAGATCAACTAGACCCCATAATTTGTGTTTTTTTCTGATCCCCTCCGCCGTATGATCCTCCGCCGGCTGGTCAGGTAATCTACCTTTAGGCGTTTCTTAGTGGGACGAGCTTTTGCATTAATCTCTACTCCGCTTCAAATCATATTAATGATTTTGACGAGCATGTACATGTTTGTAGATGTACAAGTACTAGCACATGATGATTTCGATTTAACAATGAATGTACGAGAACACATACAAGCACCTTTTGGCTTTTGCAAACAAAAAACTGATTTCTTCTCGATACCGACGACTCTCTAATCGTTCTGATTTTTTCAAAGCAAATGAACATGTGACTCTGAGTCTGACTCGTCTGTGTTTATATTTTATATATAGGAGATCAAGGTCTCACAGTCACAGCTTCAACTTCTCTCTTTGATTCGGATGGTGAATTTGCGATAATCATTCCGCCGAATGCTACCTTAGACCATATATATTAGTATTAGGAGGCCTCAACTTTGCAGAACGAACGGCTATCCGACTAGAATAAAAAATGTAAGTAGCTCCATATTACTATTCTAAAAATCTGCTCTCGTCGATTGTTCTAGTGACTAGTGCCACCCCCTTCAGTAGATCTACTCAAGTTTTTTGCCTCGTTTTCGAGTGCTTTCCGCGAGTCAAACACATTTGTACCCCCGCCCATCTCTGACAACTACATGCATGAAGCCATGTCCAAAAACCTCCTCCAGCATGAACATTTATCCATGTTGAATCGAAAATGCTTTCGACGACAAGCCTGCTTCCGCAAAGAGTAACGAACCACATTATTGATACGGAAGGGTCCAATCGTAATTTCTGCCGATCCGGTTTTTGATGCGCAGGGCTGAGGCGGGAGCCCCTATACTTGAGAAACTGTTACTGACACCTACAATCATGCTGCATCTGGAGTCTCAAGATGGAAGGCCCTGGAGGACAGACCCGAGAACATGAGGGAGACTCTGCTCCAGGATTCTTGTGTACAAGAACTGAGTCGGTACGTTGGATCGGCACTAGTACACCATTTCCATTGAAAATGAGAATGACCATGACAATGTTGACTGAGAGAAGCGAGAGATGACTTCCTTTTAGATGTGGAGCTAGTAGTAGTACCTCTAGTAGATACATACTTCTCATACGGATCATCAAAAGAAGAAGAAGAAGAAGAACAAGAAGATAGCACAGATAACTGACAGATATAAACATAAAGATATTACACCATTTGCTGGTCGTTCTCAACCTTTCCATGAAAGCACATAAGATGGTCGTTGCTGGGTCAGCCCTGCCAGTCGACCCTTTTGGTCTCGTCCAAGCCAAGCCGTATGGCTGCTGTGGGTGCCTAAAGTTCAGGCCTCTGGTGTATGTGACGCTGATCGTCTGTTTCGGAATGCGGCTGTTGTTATGGCTTGATGTGGTTGTGTTGTACTAGTTGTATTTAGAGTCTAAATAGATGAGATGATTCCAGATTATTCATTCTTGCCGTGTAGTTGTTGATGTAATTGGCCTACAACGAATCTCTTTTCTTGGTTTTACAACAACCGAGGAAGTGTAGGTCTTTTGCTCTGAAGGTCGATTAAACCGTTCAAGTACTCAATTCTGTGATAATATCATCGCATTTTTATGAAACCCCATCTCTCTTCATACCCAACGTTCCTATTGTACACTGTGGGCTTTGCGGCACGCGAGCGACCAGAAGTTTCGGTTGAAGTCTACATGTCGAAAAACCTGTGGGCAGCATGGTCAGTCTTCGGCTTTGTTGTGCTCACACCTGCTTTTTTCGGACTCAAATATGATGCTGACATGCCATTGTGGACTGCGTACTATTTCCAAGTGGCCACATTTTGTTAAGGCTCAACTCGTTAATCCATTTCTACAAGGAAATCACTTCCATTTCTACAAGGTTCCTCCTTGCTTAGGAGAGAAGGGTCAGTGCAAGGAAGTCATTTCCATTTCTACAAGGTTCCTCCTTGCTTAGGAGAAAATAGTCAGTGCACCAAGGAAGTCATTTCGCTCACTTGTTCCTCCTTGCTTAGGAGAGAAGAGTGGGAAAATGGAAGCAAGGAATGAAAGATTCTGGGCTCTAATCTTGGTTTGGCCTCTTCACTGGCGTCCTCTCCGTATTCCCTATTACAGTACCTCAAGACGACCGGGAAAAGTCCCTGATTGGAGACATGATTCTAGGTGGACACGGCGTGGACATGCCGAGTTTCAACTTCGTGCTTGGAGCGAGCAATATGCCTGCAAGTCAGATGACGGTACAAGGGATCACTTTAGTGTAGCTTCGTAACATGCCTGCAGGAAGTCAGATGACGGTACAAGGAATCACTTTAGTGTAGCATCGAGGATTACGAATTTCGCCAAATTATGATGATAGGACTAGAAGTTTTCAAAAGTAGCTCTGCTATCCTGTACCGTTCCTCCTTTCCCTCCTTCCTCAGTCTTCGGTAGGCGATCCAGTCGCAGCGGTCACGAAATGGTTGGAGGATGCGGCTATGAATGTAATGAATATGGGCGTCCAAACGATTTTTTCTCCTTTCCGCGTTACATTTGGACCGGATCAAAGAGCATTGGAATTTTTGACTTATGGAAAAAATTTAACAAATGAGAGCAAATGCAAAATCTGCAAAAAGATAGGGAAGATTTAAATACACACGATACGATCGTGATTGATATTTTTTGAGCTTATGCTCCTTTTCTACGCATGAGGTAAGGTGTTCCTGGCGATCTTCATTATATTCATGTTCACGGCTTGTTCCTAGTGTAGCGCCAGCTCCTTAGACCTGTTCGTTTGCAAATAAAGTGCTTTGTTAAAATTATTGAAAGTTGGCACTTACTTACACCAGCCTAGAAGAGTGATTTTTAGAAGTGGTTTAGGAGTTTTTTAAGTCTGCTTGCATAAATACTGACATTAAAGGTTTCTGTTAAGGTAGTAGTCTGAATAATTAAGGGACTAAATAACGTAAGAACTGTAACTCTAGAATTTCAGACTTAGGTTTAGTATAATTTCGTCCAAAATGGCTGAAAACAAGGGAGTGCCGCCAAAAGGCGGGGGAAAGGGGAATGGACTGCGAAAGAGAGTTATCAAACTGGAGGCAGACTGGTGCATCCTCTACAAACATGAGCCAGCCCTGATTGAAAACAAAGGAATAGCTAAGCCTGACGAATACGAGAATCCGTACGCCTACAAGGTCGCCATCTGGAAGCAGCTGATGACGATGTTGCAACAAGCCAAGAGCGAACATACGGATGAACAAGAGAAGGAGCGCTGGGAGGAAATACGTGATACGTTCGTAGAAGAATTTGGGGAGATGAGCATGTCGATGGTGAAGTACGTCAATGAGCGTCGAAATAATTGGGTGGAGCTTGTATTTTTTCCGGGAAGAACCACAGTGGCACTACTGGAAGATCTACGATCGGATAGCTTCACAGCTTCGGGCAAGTTCAACTTTGTGCTCAAGTGCAAAAAACTCAAACTGAAGGCAGACGATGGAAAAGGCAACAATATGAAAGGAGCACAAGGGAAGAAGTCGCACAGCGTAAAAGGGGACCAACGTAGTGCAAATGCTGGCATGGGAAAAGGGGCGCACTTTGGTAAACAAGATAACTACAACGAGATGGACAATGGCGCACAAGGAAAAGGGTCAAACGATGGAGCATGGAACGAGCAGCAGAATATGGGGAGCAACAACTTTCAGTGGCAAATGAATGCTCCTCCGGTATCGTCGTCTTCTTCTTCAGGTATGGGCTGGCAGCAGAATGACGCATGGAACAACTTCGGAAATAATTCGGCAGTTTCTGGTGCTAGATTTGAGCCTTATGGTCAACAAGTCAGCTACGGACCGACGAAAGGCGACAAGCAGGGAAAAGGTGCTCCTCCTTGGGTGAACACCGGCGGAAGAAAGTGGTGAAGTTGGCTCTCCTCTACTGTATAAGGATATTGATTTGGGTACCATCTGTCCTGAAATTCCGGCAGTCATTGAGAAGAAAGAGACATTCTTGAGAAGATTTAACTGTGGGGGAGGTAGCTGCACCTTGTGTCCGTACATAAAAGAGGACCGTATAGTAAAAATATCTAGTAGAGAAAGCGCGTTCTTCATACCTAACTACTCCAACTCTTTAAATTGTCAAGCAAAAAACGTGATCTATATAGCTAGCTGTAAGAAATGCAATATGCAGTACATTGGGGAGACTGGAAACACAATGAGACAGAGATGGGGAGTGCATATTTGTGGACTGAGGAAAGGGACGAGAAAGGAGGGGAAAACGTGTATGGAATCCCATAATGTGCTATGCGCAGCTTCGGGATCAGTGGGGATTGAGGTGCAAATCCTGGCTGATCTCAATAAAGTGAGTCCACCTGATGGAGTTTCTATGCGTGCTTTTCGAGAGCAGATTGAGGAGTTTTTCATGCGTTCACTGGGTTCGGTCTATCCGTTAGGCTTGAATGATAAGTATGAAAGTAAGTTTTTCTTTAAGAATTTCCCTCAGGAGTTACCGAGCTCAGACGAGTATAAGATAGGAAAAGCGAACGGCCCGAAGTACATGCGGGCTGGAAGGAAGAGGGGCACCGGCAAAAGGCCACTGGCCTTTCAGGAAGGCCTCGACGTGGAGACGTTTTTTACTAAGTTAAAGTCTAAATGGCAAGGGGCTCCTGGTAGTTTTATTAGTTTTTTAAGAAACGCCCTTGACCGACAAAGATATGCAGGGGTGAGGGCAATAGTTAAGGGCTTAGAGAAGTCTGGACGACGTCAGGACCATGTTGATTATATCATAAATTATGCCTATAGTAAGTTTGAGAAGTTACGGGAGCAGGATGATGAATGGTATCAAAAGAAGTTGAAGGGCAAACAGAAGCGTAGAAGGTTAAAGCGTATGTTTGTACTGTTCCGCAATAAGTATGTAGAGGATCTTCGTCTGGAGGCAATTTTTCGGTTGCCTGAAGTAGACTCTTTATGGAAAGCATTGGGGATAGAGAAGGGCTGGAAGGAAATTGATGAGCCTTCGATAACTTACATGTATACGAAGGACCTGACCTCTACGCTCTTCAATCATCATAAGGCCTCTCGGACGGATGAGGGAGAGAAAAGCGGGACTATGGAAGAAGGTGCACGGGAATGCTCTAAATGTGTATGTTACTCGGAGAAGTACAAGGACCTGGTATGTGAGGAAGTAGGGCATGTCTATACAGGGGAGGTTGATAAGTTTTTCAGTGCTGGAGCAGTTGAGTTACTACATAGAGGGCCCAAGTTTCGTTTTGAGACTATAGCGAGTCTACAGGACATTGGGGAAGAATTTAAAGAAACGATTAAGGAGTTTAAGGAGCATGTAGCGACTACTCTAGGAGAAAGCTTGACATTAAATACGTGGGCGCAAACAGCGTCAGAGGAAGTGGCGCGCCGCGTTGCTATGATTGAGGGGAGAGAGCGCCTCAGGGGTAAGCGTAAGTTTGTGAACGCGCGCGGGGTCAATAGGAAGGCACTGGAGGAAATTCAGAGAATGCAGGACCACTTCGTGATGGCTCCTGTAGATAAGGCGGCCTCTAACGTTAGTATTATTTGCAAAAAGTTTTATCGTAGTATTTTAAAGGAGGAAATCTCCAAGCAAGATGGTGCATATTTGAAAGTAAATTTGTCAGCTGATGAAGTTATCTCTGATTTTGAGGCGAGCTTACGCAGAATATTACCAAAGGAAGCGGACTATGTGCTGCCAGCGAAACCCAAAATGGATGAGGAGAAGGACCAGAAAGATACTGAAGCGGAAGAGCAACGTCCTCCATCACTTCCCCATCTAGTTTGGATGCCAAAGTTCCATAAGAAACGCTTCAAGACGCGCTTTGTTGCATCATGTTCAAACACAATTTTCAGTGGGCTTTACAAATTAGTGCAGGGAATACTGAAGAAGATTAACTATAGCATAGTGAAATACTGCCAGAAGGCAGACCTCTGCACGCCGAAAGTAAAGCACTACTGGATTCTAAAGAACAGCATCGAGCTACTAGATGACTTACGCAAAAGTAAGAAGAAGCGGGCTCGGTCCCTCACTTCGTGGGACTTTAGTACTCTCTACACCGCACTTAATCAGGAGGAAGTTTTGAAAGAATTTGACTGGGTTTTTGACTTTGCTTTTACGACGGAACGTAAGTATCTACATTTTCAGAAGGACTATCAGCGGAACTCATGGCACAGCGACCCGTCTTGGTCCTCGAGAGGGGTGGACCCAAGGCCTCGTAGAGGGGCTGATGGTAAAGTAGTTGAGTCAAGACATTTCTCACTAAGTAAGGACCAAGTGAAGAAGCTATTTGCCTTGATGATTACGGGCGCGTACGTTTGTGTCGGTGGTGATCAGGTAGTGCGGCAGAGCAAAGGCATTCCCATAGGAATAAACCCCGGCCCTCTAGTTGCTAATCTGTACTTATGGCGTAAGGAGTATAAATATATAACTGAGCTAATCAAGCGAAAGGATCTGGAAGCTGCTAGGAAGTTCCGACATGTCTATCGCTTTATTGACGACCTTTTAGTTCTTGATGGTAAGGAGTTTGAGCCTGCTGCTATCTACGGCGACCTAGTCTGTGAGCGTCAAGGTGGGCCTAGTGATGCGCGCTCGGCGGACTATATGGATTTGACCTTGACTGCTGGGGTAAAGGGGAAAATAGAAGTGAAACTGTACGACAAAAGGGATGATTTTTGTTTTAAAGTGAACCGGTTCCCCTACATGCGCAGTAACGTCCATCGGAAGACTGTCCTGTCTGTCGCCGGGGGAGCTCTTTTACGCTTCTTTCGCTACTGTGATAATGTTGACGATTTTGAGTCGGGCGCGAAGCAGGTCTGGGGGGTCTTTAAACAGCGCGGGATTAGTCATATCTTATGGCAAGGTGTAGCCCGTAAGTTCTGTAATAAATACCATAGGTTTCGTAAATATAGGATGCAACGTTACGAGTTCGAGAACCTCCTTCGGGGGTGCTCTAAATAAACGAGACCCCCTTATGATGCATTTTTATGACGACGGTCTACGTGACTGGAGTCTTGGCCCGGGGCATATATCCGGGCAACATACCCTTCGGGGTATAAGAGTTGGGCTTCCGAGTCCTTCTCAGGATGAGTAGTTATGTAGCGGGCTCTGGGTGGTATTTTTTACGAAGTGAAAGTTCAACCACTCAACCCGTTCCTCAAGGTCGTTAAATCTAAATCTTAAGTTCGTGGATTTAGATGCAAACTAGACTGATCTTCGTTCTCTTTTTCGATGAATGTAAATGTAATAGAACGGTCTGGTAGTAAGCTTTGCATTCAGCCAAAATATAGTTCTTTCAGTTTTTTTTTAATTCAGATAATGATCTGAAAAGCGGGGATCTAGATGGAAACTAGGAGGAAAATTTTTTTTTTTTGGATCTCTCAAAACAAGGAGGTCACTAAGGAGGAAAGCTAAAAAGGACGCAAGCGATGACTTTTAACTCTTTTCGCAGGGTTGTAATTCGGCCGCATATCGATAGGTCTGCTTTTGCAGGTTTAGGCTAGCGCTCAAGGCCGATAGAACTTATAAGTTCGTGCATATATATTTTTTGAGCTTATGCTCCTTTTCTACGCATGAGGTAAGGTGTTCCTGGCGATCTTCATTATAATATAAGTATAACACCTTCAATATATGATGTAAATTCAAGACTGTAAGACCACGTGGAAACCCGAGTAAAAAGAGCGATGCCTAATCAACCCATTCCCTCTTCATCCCCTCTTTCATTCTATCCTGACAATCATTTTACTGCCTCACCTCTACGCTGCGTATGTGATACGCTGTGCGGCTCGCCAACTGCAGCTGGGTTTTTTCCGGGAATTTTGGCTGTACAAAAAACAGATCCCAGAAAGGCGTGGTGTACATGCTCCAAGCAGCGATCCTCTACTGAGGGCTCATGTTAAGGCAGTGGCAATATAGAATTTGTATTTTTAATATTTAAAAACTGTAGTCGCTCTTGTCGTAGCATGTAAGTACTTCTTGGTTTTTTTACCTAGTCGCATCGGCAACCGGAGTTCGTATTTTAGTTTTGACTTGCTGCATTCCATGCAGAGGATTCAACCAAAGAATAAAAAATTCATCTAATCAAAGCCCCCATCCTTGGCAGAACGGAGAACAGCCTTTACCGCAGAAACAGGCGGAAGCGATTCGTGCTCTCCCTGCGCAGTACCCACTAGAACGTACGATAGAGAACATCAGAATGCACGAAAGGGCGGGCGTTTCTCTGCTGAAAAAAGAGTATCTTCTAGAAGAAGACGGTGGGGGCGGTGGAGGTGATGCTGAAGATCGGATGCGCCCTGAGGACATATGGCTTCGACACTGCATCCAGGAACATTCTACGACTGGTCGCGGGCCACCTCCAGCAATGTAACAAAACGAAAACCCATGATGCTCGTCCTAGCACGAGCATCATGCATAGGAAATGAAATGCTTTTTTACGTTTCGATCTCCATTTAACGAGCACGATTCATTGATTCAAAATTAGCGACATTGAAGTAGATCTAGGTGGTACTCGGTGCTTTTATGAACAGGTTTCATTCTTGCGAAGCAAGCATACTGTACAACATCAAGAACAGGTATTGGACATCAGCAGCTTTAATGAAGATTCATGTACTAAGATATTGTACAGATTCATGATTGTGGATGATTTGAATTTCAGCTTTCTTCTTTCTACATCACAGGTGCACTTGGCATCAAAATAACATTTGTTTATGTTCTCTCCATAATGCACGACCACTACGAGCGCAAGACACAAGGTACCGTGATGAAGAGAGAGGCATACGAGTGCTGTCCTAATTGTTCTCAATTAGACTTCTGTCTCGGTCTTACTTCCTGAGCAATCTCCCGTGCCTTCCGCGAGTCTGTGACATCCGTTCCGCGGCGCCTTCATTTTACACATTCATGCCAATGCGTGCCTGGTCTTCAGACTCAGAGCTGTGATGTACCCCCATAAGCTACCCCGCTCACGCATCCTTTGCCGTATTCACTTTAGAGATAGAGTGGATACGTTTCTTATAAATTTGAAATTCTTCGGTCATCATGTGCCCAGAATCTGCATATAACTAAGGTGGAATTGAAACATCAAGATCCGTCAAAATGGGAGCTCCTGAAAATGGTTCCTCTTCCTGTCTTCTTGCAGTGCAGCAGCACACAAAAGCTGCAATTAAACGTCTCCACACATTCTCGGATGCGATTCACGAACGAATCTGCACTTCAGCAGTAACGCGTCCGATTCTAACGTTGCTGGGATTGTCTTTTGGAACGATATTATGAAGATACTAAATATTAATATTTGTTTTTTGTTTCCTAGTTAGGTGCTGTGCTCCACCGATGATATTAATACTTTCTCCACGAGTAGTTGTGTCTGTGTGCATCTTCGCCTCCTTAATATTATGGTTCCCTCTTCTCTAGCTCTAATCCCTCTCCTCCTTACCGTCGCGTGGAGCACACGAAGGTCGTATCCCGGTGACCAGGATGAACGCACGAAAGACAGTGTGGATGTGTGGAAGGCGAGGGAGAATCCGATCATCCAGGTCGAAGATGCGTACAACAATGCCATGATCGACCGAGTCAAATGGATCAAGGATGAAGAACGATTTGAAACGGACACGGAGTTTTTAAGGCTGCTAATGATCACTTTTTTGCCGATTTGGTACTTACTTGGACGTGGACGGTCATGATTCATTGTCATTGATTCTAGTCGATTAAAAGTACAAGAGAAGTGAAGAATCCTTTTCGGCTTGTTGACAAGAAAATGATTCAAAATTTTCAATTTCTAAGTACCTAGAAGTTGTACAGCTCTAGGTCAACAAGTTATTTCAGCACAGCTCTAATCTGTCTATCCCGAAGGCAAGGAGAATTCCCGACGCCTCATGACGGCGGCGTTATGCGAACTCTCTTTGGTCCAGCACCGCCGCAGCAAACGAAAATCGGAGGGAGAGCGCAAATCTACTACAGGACGAAAGATGGGAGCAAGGTAAGGCGTTCTTTTGCCGCGTTTTACTTTCGTACTCGTCGGACTTCAGCCTCATCAAGCACAACAAGAATAAACTCATCTTCCCTGCTCACGACAGATCTTCACACCGCAAAATCTCCATGCGATGTGCCGATTGGAGCATGTTTGGCACAGCGTGGGGATGTTCGACGGACCGCCAGAGGGCTACTACCTGGCTCCTGGTCGCATCAGTCGTGCTGTCCAACACTTCGCTGGCAATCAGCAGACAGGCTCTGACCGGTTTACGTTCCCAATTAGTGATTGTGACGCAGTGCTGACAAAGACGCAAGCAGAAATCGACGCGTGGGCTGGTACCACTTTTTACCAGCCCTACTTGGCTGGAGACGCCGGATACGGGTTCTTCCTAGAGAAGGCGTTCGCAACGAAAGGCTTTACGAGCGTCACGCGAAGTGGGTTCGCGATGCTTGGTGGCGCAAGAGAAGAGCAGGGCGCAGATGGTCTGGATTTACTGCAGGAGGCACTCGAAGTCGACAACGGATGGTGGAATCCGAGGTTCCTGCACACCTTGTGGCTCACACTACCAAAAGCGCCCAATGTCGAAGTACGAGCGATTGACCCGCTGATGAAATCGCAAGCGAGTTTGGAGCTAGTGCTGTCCAGAGATTTGGGATTTGGTACTGGCGAATTCAAAAAAATGAGAACTACAGGAAACTCATCAAAAAAAATTTATAAGAAAGAAACAACTATATTGTAAATTACGCCACCTTCACAGCTTCAACGAACATCAGAGAAATCCGCAGAACTCTGAAGAGATTCACGGAAGTGGTAGGTCCAATCCGAATCGACTAACTTAACGTCATCAATGTAAATTTCACCAACGATAACAGCCGCAATCTCCAGGTCTTCCCTTCACTTTCGTGACGGTTTGGCTTGTCGTTTTTCTTCACACACACTCTTTCCTGTGCGCCTCCGTCGTGGTCATGTTCGTCGTTTTCGCTATGGTTGCCGGAGTCATTGGATACTACCTCGTTCTACGCCTCGCCTATTTCGATTCCTTTCTGCAGCTGACATTATTTGTGATGCTGGCAGTTGGCGCAGACAACTTCTTTGTGCTTTGGGAAGCCACGAAATTGGAAGTTGGAAAGGCTCGCAGAGATGCAACTGCTCTTGTGGCTAAAGTAACACAAATATCAGCTCTATTTGCGGATCGAGCTGGAGAACAAACACCTGGTGGTAGTGGTACGTTGGAGCAAACAACAGGAGTTGGAGGTAAGAATATGGTTGATGACGTGACCGTGAGCGTGCCAGCCGATGGAACTACCACAGCTAACGGAGGAGCCAGCAACGAAGCAGTTGTGAGTACATCACAAGTGAGTCCGCATGACGTTAGTACTGGTTCATCTCTCATCTCGCCAGAGAAACAAGACAATCTTCTCAGTACAGCTATAGCTTCTAAAATCCCATCAAAAGAAGTAGAGGCACAACACCAGAGCATCACGCCCTTTTCTTCTCCAGAGAAAAAAGATGCAGAACAGGTAAACTACGGTCCAGAACTACGACGTGAAATTGTACCTATAAGCAGCCCAAGAATCGATGACCACCCCGACGACGATGATGGCGACAGAACCCCCGACGCAGAAATCTCCCCTCTTGACAATGGTGCTTGGCGTGTGGGTGCTGAACGCGTTCCTGCTAGAATAGTGAAAACGAGAAGCATCACAATAGCAGTTTATCTCGGTCTTTCACGTGCGTTGAAGCGTGGTGCTAGTAGTATGTTTGAAACATCATTCACAACAGCGATGGCGTTCTTTGCCATGGTGCAGAGCACAGTTTCGCCAGTAGCGCATTTTGGTGTTTTTGCAGGCTGCATGATAGTTGGAGGTTACATCCTAGCACTCTTTGGCTTCCCACAAGTCATCGCACTATATTACTTGAGGTTGCAGCGGAAGGGAGAACAAGAATTCGCGCTTCTGGAACAAGATGAGCAGTCCTCTACTTCGGCATTGGCTGCAGCGGCTAACAACATAAAGAACACGTCGAAAGATTCAGAAAAGCAAGCACCACCAGTATGCGATCATCAAGACCTACCGGAGAAGAAACAAGGACTAGAAGTAGATGGTGCCAACAATAGTGTCAATAGTTCCGCGTGTAAGCGTTTCTGGGCACGAGTGTCGGTAAAACGCTTTCTGGGAGAAGTGTATCAGACAATCACAAAATACCATATTGATTGCGGTGGAGGCGCTTCAAGTTCAAAACCCGAGGAGGATGAGCAGCAAGAGAATGAGAACTGCAGCAAAGAACAATCATTGTCTACTCCGAACAAAGTTGTCTCCTCAACAAATACTTCTAGTCCAACATCTTCTTCCTCTCCATCCACAGGCTATCGCCTCTTCCCTGTCGCTCTGCTCGTCGCCGCCATAACCACAGGATTCACTTGTTTCATGCTCGCAGCAACGTTGAAGCTATCGCCACCGTCCAAAGCTTTCGAGTTAATGCCTGAAGGACACATGATGGTGGACTTCTATCCCTATGGATTCAAAACTTTTTTATCCTCGGGTGGCGATTTCCGAACTATCATGGTGATTTGGGGCATCGATGCGGACAAACCACAAAAAAATCTCGATGAGTTAGAGTTCTGGTTCCCGTGGCAGACGAATCCAGAACCGAACTACTACTTCAATGGAGGTTCGATTATGGCTCATCATGATTTAATCTTTTAGAATTTTATCGATTTCGATTCTACTCTTATTTTTCGTCAACCACTTGCGCTTGCCTTTTTTTATTCCGACGAACTTGATTCTGAGACAGAGTGCTTGAGTAGAAGACGTCAAAGTCAACCACAGCGAATCATCGAAAAAGCTCTAATTCAAAAACCATGACCGACCCTGAAGCACTTCGCCACATTCTCAAAGTGCAAAGGCGCTTACTCGCTGAACCTTGCCGTGGTCGAGAGATCTGTGACGGCCGTCATCCCAGTGGCAAACTCTTTCTTCCAGAAGCCTTCTACGACGCCGTCCATTCCACTTTGGCAGTAAACAGCACAGCTTACAATGGCATGGCTTTTCCCCAAACCATCTACAACAACAGCGGCGTGAATGTCACTTCTGTCACTGTTCCGACGCCAGGCCCTTTAGCTGCGTTGTACTACAATGTGCCAGATACAGTGCTCCAAAGTCCGACCTTTGACTATACCGCAGCTAGCGTGGCCGCACACGCTGCTCCTTACCCTTTTCAGGGAACTGGACTCTTTGCCAACAGTACCGACACGACCTCTGCCCTTACGCGGTCCAAGTTAGTGGCAGAGTCACACTACCGCTCAATGGAGTATACGTGGCCAGAGGGTGCTCGTGGGGTGAGCAAGTTGACCCCAGCGCTTGCCCATCGCGATAAAAACGACCAGGTTCGCTGGCTCCAGACGTCAGAAGCCGGCCATCCGGGATCTGCGGTGTTCAATTATGTTGTAAAGCTGTTCTTCCCCTAGCTTACGAAGTAAGTACCGAAGACTGGTGAATATCAGACTGACTGCATGCCGCTGCAGCTTCATTCATTCGCCAAGTTCCCAATCCAATGATTTACCAATACCACCTGGAGTGGGTACATTCACTCACTCACTCACTCACTCACCTCTCGCCCCTTCTAATCCACCGAGCTCCTGTTCGAGTGGAAGGTCGGCCCCCTCGAGTACTGGCACAACGCAGACTACCAAATTTACACGACTACGCTAGCCGTTCCTGGCGATGCCAATATGGGTAGTTTAAGTTTCAAGGCTGCCGACTCCCTATACCACGCCTTAAAAGACATTCTAGACGAAATGAATGCCAATGCCCCAGCCAGTCTAGGAAAAGCCGTTTTTCATGCAAATCTGCGGTCTTACGTCTTGAATGTGGAATTGCGCGAAACGTTGTTCTCAGGCTTACTACTCATGTTGCCCTTGTGCTTTGGCCTATTGGTGCTTGCGAGCGGAAACATTGTGGTGAGTTTCTTGGCAATTTTCAACGTGGCTAGTTTGGTTTGCCAGGTGATGGGCTGCTTTCAACTGATGGGGTGGGAGCTAGGTTTGCTTGAGTCGTTGGCTGGCATCATCGTGATCGGCCTTGCTATGGACTACACATTGCATTTCTGCCACGTGTTCACCGAAGCTGGGAGAAAGAAAGGTACTGCTCAACTACCTTAGTTACTCTGTCTCGGATTCCCTCCTCGAGGGCGCGTATAGATACTACTAGCGGCAACCTTCACGCAGCACAAACAATCCTGTGACCCTTATCCCAGGCCTCCAACTACGCCATGAGCGTGTGAAACATGCTTACAAGTGCATGGGCCCAACGATTTTTGCCGGTTTCGTCACTTCCGCGAGTGCCGGTCTCTTCCTCCTGAGCTTCTCTATCACACCATTCTTCCAACAAATGGGCGTCGCAATATTTCTGACGATTCTGGGATCGGTGTATATTTATGGCTCGCTCACGACCAGGATTTTTCAACCGACTTGATTTTGATTTTCTCTCTTTTAGAATATGAAATTCTTGGAGGAATGAGGAAGATTTAAATTCAAATAAGAAAAAGAAGTTTTACTTTATATTAAGCTAGCGAGAAGACGCCACAGCCACACCACGCAAATACATCTCTACTTTCAGTGAAAATGAGTAGAGGGAAAAGATTCTCAGCAGATTCAGAACGCAGAGTCCTTAAGTTCTAATCCTTGGCCTTGGTCTATCTGCCTTGCCTTCTCCTGCTCATGGGACCTGCAAGAGACTTCGGAGACCTCTACTTCGCAGCCACCGCTCTCTCCACAGCGCCAAAATCGCTACTGGAACGCTTCTCGCCGAATAAGGTCAAGAAATGAACTTGAACATCGTGTGTAGTGTAATTATTCATCGTGATATTAAGGCTACCGCTGGAGCATCCTCAACACCATCCTTAGCCCTTTTTTCAAGGGGAAAAAGGGCCGAGGGAGGCTCTCAGGGATGCACGTCGGTACCTCTAATGATATGTCTTTGTACTAGTTGTTCTTTTCTTGAAGCTGATTGTATCCCTGTCAAGAACAGTTGTTTGACGAACAACAGACTGATGAAGTGTGCTGGACAGCCGACCAGAGGGTGCTCTATTTATATTTTCATCCGTAACCGTTACCGTATGTCTATTCATCCGTTAGACGCAGAGTTGTAAGTATGATCTTGATGATCAATACAAATCTTATTTCTAGCGTTGCTGTTCGAATTGTTCTTTGCAGCAACCATTCATTTGATAAAGGGTTTGTAGTGGCACTTCATCTTCCACTCTATTTATACACTGTGAGACAGGATATCTTGTGCCACAACATGGGAAAAAATGAACATCATTGCATAGCATTGTATGGTGAAAATGCGACTGATTTATTTCTATTGTTCTTACAACAAAGTAGATATCTACATTGTCTTCTTTATGGACAAGAAGGGGAACCAAAACCAATGTAACCTCACAATGTCACACTATTCATTCGTTGCACGACTAGAAGTGAGATCGAGCACGAACGAGAAAGGGGCTTCTGCGTCCCCGTCCTCCTGTATAGCTTGATCATAGTGTGTAGGTTCGATATGATCTTTTTCCTCTCGACTCTCACCTGTATAGGGAACAAATCTTCCATAGGTCATAAGTAACATATTAATGCTTACAACTAGTACACGAACAGGATCTCGATCATTCTGACTGCGAGGAGTGTGATTAGAGGTGTTATGATCATAGTTGTGTTGACATTTACTTTTATGATTAGTACTAGGACAAGAATCCCATTCAACTTTTCTTAACGAAGCACATGCATCTGCTCCTGCAAGCGCGGCCATAGGAAAGCCGGAGTTTCTTTTTGGCTTTTGATGAGACGACATGAAAAACAAAAGCTTCGATGGATACTCTATGCATGGTATTGACTAGTATGGTTAAGGTTATCTTCAGCGCGTCGCTGCTGGTCTGTTAGTTCGTGAAGTACTGTCCTTGTTTCGGTCCCGGTAATATTCTCTTTGGTTGCACGTCCTTCATGAGAAGAATCTGGATCTGTCTTATTTCTTCTTTATTTTTCAGGAGCCTGAAGTGGAAGTCTGCCTGCAGTTGCTCGACCAAGTGTTTTCGTGTGTGCGTGTGTGTTGTTATGAGAGGCATACGATGAAGAAAGAGAAACTGGTAGCTGTCCTAGGTGCGTTTCAGTATCTGTTAGAGTCAGAAAATAATGGACACAAAGGTCTGTTGTTAACGAGGTTCTCCCTTTCCCTGTTGAGGAGATCCGGTATGAAGTGTTCTTCAACCAATCATCAAAGCGAGGAGTGCGAGGTACTACAACTCGGTCGCTGTGAGTGCTTGGCCTCCTGCAAAAAGCTAGAAGTTGCTCTTACCCTATATTGTGGCTTTTATTGCCTTAGCGTAATAAAAATATCTTGTCCTTTTGTGAAACGACGCACTTACAGGTTGTTGCATCGTTCCTGTTTTTTTTTTTTCAGTTAGACAATTATCTTTCTGCGATATCTAGCTCGCTTATGTTCTAATATATTATGATTCTTGCTGCATAAAAGAAATGCAAAATAAATACAATGCGCATGTGAAGTACAACTCCACTTGTTCGTGTTACTCGCCAAGAATTGTTGTGTAAGTACAAAGTATTATATGCTGGTGCTCAACTATAATATCAATCTTCTTCAATCATCTTTTTCTTTTTCATACATGATTTAGCAAAGATCTTTGGCTGTTGTTCAACAAACCATCTGTTCAAAAAACCATGAGAATACCCCAATGCATCTACATCTAGGGACTAAACCCTATCGACTGCATGCAAGTATGATATCAGGTGTGAAATTGTATTGTGAATAACTTCATCATGAACTACTTCTACTGTAAAAAAGGATTTCCACCATCGTAATTTCACTCTAGCCCGTTAACAATCGCATTATCTTCAAGCTGACTGGTGAATTACCAAACAAAGCAATCACATTATCCCTGCGAAGCTTCGACTTTGCATTTTCCACATGCCTGATTCTGTTTTGCGCCGGCTTCATCAAGGGCATGCTAGCTTAAATAAAACGTTTGCGAGAATTGTAGACCCAGGTAAAAAAAAGAAGGCCCGCTCCGCGCGCATGAATGAAGGAATGAAACACAAAACTTTGCAGCGGACTCGAGCTGAGCGTTGAAATCAACGCTACCTACGCTGATGCGTCGTCGCAAGCTTACCTTGTCTTTGTATAATGCACTCTGGAGAAAACGTCCAAAAGTTCAACATCAAGAAAAAGACGTTTTTAATGTGGTCAGACGCGCATACACATTAGAGTCGCCGTCGCGATGAAGTTGCTTGATAACGTCTGTGACTGTGTAGCCTCTAGCTCTACTTGAACAACATTCTTTCGTCTATCGTATCCTTGGTCGTCATTCTTAGTTGTTTCATTCACAAGAGGTACTCACAGAAAAAAGGATCAAGATGTGTGTTCCTCGCCACGCCTCCTGGTTGATCGTGGCACTCTTCATAGCGACTGCGCCTAGTACAGCCGTGAGCAGTGTTACTACAGCACAAGAACTATGGGAATATTCGTAGTTACCGGACTCACTTTAGAGCATAAGATAGTCTCACTTTGTGCCATTTCCGAGGGAAATGGCTGCCATGGATCTAGACCCACAATGGGTTGTTGATAGACCGCGTGACACCGTTGAAGATGGGACCATAGACGGAAACTGCTTGGAAGTAAGCGGGTTTCGCTCGCCGTTATGGTTATGTCTAGATAGGCTTCGCCTAGCGACACCATTAGGATTGACTTATGTCTGCGCATTGGTCATGGAAGTCTTTGAGAGCGTTGCGGAGGATATCCGATCCTACGCCAGACGTGGTCTGCAGTTGGATGTAGCAGCCGCGCCT